GAGTCCTTTGGCCGTGGGAGGATGTTGGAAGTGTATTTTGGGGGATCGTTGGCTTTGGCGGTGTTGATAAGAAGTGGTTCGGGGGGGAGGACGGGTTTGTATTGTGGAGGATGGGGGATTGCGCGGGATGCGGCGGCTGTGTCGCGGACGGATTGGAGATGTTGTATGATTTGGGTGTGTTCGGGAGAATTGGGCGTTTGAGCTTTCGTGAGCAGGTTCAAGAACTGTATTCCATGTCCTTTTTAGTTCAGAACATTCTTTTACAAATTCATGTTGTGATAACCCACCTTGTATCCCGCCGCCATAGCCGCATATACAAGTCGGAAGCTCGTATACCCTGAATTCTTCTCAAACCGTCTCCTCACAATCTGAGTAATCGGCTTCTGCGCAACATCTTGCGCTACTGGGATGCGACTCGCGGTTCGTATGAGGGCGCGATACAGGGCGAGAGCTGCCGTGCGATGCCGCGAGTTGCGGGCGGCGATGAATGTCGATCGCGACATGGTTTGTGCGACGGGGTTCTCAGGGTGCGAGTCTTGTTTGGACAGCCATTGGACGTATTATCGTGGGTGATTCATGAGAATTTAGGTTGGCAGTTTGAGTGCAGTTGAGATTTGCATAAGGAAGCTCTTTGGTGATGCAGCATTATCTTATCGCAAAGTGCTTTGAATGGAGGGGTCCGTAGATTTTCCGCATTGGGCAGTGGAGGCATCAGATGTCAAACTACATCACATCACCAACCTGACTAAGACTCTCTGAAGAGACAAGAATCACGCTACAGAACTCTTGTCTTAGTTTCTATCATGACGATTGTCTTTGTTGAAAATCTTCCATGTGCCTGATTTTAAAAACACACACAAGGTGAGACAAGAGGCGCATTCCACGTTGGCCAATGTCTCACTTCAGTCTTGTTCGTATTCGGACTCGCAAAACGAAGGCAAAAGCTTATCCGAGACCAAATTGTCGAACAAGACTAAAACCGGCCATGTGCTCAACTCGATCTCGAAAATCCTGCAGGAATGCGAGACTAAACAAAAAATACGAGTACTCGAGATTGATTCCCAATGCTGATCATGATCATATGGTGAGATGCAGCACTAGGTGCTTCTTTCATCGACTGCCTGATTTTTAGATACTTGACCTGTACCTTACCGGGACAAAGGTGGTCATCAGGTATTAGCATTAGCCCGGTCACCATCTCTTCGCAATTAGGTCACGTCTCGTTTCTCCTTTGGTGATTAGGTCACTGTCCCTTTCCCGAAAGCTTGCTATTAATACCAACTATGGCTGATGTGTTATGTTATCGCGGGGTGGCGGCACGTTTTAGCTGTCAGCACCTGTTAGCTCTGGGCCTTAACCTACATGTCATGATATTTTAGCCCAAAAGCATGTCACTACTACACATCTCAGATCAGATGCTTATCAGACGCAAAAGGGAAGAATGAATCAACAGAGTTCGCCTAGAGTCATGGCATGTGAAAGAGGGTTTGGCCATCTGCAGGGCAAGCCAAGCCATGTGCATGCTGCCCATGGTCGATTTTCCATTGGCAGCTCTGAGGAGCCAATCGCATTCACCACCCGACTTGATTGGCTTCCCGACAAGTCACACGGATAGATGTGATCTGTATGTTTTGCCAAAAACACTATGACTAGGATCCGAAGCCGTGGGGTAAGGCAGTTATCAGCTCGAGATGTGTCCAGGGCTCATGAGCCGAGCCGAACGTACAAGGAAGAGAGACGCCTCGGTTCGAGAATCACGCCATGGCCTGTCCTCCAGCGTACGAACCATTGCATCATGAGATGAACGGTGAATAGCTTCATCTCCCAACTCTATCCTGTTTTGAGTTTTTTAAGGTTTGATAATGCAACTCTCGTCATCCCATACCTATGCACTGATATGGCTGACTTCGGCCAACTTAGGAAAAATCTTACGACCCGTTACTATGGATACTGCCAAGCATGGAAATCTCAAAGGCCAAGACTGGCCCAGAGCATCGGGATTGTGACCGTCATTGAGGGGGTCCAAATAGGGCAACGGGCATTTACGAGATGAAAAGAACATCAGCACTTGGCCGTACCCACGCGGCATCTGATCAAGTCGACGCCAATCTCAAAGGGCTTACTTGCACATGCCGCCAGCCAAAGATCAACAGAAACCAATGGGCACGCTGACTTGGGCATCTGAGAGAGACTTGGGTACCGTGCCCGCGCGGCAGCTTACATGTCCAAGGAAGCTCGCTCTCGTTTGGACGCCTTCTATGGAGAACATGTAGGGAGCATCCATTGACTGCCTTGGATTGGGGAAGCGTGGCGCTGGGACTAAGAGCCGTGGCAGCACGCCCAGCCGGCTCCTGGCAAGGATTGATCCTTCGACAGCTGTGCCGAGAACAAAGAGGCAGACAACTGTCATTGCCTAGCTAGGGCTGATTTGAGGGCGCCGAGCTGTCATTGGCCTAGTCGTAAAAGAGCCATCCTCAGAACCAAAGAGAAAGAAAAAAACTAGGAGAGGAGAAGCGTCGAGAGAGTTGCCGCCGCTTGGTAAGCGCGCAATCCCCTTTCCGCTGAACCACTGGAGATGGATGATTCCAGGTCTTCGGTGAGCATTACCAAGCGGAATATCCACCGGCCAAAGTGAAGCAATTTTTTTTCCTTTTCCCTCTTGGTCTTCACAGCAAAGATGGGTCAAGGATTTCGGAAGCGTAACAAGGCCGAGGCTAGGCAGAATGGGGATTTTTTCGAGCGTGGTGGAGCGTGACGGCTTCATCAGTTTAGCCTTGTGCAGCGCAGAAACAAAAAAGCACGCCCCGGAAGATCGGGCCCGCGGACTCGGTCCCGGCCGAGGATTCTTCAATTTTCGAGTCCCCGTTTTCTTTCCACAGCGTCAGTGCTCTTGAGTCTGAGCTATTTCCTTTGGACATGACCGGGCTGGACTTGGCGCGAGAATTTCTCGCAGCAAGGCGGAGCCTATAAGCGGGTTAAGGTTTTGATAGAGGAGTCTTGAATAGGCCTGGATTCAGTTTGTTTGTTTTGTCCGTGATTCGAGTTACTGTACGTCGCATCGCCCTAGCCGCTGGACGGCGGTATGCAGTATGCAGTAGTAATATGCGCATGAGGTTGCTGGTGCCAGAGAGTCCAGGCATCGTCGCATCTTCTCCCTGACCATCGGCTGTTGTTACTGGCCGTGATGATGCAGGGCGCAACCAGGTCAGGTCAGCCACTGGACGGATGTCTCTCAGCCGCAAACAGTCGGTGAGGTGTGGCCCGACAAAGCCCGATTTTTGGCTTTTGAGTCCATCGCGGACTAGCATTTGCTCTAAATAGGGCGGAACGGTCGGAGGTGGGACTGGTCCGTGTGGGAGCCGCAGATGGTTAGTGATACTCGATTAAGCATTCAGGACGTGCTCCGTATCACCTCGGAACGAGAGAGAAGCAGGTCCTGTATTGACTAATTAGTGGTTGGCATGTATTAGTGATGAGGACGGCACATGGGCAATGTCGGGCAACGATGCTCCTGTTTATTGCCCTCATTGTGTTCGTGGAGAGGAGAGGTGAAGCCAGACTGATCTGATGTCTCTCTCCCTCGCTACGCTGCTAGACTGGACGGATACTGGACGGAACTGGACCAACGGGGAGACGGAGCGTGAGAGTAACCCAGATTCATGCATGGCAGACCTAAAACAAGACCTCGAATCCCACCTCGTCGACGTGCCACGCTTGGATCTGCCTCCTGCGCATGTGCTCCCTCCATTTCTGCCCATCCTTCGGCAGGTGGATTGACCAAGTGGGTGCCCAGCCATTGGACGACAAAGGCTTTCAGGCCTGCAAGGATGCCCTTTTCCCTCTATCCTGCCTCGGAAAGGCGGGCTGATCCCTGTCAGAAAGCAAGACCAAAAAGTAGGGGCTGATCTCCAAATTCTCCATTCGCCGGCAACGCACGCACTATCTTTTTTTGCTCGGCGGCCCGCCCACGACTGGGCCACGGCGCCTGGCGAGTCCGAATACGCCGATGTGTGAAGGAGGAACGAAAGGAAAAAGGAACCAAAACAGAAGAAGGAGAGGACTCAGGAGCAAAGACGAAAACGCGAGTCCGATGCCGTGGTACGATGGTTGAATGCATGAACCAAGGAGAATCTACGAGTACAGTCGAGAAGTTCAAGTCGGTCTGGAGGATACATTCGACCCGGTACCGGTACATTAGGCGCCTGCACCTCATCACATCTGATTGTATTCTCTACTTCCGCGTTAAGCCTTGGACGGCTGCTGGTTGACTGGACAAGATGTGCCTCGACTTGTACTCATATGCGGTACAGGCGCGTAGCGGAACTTGTACAGTAAGCGCATGCCGCACATGTCATGTCTTCCGGCTGGGCATCGTCTGAGCATGCACTCCTTTCTGGGCTTCCACCCTGCAAGCAAAGAAAATCTCCTTCTAGACCGGCACGAGCTAATTTAGTAGAAAGACCCAGTTTGATGCCTAGGCAATAGACAAGGTAAGCATTTGCAATGGAATACCATCAGTTCCGTGGCCTGGATATAGGATAGTGGGCATATACAAGCCTTGCTATAAGAAGTAAACAATCGGGGGGACTTCATCCCAAGTATCGTCTAGGTAGTGACATGTACATTCACAAAGCAGGGCAATGCAAGGGAGGGCCTGTCCACGCCCTGTCGAAGTAGCCAGATGCGTGTCTCACTCTCCTCTTCCTTCAATGACGCACCGGTCACAGGTACATGGCCCGGACATGCCCAGTACGCCCAGATCCGAGCGGCTCTCCCGGCTCCACGGACAACGTTCTGAATCTGCTTGTCAGTCTGCCGACCAAGTGGCGACATTCCTTGAAAAAAATAGGAAAAAAACCCAAAAAGCCAATGAGCGCTAAGATTAAACTTGCCAGGTACATGGAGGTATAAGTCCACATGTCCCACGCCACAGCCTTCCTCGGGTGCTGAAAAAGCCCAGAAAAGCTGTGCAACTCCAATCGCCACTTGCGGCGCCCCATCTGACGGCTAACCTCGATACTACTAAGACCTAGTTGTATCTAGCAGCTGGTCTGGTCTCCTCCTCGGACACTTTTACGAGTACATACATCATGTCTGTGTACTAATACGGCGTGCCGTCCATCATCTTATTCGGCTCGACTTGAATTCTGTTTCAGGTTTTGAATCCTCGAATCCTTCCTTGGTCTCGCACTGACTCTCGCTGCTGCTCCCTCCGAACATTGGGCTCGGGGGTTTTGAGCAAAGGATTTGAAGAAAAAAAGGGAAGAAACGGAAAAAGGAAAAGAAAACAAAAAAAGGGACGAAACAAAAAAAACCCCCGATCTGGGATTTACCTCCTCGGACTGCCGCGCACATCAAACTCCGCTTTGAATCGGACGCGGGCTTTTCTGTCACCCCTACGTACCGTTCAGGGACCCCCCGTACATGGTACATGCCCACCCGGCTGTCGTCCCACTAATAAGGCTCTGGTCGCGTGCGGACTGATGTACCGGTAACCTCCGGCTCTCCCAGTGCAGCCTCTCTTCTCGAAGGGCTCAACTCTGTTTCTGTTCCTCTGTCGACAAGCCACATCAACAAAGCGACATTGACTTTCTTCTTCTTCCTCTCTCATCGTCATTCCGTCATTCTTTTCCCCATCTCTCCTTCATCATCACATCGGTACCTGGAGTACGGCAGATTTCCAACTCAACTGCTCAACGGACTCAACCCTCGCTTATACATCTTAACCAACTTGCTACTCGTATAAGCGCCGGTCGCTTCAACTTCTCTCAACCGTCGCCCAGTCATTGATATCCTCACCACTCGACTCCTACAATTCCTGTTACCGAACCCGTAGACGACGGCCATCGACAGTAAAGCTCATCTTATCCCGATTTTTCTTGCTTCCACAGCGCGGCGTACAATTTCCTTGAATCTCAACTCTCACATATCCGACGACGAATACGAACCCACTACATAGACGCCTCTTTTCATTTTGTCATATATACGATTGATATCCACCACGACTGCACACACTTCATTCCTCTCCCACTCGTATGCCGACTATAGAATACGAAATAGAACGACCATTCTGGTTTGTTCGTCTTTCAATCCCTGGTCCCAGGGCGGTGTTATAGATTTACTTCACATATACATACACACACAACCGTGGACACCATGATTGTACACTCAGGAGCGGCCCTTCACGGCCATGAATTCTCAACACCTGATGAACAGCCTCAGCCAAGCCGCTTCTCCTTTCTGTCTGCTCTACGACCACTCTTTGACACCGAACCGACAACTCCCACAGAGCTCACAGAGCCTACTTCACCCACTTTACCTACCTCACCAGTTCCCGACTCCAACGACACTCTCCCACCTCGCTCGGCTTCCGTCGCCGAGACTCGCAATCCCCGTTCCTCTCTTGCAAGTCGACGTCGCACTACGTCTGATATCGCCACTGTCCGGTTCCGTGAGCCTCATTCCGATATTGTCGGCCAGTCCGACGTCCCTAGTGAGGATGAAGATTCCGTCTCTGGTTCTGAAGCAAGCGAGCGGACAGACTCTTCAATTCGGCTCAAGAGGAGAAAGCGTGGGCCGCGCAAGTCATCGCGATATGCACTGGCATTCCCAGCTCCAGGCTTGCGCACCAAGCAGCGGGCCTTTTTCCAGATCCGGCCGCGAGTGTTGCTGCAACTTCAGAAGCTCGGAGAGAAGCGCGCGATCCCGGCGTTTGACGTTGTTCCATCAAGTCTCATTGCGGGAAGTCTGATCATCCCGGCATTGGTCAAGGCGTTCCCTCGCATGTTCCATGCCAAGCCTCATCTTGGTCAGAACGATCTTCTCTTGGTTCGGAGGGACGACTTTGCGCATAAACACGACGGTCATGGCCATGACAACGCATATGATAGCAGTACCAGTCTAGATCATAAGGATGTCCTAGCCGTCATCTGCACATCCGACGACGATGACTACGCCAAGATTGTGCTCCAAGATGGAACAAGCTGGGTTACTAGTGCCAGGGCCAATGGGTCATATGAGTTTAACCACATCAATGACCATGGAGAGGCCGTCAAAGCTCGATGGATCAAGAGACCCTTGTTCTCGCCAAGGGCAAGCTGGGGATCTGCTCATACTGCCAACACAACTCCCTCATCACCGACTACTCCCACCACTCCCGACGGCAAGTGGACATTTAGCATCATCGAGCCGTCAACACGCAGACATCCGGTACAAGGAATCCTGGATTCTACATGCTTGGAAATTTACGATACATATACCACCATGTCCACATCCAGCGGCATCTACTCTCCCATTACACCGGATATGAGTGGCATCTCAGAAGACGCAGCCAACACGACAGAGGAGAGACCGTCGATGGAGGTTTCCGAATATAACAAGACCCTCATGATGGCCACAGCGACTTGGATCAGTCTCCGACAGAGGGGCTGGCCTGCATCGGCGACTCCCAAGATTCCCCGAGCCGTATCCCAGCGCGTCAGCTCAGGGCGTGCCCAAGCATGTGATATTGTTAGCAGCAGCTCAGGAGAGGCGAATCCCCGAATTTCATTGGCTGATGCGTCACCCGAGGAGTTGGCTGCTGCTCGCAACATGACCTCTGGCAAGCTTCGACGAGCAATGTCTTCGGGAAGCGAGTTTATGAGGAAAAGACGCGAGGCGGCGGCAGTATCAGCGACGTCCAGCATTACGGAGAGGGAGTCGGACGAAAAGCATGCGGATGATCTCAAGATTAGGGAGCAAACGGGGACATGCCGAACGCGTGTGCGGCGGCTAGCACAAAGAGTATTTCACCACTCGAGCAATCAACGAGTTTCATAACATATGCCGTGATCATCTTTTGGCGGACGCTTCCATCATTTGTGTAGCAATCTGCAGGGATGAGGGATTGTTTTTGTTCTTTGTATATATTTTGTCAGGGCAAATGTGAATGGGACAGACATTAGCATCAACAGCGTTGTTTTCTTTGTTTTACGCCTCTGATTTGTAGGCTTGCAAATACATACTCTCCAATTACCATATCATATATCGTTGACTTCAAATCGTATCGTGTTTTGTGTTCCATTTGAAGCTAGTGGTGCTTGTATGATTGATATTGATGTGAGGCTCGAACATGGCACGAGACAGGGCATGTTTCGCGGTTGAAGCTGCATGTTCCGTCTTGGCAGAGACCCCAGTAAGCCTACATGTACCCTGTAAGGATCTTTACCTCTATGTTGAGCCAGGATCTGTGCACCTGATGCCTGTTTGTCATTCAATGAATTTGCAATCACTGCCGGCTTGTTCGGGGTGGCCCGTGATTCCGGGCTGAATGGATAGATGTGCCTCTGGTGACAAAAATAGATGGACACTGAATCATGCAGGCGTGAATCTAATATGGACGCTCAACGCTGCTGAAAGCGCGAATCAGCCACTTTTGCTGTAGCCATTCTAGCAATTTGTATGCATCTGCCCATGCCGCACTTGGACCAGTAACTACCAGTAAATGCATGCATCACAACCCCCGCGAAATGTCTCGATCTCAACCCTGTCTAAGTAACCCGTGGTTTTGGAGCTGCAAGGGTCCAGTTCGGCGAGACAGGCTGCCGCTAACTGACGTGTTCCCAATTCTCAAGTGCCGTACGGAGGTGCGGAGGTGCGGAGGTACGGACCTGGAGTATGGCCTGGCGTGCTCCGTGACAAGTACCCCCAAAACTGCCTAAACGCTCCGGGGCTTTCACAGGTGGCACTGGAGCTAAGATGCCAGCTAACGCGGCCGCTAATGTGCCCGCTCTGGGCTCTTCCCGCTGGAAGCATTGACGCATCAGTGCTGTGCTGCCTGTAAATTGCTGGACAGCCGTTGAAGCCTTGGGGTTGCAGCTGTTAGCAGTTCGTTGAGAGCACTAAAAGGTCGAGGTACTCGCAGCAGCTGCCACAGCTGGGCACATGTCCAGGTACCCATACCGGCCGGATTAGGCCCACGACCCTGTGTCGTAATGCCACTTTGATTTGATCCATCCATTGGAAATCCATTGGCCGTGCCTTTAATCCTGCCTGCTTGCAACTAGCATCAGCATCATTGCTGGCCTCGTTTTGCATCTGTAACCGGCCTCTGCCATTTCCATTATCCCCTTTCCCTCCGTTTTATTTGTATTTGCGTCCGCCGTCCTGCGGATTCCCCCATGGGTAGCCTCAGCGCCCATCGCCGTCCTTGAAACGCCAACGGTCGTTGCCCAGAGCTTCGGCTTCGAGCAAAATCGCAGCCTCTCCCTCGAGCCCCCTTGAGCCGCGAACCCCTCTCTTGCGCTGCCAATTTCTCAGCCTCGCACAACGTCGACGAAACCCACGATGGACGAAAACATCGGCCCCAGCCATGAAGGGCCCGCGGCTGCTCTGTCTGCGAGTGCGGCATCGCACCTGATGACCAGCTTCGCCGCCTACGAACCCATCTCGCGTGCCACCTCGCCTGGCCTGCCCTTCTCCAAGTCCGACGACGACGACAAGCGGCGATACCGACAGCGAACCTTTGCATACTTCCGCCAGCTGCCCTTTGAGGTCGAGGAGGAGGCCCAGCGCGATGCTGCCCTCCAGGGCATCCTCAAGCAGCTGTACATATCTATCCAGGCTGAGGACTTCTCTCCCGGTGCGCTGCACTGGACTAGGGAGCTCCAGGGATGGCTGAACCTCAAGTTTGAGATGCCCAGAGACCTGAGGGCCAAGCTGGCCAAGCTCTACTACTCGCTGGCTCTGGCTCCCGGCATAGACAGCAACGTTGCCGACAGATTTGTCCGAATGGCTGTCAATCTGACGAGGTGCGTGGGGTGTGCGGGCAAGTGGGTTGCCAAACCAGCATCAGCTAACTCTTTTTTTCTCTGAATCTAGGAAGAATCACTATCTGAAGCCCGGCGAAGATCTGATCCTCGACTGGAGACTCCTTTGGGATGAGGTCAAAGCATACGTGCTCCCCTCCGAGGTGGCAGCTCACCAGGCCAGCCGAAGACGAGCCGCCAAGCAGCTCCTGAGGCTGTCTCTCAATGCACACACGTATTTCGACCCCAGGGAGAGATTAGCGATGATGCAGGAGTTTTTGCCCTTCTTCAGCCTCAACGACTTCCAGAACGCCTTCGTCGTAATAGGAGCTCTCAACAGCCTCCTGCCCAGTCACCCCGCCCCGGAGTCGGACGTGGGATCGCACCCAGCCGACTTCTTCCCGACTCTCTTCCACCTGTGGTCCTTGGTCAACAGATCCAAGGTCGTCGATGTGGCCTTTATAGACTTGTTCTCTCGGATAGCAAGAGACCATAGCAACTGCTCCTACATTTCCTTTGGGGAGCATGGCATCTTCACAAAGGCTCAATCCGACCTCATCTTTACGGCAATTCTGCGGCTCACCCAGATTCCGGTTGGCCAGGCCAATTCGCCTTACTCGCCCCTCGACTATCTGGCTGGAACCGGCGTGTATTTCGAAAAGGACAAGAAAAAGTATCCGATTGCCTACATGATTGCCCGACTCATTGTGAGCTCTCTGTCTCCCATCTGCTGCGAGCACGACGAGTCCATCATGTCGAGCCTAGAAGGTCTGATAGAGTCTATCGACACCTTCTTCCACCCCTCCAACCAGGGTGCCTGGTCGGGTATGCTTGCCCAGTTGGTTTTGTACCTGACGGATGCCTTTGTGTCCCGGTGGAACCGCGAACAGAGCTCGGAGCTAGAAGTTCCCAAGGATCGTAAGATCAACGATGCCTTGAAGAAGCGCTTCGTCAGTACTCTCAAGGAAGTCACTTTTATGGGAATCTTCTCCAAGAGCACTCGTGTTGCGCAGATATATAATAATGCGCTACAGGGTCTGGCTTACCTCGAGCCTGACCTGGTTCTTCCTGGTGCACTGCAGCGCTTCTACCCGAGTCTTCAGGGCTTGGTCGAGGTTCACAGAACCACCTCCAGTTTGAACGGCCTACAAATGATTGCCAACGTCATGTCCAAGCTCAAGGGCTACCGTTGCCACATTACTGCTCTCTTGGCCCTGGCGCTCCCCGGTATCGATGCAAACGACTTGAACAAGACGCAGTATACCCTGCATTTCATCCAGGCTGTTGCTTACAGCATTCCCATCGTTCCACTGACAAGCGGAGAGAGCCACATCCATGACACGACTTTGGCTATGGAATGGGTGCAGGGCGAGATGGCTCGCATGGAGCTTGAGGGACAAAATGTCAAGATTGACTACAATTCCGAACTCACAGACGAGGACGAGGCTATGATATTGAGATCCTCGACTGCCGGGTTTGGCGAATTCATCATCACGCTCTTGGGCAAGGTCTTTACTTTGCTGGAGAACCTCCCTGACGCCAACCAGGTGAGGGGAGGGACACCAGAGGACAGTGTCGTAAATGCCCTTCCCGCCGCTCTTTCTCCTCTGTTCGCGTCAATGTCAGCGGATCTCTTCGACATTACTCTGGAAAAGATTGCGACGTTTGTTTCATCGCACGTTGTCCATCAAGCCCGTGACGCCATGGCTTGGATCCTCAATGCCCTTTGCAAAGTCAACCCAGAGAAGACCCTCAAAGTGTTTATCCCCATGCTCGTGGTCAATATTCGCAATGAGATCGACCTCAACCACGCAGCTTCTGATCGTACTACTGGTACGGACTATCTGCCTAGAGATCGAGCCCTGGTGTGGCATGTCACCATGCTAGCCATGGCCGTTGTGCACGTTGGCCGTGAGGTCCTCAATTACAAGGACGAGCTGCTCGGAATTGCGCAGTATATGCAAGAAAAGTGCCGTGGCCTGCCTACTATCCTGGTCTCAAACTACATCCATCATCTGTTGCTCAACCTGACGCACACATACCCCATCGACCATGCCCTGTACGAACCCGATGTTCTCGAGAGAGGTCTTGATGTCGCCGACTGGGGCAAGACCACCACGCCCGCTGACCTTACCATTAAATGGCACCAGCCGTCGCCGCCAGAAATTGAGTTTGCCGTGGAGCTTTTTGCTTCACAAATCAAGTCAGCGACCGACCAGCTGGAGCTTTTGCTAAGCGATAATCCGCCCGTGAGTCGAAAGGGCAAGAACAAAGAGTGGTCCGACGAAGTATCCCGGTTGATGCAGCAGATTCGCCTGGTTATTAGCGGCATGGCTACCATGTTTGACCCGAAGCGGGCTTCGGGAGATACTGCCGCGGCGAAGGCTGGTGGCGGCGACGTCGACATGGATATTGAAGAAGAAGAAGCATCTGGGGATGTCGGAGACGACGACCCCCTTGCAGAGGTCGCCGAAGACGAAGAGCTGCGTCCTCAGTACAGGTATAAGGCTGGATACCTATTGAGTCCAAGTGACCCAGTCTATGAGCGCATCCATGATCTGCGGGAGCAGCTTGGTGAGCTGCTGACCAAGACACACGCGTTCCTCACCCAAAACGAGGAAGATGATGTCGAATGTTTCACTACCTTGTACATTGCTTACCGCACGTGGATCACGGACGTTGGCATCGAACGGTCAGCACACCCATTAGAGAGGCATTTGCGACTGTACAAATGCGATATTGCCGCCTTCAAGATCAAGGGCCTGAGAAAGGTTTATCCCCGCCCTCTGCTCATCAAGCGAGCTGAGGCGTACCAAATGCTGCGCATGAAGCACAATGCATCGGCTCGGCAAAAGAGCGAATTGGACAAGCGGCTGTTGTTGGATCTTGCACAGTCATGTCTCTCCTCGTACGCAGACGTCCGTCGTATTGCCCAGGGTGCGCAAGACTCGTCGCTCAAGGTGCTCATTGGTGGCAAGCCATTGGTTATCCCCGTCCTCTTGGAGGGTTTCAAAAAGAGTATCGAGACGAACGACCACGATCGAGTCAAGGGAGCCATGTATTCCCTGTTCTTCACGTCGCTGCTGAGGACGCTTATCAGGGACTGGAGATTTGCCCCCGAAGCCTTGCGTCTCTATATCGAGACTGCTGGCATCGACAAGCCGTCAATACAAACCCTTGGGACATCCGTCATCTATTCGCTGATAGAATTTGGGAAGCCTTTTGAGAAGACTGTCTTGATCGACACCTCCTTGGTAGATACCATCAAACCCGATGAGGACGTCTCATCACCAATTCGCACTCGCAACCAATTCATTCTGCAGAGGCGAGACAAGGTGGAGGCCTCCAAGGCAGAACTCGGACTCTGGCTGATCAAGTTGGCCAAGGGAGCGCACTGGAAGATAGCATCCCGGTGTGCCATTTTTGCAACCAACCTTTGCCTCCGCTTCGACACAATCGCCCCCATGGAATTCGTGGACTTGGTTGCGTACGGTACGAACGATCCGCATCCTGGCCTGAGAAACTATTATCTCTCTGCCTTTACTACACTCTTCTCGACCATTGATATGCGAGCGGTTTATGATCATGATTTCAACAACTATTTGCTTGAAAAGGAAGTGGATTATAGGAACAAAATCCAGGTGCCCGTAGAGAAGGGCGACGCTGAGTTTACCCAAAAGTTCCTGGATGCATTCGAGTCACCTCTCGAAGAGGCCGAATACATGGTGGATGCTGACCACCCTGGATGGTTGGTCTGGGGTAAAACCTTTACGGCGTTCCGAGCTCGTCCCAAGTACTTTGACAACTACGATGATACCGAACGAGCGGTGCGTGACCACATTGGCAAGATTCTGACCAAGGACTGGGTATCTCAGTGCTTTGAGTATCTCAAACAGGAGCCTCGGGATTCCAGTACGGACAGATTCCGCATGCATGAGGTTTACCTTCTCATGCACGTCTTTGACTTGATGCATTATGGTCGGACGGTCGTCACTCTGGAAGACGTCAAAGAGCTCACTACAGAGCTCTACGGGGACGGTAATGATAAGCACCAGCACCGTGCTACGTCGGAGATCCTTGGTGCGCTACTTGCCGGATCCAGCGATGATCCGCCGGAGATTCGAAACAAGGTCTGGGAGTTTGCCGCGCCCTTTATCTTGAAGATCTTTGAGAATGATTTGACCCCGGAGAATTTGCAATACTGGCTGACTTGCATCCATCTCATCCTTGACTCCAAGGACCCGCGCCGGGCTCACGAGATTGTGGATGCCCTCAAGTCGTTCCGTCTCGACATGAACTCTAATGCGGCTTTCAAGGAGTCTTCCAAGATCCAATTGCTTGAGTTTTCGATAGCTGATGCTGGATGGCATTTCCGCCAGGAAAAGCCGCTCTTGGACGATTTCTTGGCTCACATTGACCATCCTTACAAGGCCGTGCGTGAGGCTATTGCTCGTGTTATATCTATCATCTATAAGACGAGGTATTACGAAGCGTTTGAGAATGTGCCAGCACTGCTAGAGGCTAACAAGAAGGCGTCGTCGACTGGTCTGCGGCCATACAAAGCCTCGGAGGACTTTACGGCTACAATCATGAACACCTTTGACCGGCTCGAGAAGTGGCGCCTTGAACGAACCCCAGGACAGCAAGAACAGTCTCAATACACGTCCGGATCCAAGACTGTGCTGGTGTGGCTGGATTGTACATTGTCGTCTCACGAGTGCAGTCAGCTGGTGCCATTCTTTGCAACCCCGTTCATGGATCAGCTGCTCCACATGATGGACGTAAAGGAGGATCCGGAACTCATGAAGTTGGCGTATCATGTATATCGCCATCTCCCCAACATCCCTTTCCGCGATGGAGAAGATGCTCAATTCATCGATGGACTTGTCAGAATTGGCAGAACCGCGGCTAGCTGGCATCAACGGCTACGCGCGCTTGTCAATATGCAGGTCATTTACTTCCGCCGCATCTTCCTGACGGAAGAGCCCCAGCGCGACCTCTTGTTTACCACTGTGTCAGACATGCTTGGCGACCCTCAGCTAGAAGTCCGAGCGTGTGCAGCGACGACGCTTGCTGGAATGATTCGCTGCTCTCCAAACCGCATCCGCGACCCTATGATTGTGCGCCTCAAGAGTCGCTTCGAGACTGAGCTGGACCAAAATCCCATGCCTAAGCGTGGACCCAAGCTCCCCGGAACAGAGACTCCCGTCGACGTGCACAAGCAAATCAACAGGAGACACGCTGCCGTCTTGGGTCTTGGTGCTCTCATCGAGGCCTTCCCGTATGCGACACCGCCTCCTATGTGGATGCCAGAAGTACTGGCGACTGTGGCTCGACGAGCTGCGGGTGATCCAGGAGTTGTAGGCAAGGCTGCCAAGGGAATTCTTAGTGAGTTCAAGAAGACGAGACAGGACAGCTGGACCGTTGATCAAAAGGTAAGACTGTCCAACATTCGCACGTTGAATACAAATAGAGAAGAGATGCTAACTGGCTTTTAATAGTACTTCACTCAGGAGCAACTAGAGGACTTGGAAGGAGTCTTGTGGAAGAGCTACTTTGCTTGATTGCACTTTTTGTTATTCTTGTCCATTTTTTCAGTTCGGAAAAAAAAATTGCATGTAGAGGGGGGTCGTTAGGAATTGTAGACGCAAATATACTGCAGATTCGGCATCAGGCATTCAGGCATCGGCATTTGGTCTTTGGATGAAGGGGGGACTTTAAGGATTCGGGATATGGTATAACGAGTATAGTGCGGGTGGACACAGGACGCGGGGGAGGGTTTTCGCACTTGGGTAGAGACGGGAGGATGGGAAGTTCTCTCTGCTCTTTTTGTTAATATTTGATTTCTCGCCTTGGTGGAGGGCGGTTGTTTGTTGAGGGATTGGTGGGGAATGGAATGAGCATTTTGGGAGATTGAGGAATTGGTGGGATATGAGTAATGGTGGTGGTTGGTTGTTTAGCTGTTAGTTAGTTGTATGAAAGCATTGTAGAGTGTGTGGTTGTCTACATATGTTCTCCTTGTTGCTCTTTATTGTTTTGAGGATATTTAGATGTCTTGACTGAGTTTATACGGCGGCCTCATTTCAGGTGAAGGTGAGTGGTGAATTGGTGGAGTGGTAAAGCTGGCTGCATACAAGGGCAATGCTCACATTCCTGGCCGCTCCAGCGACGCATTAAAGGTCTACTATGAGCAAGATGCTTCCATGGGGACTCTCTCGAGGGTTTCTCTCCCGTGGATACAACCGGCTTTATTGCTATTCAGGCTATCTGCCTCAAGAAGTTTGGCGAACAAAAGACAAAAGATCAAGGACAGCCCCTCAGCAAATCTTAAGTGTACTGTATATTAAATGAATGTAGTAAATAGGGCAGCTTAGGCTCACTCAAAAACTCATCCTAGAACTCATGGATGAACGGGCAGATGATTCATAGAAGCGATGGTAGGGATACAAATACTTGATCTCATACTATGTCCCAATACGCCGACAATAGTCTCAACTATTTGTAATTTCCTTCTTCCTAAACCAGACGCCTTCATCGTGGCCCTTCGACAACCCATTCCTTGGACGAGGAAATCGATTTACCTCCAGAATTTAATGAAGTTCCTCAATCTTTTACCCTTTTTATGACTCCTCTCGGTGACATCTCTCCGCGAATTCCCCTCTTCCTGCACTTCGACATTCAGAGACGCCTCCAAACTCGGCGTTGTGATGCTTGTTGACCCTGCAGATTTAACTGACTCGCTTGCAGCCGGATTTGCCGAGGAAGACCGCAACGTTCCTCGACTGCTTAGCTTGACGCTAGATGCTGTGTCCAAGTTATCATCATCTCGTTGTTCTAATACATTATTGCCGTCGCTCCTGCCACTGAAGTATTGGTGGATATGCCCGAAAACTACAGCTCCTTTCTTGTCGAGCGCCATTACGCCCACAGGTGCCAACACGCGAGGCCCGAGGCGTAACCTCAATAACTTTCTGGCAGTGAGGCATTGTACAAAATCAGTGTGGAAATCTCCATATTTGGTATTGCCTGTACGTCTCTGGAAGCACTCGCAAGGTTTGAATGGGTGGTTTGGCGAGAGCCAAACAACCTTGCTCATTATCTCGGGGCGCTCGTCGTATAGCATCTGTAAAGTTGAAACAGAAGCAGCCAAGTAATATTTCCCTTTAGGTACGGATTTCCACTCGCTACACAGAGCGTGCGGCTCTTCAGGGCTAATCAGGTCACCAAACCCTCGGCCAAAAATGGTGATCGTGTGTAGAGAGGTCATTATATCAACCCATCCACCGCCCCATGAATCAATGTGATTGATACGAAAGTCGATAGGACTGCATGGGCCGACGATATCTTTGATATCAAACCCGATAATATCGCTTCGAATGTCCAACGTTTGCCGAATCCGAATGCCGCCCTGTGAGTTACGGTCGGCTTGCTTGTCAACCAGTATCTCAATAGAGTGCAATATCTCCTTGACTCGTGTCTCGAGGGTGGTGTATTCGGTCTCGTTTCCACCCCCCCCACTGCGGCATGGCTCGCGAGCAACGTAGAGATTCAAATTGAGATTGTCCCAACTCGCCAGAGTCTTCAAGGCTGCTTGGTTTCCAGTAAGGCCATCCCACTTGTCCTTGAACTTCGTAGCGTCGAAGACCCAATTGTACACCGGATTATTTTTGTCTAGATATAGGGATACTTGAACAAGATGAAGTAGTGCAGAAGCACCGTCGGTGAGCCAACCCCGGTGATCAGCTACATCGTAGAAAACGATGGGCTGTACGGCAACCCAACTGAGAAGCCTAGGATAGTCCTTCTCTCGGTTAAGATAAGATGGCTTCGGTTGCTGATTAATGCCCATTCTAACACCAGCACGGACAATGCCAGTCCCTACTCCAATATATAGGCGGTCAATAACGATAGACGGTGGTGGCCCACGTAATCCTGAGGACTTAAGATTTAGATTCGCAGTTGCATCGCCTATTTCAAGTTAGCATCAGAGGTCTGCAGCCGGTAGAACACTGTAGAATCTCATACCGCATAATTCGGTGACTTTAGAGCACCATCCGATAACATGGCGTCTTTCTTCAAGAATTCTAAGAGAAATATCCTTTGTAGCCTCGCCATACAGAGTATCGAGTCGAGGGTCAACATATGAAATCCGCTCTTCCGGCTGTTCACTGACGAGGAGATGCCATACGATGATATCGGCCGCTGCCATTGTTGCGATCATGAGCATGTTGAAACCTTTGATAATCACCCGCTCACCCCACTGCACTACTTGCTGGGAGCCAATGATTGCGGCCATGTCGACCAGAGACATCTCGAGACCCGTGTTTGGCTGCGTCCTTCGAAGAATTGGATAGCCGCGCACTAGGACAGGGTTACAGAATAGGCGACCCCAACAGAATCCAGGACTTAGTTCTGATATATCTGCTGTTTCTAAGTCAAAAGATAGGTTACACGACCCGACTACCGTCAGTCCATGGGACCCTTCATCCTGGACGCGCACCCGGAGATCATTGACACTAGGGGTGCACGCGACTGGGCCGTGATGATCCGAAGAAGATTGCAAGACTGAGGCTAACCATCCAATTTGTTCGCCGATCTCGGATACAAAATATAGGCCTCCAGTCACTGAAATGCAGCATATGGATGGAGATTGAACACAGGCTGTAAGTCGTGTCGCTCTAACGTCACTCCTGTGTTTGGATGGCATGGGTTCATGCGCTTGGTCTGAGAACACGTCAGCATCTATACCATAATATTCTAATAATCCTGCTTTAAATCTCACAAGAACACTCTTGACCCTCGGGAGTTGATAGAAGGGTTTGTATTAGAGTGATTAGAGCATGCCCAGATCGAGGCCAAGTTTGATCCATATAGTCCCTCACGGTCGTAGCCTGCGCTTCATTCCATGACCCCGTTAAGCAAACCATTCTTCCCAGTGCATCTTCATACGGGGGAGAAAAGCCTGCATCACGCATGGAACGATCCAGGTCCCAATTAAAGCAGAATGTCATCTTCACCGCAGATAGTGGCTTTCGACTGCTCATTCTGCGCGGCGATTCTTGTGCACGTAGCTGGGTTCGAATCTTCGTCCTTATCTCCAGCATCGTATTTGGTACTTGAAAGGTCAGAAGGCCGTGCTGGCAAATTGTAGTTATAAGCCACTGGTACGCATCGGACGCTCTGATGTATTGCTCGTAGTGCGGCTGTCGAGAAAGGATCTCAAGACTGTGTGCCTGTTGGAGCAACGGCTCGTTCGAGCCGTGTTCGTGGTTAATATTGTCCTGAACAGGGTCATCTTCTGTGGACGGGCCCAATTCTTCGCCCGCATGGGGCGCTGTTCCAACGTCATCAATCCATTGCATAACCGTTGTCCTGGATTTTATCGATGCTGTTCGATTTAAGAACCCATCTTGGTCCTCATCCTCACTCAAACTGCTTTCGCCACCTTGATTTCCAGTAGTGTCGTGGTCTAGCGGACGAGGGACTAGAAGTTCGATGATCTTCCTGGGCAATTGTCAACAGCAGGGCTTTTCTTGAAGGGATTGCGTGATTACACTTACTTCCGCATTCTATGGATCATATTTGATGCCTCCCGTTGGAATGCGTTTGTGGACTCGCTATTTAGTTTGCATGCAAATTCCGTCAGCACAGGGTCAAGATATCCTGCCTCAATGTTCCCGAAACAAAATTTATCGGAAACTTGCTTCATGTCCTTGATGAGCTGCTCTGCAAAGACTTGTAGGTAACGTAGTCTCGGATCATTTAATAGTGTGTTGATAGAGTATGTATTTTCGATATCATAGTCATCTGTAAACGGTTGTTGCTCTTCTGTTTCTTCTTCAGTTAAAGAATATGAGCTATGCAGTCTCTCAGCGTTAGTAGATTCAACCTCCTTTTGAGTTTCTATCTCCAGCTCCTCAGCTTTCGGCATTGCGTGCGCTTGGTGTGGTCCGGAGCCCTTCGTTCCTGGAGATGACGTGGGTATGGTAGACGGCCTTGCTCTCCTGCTCTGAAGATCATAGTCGAAAGTTGAAAATGGCGCGTATGCCCTCTCCGCGGTATTTTCATCCCAATAGATGCTTTCAGTTTCCGATCCGAGTGCATCAAGCTGATTAGACTTTCCTTTGCAGTCTCTCTCTCCGGAATTGGCCTCCTTGTTACTCTTGTCCGAATCCACTTCCCAGCCATCAGAGTCGTATCTCCTAAGTCCCACATCGTCCATGGGAACTCTAGAGATGAGGCTTTCCATGGAATCAACATTTCCCGACTGAACATTTGGAAGATATTCCATATTCCCCCGCCCCCTGTTTGTTGTTCTCAGCATGCCTGATGGGTGGATGCCCCCTTTTGCAACAATGCTAACTGGTCGATTGGGGTCATTTATTGGTCTCATTTGCTCATATCTCTTGTTAAGCCATCCTCCAAGATTGCGTAAACGGGCAGCGCGGTCCGGGTGCTTGCGTGGCGTAGCATCAACAGCCTCGCGAAGAATTCTGATAGCTTCATCAAGGTCAGCTATTATTATCGTTTGTTCAAATCGCCTGCCAAGCTGAGTGCCAAGGTAATCTAGATGGCCAGCGAGACGCGGGTGGTTCTGTGGCATAGCATCAACTGCCTCGCGGAGAATTTCAATAGCTTGATTAAGGTCATCTATTGAGCCCGTCTGATCAAATCGCACGCTGAGGCAGCTTCCAAGGAAGTTTAAACTGGCGACGCGATTTGGGTGGTTGTGCGGTTGTGTAGTAACAACTACCTCCCGGAATATTTCAACAGCTTGATTGAGGTCATTTAGCGAACCCGTCCGTGCAAATCGCATGACCAGAATGCTTCCAAAATCATTTAGCATGGTAGGTGTTATGTATTTCGCTGTTATACGTATTGCCAGTTCCATAATATCAATAGCTTTGTTTAGATGTTTAAGGCGGCCAGTTTGCTGATAACTTCTTGCTAGTCTTATTACTTCACTATTCAAGTTGATTCGAGTTGGTGGGGTTTCTTCATTTCTGTAGCGTGTTAGTGTTGTGCCTCTATTTTCCCTATGTTGAGTTACTTTCTAGCGATGGACTCAACGCATTACAACTTACAAGCCTGTAGCATCTAGTACGACTTCAAGATCTTCCGCGGTAGCCCCAGATTGGTGACCCCAGGAAAGTACTGTAGTTAAGATAGTACATCGCCGACTGTGATCTGGGTGGCTTGCAGCTGTCGCCGCGGCCCATTCCTCAGCTCGCTGGATCGCCTTCTGAAGGTTTTGTCTATTGTGCCATCTTCGGAACATCAAAGAGCAAAGGTAGATGTAGAGCTCGATCTGGTCGTCGTTCGTAGGATCCTCGTATAGCTGTGCAAGGGATTGGAGATCTTCCTCGCTTGCTTCATTAAAGGAAGAGAGCAGCTCGGCATCAATGTGAAAGTCCTCCATAATGGCAAACGTATTATAGCAGTCTTATAGGATGGATTTGATGGTTAAGGAAAGATAAACATAGCGACTGCACGAATGTTTTAGCTGTATCACTTAATAGACATATATACAGCTAACCACACATACTTCGGATATGGGCATATATCTTATGGTTACATCGCAGCGGCATTATTGCCTAAGGCCCAGCTCATCAAGTCATATCTCCTTACCCCCTGCAACTGATGTACTTCTACGAATCTTATAGGCCGTTTTATTTATGCCTAACAACATGAGGGCGAAGCTGCTGGCAAACATCCTACCCTTGCTGCATACTATGTTTCTACGAGCCTTATTGGATGTCTGCCCAACAAAGCAAGGCTGCACCCTGCTTCTCGCTCCACCATATATGTATATAAGAGGTATGCTTCTGTAAGCTTTATTGGGCATTCTGCTGATGCCCAACAAGAACAAGGCGAACTGCTATACCTCCCACTCCGCCATATACATGTATAGAATGCCTTATTCTACTTCTTTCGACCTAATGACTGGGCAATCTTTGTCGGTATACTCATGAAATAAAAATCTCTGGTTGCCAAACAGCCTATAATACTTATCAGCCATACTTATCATGGTCTAAAATCGTTATAACAGCTATTTAATATGACGCATATCCCATCTTTTCGCATGAAGCAATGGGCTATTTTAATGGGCTTGACTATTGAAGACATGGATAATGCCTTCGGGGTTGTGTAGGAGATGTATCGAAGATGAAAGAGTAGCTAGAGGCAGGGCTTGATTCTGTAGACATTACGATGCTCACTGCGTCAGCACCTCTCGATTCATCTTCTCAACTTCCCTTAGAGGATCAGGACTCCTGGCCAACCTCCTCAAACGTGCTAAAGACGCTGAGAAGAGTGACCGTCTCTGCAGAAAAGGGTTACCTTGTCTATATAAGTTATTCAGGGCATGGTGTGCCTGAAAAACGCAGCGGTAAATCTGCTAATCAGTCGGGAGACTTGGCCCTAGTTCTCTTCCAGAATAACGAGCATAGCACAAGCTACTTCGAAGGAGATACTCGGGCTTACTGTTTAGAGAGGATGAACAAGCAAGGACTCCTTGTCACCATCGTCCTTGACTACCACTTCTCGGGAAGTATCTTGAGAACTGGCGCCGTTCGAGGCGTAGGTATTCGGTCTGTCGATTATGTCGAAGCCACCACTCCGCCAGATCATCAAGAACACTTCGGTTCTCACGATAAAAACTGTTCTCTTTGCATCTACACATTATCAGACGACTGGCTATACGATCCTATCGGTTTGTGACCCTAATGAAGTTGCACACGAGCTCGAGCAAATTATTACATCCCTCTTGTATAGTATGCTTTGGCTCCTTCAATAGATTGTTGAATTTGTTGACTCAATTGTCTTACTAACACAGGAACGCTCAGGAAAACCTGTACTACTTATAATACAAGCACCTCAACCAATAGCTGGAACTAAGAAAAGATACGAATGCTGTTAGGAAACCCTGAAAATAGCTATCAACTTGTGTAACTTGTGCATCTTAAACTTTTTTTTTTTTTTTTGGTGGTTGCGGTATTGCTGAGTGTTCGATTGCTGCTTTTAGATTTCGTGTCCTGTCAATAATGCTAAGCTACAATATACGTGAAGCCTCTCAACTGCCAGTAAACTAATTGGAGTTATATATAATGCGGCAGAGTGTGATTAATAAGTAGACTTAACGGAAGTGCTTTGCTCATCTGTGTGCGAAAGCCCTTGGCTGTCGTTTATAAGCCACAATGCAATGAGATCTATATGGGGGTTTTACCTCTGCCTAGAAAGGGGAGAAATAGATGGAGTCATTTTTGAGACTGTCTAGAAGAGTAAAGATGTGTAATTCAGACTACCTTAATCTAGTGGACGCTTCTTTTTCGTGCCCAGGTGTTGCCAAAAAGTTAAGAAGACATAATATAAGAATACTGTGAAATAACGAAATCGTGTGAAGGAGTTCCGCGGGATGTGCGAGTTATGCGGGACGAATCATGGTTGATAATAGATTTGACGGTCATAAATCCGCCAGTAGTGCCCGGGAATAGTCTTTCTAGAAGAGTATCAGGTGCTGATTTTGGAAGTACGTGGAGCTGGAATGGTTATGTAAGGTTGCAGTTTTTAGAAAACAGGGCTCCTGCACTATGTGTGGTATAATAGAGTTAAGCACTCGGAACGAATTCCGTTTAGAATCAGTATTTATAGTTAGTTAGACAGGCTGCCAGCAGAACTAAAGATGTGTACTTACTATCTCCAGGTACAAGGGCGTGTAAGAATAAGTCGATAATAGAAGATACCAGTACTAGCTGAACGCATTTAATCTTTAATTCGCTGTGTTGGAATGTCCAGACACCGCAAGGTAGGTATCACACCTAGTAAGAAGCCCATCCATTCAATCGGCCAGGTTTAATACTCGACAGTCGGTCTAATAGCCATAGTAATGGCGAATACGCGGTATTCATTCGTCAGAAGCAGGGTGGCGTAATAAAAGCCCAATGCAACATTGGGCACCAGCAGCCTGTTGGACTCCCACAATGCAACCTGGTCACGAGTCTGGGATCCTAGTAGAGACCACTATTAAATTCATGTCTTAGATACATTACAGCAGTTAGAACCCTGACTCTTACACAACCACAATATATATATCGCCTTCCTACCCCTTACTGCTGTTTCGCTGTGCACAACTTTAGCAACGCTGGTAACCAATAAAATCCAACGCTAAAATGGAACGCAAGGATTTTAGATTCACTGAGCGGCTTAAAAGGGTAAAGGGAAAATTGCGCCTTTCGAGGTCTAGGAATCAGAATGACAGATCAGACTCCAATTATATCGAAACACCCCAGCAGCACCATACCAGAGCGAGGATCAATGAGTCAATCGTCGAGAATGACAGGTCTGACTCTGTGTTTGCGAATTCGAATCAAGACCCCCAAATGCAAGAAGCTATTGTGCCAACTAACAATTTATTCGTATCTGGCCATTTGAAGAAATTGCCAAGTCTCCAGCCTGCCGATGCTACAATCCAGGAGCTCTGGAATGTAGCATACGAGAATTTGAGAGAAGAAGACGGCGCACTTATCAACAATTATGAGTCGAAGCTCCAAGGAAATCTCATCGCCGGCCTAAGCTTGATGGCTGGGCCAAACGCAAGCCTCAGAGACAGAATGCAGACTATCTTAGACCATAAGATGAATGAGGTCAACCGAGATATATGGAAGCTGAGATTTATGAGCTCTGAGATTGAAGCTAGAGCCCTTGTGCAACCTGTGTTGGACGTCGTGAATTTTGTCAATGAATATATTGCCGGCGCCGTGAGTGCCAACCCTTGCGCCTCTATCGCTTGGGCTGGAATCAGTTTATTATTGCCAGTAAGTTGCATCGCGTCGCTTAGCAGGCCAGCTATCGGTTGACAATTGTAGTTTTTTATGAATCCATCAGCTCAAAACGCATCTTTGGCTAAGGGATTAGCATTCATCTCCTCGCTTATCTCTCAAAGCCGAATGAGAGAGGAGCTATATATCCGACGCTATGAATCGCGCGCCGATCAATTATTTCCACAATCTCATCGCGAGTATAAGATCAACTTAGAGAGACTGTACCGACAGATTTTAAAATTTCAAGCTACAGCCTACTGCTACTTAACTAATAATACCCTATCCCGCCTTCAATCAGATATTATTCACTGGAACGACTGGGATGGACTTATTCACGATATTCAGCAACAAGATATTGCATTTACTGGTCTGACTAAGATCTGGTGTGATATGCAGTATAACGAAGAATGCATAGCGGCTGAGAGACGATATAAAGAAACAGTAAGCCTTTGGCTCAGTGTTGAAAAGAATGTCTCTGGCTTAAAAAAAGCCGTTGAGGAAGCACAGAGAGAGAGAAGCTATCAAGGTCTCTTGCAATGGCTATGTTCTGTTGACCACACCATGATGTATAATACTGCTCGTGATAATCACGAAGCCGGTACGAACGAGTGGTTGATGGAACATAGTGAGTTTAGAGCATGGGAGAAGAATCCTAAGTCGCTCTTGTGGCTCCATGGTAAAGGTGAGTATAATATGCCATTTTTCTTTCTTTTTTTCTTATCTCCGATTGAGTTTCTAACCTGGCACTCTCTTCTTAGCCGGCTCTGGGAAATCAATTCTAAGCTCCTCTGTTATTGAAAAACTTTCCGATCAGTATCAAGGAGATGCCTCTACTACTCTCGCCTACTTTTACTTCAGCTTTAAAGATTACCAAAAGCAAAATGTAGACGGTATGCTAGCATCACTAATTAAGCAGATAACTGCTCATCGACCATATATACCTGAAACAGTGCAACGCCTTGGGGAATTTAAAAATAAAGGAGGACGCCCAGATTGCAAGACGCTTGAGGAAGCACTAGTTACCTCTATGTATGGATTTTCAGCCGTATATATTATCATTGACGCTCTAGATGAGTGCCCAGTGGTTAATAATGAGCGGAAGAAGCTCCTTATAAGCTTGCAACGTATATTTACTAAGGCACCTAACAGCCTTCATATTTTTTATACAAGCCGCAAGGAATTCGACATAGAAGCAACAATGAGGCCAATGTTGTCCTTACCTTTCACAGCTGAAGTGGATTTATCTATGAAGCGATATTTTCTTGATAACGACATTGGCCGGTATATCGATTTTACTCTTCAAGCTGCTGAATATATTTCATGGCCAGAGAGTATTAAGGAAAAGTCGAGATTAGCGCTAGTTGAGAAAGCAGATGGCATGTAAGTGATTTTAAGAATCAAATCATGGGACTAGTGAGGCAGTGGCCACTAACTATGGATGAAGGTTCCAATATGTCCGTTGCCAGTTTGACAGTCTTCAGAAACTCTCCTCCGCAGACGCTATTGACAAGGCTCTCCAAAACCTTCCCAATGGTCTTGATGCAACCTACGACAGAATACTCCAAAATATCGATTCTGAATTTCCAGACTTTAGACATCAAGTCAAAAAATGCCTAAAGTGGCTCGCTTTTTCAACTTGGCCTTTGACGATTGACGAGTTCGCGGAGGTCTTTACCTTCAATCCGGATGATGATGATGCACTCAGCACAATGGAGCGACTTTTGACTCGAAAGATGCACTAAAGTACTTTTCAGGATTGATCGTGACTGACGAATGGGGTTCTTGGAAAGAACGGCCTTCGAGAGTCGAGCTAGCTCACTTCTCGGTTAAGGAGTATTTGATATCTGATCGAATTTCTCAAGGTCCTTCATCTGCCTTCTCATTCAAAGAATTGGATGCTCACATGTGTATTGTGCACTTGTGCCAACAATATCATCTGCAAATGAGCGCCAGATCCGACAACAAGGATACTAATCAGTATATATTAGAGAATCGCGCATCTACATGGGAAACGCATCTCGAAATGATACCCCGTGCGTCTTGGCCCTCTGGGATTGTGCAGGATGCGATGCTTGCATATGAGGCCCGCAGTCAGAGCTTGTTTAACATAGTCTTCCCAGCCATAGACAAGCTCCGTGGGCTTTGGTGTGTCGAACGAGAGGATGAGCTTATCGAGCATCTGCTTCTGCAACCATATTTATATACTGCTAGACGCGGCTACTGCCAGCTGACTGAAATGCTGATGTCACCGGAAACCAACATGGGAAAATATCTGACTCAAGAAGACTTAGATATGGGACTCAAGAATGCCGTGTTCACGGGAAAGATGAACATTACAGAATTATTTCTTAACATGGGTGCCGACTTAAACGCGGGGGGTAGGGAGCGTGCTCTGGATATAGCGGCAGGCCAAGGGCATATAGCGATGATGGAGCTCCTTCTCGATCGAGGGGCAGAAATCAACGCTCGCAGTCAAGGATGGGGTTCAGCGCTGAGATGTGCGTTCAGGTATGACGAAACGGGTGCCCTCAAGCTCCTTATAAGCCGCGGAGCCAGCATTGACTCACCAATGCTGGCGACAGCGGTTAGTAGCAACTACGCGCGTCTGGAGAATGTCAAGATCCTGCTTGATCATAGTGCTGATTTAATCAGGCAGGGGTTCTACCTGAGTCTGGATCATTATAACCGTACAGCACTCAATTCTCTGCTAGAAAGCGGTACCGACGTGAAAGCGTTGGGCGAGCAAAATGAGTCCTTACTTCGGGCGGCGGCAAAAATCAGTGGACTCTTTTATGATGGACCCTTTCATAATCCTGCGTCTAAACTTCGACAGATCAAACGTCTACTGGAACTCGGTGTGGAACCTAAATCTCAGGCCGGATTTCTGCAACATTTGTGCATGGTTCCCTTCCGAAACGAAGTTATCGCAGAGGAAACCATCGAAACTATAAACCTTTTGGTCGAAAAAGGTGCTGATGTGAATGAGGAAGATGAGGAGCTTGGAACGGCATTGCAGGTGGCATGCTCGACTGTGTCAACAAAGACAACGCTTGTGGAACTGCTACTGGAACATGATGCTGATGTGAATGCCCAAGGAGGACGCTACGGCAACGCCCTCCAGGCGGCTTGTCAATCGAGAGCCCTGCGCCACCATGTCTGCGGTATTCGTTATCACGATTCTCACGCAAAAGAGGAGCGTCTCTCGTGTGCACAAGACACGGCGCAGCTGCTACTAGACCGTGGCGCCAACATTCATGCTCAAGGGGGAAAGTATGGGACAGCCCTCCAAGCCGCCTGTTTCAGCGGGAGTGAGAACCTGGTGCAGTTGCTGATTGACCACGGGGCCGATGTCCATACCCAAGGTGGAATATATGGAACAGCGCTACAAGCTGCAGCGATAGCGAGTTCGCAAAACCGTTCGTACGGAACCAGAATCGCAAAGTTGCTCATAGATCACGGCGCCGATGTCAACGTCCAAGGCGGAAAATACGGAACGGCGCTACAGGCAGCCTGCGCCAGCGGATTTCGACAGATAGAGATGGTGCGACTGTTGCTAGAGAATGGCGCTGATGTCAATGCCGAAGGAGGAGAGCATGGGACCGCACTCCGGGCTGCCTGCAAGGGGAAGATGGGAGATGTCAAGGTGGTCCGCTTGCTGCTTGATCACGGTGCCAAACTCCATCTTCACAACAGCAGCGCCTGGCACGTAGCTGCTCTCTCCAACGACGACAATGCGCTGCTGGAGCTGCTGCTTGATCACGGAGCCGATGTAAACGATGCACATGGCCCGCATGGCACCGCCCTCAATGCCACTCTGCGACGTGTTCTGGAGAGTGATCAGGATGATCCGGGGTCGGATGAAGAGTCAAAACAATACTCGGAAGGGGTATCAAGGAGCACCTTCGTACCATCCGAACTATTCAATTGGGTTGAAAGGGTCAGCTTTTTGCTTAAGCGTGGCGCAGACGTTAATCTCGTGGCCGAGGAATACGGCAACGCACTCCAGACTGCTTGTACTGTACAGTATCCAGCATGCATCTATTTTTCCTCGCTTGACTACGTCAAAGTCATCAATACTGGCACTGACAGGGTGAAATTTCTTCTTACAAACTGTCGTGACGTGGATATCAACGCGCGCGGCGGGTTGTTCGGCTCCGCTCTGCAGGCGGCGGCGTACACGGGTCAGACTGAATCCATCATGTTACTGTTGGGCAGAGGAGCCAAGGTCGATGAGGGTGGTGGCAAGTACGGCAGTGCACTAAACGCTGCCGTAATACGTGGTTTTTGGGACATTGTGCAAATACTACTCGATGCTGGTGCAACGCCAGACTACGACGAGGTGTTGCAGCCAAACAAAGAGTGGCTTCAGCTTGTCCGCGAAGAACATGGTGAAGGTGCAGTGCAAAGGTATAGGAAGTTTTGTGAGGTAGAGCAGGCAAAGAGACGGAGCACAGCAAGTCAAGTATATGCCGATCAAGGTGAAACCGAAGAACCTTAAAGATTAGACGCAGAGTTCTCGAGACAAGAATAGGGAAATGACAATTGCTATCTATAAGTAAACACACACCTCGCCCCTTATACTGCTATTTATTAATGAGTTTATAATTTCCATTGCCGCATTGTCTAAAATACATGACCAATACTTGGTGTCTAAGCTCTGCAAAGATGTCCATCTGGCTGCTGAACCCAACTGTCAGACCCAACACATGTCTGACAGTAAAACAAACTTGTCGGATCATACTTTTTCTTGGTAGCCGCAAGCGTAGGCAGCGCGTCTCCATAGAAATTAGATAGATAGTTGGGATCGAGATAGTTGCCCTCGTTCATGTACGAGCCCGTGCTCGGCGCAAAAACCTCCTGAGCTTTGCCTTTGTTGAACGTAATGTCGTCCCGCGCCTCGGCGATATCTGCATATGGCGTAACATCATCCCAGTTACGGGCCACAATATTAGTCAGGAGCGCGCGGCGGTAGGCAGGGTTAACGCCCGTGAGCGGCGGTACGTTGGCTACAGCACCACCACCGGTGATATCAACAACAACGGAGGTGTTCTGGCCAGGGAGACCTGCGGTAACATTGACCATCTGTCGTATCGCGGCTGTATTGGCAGCAGTGAGATGCTTTTGCTCATAGAATCGCGATGACATGAGAATGCCCCCGCCGATTGCCATGGAGTTGTTCTGCAATGCCGATGTGTAGCTAAAGTAATCAGGGAAAGGAATAAGCTGCAGAGTAACGTCGAGGCCTCGCGACTTATACGGGGCTAGATTAGCCATGACTGGGGCCATGGTCGACTGCACTTGCTCCACGGTTTGGTTGAAGACACCAGTAATCATCTCCAGCATGCGTGAGGGCGGCGCCAGGGACGACTTGCCATCCCACGCTACCCAGGCTGCGTAGCCTTGCACACCACCGGCGAGGAGGGCCGGCGTCTGCTGATACCAGACTGTCACGGCGTCGAGAAACGTCTCCACGTCATCCACGCCCGTCTGTGGCGACATGAGCAGCACAACACCAACCATGGGCGTGTCGGGGTAAGTCCGCACAGTAGCGCTGGTGACAACGCCATACGTGCCTGGGCCGCCGCCGCGGAGGGCTTGGAACAGGTCTGGGTTGGAGCAAGGACTCGCCAGAACCGTAGAGCCATTCGCAAGAACCACGTTGTATTCCAGGACCTGGTCCGTACCTAAGCCGTACTGATGCATGGCGGCACCATGTCCGCCGCCCTGGAGATAACCACCCGTCATTCCAACAGAGTGGCAGGTTCCGCCAACGACAACGACACCATTCTGGTGTGCCTGCGGGTAGACGTCGTCGAATGTGACCATACCACCAAGCTGCACCGAGCTACCGCCCCAGTAAGAACTGCCGCCCTTCTGGACAGCTGCACAAGCCTGCGTCGGAGCATAGACGTCGTGGAAGACAATGGGAGGTTGAGATTGGATGGAACGACCTAAGTAACGGGTCCAGATTTCCAGACTGCCGGCCCCGGCGGATCGACCGAGGAAATCGTGCCCCGTGTTCTTAATCGTAACGCGGATGTTGTACTCGTTGGCAAATTTCAACCCAGCGCTGATGGCTTCGGGGGTGGTGGCATTGATGCTGTAGATCGCAGACTCGCCCAACGAGCATGATGACGAGTTTCGCCCAGGCAGATCGCAAGCCCATGTGTGGGGGAAGTCATATCCCGTGGGGAATTTGGCCTGGAAGACCGAGTTGGCCCAGTTTGCCTTGATGTCGGTACAAGCAGCATCGTCTTGATGGGTGCCTGGGTAGCAGGGTGCGGCGACTGGAACATTTCTAATCAGATTCCCCGAAGTCGTCTTGTTCAAAGCCGCCCACGCCGCATCAGATGGCCAGCAAGAATCACCAGGAAACTAGGTGTAGCAGGCCAAATTAGACATTGAAGCTTCTCAACCGAATGTATCGATTCACACAGGAAGATGAGTGAACAGGAGATGCACTTACACATTTGCAATCTGCCTCAGCATTCTGGACTAAGCCCGCCAGAACGACTGCTCCAAGTGACGTGAAGAGATTCTTACAAGCGACCATCGTAAACCGTGAATGAAATATGAACGAATGAATGGATTGATTTGTGTAATGACAGAGAGAGCAGATGGAAAAAGAGACACATCATTCATTTATATAGATATTCTAAGATCCCCTAGTTTATACGCAAGTTATTATTACTATTCCTATCACATATAAGATCTCTCACAGATAAAGTTAGATGCTCCACAAACTCTGCCATATGCCGGGAATTGTTATGAGGTGAAATGAATCATACTTCTCATTACCTGGGTTAAAGGCTAGACATTCGCTGATCCAGATTCTAGAGGCACTGGTAATGCAAGGGCTCCTAGTAATACAGGGAATAGAGTGAGAATTTTCCGTATATTTCGCTCGCCGAACAGCGATGGGAGCGAGATTCTAAGACAGATCAGGTATTTGCAGGGTTTTTACCGAATCGAACTAGCGTTCTTGCCTCATGTTACTGTAACGTTCTGCATCCACCGTGCCCCAGATTTGATGATACTCTGACCGTCACTTGCCGAGCACTTCTACCCCTTTCTTAATAGTACACACGTATAGTATTTCACTGACTTCGGCTTCTTCTAGTCATATGTAAATACATGTAAGCGTGTTATCAAAAGAAGTATTTGCCCCATGGGCAAGGCTTGCTGTTAGCCGATAACTTACATCCAGCATTCCATAGTACCCATTAAATTTGTGTATGCATTTTTCAATGCCTACACCCCAGTACCGAATTATGGAGTTGTTGGCAGTTCAATGCCACTTTTAAGACCGAACTTTTATCTAGCTTATGGTCAGAGACTTCAGATGGGGGAAACGAACACATTAGGCGGTCTAATATATAGTTCTAGTCGGTAGTTTAGCCCTTAACATCCATATATATGTAACTCATAGAAGCGTCCTCAACGACAATTAGATCTTCATTAACCTAGAGATCGTCTGAAATTTCCTTAATTAAAAGGATACCCCTCTCCTCAAAGTCTTCGGAAATCTTCTCTCCCGAATCTTTCACGCCGTCTTCAATCGCTTTGAGATTCCCTTCGTCTTCTTCCACAACAGGAAGACCAAGTGCTGCCATCTGGGTGCGTCGCAATTGCATGTAAGATACATGTAGTCAAGAAATGCGTAGCGCCTCCAAAATACTTGTATATAATAACTGGCTGGAACAGACAGCCATCATCCGCTTCATTGGGTTTCAAAGTTGCATCAATCTAGTTAATCAAGCATCACGAGACGGATAATAAAGCATATGTCGTGTATTCATTGAGTGCTATATTCATGCAGTTGCATTTCGGTGACAATTCGATGGCAGTTTCATGACAATGAATTTGGGCACACAATAGACAGTACTGAGAACCTTACTGAAGAATACATCTCCTGTGGCCGTAGACAGCTAGCTGGGAATAGCCCTATCATTCAGTTCTATGGAGACGGAGTCTCCGATGGAAATGTTGGGGATGGTTTGCCAGGTATCTATTTTACAGGCAACAACTTCTCAAGGATATCAATACGCTCGAAGAAGGACGACGTAACCTTGATCGGCGCATTAAATCGAACCGAAGTCATCAACGTATTTTTGATCTGAAAGCCGCCGATTAGTTCATATTAGCTCTTTCCACGGCCAACTCGTTGCTTATGTAGCATCTAATCAGCCTCTGAGGCTCACGTTTGCAGAACGCCTGTCATTGACGCCTGGCTACAACCAACCGGCACTCAGCACTGTCCACGCCGTCTTATGAAACATTTGTGAAGTTTATAGTGATATTTCCGATTTGCAGCAGATATTCAGGGCGAAGAAAGTTGATATAGCTGACCTAGCATCTCAAGCTACGGAGCGTGCTAAATTATGGTCCTCGGTGCTTGGGGGGGTTCCAACGCCCAGACGCAGACCAAATCTTCCCTGCATACGATAAGCCGACGCATTGTCTTCACCTAGCAAGAGATCAATGAAAACAATGGACTCTCCGCCGATGTGGATACCAAAGCTTTCCTAGAGATTCGTTGGCAAGGTTTGGATATACGGTGCTACATATCCCCATAATGGTATTTTCTAAAGATTATGCGTTACAGGATACGAATTTTATTCTTTTATTAACACTGAATCCTAATAAAAAAGATACCGACATCAGAATGAGCATGGAGATTGCTCGGCTTTCCGTCAAACCTAGTTTCATCGCATTCTTTATACTTAGGGTAGCTCAGTAGATGAGCAACATCCTTCTTATAGTCAATATGACAGGGTGAAAAATTACATATTTTGCCATGGTGAGCCCATTGCCGTTGGCCAGGATTTGCACCAATCTTTAGCGCAGCCGCGTGAAGCGCAAGAGCAATCACCAGTTTGGACAGATGCTGTCTGTATTGATCAGAGGAATGATAAAGACAGAAACAACCAAATCCTGCTTATGAGTTCAATGTATCCCTACAGGTATGATATGAATAGCCAAATCAATACATGGGATTTTATAAATTAAAAATGTGGTTAGAAAGCCCTAAAAAGGGAAGTCCTTTACTCGTCTAATCTATGCGTGAAAGCCTTGGCCGACTGGGGCTGTCATGTATAAGCCACACAATAAAATCCAAATGGGACCTCTGCCTAGAAAGGGGGGGAATAGATGGAGTCATTTTTGAGAGTGTTTGAAAGAGCGAGGCTGTGTAATCTGGGCTGTTTAAATCTAGTGGATATTTCTTGTTTATGCGCGGGTGTTGCCTAAAAGGAAGAAGAATATGAGAACAATGAATGCTGTGAAATGACGAAATCGTGTGAAGGAGTTACGTGGGACGTGCAAGTCATGCGGGACGCATTTGGGGCTTGATAATTGGCTTGATGGCCATGAATCCGCCAGTAGTGCCCGGGTAGCTCAATTGGCTAGAGCGTGCGGCTTTTAACCGCAAGGTTGGGGGTTCGACCCCCCCCTCGGGCGAAGACCCTACTATCTTTTTTGCTCTTTATGCATTTTTTGTTGGTTGGGCGTGGGATGGGGATGGGAATAAGCGGTGCTTCAATTAGAATTACCGGATTTTTATTTTCCTTCTTTTTTTGATCGTCTTTGGTGACAGGGGCTGAACATTGGGGATTAATGCCGAGGATGTAAGATGGGCAGAATCGGTGATATTGGACTAGCCAAGCTGCCCAAGGACACTAAAAGGCTAGGCAATGAGATGAACTAGGTGATAAGTGGACGAGAATTCACCAGGAGTTGAAATGGGAAGGAGATGCGTTGGCAAGCTTGGTGAGGTGACAGGTGTCTAAGATAGTACACCTAGGTCAGGCACCTGTGAGGGAACACCTAGTGAATCGATTGCCCACGTACCTAGTCATGGATCATGAGACGGGGCGGTCTTGTGAAGCCATCACGACTGGGAGGGACAACACATCAGGCTTTTGGAGCCCCTTATTTAGCCTCGCAGGACGCTGATACTATGACAGCGTGAGTCCGTGTAAGAAGAGACGGTGAGTAAGCGGTGAAGGTGAAAGGGGAAATGGATATACTACTAAGTCGTGGCTGTGAACAGCCAAGTCCTACGCGAGTGGCTGTTCCGAGCTGTTGGTATCACCCGGTGAGTATCACCATGATGGGCTGCCGTCCATCCAAACACATCAATGTCAAGACTAAGTGTATACGGGTTAGTAGGATTGACAGCATGGGGTAAGTATCTATGTGTGTTTGCATGTTGGCAGGTTGTTGGCATGTTGTTGGCATGCAAGGTACCCCCATCATCGAAGTTTCTATTCGGGCGTCTAGATTGGCGCAGCGAAGGAAGAATTTGCCCGAATTGGCAATCGCCGGAACATTCATCCACGGCGGGAGAAGGAAATAAGACTGGGGAAAACAGAAAGCCCAGTCGGGAGCCTGCAGCCGGATCTCATGGTGTTGGATGTTGGCAGATTGCGATTTGGGGCAGTTGGAGCGATAGAGGATTTCAGGCTGCTTGCAAGGCTGATACAAGCGGAGTGGTTGCATGTACAGCATGAAGTAACTGGTACCGCCGGGCTCAGGCTCAGGCTGCAAGGGACCAGGACGGGACGGGGTGGCTGTTAGCGCCCTGGAGGCCTAAAAGGCTGATGGACCTGAGCGCTGCAGAAGATGGCTGGGGTGTTTTAGCGGCGGGTCGCCATATGGCCGCTATGGGCACCGTGGCCGCGGATGTGCACGCGCGCAGGTACAATGGCGCCTAGCAGGTACCAGGTACGAGGACGGAAGACGTCACCAGACACGATTTGGGCGATTGCAGTACCTGGTGCCTCTTGCCTGTGCTGGTGCTGGTGGGCGACTAAGAGTTCGTTCTGCGACTTGGTCCATGCAACATCAACAAAACATCCATGATTCTTCGACTCCTCCTTCTTCTCCGCCAGATCCCCGACAAACCCTTGCACGCACCGCCTCGGCTTCCCGGTAACTCGGTCTAGTAACGCTTGAGATTGTCTATCTACTACTAGGTAGGTAGTTAGACGAGTTTCCACTTGGATTTCCATTTCGTTTCGACTGACGACAGCCAAGCAGCTGAGCGGTCTTGGCCCGGGGCCAATCAGACAAGCGAGACAAAGAAACATTGGAAGCTTTCATTTCCAAGGTTCTTTCAGCTGCGCACAGACAGACGGTCAGACAGACAGACAGACAGACGAGTGGCTTGCGCCGAGTCGAATCGAGTTGATCCAGCGCATTCATTTCATTCACCGATAATTCAGACCTGGTATGTCAACGGCAGTTTGCCCTTTTCTTTCATGTGCTTTGCTTTGCTGTGCTGAGCGCCTAAGCCCGTTGAAGGTCAGGTCAGCGGGGCCCCAGCGCTGTGGCTTTGCCTTTGTCCGCTGGCCGAAAGACTGAATCCGTGCCTCTTTAGTGCTGGGCCCGTGACATATGCAAGCGCCGGCTGTGACCAACGCGCATTTGGACGGCTCTTAGCCTGGAGGGCTGGCTGCTTTTGCTTTTCGCTTCTTACCTCAGCCTCGTGTTCTCGAGGCTTTTGTTCTCTTTAGGCTGCCAGAGGGTTGCTGGCGGTTAGGCGATTGGGGTTTCGCTTTTATTATTGGGTTCTTGGGTTTTTGGGTTTGATTATAGGCGTCTCTTGCCCGAGCTGACTCAACCGTCTTCAGCGTCAGACAGATCAAAGGCAACAGAGATATATAGCCCCAGCGCTTCCATCTCGTGAACAAAGGACGCTGGAGCCAAACAGAACAAAGCAGCGTGGCAGTGAAGCTCATCACGGACAAAGGATTCAGGCGACATCCATCACAAAGGGGGTCTCTGCCTGCTCGCTACCCCGTTCACCTGTCCCACCACACACGATCCGGCAATTTCACTATATGGTTCCCCTCATGCCAGAGTTCAGCCCTGCTTCCAGCCTGACCACCCGCTATCCCTCCTCACCTTTATATTGCTCTTGCTTCGGCGATTCTTCAAGTTGTCCGACATCGCTGGCTTCGTCCATGGGCTCCAAGTTTTCCAGCTTTCGTCTTAGGGTTCGGGGTCGCAAACGATTAACCATGTTCTCACCAAAGAGCAAACCTCCAAAGCACTTCGCTGATGGGCACCCTCGGCAACGGGGCGCTTCCGAGAAAGGCGATGCTTCCGAGAGGGACGGCGACTTCGACAAGGCCGCTGCGCTTGAGCTGATCAAGGCGCATGACTCCGAAGTTGACAGGCGCCGGAGCGGAGTTGAGACGAGCCGTCTCGGGGCCGAAAATGGCTCTCTCGGCTTGCCCCTGGACCTCGACACTACCGGCGCCGAAAAGAGAGTACCGGTACCGAGTAAAGAAGAATACGAAGAATTGCGGAAACACGTCTTCGCCGTAGAGCAGGAACTGTCGTTTGATGCCCGATGCCGCTCTCGCGCTACTGACCAAGAAATGGATGTTGATGCCATTATTCGAAAGATACGAGAGCAAGACGACAGAAAATATGCCTCCGAACCTAAGCGAAGAGGGTATCAAGGCCAGATGCATGAGCGCTTCGCAGGCGATCACTTCCTCAGCAACGTCGACATCATCAACAAGACAGAACTGTTCAGGATCGCCTCCAAGATGCCGAAGGGCGCCCACCTGCACATCCACTTCAATGCCTGCTTGCCACCCAACGTGCTGCTTGGCATTGCAAATGGCATGGATCGCATGTTCGTTTCAAGTACTCTTCCCCTTATCCACAAGGCTGGGGACGAGGATGAGTATGAAAATTTTGACAGGTGCGAGATACAGTTTTCCATCATGAATCAGAAAAGATTGGATAAAAAGCTCGGCAATCTATTTTCCGCCGACTATATCCGCGGCCATATGATGAAGTTTTCAGACTTTAGAAATCAGTTCTCAAGCCATTATAACAAGGCCCCGGTGGATGAGTGGTTGCTGCATAAGCTCATGTTCGAGGAGCAAGAGACCCACCATCCCCTTCAGACAGCTTCTGGGTGAGTTTTATGCTTCCCCCTTTATTCTTGGTTTATCATGTCACTTTCATGTGATTCGACAACTTCTTCCCTCCCTCGTCTTTCCTCTCTTTCTTTGGACTAACAGCTTTTCGCCTCTATGTACAGTGCTTGGGAAAAGTTCAACGGCAGAACACGCATGATGAAGGGTCTTTTCAACTATCAGACAGCATATCGCGAATATACAAAATTGTGTCTCGCAGATTTTGTTCGAGATAATATCCAATACGCCGAGATACGGCCTAATTTCATGCAGACAAATCAACTCTATACCGACGACGGCGAGGGTATGATCAATAACGAGGGCATCATGAAAATCATCATCAGTGCAGTAGAAGAGTTTCAAAAAGAGGTAGCTGAAAAGGGCCAGTTCTTTGGAGGGCTCAAAGTTATATACTGCACGCCGCGCTCAATGGACCGGAAAAACGTACAAGATGCTCTTAAAGAGTGCATAGAGTTTAAGAAGAGGTGGCCGCAGTGGATTGCAGGTAAGCATTTGAGAGTCCTACCCTCACTCCTGAAAGCAACGCTCATGTTTCTTTTTTTCCTCCAGGCTTTGACCTTGTCGGCGAAGAGGCGAAGGGCCATCCGATCAGGGAATTTGTTCCTGAACTGCTCGAGTTCAAAAGGGAGTGCGCTGCGCAGAACCTCGATATTCCCTTCCTTTTCCACTGCGGTGAGACGTTGGACATGGGCACCGACACGGACGGCAATCTGGTCGACGCTTTATTGCTGGGATCGAAGCGCATTGGCCATGGCTTCGCCCTGGCAAAACACCCCTACGTTATGCAGCAAATGAAGGCCAAAGGAATATGCCTGGAACTATGCCCAATCTCCAACGAGATCTTGGGGCTTACACCGCGAGTGGGTGGGCATGCCATGTATCAGTTGCTGGCGAATAACGTGCACTGCACCGTCAGCTCTGATAACGGGGCGCTTTTCAGGTACGTTGTCACAACGCCACGACTCTCCTTTCTTCATATATGTGTGTGTTTTGTGAGACGTAAAGCTAACGGAAACAACAGGTCCTCGCTATCACACGACTTCTACCAAGTCATGGTTGGCAAGGCAGACATGGGGTTGTTCGGATGGAAGCAGCTTGCCATGTGGAGCATCGACCATGCGTCTTTAAACGAAGAAGAGAGAGATAATATGAAGTACGAGTGGAACCAACAGTGGAATGAGTTCCTCAAGTGGGTAAAGACAACATATGGCGACCTCATTAAGGACGTGGCCAAGATTTGACTACATGATTGTCCTTTGCAGAAGGGCGGGGGAATTGCGGCGTTTTGGTTGATTTGGTCGGTTTCTAGAGCGGATTTGTCTTGCCGTTTGAAGACTAAAGGAGGCTATGCCGGGAGTCGCATGCCAGGCAGAGGCGTTTGCTGGGCATCCAGCTGGTTAGACGGTTTACGAAGAGATGAAGGTCGGGCTCGTTGCTTTTTATGTAGACACGATACTCTATGCTTGTTGATATCAGATTTGCTTGCTTTTTTTGCACATACATTTGTATACTATCGGATAGATGATATGGTATGATTGATGATTTGATGATTGCTGAGATATGCTTGTACTTGTATGTATGTCAGCGTACATTAGTAGGCAACAACAACTAGGTTCGGTACTTTACGCCCACTTGGTAAAGATGTATGTGGTATATGTCTATGTTCGGAATGGGGAGAATGGCGGTAAGTTGAGGAGCACTGCTTGATCAGGATGCTATTAGATGGAAGTGAGTGTTGAGTAATATCTCGGAGCGGTGTCTGCCTGCATACATATTTTGGTGTCTATATAAGTAATACTCCGTAGAAGGCAAGGCATGGAGGTAGCCAACTATTCAATTAAGGATTATTAACATGGCCGACGGAAACAAACTGACCAACTAAGCGCTATGCCGAAAAGGTTTAGAAAGCAAAAGTAATTGTCAGCACCTTGCAGAATCGATATGGAGGCCCTCTGAAGGTTCAATATGATAGAGTCCTAGTGGTAGTTGGTTGACAGCTGGATTAATTGCCATCCACACAGATTGTGGCAAATTCGTCAAGGGAGAGGCTTGGCAGTTGAGCTTTCATTGATAGATCGAAGAAACTAAGACATAGAGGGAGCCCACCTCTAAATATAGTTGAGTGCGGGACGGATAGTCTAGCGACTTGTCAGTTAGAAGCACTTGTCAGTGGAAGAAAAATAAAGTTACCTGCCAAAGTTGGTGAGAGTAGATTCAACTCCATCTGAAACCTCAACTTTACACTCCATATCCATATCCATATACTATCTATTCTCGTCCATCTTACTACATACAAGACATATTAATTCGATTTTATTCCCCAAAACGCCGATCAAATAATGACGCGTCTTGCCTCAGCCCGCCCGTCCAGCCAGACTATTGCACTAGCATAGCCCTCCTGCACGCTCTAGAGCTGTGCGGCTCGTACGTGCAGCATTAGGTAAAACAGCCAGCTGAAGAATGGCCTATCACATGGCCCTGTCGAACGTTAACTTGTCTAGATCCATGCTTCTTTGCTTTCTTCTTCAACATGGAAACACAGACGGAGGAAAAAAAAAACTTGTCCTTGTTCATCTCACTTTCATCTCGTGCCATCGCCGTATTTTTCGTCTAGCATCGTCGGTTTCTTCATCTGATTTGCGTCTCATATAATTGTCTTTTAGTCCTAGCATCGTCAATTTCTGTCGCATCCAATCTCATCTCACCAACTAGCTGCATCTTTCTCTCCATCTCTATCTTTATCTTCCTCCCATCTCCAACAGAACCATCACCGCCAAATGTCCAATCCAGGCGACCCCGGCTGGAAATGGTTCCCCAACGACAAGCCCTCATGGCGCCTCGACGTCGTCACGCTTCTCGCCGTCATCGGAGAGTCGGCCATTGCCGAGCACTCCCAGACAATCACCGCCTCGCTGCTCTGCATGCTGCCCCGTCTGCTGCCCGCGCCCCAGGCCCTGCTGAAGCCATCGCGGCCAACTCGACTCCCCGAGACTCACGCCAAGATGGCCGGCGTCTACAGCGGCACCATCCTGGATTCGGTGGGGTTCTTCGCTAATATCATCACGCCGCTGGATGCTCTGCCGCCGTACAGCTTCATGGTGCTGGACATTCAGCACGCGCCGTCTGTGCTGCCGCCGATTACCAATGCGAACCAGCATCACCACCAGCATCAGGACGAAGATGGTCTGCGAGGCTTCATTACTAGATACGTGCCTTGGGCTCATAAACGGAGCGTGCCAGACGCTTCTTTGGGAGGGCTTTCTAGAAGCAAAGAGACGGAAAAGGCGTTGGATCGTCGGGTCACGCCGCCAAAGATCGCTGGACCACCACACGAAGTCGACATTGAGTCCCAGTCAAGAACTCCAACTGTGAGATTCAACTCCGAGGTTGAAATCAACGGGCACCCTGCACCGCTTCGCCGACGCACCACCGAGAAATTCCAGGATCTGCTTTCGACTGGAACCATGGCCGTGACGGGTGGTCGGCCCATTGTCCCTCCGAAACTTCTCTCGCCTCTGCATATCCTCTCCGCTTTTTCCTTCTTTCTCAGCATCGCCATTCTCGTTGCCGCCGTCATATGGCAGGACGGCACCGCAATCATCGCCATCACGCTCATCTCCTCGGCTTCAACCGTCGTTGGCTACGCTTCCTCCTGGCGGCCAATCCTCATGCAACGCAGGCACACTAACGATGTACCCCGCGGCGATGTCATGATACGCACCCGAGAGGGAGCTTTTGTATTAGTTCGCTGTCCAGAAGACGTTGCTCGCGAGCTTTACTCTGGAACAGAAGAGTGTGAGTACTATGTCGGCGAGAGAGCCTACAGGTTCTTCATGGCGCTCGGCACAATTCTTCTCATGTTTAGTGTCGTGCTCCTCGGAAACTGCACTTGGAACTCGCAAATCTTTATAGGAGGATCGTACATTGTCCTCAACGGGCTGTACTGGGGTCTGGGCATGATTCCTCGGACATATTTCTGGGATCTATCGCGCTATACCTGGGACGACGTCACCGAGGAAGACGGCCAGAATGCTGATTCCGTTACTGACCGGGATGACGAACGCGAGGGCCACCCGAGCTTTACACGGACCTTGTGGTATGCTATACGCGAGACAAAGGCAATTGGCTGGGTCGAGCGCAGTGGTGCAGCACCGGGCACGCCGCAGTGGCAGCAGTGGCTCGGTGAGGCACTGCATAATGCAAAGATTGGCAATCGAGGCTGGGAGGCCGTCAGAAGGAAAAATGAGATTATGACGCAGGCGAGCAAAGAGGGAGGCGATCCTGCGACACAGAGAGCGCCTGCAACTGAAGTTCAGGTTGCTGGAACGGGCACGGGAACGACGAGGGCGACGTTTTAAAGTGAAGTATCTCGTTGTCTTTGTGTTTGACGGGATCTGCTATATTTTGAAGGAAATGATCATATATGGTTGGATTTATTGCGTTTTAATTGTCTTGGCGGGCTTTGAGATTTTGGCATTGCATTGAGTCTACACGAAAGAGGACGGATTTACGAGACGATGTACTGGATAAACTAATGGCGTTACGATTGTTATATACCACTTAGCAGGCATTGGGTATTGGAATTGGATACAACGGATACAGTCTATATAGACACGTGACGAAACAAGCGAGTAAGATCAAGAGACCTAATATGTCATCATCATATCACGAGATTATATATATGGAATACCTCTACTATTCAAGAGACTCGGAAAATATGATGAGCTCTCAGTAAAAGAAAATGAAGCTTGTTCTAACAATATTTATATAAAAAAGAATCTAGAAAATGGAATAACTAAAAATATAAAAAAGTCGACTTTTTGAAAAACAGACAAAGGCGCCGCCCTTAAACACCGGCTGTTGAATGCACCCCTAGAGACTCAAATCTCTACTTTTTTCCCCCAACCTAGATCGTATAGGTCCTATTTACTCATCCCTTCACTTTTCTCTCATTCTCTTTTTAATTAGTCGTCAAAGTAGATGCTCTTCTTCTCGTCAATGTCAATAACACCGGCGCGGAAGTTGCCCCTCTTCTTTTTGTTCTTCTCCTTGGTGAAGCCCTTGCCCTTTGTGACGATGAGGTCCTCGTGGGCGCGCTGGGAGTAGCTCAGGGGGACGTACTCGTTGGAGGCGAACTTGGGATCGACTTTAATGTCCTTGGGAATACGCGAAAAGGGCTCGACCTTGACCTTCTTGTCGCGCGGGTTGGGGGGCAAGGGGGGGTTGGGCAGGGAGTCGATTGTGACGGAGGAGTCGGAGGGGGAGGACTCGTCGGTGGATTGTTCCTTCTTGACGACGCCGTTGACGGGCTTCGTCTTCTTCGTCGTCTTCTTCTTCTTGTCGTCGTCGGAATCCGAGTCGGAGTCTGAGGATGAGGATGAAGAGGAGTCGGAGTCGGATTCAGGGAGGGGCACTTTGGCGGCCTCTGCGGCGTCGACTTCAGACTCGCTGTCGGAGCTTTCGTCGGAGCTGGAGCTCTCATCTGAGGAGCTGGATTCGGAGCTCGAGTCGGAAGAGTCTGAGTCGGACTCGGACTCAGAGCTGGCAGGAGAGGCAACCTTTTGCTTCTTAGCGCTGGGGGCAGCGACCTTTTGCTTCTTGGGGCTGGGCTTCTCGTCCTCCGAGCTGGAGTCGGAGCTGGAATCAGACGAGGAGGAGTCCGAGCTGGAGCTGGAGCTGGAGCTGGAGCTGGGGGGTGCCTTGCGCTTCAAGTTCTTGTTGCCCTTGGGAGGAGACTTTGCGCGGAAAGAAGGCTTTTCGTCCTCGCTCTCGCTGTCGCTGCTTTCGCTAGAGCTAGAACTGTCTGAGCTGGAGCTGGAACTGCTCGAGTCCTCCATGTCGACATCTCGGTCGGCGGGGGCCTTCGCAGCGTTTTCCCAGGACTGGAAGACACCCACAAGAGTGTCTCCGCTGCTAGCCTCAGAAGCCTCGCCCCAACCCTTCTTGGACCGCTGCTTCTTGAAGGCGCTAAGGGCGCTGGTGAAGGCATTGTCGGAGAGGAACTGCTCTACGAGATCGAGCAGCTGGGCTGGAGGCTGAGATTGAGACTCGACGCCATTGCTGGCGGAAGGTTTTGACTTGACCATTTCGTCGTTTGTGCTGGTGGTTGCTGAAGACGTGCTCGTGAGGACCTTGTCGGTAGGGTTGTTGTTGGTGTTGTTGGAGAAGAGCCAGGCAGGTGGTTTTGCAGATGCGCTGGACATGTGAGAAAGAGCCGGATAGTTTCGTCACACAATCGTAAAATCCCGATTGGGTATGAATATGGCGATAATTAGAACGTCAGGGTCAAAAAAAGAAAAAAGAGCAATGTCTAATCGCCCGTTCTATCGCAGTCGACTTTTTGTTCTATGCAGAACTTTGAAGCCGCCGAAAAAAAAAATTATTTAGCCGCAAGTTTCTGCCACGCGCCCAGGAACAGGAAGCCAAAAAGGGCACGGCGGTGTGGAGGAGCTTATCGCTTATCAGGGATCAAGCGGGATTAACGATGCGCCGCGCTCCGTTAGTCAGCACAATGTTGACGTTCGCAATGGCCTCAGTGATGTCAAAGCGCAGATTGTGGTGGATTTTGATATTGATAACAAAACAACAACGGGCATCTCGAGCCCTTCAAACACCCCCGCGCATTTCCGCACGTGAAAGCGCGCTTCACTTTTTGCTGACGAGTTTGGGGGGTTTCTATTGCTTTTCTTTTTTTTCTTCTTTCAATAGTTCGAATCTCGTCTCCTTGGATCCGCCTTATTTCTTTTGTTTTCTCTAGCGCGTCCAGGAGCTCGGTTCTCTCTCATACCCATCCGTTGCTATCAGGGGACAGACCCTGGGCAGAACTTCAACCGCAGACGGAATATCGACTCAGCCTCTCGTTTTTCTTACCTGGGACATCTCCTTTACTGTTTCTTGGCGTTTTGTTCGGGATCGCTGGGTGCACCGAGCCGGGCGCAGCGCAAACGCACACAGAGTCACTCACCACTCACTCGCTCTCACCAAGCTCATCAGCCATGAGCACAAACTCTACCAAACGCAAGTTCAACGCCTTGCTCCAAGGCCTGAGCAGTCCGCGACCCAGCACAGACGGCGACTCTCCAGCAACCATGTTTGGAAACCGGGTGCCCAGCGGCAGCCACAAGCCCTTGGACTATGATGCGCTGCTTCAGAAGCGCCGTCGCCTGGGGTTCCCCGAATCAACCGCGCCGCGCCTGGACAACACCGTTTCATCGGGGCTCACAAGTCTGGCTAGCTCCATAAGGCGGACGGTATCTGACGCCACGACTCCGAAAGTTCGGAGGGACGGGCCCGCGAGGTACTCTCCTGGTGATAGGGAGGAGCTGCTGAAGAGGCTGGCGACATTTCAGGAAATCACCGACTGGACCCCAAAGCCTGATAAGATCAACGAGGTGGAGTGGGCCAAGAGGGGGTGGATATGTCAGGGCAAGGAGAGGGTGCGATGTTTGCTGTGTCACAAGGAGTTGGTGGTGAAGCTGAAGAAGGAGGTCGGAGAAAGCGGGGGAGATGCGCTGACGGCTGCTGAAGTTGGTGAGTTTCTGATCTGGTTAATGTTGAATTCTACTGAGAGCGGGGTTGACTTATGATAAACAGAAGCTGCTTTGGTCGATAAATACGCAGAGTTGATTGTCAGTGCGCATCAGTCAGATTGCCTATGGAAGAGACGAGGATGTGATGGTAAGTTTATTGTGTTCATTTACTAGTCTTCTTTACTAATCACTTTGTCAAGATTCTTTACTTCGGCTGTCATTCATGAGCGCAAAAGGCGCCATCGAAGCTCTGAAGAAGCGATATGAGGAGCTCTGTGTCCGGCAGACATTTCTGCCATACGAGTTCAACCTTCACCTTCCAGAAGACATGAATTTGGGCAATATCATTGAACAGCTCCCACCTGATTTTTTTACTGGCGACAAGGCTTCTACAGATGCACCTAATAGACCTGCGCTTGCTCTGGCTCTCATGGGCTGGCAAGGCCTAACCAACACCCGCATCGGCGCTGTTCCCAACACTGCGTCATGCCACACCTGTCAGCGACGATTAGGTCTATGGATGTTTAAAAGTAAAGAGGTGGACGAAAGTGGAATGGTTATTGTGCCGGCACCGATGGACTATCTTGATCCCGAGCGAGAACATCGCTTTTTCTGCCCCTGGAAGAATCCTGCCGCTCAAAGCAGGGGGCACAGCACGCAAAGCAACGATACGGCCGATATGCCGGCGTGGAAAATATTGCTGCAGTCAATCAAGAACGAATCGGATCTACGAAAAGTATACGAAGGCCAAGTTAAGCCAAAGTCGAAAGCAGCCACGGCCACGGCCACAGATCCATCTACACCCGCTAAGACGACATCACGACCGGGTGCGCACCACACACCAAATATCTCTATTGATTCGACCGCCATCGACGACGAGGATGACGAAGCCACGCGGGACGCAAAGGACAAGGAACGATGGGCGAGGCTGCGCAAGGTCAAGAGCTTGTTTGATACAAAGAAGCTTAAGAGATCCCGCTCAGGCGCCGCGTCAATCAAATCCAACAAGTCATCCAGGTCGATTAAAGGAGATTGATGGCCGACTTGTGTGATGGCTGGGATGTTTTTCTTCTTTCATTTATCTTTAATTACGTTACCCATATCTGGTTTTATTTCATTATTTATCTTGGCTACATCAATCACCAGGCATGGGGTCCAATATCGTTATCTGGGGGAGGCTCATTTTCTTTATCTCCTTTACATCTATCCCCTATTCTCTCCAGCATACCCTGTCTTTTCCACTCAAAAATTTCCTTGCATCATATTCCTTGATGTGCGTACAAATTTCTAATGCACCCGATACCTCCCATGCCATCCATAGTCATACATAGTCACCCCGTCTTCCATTTAATATCATCAAATGAAACCACAGGTCCTCCGTACGTGACCGTCTCGTCCTTCTTCTTGACTTCTTTCTCTTTGAGGTCAAAGTCGAAGCCTGCCATTTCTAGGATACTCGTCCGGACACCCCCCACGCCCCCTCCGCTCCCTAGCTTGGGCACATTGTCCATTCCTGCCGCAGTGATGTGTATATCTGGGTTCCAGCCCGATCCTTCTTCCCATCCGTTGCCCACAGATTGTGACATTTTCCGCAACTCTTCTCGCACTAATGTGGCCATGTCGCCGCATCGCTGAGTCCATGATCCGCCCCCCTTGTCAGCCTTGGTCAATACCACCAGCGTCCTGGTGTTTGCCTCGGCCAGTGTCCTCAACAGCCACTTGTCCTGCTCCATGAGTTTCTTTTCAGAAGAAAGCAACACTACGGCACCGCGCAGCATCTTCCGTGCCTTGATGTACTTCCATACTGCATCCCCCCAACTAGCCTGACTCTTGAAACCATACCCCGGCGTGTCCACGAGAACAAGACTATACCGCGGCAGCTTTTCGCCCTGACGGACGAGACCCTTGGGGATGTTTGGGAGGGGGCCCAGGCCAAAGGCGTTCATGAGCGTGGTTTTGCCTGGGCGAGCGCTGACTCTCGCTGCGCCGGGACGGCCGACGAGGGCGTTGAGGAAGGAGGACTTGCCAACGTTTGAGGCGCCGAGGATGATGACTTCTGGTATGTGTTCGTTTTTGGGGTGGTGACGGAGGGATTCGGCGGAGTAGAGGAACTGGAAGCCTTGTTGGAAGAAGGATGCGGCGGAGGCGATTTGGGCGTCTTGGGGTTTTGTGGTGGATGTTGTGATGAGCGGGGAGGAAGAGGATTGGCGGATGAGGGTGTTTGTGAAGAGGGTTTCTTTGTGGGGTTTTGTGTTGGGGGGAGCGGAGCGTTTGGGTGTTGATGGTGATGGTGAGGGTTCTTGGGGGTTTGGGATTGTGGGTGTTACTTTTGTTGGTTGGATGGGTTTATGAGGTGTTGTTGTTTTAGTGGTTGATGATGTAGGGTTTGATAATTCAGGAGGTTTTGAAGATGTTAATGGTGATTGTGATGGTGTTGATGTTGAGTCAAATTCGTTGCTGTGAGTATCATTGCTGGTGGCGAGGATGCGAGATGGTCTTGCGCTAGGTCGCAGGCGAGGCCATCGTGGGGCGGATGTGGTGAAATATGTATGAGAGTGGGCATTTAATGTGAGACGAGTAGATTTTGAGATGCTTTGTAAAGATGCTGGCTTTAATGGAGGCATTGTAAAGGAATGTTTGGTGTGAGTTTGTTCAGTGACGTTGAGTTTGAGAGACGAGGTTGAAGCAAGTTATTTCACTGTGCGTGTGAAAATACAGGGTGACCCCACTATGAATTCTCTAAGTCGGAATAAAGAGTTAAAGATCAACAGGATAATTGCTTAACAAATGAAAAGAAATTTATAGCAAAGAAAATACAATAGTTTTATCTGTCTTCAAGAGTTTTCAGATTTCTATTTGCAATAATATAGAGAGAGCATTAGCGACTATAGCATAACTCTGCTAGGTACCAATTAGCCCAACACAGTGTCGAATAAATTAGCACAAGATACTAACCCAGCTAGTAAAGGAAAAATCCGCCTAGGGTAGGCAAAATGAATGCATCAGATCATGTTCATTCATTCAACATACCTATACTCGAGTGAGAGTAAAACTCATTCCAAATCTCGCTCACCCACCCACTCACTCCCACTTCTCATCTATCATCTTTATACACAACTCAATTACACCAACAACCTTCACAAATATAAAATCATGGCCCCCGGCGCCCTCGACCTCGACGCCCACGAGCAGCCCTCGGACCAAATGAAGGCCGAGTGGAAGCACTTCTCGCGCCTCGACCAAAACGTCCTCCTCAAAGCGACGCCGCTCGACGACCCTCGGCTTCCTATCGAACACAGCGGGTTCTGTGTGTCGGGACATGTCCCGCGGGCGCAGATATCAGAGGCCTTTTCTCACTTGGGGCCTGAATTTGCGAAAGAGGGCGCCGATGATGGCGATGCTCCTATTTTATATCATCCTTTGCTTCCAGGTTTGTCTCCATCTCTACTACACTACACAGCACAACAGAACTTTATCATAACCACATTACAATTACAATGCTTCCAAACCCATCTACTGATTCAGTGTAATAAACTAACTAACTCATCCACAGGCCTCCTCATCCTCCCCTCCCTCATCCCCCCCTCCATCCAAACCCACCTCCTCAACACAATGATCCACCGCGACCTCAGCAACCCAACCCACCAAACAAACCTCCACCTCCACTACTCCCTCCCCTACCCCCCCTCCTCATCCTCCTTCTTCTCCCTATCCCCAGACTCCCCTCCAACGTTCCTCCCCAAGGACCCAGCTGTCCACAACCCCCTTTCCATCAAGCAGGTTCTCCAGCGGCGTCTCCATTGGGTCACCCTCGGTGGGCAGTACGACTGGACGAATCGTGTATACCCGGAAGCCCCCCCTCCTGGCTTCCCGGATGATTTGGCTTCGTTTTTAAAGGCTTTGTTTCCGGAGACGCTCGCTCAGGCTGCTATTGTCAATTTTTACACCCCGGGGGATACGATGATGATGCATAGAGATGTCAGCGAGGAGATTGACAAAGGTCTCGTCAGTCTGAGTTTCGGATGCGACTGTCTCTTCATGATTGCCCCCAGCCGCAGCGCCAATGACGAACAAGACCAAAACGACGAACAAGACCAAGACCAAGGATCAGAACAAAACAAAGACCAAGAGTCAGAAAAAGACAAAGACGAAGAGAAGAAGAAATATCTCCTACTAAGACTTCGCTCCGGAGACGCCATCTACATGACCAAGGAGTCTCGCTACGCATGGCACGGCGTGCCAAAGGTCATGAAGGGCACATGTCCCGACTACCTAGCAAATTGGCCCGCCGGAGGAGAAGACGGAGAGTTTGATCAGTGGAAGGGCTGGATGGAAAACAAGAGAATCAACCTAAACGTGAGACAGATGAGATGAGGTGAATAGAATATCATATGTTTGGTTACATTACAAAAAATTGTGCAGTCTGGTCCATGTAAGCGGCAAGGAGCGTTTCCAAAAAAACAAGAACAAAAGAACAATTCTCAGACCGGCTGCGTATAGTATATACAAATGAGTATATAATAGATAGGTATAGATGGAAGCTCACGAGTACCCAATGCAATCAATAAACTTGCTTCCAGCACAAATTCTAAACCCTCATGATCGCTTCAATCCCAATTGCCAAACTTGAACGCTTGTATAGATAAAAGTAGCAAGAATGAAAAGCCCGCTTGAAACAAATGAAAAAGAGTCGAGGCTTGCCTCCCTTTTATGCAAAGCCGAATCCCTGGGCATTTTCCAGCGCCATATTAAGTCGCTGCCTCAACATGTCCTTATCCCTATAGTCCGGTAAAAGGAGCGTCCCGTAACATGTGTACGCCGTGGGCAAACGATTCCCACTATCTTCACCATCGCCATTTCTCTGCACCACAAACTGCAGGTTGCGCATGCCCCCGACGGGGACGCGGTCCGAAGCGGTGACGAATTCCAAAAGCTTGCGCTTCATCCTATCGTCATAGCGCTTAACAATGGACCAGAAGTCTCGAACCGTGTGGTGGGATGCATCCCACCCAACGTAACGAGTATATCGTCGAAGCTCCGAAATGTCAATCTCCTGCACGCCCTCGACAAGGGACTGCAGAATCTGGGGGCTCAACAGGGAGAGCGACTTGTACTCGAGACAGCTATTGAAGCCACGCTCAAATGCCTCGTACTGCGGTCTGACGGACACATCAGTCAGGTAGCGGATGTAGTCGCTCACATACTGGTCGCGGTTTTCGTTGGTCACGAGCGGCGCCTCTCGGTCGTCGACTGATTCTTCGGGGATATTGACGCGCATTTGCCAGTCGAGATTCTGCGGCCACTGGACCATATCCTTGGTCATTTCTCGTGTCACATTGCCCCCAATATTGGACACGGAGAACTCGTAAGTGCGCGCAAAGATGTCTTCCACCGCACCATCTTTCTCGTTCCACTCCAATAAACTCATTAATCCACTGGCTAGTGCAGGCCAACCGTCTGCAATGTGATAGAGCTCCTCTACCGGCTCGCCTAGCAATTTCCGGTATAGAGCCCTGGGGAAAGTGACGGGAAGCGTGAGGCCGTTGTATACCGCTAGGGATACGAGAACGCCCATCAGCTCAAACTTCCACTCCTCCACAACCGACCCGGGAACGAACCATGCCATGCGCGTTCGGTCATCGATGGAGAAAGCACCGTATTTGGGGTCCATACACTCGGCAATGGCTACGCGGAAGAATTCCTGCTGTACGCCACCCGAATCGAAGCCTTCCTCTCCGCTCTGCTCGCCGAGGTGGACCTTGAGAGGACGCAGAAGCTCGCGTCGTTCTCGCCTCCACAGCTGATCAAAGGCATCTCTCAAGACATTGTCACGACCGATATCCAGTACAAGGTACTTGGAAGACGCCACCCTCAACATATCCTGCAACACTATCTTGTGGTGAGGGTTGGCAACAAGGCTACCAGGATCGACAATAGCGCTCATCCTCGTCTTCAGCGAGCTACTCTCCTCAAACATCCGGCTCATCTTTGCAAAGTTGATGGATCTAAAGAAGGTGACGAGGCATTCTGGGCTGAAGAGATAGGGGTAGTCGAGCATGTGTCCCTTATTCCGCGGAGAGTCGGATTCAGCCCATGTTACTGGCATCTCCATGGTGTCTAGGCGTTCTGAGAAATAGTCGGCCCGGAATTGAATATCTCCTAGGAGGAGTCTGGATCTGTTTTGGTCTGTGCTCTTGTTAGTATGCAATATGATTGACTCTGGGGATGACAAAAATGACTTACACATGGTGGAAATCAGAGACAGCGCCCCGTGGAAGGCACCGCCGCATAGAACCTCGGGGTTTCCATCCCACTCGTGATAAAGGACCGTCCTCGCCCAGTCTAGCAAGAGAGTGGGAACGCGGGTCTCGTGCAACAGGCGCTCGGCTTGCGCAAACTCCAAAATTCGGAGTGGTCCTGAGTGCACAAGGTCGAGCTGGCCGAGCAGTGGCTGAAGTATGTCCAACTGACCGGCCTTGGTCTTACCATCCATGCGCATCAAAGTAGCCAGAGATCGACGAGCAGACACGGCAGAGAAGACACGGCGTGCCAGTCTGATGGCGTTGTCGTTTGAAAAGACATCCTCATACTCGAGACATATGGCCTGCGGCTGCCTTGCGGAGAGGCCGTTGCCGCCCAGTGTTAGCCCCGTAGATCGTATGCGCGACATGTCGTACAGAGTCTTAGAGTCTGAGACGAAAGGTGCCACAGCAACGAGAGCATGAAGACAGACAGATACGACGCAGCCGGCTTCGAAATCCGATAGCGGTTTTCGGCCTTTTGGCAGTGCCCTCGAGGGACGAGATTGGGAGGCTTGAAAAGACCTTGGTGTTGCGAATAAAGACTCGGCTGCCATCCAAAGGCTGTGAAGGACTAGGGTTGGCGCAGCACGAGTCATCCGAAGCATGCAATAGAACAATGTCTGTGAGTCGTATAGCTTGCCATCTCGGGAGAAGGACCGAACGAGAGAATGAGGATCACTCAGGACGGCGAAGAGGGCCTGTTCATTGAAGGCCTTCCACTGACTGGGGGAGGTGCGGGATATCGATCGCCGCCTGACTAACTTTCTTGATGGGTTCTGGGGGACGGGATACGAGGCGTGAGATTCCAAAGGACCGAAGAAATGGCGTTCGTAAGTATTATCCTCCTGAAAAACATCACATATGAAATCGACAAGCTCGACATTCAAAGCCGATAAAGATTGCGGTAGTAGAAACTTGGCCGAGGGGAAGTCTGCCTCCGGAAGCGGCGATATGGGCCTCGGCTTAGTCTGCGTGTCGACATGTTCACTCTTGATAGTCGGAGGAGTGCTACTCGGCGTTTCTCTTTCGTCAATAGTCTCCGTATCAGAGGACCCTGATTCGACGTCTTCCACCGTGTTGGCAGGGGCAGTGGGGGTGGGAGCAGACAGATTTTCGAAAAAGGCAGGCTTGGATGGTATCTCAGGAACACCACGAGTAATGATGGCAGGCGAGGTCTTGCCAGCGCGAGCCAACTTGTCGGGGTAGAAGCCATTCAAACTTGGAGGTCGTGAGGTTGGCTTAGCCTCTTCGCTTCCTGCTGAAATGGCGACAGGATCCATGGCCCTCCTGTTGTTGGATTTGGATGGAGAAGAACGAAGGGTCGGCTTGGAATTTCTCTTAGGTCTGGAGGATACATCCTTCGCCGGTGTTGGTGGTTCGACTATATCTTGGCTCGAGGTTCTAGCTGGCTTTGAAGTCTTGTTTCGTTTAGGTTGAGCGGCTGGTGGAGGTACGGCCTGATGCGTTTGGGAGTGGCGTGTCTGCGAACTTGTAGCCCGCTCAGTGCTGGCTGAGCCGGCAGTGGCAGCAGCAGCAGTAGTATCAGTGGTAGTACTATTAGTATTCTGTCGAAGACCGCCCAGCTCGGAGAATTTGTCCGTCATGGCTTCAATCGCCTGCGGTGTAAGCCATTCCAGCATCTTGAATGCGACAGTACCAAACGTAGCCACTGCAAACGACCTGTAGTCTTTTTGTGTTGCCTTTTCTGTAACACTGATATGAGACGCCGGGAGCTGCCCGGGCCGTGTAGCAGCATCGTCATTCTTAGATTCGTTGTGCTGATTGCCCAGTTGTTGCTTATCCAGAGACGACGAGCGGGATCTTGATGTGGTAGGTGAAGCGGGAGGCTTGGTAGCAACCCCTACGCTTGGTTTTCGCCGGGATGCCGTCTGGCTGTCGGAAGGCCTGCGGGTGTTGTGCTGGGATGGTGAAGGCCGAGTAGAAAAGATGAGGCTATTGAGAGCGGGAGGGACCTCTCTGGGTGAGCCGAGATAGGGACAGAGGCCGGCCTCTGGATTATCTTGACTGGCCAGGTACACTGCTAGTGTTCTGGCACTTGTCGGATTGTATCTGCGGATGGGTGCCTTGCCAGCGAGGCGCTTGCGGCAGGTGAAGCAGGTAGCCGTCGAGCAATTCGACGAACCACAGCCACTTCGTAGTTGGGAGATGTATCTGCGTTATAACAAAGACAAGACGTTAGCATATCTGTGACGGCGCAAACGGAACCAAACGGAACCAAACAGAAGGGTATCAGAGGGACGGTAACAAGACATACTTGTCGACGAGATGCTGGAAGTCGTGACGACGGCTGGCTCGATGGATGGCATAGACGCGACGGGGATTCTCGACATGCTGGACGTAGTCGTTGAGCTCGGCCGGCGCATCGGCTGGAAGGCGAGGGAATGGAGCCACCTGCCAGAGCCCGGCAAGCAGATCCAGCTCCCCGTTTGCTTCGGAGGGGCCCCGGAGGCGGGCTTCGGCGGCATGGCCGGGCTCGAGGCCCCTTGCTGACGAGGACGTCTTTTGCGGCGCGCTCATGCTCATGGCTGACGAGGGAGCCGCTGTGGTGAGAGCAAATCAACAGCCCATGCTTCGAGAGGAATCGCTGGCGAGGCTGAAGGCGACACGATGCGGCGTTGGACGATGATGTTGGAGCAGGAGACGATGGATATGATGCGCGTAGGGATGAAGAGGCAAAGGTTCTAGGTTGGTGGCGGCTGGTTTGACAACGGACGGAGATGAGCAAGGCTGAAAGTGACGGCAGTGGGGAGGGAGCACGGCCAGTTGCTTAGCTGCGCCCCCGGAGAGCTGCGGCACGAGTACCGGCTACCTCATGAGACAATCTCGTATCGAAGTGGTTTGCACTGTTTTGCTCGCCGAGTCTGCCGCTGGATGTTGCTATCTGAAGTATACGCTACCTCGCTGCTACCAGGTACTGCCAAGGTACTCCGTCCTAGTTGGGCCGCCACAGCCCACCCCCAGGCCTGGATCTGAGTTTCAGCGCACGACAGCAATACCGCCAGCGCTATCTGCACCCGGCAGATGGCATGCTGGGGCGCTGTTAGGGCGTCACGTCAACGGCCGCCGTGGGTTTCGAGGTAAGCGCCCCCCATGACCACAGGCGTGCAAAGTACCGCTCGAGTACCCGCTTGCAGCGCCAACCAGGAATTTTGCTTTGCCGTATCACATCGCCTGCAGAAAAATGCAGATGCAGGGCACGACCCACCCTTGGCAAGCTCGCAAGATAATACGTCAGATGCCCCCGCCACTCAAAAACTTCCACCAGAATTAATAATTCTTGCAAAACATCGCCGGCCGTCGAGTCACGCATGCTGGCTTCCCCGGGCTTTATAAGGGCTTCGACTCCCTGTTACACCGATAAGACAGACTCGATCTGTTAAGAAACCTATTGCGACTGGTCCTACCGAATTTTTTTTATCATGGCGAGCGTCCAGCCCGCCGCCGCTGGGCAGACCTCGAGTTCGCATCCTTACACGTGCAACTCTTGTCAGGTCGCCTACCGTAATATCGATCTTCAAAAGGCTCACATGAAGAGTGACTGGCAGTGAGTGCGATTCTGGTTCCGGGGGAGCCGGTGGGGGGAAACCTCTGCTGTTGCTGCTCCTGCTGTCTTGTTTCTCCGTCTCTGACATGACAATTTTAGCCGATATAACCTGAAGCGACGAGTTGCCTCTTTGCCTCCCATCACCGCCGAAATCTTCACCGAAAAAGTCCTTCAAGCTCGTGCTGACACCACTGCCGAAGCTGACAAGGCCATGTTTGAGCGTGCTTGTGAACCATGTGGCAAGACATATTACAGCGAAAACGCCTACCGGAATCACTTGCTAAGCCAGAAACACAAGCAAAACAAGGCTAACCCGGCCAAGAAACACGATGACGAAACAACTTCTGTCATGAGCTCAACATTTTCTCTTGGAGAGCCGGCCTCTGCTGCTGACGAGGATGAAGATGTGGACTCTGCCGCCGAGGATGAGTTCAACCAAGTGATTGAAGGTCTCCAAAAGGCAAAGGTGGCTGATCAGCGGCCCTCACCTGTCAAGAGACCGGCAGTTCCTCATCCCGCTTCTGAGAGCGAAACTACTGGCACCGAATCTACTCCCACCCCAGTACAGTCTGGATCTGAGCGAGTATGGACTTTGGGAACATGTGTTTTCTGCAACTACGAATCCGCTTCACCGCCTCTGAACGTACAGCACATGGAACGCTTCCACGGAATGTTTATTCCAGAAAAGACATACATGGTCAACTTGGAGGGCCTCATCGGATATTTGCAAGAAAGAATTGGAGAGGACCACCAGTGTATCAGCTGTGGCAAGTTCAAGAACAACCTCTTTGCTGTACAGACCCACATGAGAGACAAGGGCCACTGCAAGATCCCGTACGACACAGAGGAGGATCAACTTGCAATTGGCGACTACTACGATTTCAGAAGTACATACTCAGATGGCGAGGATGACGACGAAGAGTCGGACAGCGGCTCAACCGAAGACGGCAATGGCGGGGCCAAGCTGGGCGCACGACGAGAGACCAAGGCCACTGGCCCTGAGGGAGAAGAGCTGGAGGAGGGAGAAGATGGAGATGGCTGGGAGACTGACAGCTCAGCTTCTTCCCTTGACTCTGAAGACTTGACTGCAGTCCCAGCGGAAGGTCACATTCACCAGTATGAGCGGTTGAGCAAACATTCTCACCACAGCACAAACGACCCTCGAAATCACCACCAAGCAGACGGATGGCACTCCAAGGCTCACAAGCACACCCACGCAGCTTTCTACGACGAGTACGAGCTGCATCTCCCGTCGGGCAGATCCGTCGGTCACCGTTCCCTCAACAAATACTACCGCCAGAACCTGTACAACCACCCTTCGGAGGAAGAGCGGGCAGAGCAGTTGCTGCTTGAAGGCGCGCGGAACGAAGAGGGCGTCGAGCCCAACAGCGAGAACCAAGTCGCCCTTATCAAGAACCGCAGACGTGAGATGGCACCTCGTGGTGCTATTGGCATGGCTGGCGTCTCTGACGAGAAGAAGCGCGTAGCACGCAAGGATATGCAACGCAACCGAGACCTGGAGCACTACCGGGCTAGGAAGACGGAGTACTCATATGGTAAGAAGATGAACAACCAGAAGCACTACTATTACCGCGACTTGGCGGGTGGTTAGACGATAGGAGTTTATCTGAATTTAACGAGTTTCACGTTTCTGCTTGATCTTGGCGATGTAACATTTGTTTGTTTCCTGCGCATCCTTGCGCCAATCAATAAACCTGAAGAAAATTGTGTGACAAAATGTGACTCGCTGTGACTCTACGGCATTTTGATGCAGCTGGCATGAGTGTGAACCCCAGAACCGGTTCCACCTCTCATCTGGAAGGGAAATTATGGGACTGTAACGCATAAACAAGAATTTTGGGCTGTTGTTGGATTTGAAAGAGTGCTGATGTCAGATGACACGTTGGTTTTCTCGTCTTGATCCAGTTCAGTTCCTGCAAGCTGAGTAATTTAAAAATAAACATGATTTTTGTGTTTTTTAAAGTCTATGATGCGAACGGGGTGTGTTTTGCCTCGATCCTTTTTACAACTTAACTTGGTAATGGATGAGCGGTCTATATATAGGGCAGCCTAACCACCAAATATCAAGGCACTCACTCGCCACATGAACGGCTCTCGTTTCTTCCAGGTGGCTCAGTAAGATCTCTCTTCCAGGTGGCTCAGTAAGACCTTTCTTCCAAAGTGGCTCAGTAAGACCTTTTGTCGAAATTGGCGGGGTTGGCGACCCCCGTTTTGGATCACACCAGAATGCTGACAGCTCCAGAACAAGGCGGCGAGCTAAGACTAGCAGTAGCAGGGCAGGGCAGGGCAGGGGGGGTTGCTGGGTGTGGTTGTTTCCGAGAGGAACCACTCCGTGCCGAGTGTATTAATAGATGGGTTGCTGGAGATCTTACAGAGCAGAGCAGAGCAGAGCAGAGCTGAGCAGAGCTCCTTTTTGGAGGGGCGAAGAGGGTTTGTCAATCACATGTTTGTTGTTCATTCTGTAAGGGGTTGTATAAGTCGAGGTCATTCAGTAGATAATACGGAGTACTTGGCCAGCATTAAATCGAATAGCAGTGTAAATGAAGAAGAAAATGAACTGGGTAAATCATCGAGGATATCGGAGAACAGCGCAGATGGCGGAAAATAAAACAAAAGGAGAAGAAGGGTGCACAAGGTGCGGAACATTTCGTTCGGCTTGGGTTGATCCCAGAAAGAAAGTGGACAAGCAACAAGCAGAAGCAGCCCAATGGATCAATATGCTAAAATTGGCACTCTACTCTGTTCCTTGTCTTTGCTCCGTATCTGTTCTCTGGCCTCTGACTGGACCTGGGGTGAGCCTGCGCCCCGTCGGGCTGCGGCTGACGATCCCTGCATACCTCTGGACAGAGGAGAGAAAAAAGTTGCCTTTAGTGCTCATGCTCATGCTTCTTTTCTTGCTTAGGCCTGGGCTGCAATTTGGGCGGCTCGCCGCGTGATTGGCAAACGCAAACGAGGGCATTCCCGAGAGGCAAGTCGAAGGTTGGCCCCAGCCACAGGGCAATGTGGGAACTGACCGTCATATGCATATGGGGGAAGGGAAAAGTACATGTAGCAGGAGGGAATTGATATAGCCGGATCACAGTCTATGCGGTGTCCCGTGTCTGGTGTTTTTGATGAAGTGTTCCTCCGCCCGCCTTGACCCTGTTCTGTTGCGGCTCTTCTCTCTCTTCTCTCCATCCCTCTTTTGTTTTATCCGTCTCTCTCACTCATTTCACTTTCGCTTTCCGCTGGGCTCCATCTACGATCCACCCTCCTTGGTTGTTTTCTTGCCCTGTAATACGACTCTAAATCTGGATCTGACGTCCCACGGACCGTCTGTGCGACCGCCTCCCTCGAGTTTGACCTGCGCCCAATCCAATCCACTCCATACATACGAACCTCGCCCAGAATTTTAGGAGACTTTTCTTTTTTTGTTTTCATCCTTTTGCATATTCAATTATTTTGTCTTTCCACTGAGCTTATCGTGACGCAAAATTGACTCTACGATTGCAACGACGGGCATTGGAGCTGCTGCATACAGATACGACATACAAACAAAAATAGACAAGGGTGGACCAACAAACAGCATAACAGACCAACGCAATACAACCCAACCCAGCAGGCTGTCGATAATTATCACTCCCCAGGACAGCGGGGAGAGAGGTTGGATCCTACGAGAAACAAAAGGACAAAAAAAACAAACCCCCAAATCACAGCCGCCACAATGCCTCGCAGACGACTATGGGCCTTGACCTCTCTTTTCTTCCTCCTCGCCCCAGCGCTCGCCGCCGAGGTCCACGCCGACTTCTCCTTCTATCCCGTCGGCGCCCAGAGCTGTCTCAGCCAGGCTGCCACAACGTCGAAATGCGACGGCAACACCGTCATGGACCTCAACACTTGTCTGTGTGGCAATTGGGGCAACTTTGTGATTCTGGCCGCCATATGCATTGGCAAGAACGACAAGGCGGATGCGGTGCCGGTGTATAAGACGATGGTGTCTGCGTGTGCGGACTCCAATACGCCGCTGAACGTGGCTCCGAATGTGTTTTACGGAGCTGTTAATGGCCAGGTCACGACGACGACCTCGGCGGCAACAACAATGACGACGTCGACGACGACGACGAGCGCGACGACCACAGCGACGAGCACCACCGCGACTTCGACAAGCACGAGCACCGCGGTGCCTGTCAGCGAGAACCTGTCGACGGGCGCGACAATCGGCATCGCACTCGGCGCGTCGTTTGGCGGCGTGGGCGCCATCGCAGGGCTCGTCTACTACCTGCTCCGCCGCTCCAAGAACCAAGGCGAGGAGTACAACCCCATGCTACTACCCAATTCCAACGAGGAAGCCCGCTTCAGCGGCCAGCCACCACTCTCAGAGCCGACGCCGTCGCCGGGCATCACGAGCACCTTCTCCGAGGCCAAGCGGGCGTCGTGGGTGTCGCCGCTGCAGAGCCCAGATCCGTACCGCTACTCGGCGGCGACGTGGGATGCGACGCAGGGCGCGTACAAGGGGCCCTATGCGCCTCCGGAGGGCGCCGTGGAGTTGCCGCCGCAGACGGCGAGTGTTGCGAGCAGTACTTCGGGCATGGTGTTTGAGATGGATGCTACGACGTCGCAGCAGTCGTTGGGGCCGGTTGAGATACAGGGGGATGTACCGCCGTTTACAGACCACGGGAGGAGGTGATTTTCATGATCAGGTGCTGTTTGTGTGTATGCGTTTTATTCTGGTTTGCGGTCTTCGTTTCTATATTTACATGTTAGCCGGGAGTCATTGCTGCGAAGAGGGTACATATTGATTCTGGAAGAATATACAGCCAAAGGCTGGTGGCGTTGTTTTTTTCTCTTCGTCTTGTTTTTTTTTTCTACTCTGGAAATATGGAGTACACAGAGTGCATTGCGTGGAATTGATCTGAGCGGCTGGGGAGTTGGACATGTCTCGCACCATCGATTGATTTTGGTAGAAGCGTGTAGTGAAAAAAGAAGTGCCGTTTTTGCTGTTGACCATGAGTTAGTAATGATGTGGCTATGGGATGGCTTACTTTATGTCGCTGAGTGAGATGGGCAAGGCTGTGGATGCCAAGAGATGGGTTCCTAGATGAGATTGACGATCTCAACGCACTGATAATAAGATCTAGGGCTAAGAAAATGGTGGGAGTTGAGAGAAAGAATATACAATATACTTCATTGCAATGCGAGAGGATTTAGTGAACATTTTCTTATTGCCAATTAGCTGCACGCCTCATGCAGTGTAACCTAAAGATTGATTCCATGTTCACATGTCATCAACGTAAATCAAGATGAGATCCTTCTTCTACAACTTATAGAATGGCTTCTACAGGACATGAAGCTCCAGAATACAGGTACCTCATGTACAAGCCAATTCCGCTAGAATGGGGGCCCTGATTGGATGGATCGGAATCGATTGCAGATTTAGCATGTGCCAGCCCACCGGCATTAGATGATAAACACAAGAGCTTCGAGCCCAATTCCTCTCCCCCCGCATCTGGAGCTTTTTTCTGCTCCATCTCCGTTCCAGCATTCAAACATCAGAGATGGCTTCAGAAAAGAAATCCGTCCTCATTACGGGGTATGCATCTAAATTGCAGCTGATTTTACATATTTCATTTACTTCTCGTGTGTTTGGGCGTCTCTAATAAGCACTGACATTTGATGATTATAGCTGTACGCCCGGAGGCATTGGCCATGCTCTAGCCTTGGAGTTCCATCGCAAAGGTGCGTCAACCGCATTTATATCTCAACATGTGCATTTCCAAATTGCTGACTTTGAGGATGTCTTGGGGAACTTGCAGGCTGTCATGTCATTGCTACAGCACGTAATCCCGATGTGCTCAAGGATTTGGCGGCCATGGGCATGAGCGCCGTCCAGCTGGATGTCACCAACGGCGACAGCATCAGGGCTTGCAAGGCCGAGGTTGCCAACATCACCGGCGGCAAGCTTGATGTTCTTGTCAACAATGCGTAAGGAGCCTCCCTATTCTTCAGAGCGTTGATATACACGCCATCTCTTTGTCGTCATCTACATTCACTAACAGCGAGCCTGGCAGCGGCCGGACTCACACCATCCCGGCTCTAGACATTGAGATAGACGATGTCCGGCAGACGTATGAGACCAACGTCTTTGGCCCCATGTTCACGACCAAGGAATTCGCCGAGCTCCTCATCGCCGCGCGAGGCCTCGTCGTCAACGTCTCCTCCATCAGCTCCATCAGCCCTTACATCTTCGGCTCCGTCTACGCCTCCACCAAGGGAGCCATCAACAGCTACTCGCGCGTGCTCCGCCTGGAGCTCAAGCCCTTCAACGTCCGCGTCATGGTCGCCATGGCCGGCACCGTGCGGTCTCAGATCGCCAGCCACCAGCACCGCGCGCTGCCCAGCACGTCGCTCTACATGCCCATCAACGACTTTTTCCAGCGCCGTCTGGTCTTTAGCCAGAACAATGCCACGGTGCCGACTGAGGTGTTTGCGAGGAAGCTCGTGGCTTCGGCGCTCAAGGGAGAGGGATATCTTGGGGGCTTGATCGGTGGCTCGCCGGATTGGTTTTGGGCGGGAGGATTCTCGACGCAGGTTTGGCTGCTTTCGATGGTCCCGGCCTGGGTTTCTGAGTGGGCGATGGGTGTGTTCTTTGGAATTGCCAGCTTGAAGAGGACTATCACTCAGGCACGTCTGAAGCAGAATTAGACTTGGGGATGAGGGTTACCAGAGTGCCCGATACGGCCGGTCCAAAGCGGGCTTTTTGTTTGGGAGGTCCGATGTAGGGGCTTTCTCTTATTGTTTAATATCATGAGTCACTACCCATTTCGTATTGTATTGTTGGAGAGTGCCTTTGTCATTGGATGGTGGCTAATGCACCTATCACAGCTCGGGGATTTCCTTATATGGTAACCTGGAAATCCCTTGCTGCACCACCGTAAACGATGCTTGACTCGCCGCAGATTAATATTCAATAAAGAATCATAGCCACATCGATACCAATAGACGATTCAATTAAATTGCACCGCATAGCGTTTTCTTTTCAGCTGATAGAATCTCGTTCATGTCAACACCCGTCATCCCTGCTATAACGGCTGACCTAACTCATCGTACCACTAGCTTAGGGGCTGAAGCAAAGCACCGCCTCAGGCAACACTCAAGGCAGCCTCAACATCAACTTTGAACCTTTTTGGATTACTCTCTTTCTTCCCCGTGCTCTTCCCCGTAGGCAAGTTCGGCACTGACTCAACGGCCAAATCTGTCCAATGGCCTTTGTTCGGATCGGCGTGACTCAACCGGAGCGCCTGCCGGGAGGCTCGCCTCTGGCTAATAAGCTTTTATTTGTTTACTCATAACGGCATATATACATGTACCTATATATATGTCATGTCCACATACAATGAATCATCCATCTAAATCAGCTCTCTCCTCATTCCAACTTCAAGGCCCTTTCCCTTGTGACTTGGACTCAGAAGGACCAGATTCGCCAAGATGTCATCAGCATCAGCATCATCACAGGATGCGGCCAAGGGCCCTTTCGACCTCCTGTTGCTAATGGATGCCACTTCGTCCATGAGCACCTTTATCGACGCCCTCAACAAGTCTCTTCCAGAAGTCATCAGCATTTCAGCACTGACAGGATGCTTTGAGAGAATAGGAGTCCTCGCCTACCGTGACTACTGTGACGGAAGCGACAAGCTTACCGCGTGGTCGGGCTGGTGCTCGCCCGCGGGAAAGGTCCAGGGAGAAGATGTTGTATCACAGGAAACTGTACTTGAAATGGCTCGCAAGATGATACCCTATGGCGGCGGTGATTGGCCAGAGGCTACAAAGACGGGTCTTGCAAAGGCACACAGCGTCATGAGACCAGAGGCAACGACAATCATCTTGCTGTATGCGGATGCTCCTCCTCATTTCAAGGAAATCTCTGACAGGGACAACTTTAACATGGAGCGCACGGCACTTGCAAACTCCAAGCTGTGGGGGAAAGACGGAAAGCTATTCATAGACTGGACATCAGCAGCCAGGACACTTCGATCTGGACCAAAGAAGGCTGTGGTGTTTAGCATGATCCAGCAGATTAGCGTCAACGCACTCTCGCCCTACCTGTATCTATCCACAGTCACAGGGGGCCATTTGTTTGAGATTGAGCACATGGTGTCGGATAAAATCTCCCAGTTGACTATTGGTGTCTTGCTTACATGGATGAGACTTGGAAAGGCAGTCGCCGACTCGAACACGCAGCTTGGGTACTTGACAAAATACAAGTCGACCACGGATATCCTAACAGCCACCAATGAGGAAGATAAGCTCATGGAGAAGTACGTTGCCAAGGGCAATTATGGACGAACCCCAGCTATACGCATATGCAGCGACAATGTTGAGACCCAGCCTGTCACCCTTGGCGTCGTGCCAGGCCTCATCAAGACCCGCGGCCCCAAGGTTGAGAGCTTCGCCGAAAGGTACACCAACGATACGAATTACAAGGAAATGGCCATTCGGCAGCTCAGAACCATCATTGAGAGTAACGTGTCGGCCATCTCATTGAATCCCATCTTTGGAAGTCTGTGGCGGGTTGTCTGCAATGATCGGCTCAACCCTGCGCGGGATGAGCTCATTCCACTCTTTGGCCTTCACGTGGACAGGATCTCGAACGCTGATGAAAAGGCACGAATGAAGGCGTGGCTAGCTGAGTCGTACAACTACGCTGATGAGATCAACGCACTGATCGAGGCCGTGGCCCCTGAAGATCGCTTCCCGATGCTATTCCTGGATCCCACAGCAGGCTTTGGATTCGTGGAGGATAGTGAGGGCGAGCAGCGGCGGTTGCAGGATTTTACTCGATCCGAGTTGCTTGAGATTGGAAGATCGTGTGATTACAAGATCCTCCGGCGTCTGGGCAAGGTCTTGACTCGCCTGACATTTGTTGGTACCAAGGACGAGCTGCCCCATCACATCCAGACCATGGATCCCAAGAGCGCTGTGTCTTGCGTGCCTCTCGCCCTGGCAAAGACGGAATACAACCGTGAGTTCTGGAAAATCCTCTTGCATGCCGTCCTCCCGGGAACAAAGCTGGGAGCTCGTCCCGCCTGTCTGTTGGCTGCGCTCGCACTTCGCATGGGCATCGTTCCCCTGCGAGAGGCGGCGGACAGGGAGCTACTGGCATTCAGCGGAAACTGGAACACGCTGGATATCCCTGAAACGTGGAACATGGGTTGCCTCAACCTCTTGCTAGATGCTGATAAGGACTACGAGAAGAGGGTTGCCGAGGGCGTAACAACCCGCCCTTCTGACGAGGTTAGAGTACTCTCCGTCAAAGATCGAGACACCTTCAGGGCACTCGTGGATTACAAGATGCTTGAGCTGAACCTCGACACCGCCCTTGAGGCACAGATTACCTGGACTCCGGAGAAGACAAAGGTAGCCCTAGGCCCACTTGTCATATGCAAAAAGTGCCAGTTTCCGCGATCCGTTACCATCATGGCCCATGGAGGTGTATGTGGCATGTGTGATATCGAGGGCAGTGACTGCTCGTGTTCAGCATGCAGTACAGTGCCAGAACACGAGGAACGCCTCAAGACCAACGTCTCAGCTGATCAGACAGAAGCATCGGAGGCGTACTGGGTCGAATGCGGACAGACTTCTTGCAGAGCTCAGTATGTAGTCTACAACCCTAATGATCTTCGGGTGCGTCCCAAGTGCTTCTTTTGTCGACACACCAACCGAATCTCCAAGAATGCCGAGAATAGTTACCGGAGGGATGTGGGAAAGGCACCTGCAGTCGAGTGTTCCACGTGCCTGGGCCGAATTATCTGGCCAGAAGAGTATCGGCCTGGTGACCTCGACTTATCCAAGTATCAGTGTCCTGCGTGTGTTGCCGGCAAGAAGACTATTGTCGGGGAAGAGACCACGGCACGAAAGCTGAGCAGCGAGAATAACTGGGATTGGCTTCTGAAGAATGAGGACAAGACTATTCAGCAGCCCTTCAACGGCAGGACGGTCTTTTATACGGCCTCGAACTGCAATCTCGCTGATATGGATACCAAGGTGGAGATTCTCCCTGCTTCTGGGGAGAGCAGCTTCACCATCCGTGGGAAGCTTGTGCGCAACCCCGATGAGCTCAGGGCGTCTCTGTTACACTGGGTACGCTCTCGACGAACCGAGTCTGCTACTTGTAGCTTGTGTTTCTCGAGCATTCGGAAGAACGACGCTCTCCCTGCGTGCGGGCGTTCCGGTTGCCATCAGGTCATCTGCAGCAACTGTCGTGACAGCTGGTACGGCATCAACTCCCCAGGTCGCATCCTCAACATGCCCGCCCTCAACTGCCCCTTTTGCCGCCGCCGGCCAGCTCCCAAGGCCATCAGCAAGTTCCGCCTACACCAGGTCGGCCAGCTCCGCGCTGCGCTCGAAGAGAGCGGTTCTTGGATCTACGCGTGGTGCAAAGAGTGCGGTTTCGCGAGAAAGTACGTCGAGAGGGTTTGTGCGGCAGGGGCGCCGGCTGAAGTGGCTGATTGGATATGTGAAGAATGTACGCCGTATTTGGTAGATGGGGAGAAGAAGATTCGAAAGTGTCCTGGGTGTGGAGTTGCGACGGAGAAGACGTATGGGTGTGATCATATTACTTGTCCTTGTGGGACGCATTGGTGTTATGCGTGTGGGAAGAAGAGTGATGAGGATGAGATTTATGATCATATGGAGGAGGAGCATGGGGGATTATATTGGGGAGATGACTGAGTGCATAGCAGCAATCAAGACGAGTAGAGCGTTTAAATTGAGTGTTTAACGAAAATAGCATGTTTTTAATGATAGGTTAGCAATGTTTGCAAATAATGGCGAGAGATGATGTTTTGATGTAAGTGACATGCGCCCTCCAAGTACTCCGTACGTCTCATAGTATTTTGTCGATGGCAGTACGATAAATGTGATTGAATGGAAAAGAGAAAATCGAGATTAATCATTTTATGACTTGGTTGTTTAGTATACCTATTCTCTTTCTTGTTGTTCGCATTCTTCTTCTTCAACATCAGGTAATTGTGCTGCCCAATTTACCAAGATAGGTACGTGCGAATACCTGCTCACTCTTACATCACCTCACAGATCCCTGCAGGAAAGTTACGTGGTGGCGGGTCACTGCTGATAGCGTTCCAACACTCTTCCGCAGCTAATCTGCTAACAGACGGTACAGACAGTCTCGTGCTCTTTGGAGCTTCATGTCGCTGACACGGATTCGGTTTCGGGCTGTGCCTTGGTCGTGTGCTTCGCCTCGCGTGCTTGCTTCAAATATGCTCCTGGTCTGGCCGAGGGAGCCGATGCGGTTCTTCTTCTTTTCATCATCATGAGTAGAACACGGCTCTTGTGCACGCGCGACTTGTTTTACACTTGAATTGAATCAAAACATCTACATATCCGTTGCCTTATTAATAAAACTCAACACTCCCCTGTTTTAGTATTTACGACAGCCATTTCTGGCCTGCCATCTCTACAACTACATCTACATCTGCATCTACATCTGCAAAGTAGGAAAACATGTCTCGATTCTCTCGCTACGACTCCGACGAAGAGCGCCTCCCCGGGGGCATGACCCGCGTAGGCTACGACGCCGACACTCAAGTCTACACTTTCAGCGATGTCGACGGCAGCCTCTGGGTATCCGCACCGGGCAACCAGTACGGCCGCCTGACGCGAGTCTCCGGGCCACCAGCCGCCGACGACGATGCGAGCGACTCGGAGCCGTTCCTCGAGTCGCAGACTACGCCGATGCCCAAGACGTCGTGGCGGCACGACATGATGCCGCTGCTCAACTTTGGCGTCCTGGTCGGGCTGTCGCTGCTGGTGCTCTTCTGGTTCATTGGCCGCCGGGCGCCGGAGGAGCCGCTGGAGGTCGTCGTCAAGTGTCCCGGGCGCAGCGTCACGGCTGCGGCGGGCGATTCGTGCTGGGATCTGGCCCAGGCGGAGGGCATCAGTGTTGATGATATTGTGGCGATGAATTCGGGGCTGGATTGTACCAAGCTTGCGGTTGGCTACGAGGTTTGTCTTTCGGTGTGAATTTGATTTGGGGAATCTGATGATATCATTTGGCATAAGCTTGCAGGAATCTGACATGCTTGCTCTCCATTCTCTGGTTGTCCTTTTTTCCCTTTTTCTGATTCACCACGGTTTGGGAGTTTTTGGCTTTCGTTGTCCGATCTCTTATCTCACGCTCTCTCACCTTGAATTCTCTCTGCTGCATTCCTCGAGCTTTCAATAGGTCAAACACACCTAGACAGCTAGCGCTTATTTAGCATCAAAATCTCCATCAACAAAACAGACAGCTTCAACCCCCAGATAACGGCGGCTATAATTCGGCGCAATAGCTCTTGAACTGGCCATTCACGGCTGTGAAAATGCGCTGCCGCCTGGCCTTGGCTGGTCGCAATTTTGAAACTGGGGACTCGACCCCTCGGCCAAGCGGGGCAGGAAAAAAGTCCCTGCTTGGTTGGAGTCTGGATATTAATTTTTTTTTTCCCCTCTAGGCGAAAATAAATAAAATCTTTTTTTTTCGCACCTCGTCCACAGGACCTTTTTTTTTCTTTTTCTTCTTTTTCTTCATCTTTTGCATTTCTCTTGGTCGCGGTGCTTCCAAGCGAATAGTCAGGATGGACAAGGAAAAGCTCACCCAGTTGCTGCAGGCCAGCCAAGTTCGTAAGTTACTTTGCCTCACTTTTCTTATCTCTGCGCATCTTCTTTTTCCTGCTCGTCGCGGGAGTTTGATCTCTTCTTCTCGTGAACGCGCATACCGGTTCAAGAGATGAGACTTGGAAACGAGGATGGAGATTCTATTCTACTTTACTCTACCTAAGAAAACCCTTTACTGACATCTTGTCTTGCGCAGCCAACACGGAACAGGTCAAGGCCGTCACAGCCGACCTCCAGAAGAACTACTACTCCAAGCCCGAGTCTCTTCTTCTTCTGATCGAGATCGCTCTTACACACGCAGAGAATGCTGTGCGACAGCTAGCCTCCGTCCAGGCTCTGCGCCTCGTCTCCAAGTTCTGGTCTTCCACGTCCCAGGACCAGAAGCCTCTCGTCCGCTCCCATCTTCTCGAGGGTACTCTGAAGGAGACGTCGGCTCCCAACCGCCACTCTCTGGCGCGCCTGGTTGCTGGCATCGTGGGCGAGGATATGGAGGCTGGCGATGGCGAGGACTTCCTGAAGCAGCTCCTACCTCTCAACACCAGCGATAATGTCGTCCACCGTGAGGTCGGCTCCTTCGTTCTCTATGCCATGCTGGAGGATGAGCCTACTCACTTCGGTGACCACACTGATCAGCTGCTCCAGCTGTTCCAGTCTCGCATCAACGATGAGAGCAAGGAGGTCCGCATGAACATTGTTCGCGCCATTGGCGCCATCCTCATGCTCATCGACCCCGAGGAGGACCCCAATGCCCTCAAGATCATGCAGGGCTTCGTCCCCAGCCTGGTCAACATTCTCAAGGCTACCGTTGAGGCTGGCGACGAGGAGAGCTACGGCACCGTCTTTGACGTCTTCCACTCCTTCATTGCCTATGACTCTGCCCTCCTCTCCCTTCACCTGCGCGACCTGCTCATGTTCATGATTGAGCTGGCTGGCAACACCAACGCCGAGGACGATCCTCGTTCTCAGGCTCTCGGCTTCCTCATCCAGGTCGTCTCTTACCGTCGCATGAAGATTCAGGCCATGAAGGATGTTGGCGCTGAGCTCATGATCAAGGCTATGCACATCGTCATTGACCTGGACTCCGAGGATGAGGAGGACATGTCTCCTGCCAGAGTCGCCATCAGCTTGATTGACCAGCTGGCCAACGAGCTCCCCCCTCGCCAGGTTATTGTGCCTCTCCTCGAGCAGTTCCCTCTCTTCGCCACTAACCAGGACCCGCGCTTCCGTATGGCTGCCATGCTGGCCCTCGGCAACGCTGCAGAGGGTGCTCCTGATTTCATCTCCACCCAGCTCCAGCCTCTCCTCCCCACCATCATCAACCTGCTGCTCGACTCCGAGCTCAAGGTCAGACACGCTGCCCTCGTTGGCCTCATCCACCTTGCCGAGGAGATGGCCGATGAGATGGTTTCCCACCACCAGCAGATCATTGAGGCTGTCCTGAAGAACCTGGAGTCTGCTTCTCAGGGTCCTTCTGACAAGACCAACATCAGCATCATCCGATGCGCCTGTGGTGCCCTCGACACCTTTGGTGACGGCATCGACACCAAGATCATGGCTCAATACGGCCCTACCCTGATTGGACCCATGGTCAAGCTGCTTGACCACGAGGACTTTGGCGTCAAGGCTGCCGCCGCCTCTGCTCTCGGTGCCATTGCCGCTTCCATGGAGAAGGACTTCCAGCCCTACTTTGAGAACGTCATGAAGTCTCTTGGCAACTTTGTCATGATCAAGGACAGCGAGGATGCCATGAACCTCCGAAGCTCCACCTGCGACAGCTTGGGCCGTATTGCCCTGGCTGTTGGCCCCGAGGCCTTCCAGCCCTACGTCATGGACCTCATGAAGGCCAGCGAGGAGGCTCTCAGCCTCGACAACCCCAGACTCAAGGAGACCAGCTTCATTCTCTGGTCCAACCTGTCCAAGGTCTACCACGAGCAGTTTGAGCACTTCCTCGACGGTGTCTTCAAGGGCATCTTTTCCTCCCTGGAGCTGGAGGACGAGGAGCTGGATATCCCTGGCCTCGACGCCAGCCAGCTCGAGGATGGCCACCTCATTGTGGGAGGAAAGCGCATCAAGGTCAAGGCTCACAGCGAGGAGGACCTTGCCATTGCTAGTGGCGGCGAGGACGAGTGGGATGACATTGAGGATCTCGCAGACCTCGCTGGTGGCACCACCGCCGTTGCCATGGAGCAGGAGATTGCCCTTGACGTTCTCGGAGACGTCATCTCCAACTCTTGCAACATGAACAACCTCGAGACTTACGTCGAGAAGACCATCGAGAAGGTTGTTCCCTTCACCGACCACGACTACGAGGGCTGCCGTAAGACTGCCATTTCTACTCTCTGGCGAATCTATGCCCGCGTCTTCCAGGTTTGGGAAGAGGGCTCTGGTTCCAAGTGGCAGCCTGGCATCCCCCCCAAGCCTACTCCCCCTGAGTCCATTGTCAAGATTGGCCAGACTCTCCACGAGTCTACCATGACCATTTGGGCCAATGACAGCGACCGGTATGTTTCCCTATGCCTTATTTCTATTTATTATCACCCCACCATTTGCATGATGACAACATTGCGTTATACCCAGCTCACTCAGATGCAAAATGCACTTGCTGAGAACGCGTGTAATCTACTTCTGATCTTGCTCCTATTCTATCACACTATTGTTTCTAAATCTTGAAATTTGGGTGTCTTTGCTAACCGAAGCAAACTAGGTCTGTTGTTACCGACATCAGCCGCAACGTTGCTGCCACCCTCAAGGCCTGTGGTCCTGCTGTCCTCGCTTCCAAGGATGGTATGCTGCAGGAGGTTGTCTCAGTCGTCACTCTTCTCATCACCCGCTCTCACCCTTGCCAGCTGGATCTCGGCGACGAGGACGAGGAGCAGGAGGTTGAGGATGCCGGATCTTCCGAGTACGACTGGCTGGCCATTGACACTGCTCTCGATGTCATTGTTGGCCTTGCTGCCTCTCTGGGTCCTGACTTTGGCGAGCTGTGGCAGATCTTTGAGAAGGCCATCTTCAAGATGGCCAGCTCAACTGAGGATCTCCAGCGCTCCACTGCCATCGGCACCATTGCTGAGATCATCAAGTACACTGGCCAGGCCGTCACCCCCTACACCGAGTCTATTGGACAGGCCCTCATGCGCCGTCTCTCGGACCCTGATGCCCTGACCAAGTCCAACGCCGCCTACGCTGTTGGTCTGCTGGTCTTCCACTCCACCGACACCGCCAAGACTATCCCCATCTACCCTCAGCTTTGGGAGAAGCTTGAGCCCATGCTGGCCATCCAGGAGATGCGCATCACCGACAACGTCGCCGGTGCTCTCTCTCGCATGATGATCAAGCATGCCGACGCTGGCTTCGTTGCCCAGGCTCTCCCCGCGATTGTCAACATCCTGCCTCTCCAGGAGGAGTACGAGGAGAACGAGCCCATCTACCAGGCCATCCACGCTCTCTACGATCAGTCCAACGAGACCGTCCAGCAGCTGACTCCTCAGCTGATTGGCATCTTCGAGAAGGTCCTCTCACCCCCTGAGGACCAGCTCGAGCCCGAGACTCGCCAGCTCCTCAGCCGAACCGTGCAGGCTCTGTACGGAGCTAAGCCGGAGCTGTTTGCGAACCACCCCAACCTGCTGCAGTTGGCCAGTGCATCTCAGTAGAGCATGAGTAGTGATGGCCATGCAACGTGGATGAGAGAAATGAAAAAAAGAATGCGGAAAAAGCAAATGGCGATTTGGACGATGAAGACATGAAGACATGACCTATACCCCTTTTGATGAGTTACACACAAAAATATGTTGATGGGATGAAGGAGGGTATACTAGGGAAAAAACAACAAAATTGGGAAGCGTTTAATAGAAGGGTTGGCTTGAGGGTTGACTCGAACAGCATAGAATATATATATGTTGGACTTTTTGGGAGGCTGGTTTTGAAGTCGAAAATACAAAATGACAATATGATGATGAACATCACTCTTTCAAAATGCTTGCTTAATGGTCACTGTTTGTTATGTGAAGATAATATGTATGTTCAATGCTATGCCTATGTACTAATGCTGATGACGATGCAAATGGATAAGTTGAAAACGTTACACCAACCCATGAAGTTTTTACCCCTTCAAGAAACCATAGCAAACGGAACCGATAATGAGAAAAAAAGTAAAACTGCTACAACGCGCTCCCCTTACCAAATCCTCTTTTCAACCATGTCATATCGAAATACACCCTGGTAATCCCCCTCCGGAGTAGCACCCTTCTTATCATCCCCCTTCTTCCTCTTCTTCAAGCCCTCGTTGACATCGGCGTTGATCCAGCGCCTCTTGTCCTCCGTGACCTCGACCTCGCCAAAACCACCGACGCGAACACCATTAGCTTTGTAATTGTCTATTTCTGCCTTGCCTGCTGCGACGAGGGCTTCTTTATGCTTCATCTTTGCGTAGCGATTCCGCGCGTACTTGAGAAGAACCATACCCAGCAGGAGCTTAAGAATAAGCAAGACAAGAAAAATGATGAAGAAGACGACGACCATAGTGACGGCGGCGATGACGTCGTCGGAGGTCCATATGTACCAGGGACGAGAATTGAGCGGGTGGTCAAACGGATAGCCGTAGGTAGCCCGGCCAAGGGAGTCGCGAATGAGGGAGTCGAAGCGGTTGAGGGCGGCGATCATGGCGGGCGACGAGGGCGTTGCGGAGGCTTCCGTGAGGGAGGTCTGCGTGGATATGGGGAGGGGCATGGGGATGTGGGCGGAGAGGAGCATGTGGTATGTCTGGATGGAGGCGCGGATGAAGAGGCATGATAGGGGGATGACGGCGAGGCCGAGACGCCTGGTGAGGGATGGAGCTGTAAAGGCCTTGGAGAGAGTGTTAGTTTGTTTGTGGTATGAAACTGAAGGTAAAGGAGACACTTACGTTGGTATAGTAGTCCTTGCACAAGATGTCGAGGATCCTGCTGTAAAACTTGGGCTTCATGTTGTTGAACTTGGTCACGTACGCATGCTTGATGGAGTCTACAAGCATCTCGCTGCCCACAACAATGAGGAACGGCGACAGGACCTCTCCCGACATGACCCAGGACGGCAAAACGGTGAAACTATGAGGAAGAATGCTAGGCGAATGGAGGGGCGCTGCTTTCGTGGGAGTGTCGTTCATACCGGCTCCTGGAACCGAAAGGCCGCCGACCTCGACAATGTTGCGCATGCCGATGATGAGGAGCATGACCCAGAGCTGGAAGCGCTCCACGATGTCGGCGCAGGTCAGCTGGAAGAGGCTGTCTTTTTCGAAGCGCTTGAAGACGGTGCTTTTGATTTCGACAAACTGATTGGATAGGAGGAGAGTGAGGAGAGCGTTGGAATAGGAGTTGACGGCGACGTTGAGTGTAATGACTTGATAGTACAAGGCGATAGAATGGAGGACGCAGTATATCAGGGCGAGAACAAACATTCCCAGGGGCAAGAGAACCTTGGACCGACCCGACGAGTTGCGGGACAGCGTCTCGGAGCTGAACAGACACTCGAGGATATCCTGGCCCAGGGCTGACAACAGCTTGTCGCCAACTTCCAGGATGTTGTATACGACGTATAGCTTAATGGCTGACTGTGCGCGGATAAGATGGTACATTCTGCTGGCGTCTAGATTCATCAGCACAAGTGAGCTGCATATGATGACGGCGCCCTGCAGTAGATCGGCCTTGTGAAACGACGAGAGGTTGGACGGCATCGATTTGGTCCGTCGATGGCGGAACGAGCCGGACTTTGGTCCCGGGCGACGGGCCGAAAGCGATGGCACCTTTGTGGGAGTGTCGCTGCTGCGGACACGCGAATCTGCGCGGATCCCATTCGGACGTTGCCGTATGCTGGGCGACATGCCATCGACAGAGACCTCGCTGGCTCTGCTACAGCTACGCGAGCGGCCACTGTCGGAGGCATCACTAATCCTGCGGCCCCGAACCGCTCGCGCTCGTCTCCACAGCCGGCCAAGGCCGTACCAGACGAAGCCAACCAGCCACTTGACCTCTTTGAAGATGACGTAGATCCACCACCGCACTAGAACGGCGAGGGCCATGGTGAACCTGATGGGCAGGATAGTGAATGTGTGTAGCCAGGCGTCTAGACAGGCAAGCGCACCAAAGTAGAGAGTGCGCTCTAGGAACGGGGGGATCAGGAGGACATTCTTGAGACGCTCGAACTTGACGGCGTGGGACTCGTACGGAACGTCGTTTGTGTAAGATTGGTGTATATAGAGAGGACTAGGGCGTTGCTGGGCCAGTTCGAGCTGTAGATGGGTGGGAATCGACATTGGAGGGAGAGGAATGATAGGAGGAATCGGAGAGGGTGGCCGGACGCCGGAGTTGGGAGGCTGGACAGGCTGTTGCGTCGCAAAGGCCGGCGGCCCGGTCTTGATGGGCGGCGATACCACGCTCCCGTTTGCGCCGCCATTGACGCCGTCGAGATTCAACTGCAGGCCCTGAGCAAAGGATAACCGTCGAGGAGACGCGGAAGGTTGTACCACCACCACATGGCCATCTCGGCTCGTCGGCGGCGTCGAGACGGTCCTCGAGGCGGACACGGATCGTCGCATAGGCGTTCGGGCTTCCCTGGGCACTGCGGTATAGCCGTGGAGCTGGCGGAAGGCCTCGTCTGGACGCATATCCGGCGGTCTCATGAGCGCCTGTCGAATCGCCTCGCGCTCGTCGACAAAGCTGGACGCAGGCGCTGGTGCTACAGGCAGAGACTTGGGCTCGTTGGTCAGCTGCTGTATCTCAGCTGCCGTCAGTTTCTGGACATTGTCGTGGCTCGGGGTCTTCTTCATGGTGCCGCTTCCGCTGCGCTGCCTCTGCATGTCTACGTCCTTCTGCCTTGAGCTCGACCTCTGGTTTATGACGGGGCTGGCACTGCCGTTGCCATTTGTGTTGCCGTTTCGGTGTCCGTTTCGATGCCCATCTGCATGTCCATTTCCGTTCCCATTTCCATGTTCGTGCCCGTTGCTATGCTCATATCCGATCCCAAGTCCATGCCCATTCCCATTCCCGTTTCCATTCTCCCAGCCCCCGTTGTAGGCTATCGTCCCCGCCTCCTCCCTTGTGTCGTAATGCCCGGCGAGGCTGTTGGACGAGTTCTTCCTCGACGACGCCGAAAAGGCCATCGCCGGGCTCATCGGGTCTGCGGTCACGGCCATGCCGGAAGATGCTCTAGTTGGTCATGCTGCTGCTGTCTATGTTGATGGTGAGACGATTCGACGCCCAAAAGAGCATGACAACAGCGCGGTTGAAGTTGTGAAGAATGAGAGACAATGTCTGGCCATGGATGGATGCAAGATGGTCGCAAGATCAGTGGCTCGAATTGAGGTCCATGTGGCCAAAAGTGGCTTGTGGGCTAGGCGCTGTGGGGGCTGCTACAGGCGCTGCCGCTTAGCTCCAGGCGCTAAAGCACGGGCTACTTACGGAGGACAACCAGCACCCGCGTATTAGACTGATTCTTGGGTTAGGTATCTTTAATGATTTACATGGGATTCAACGCATCATCTCAAATTTCAAAGAACAGCTCAGCATAGTTGAATTCATTCTATATACGACAACTAAGCTACGCTGAGCGCCGGCAAAACAACGTGCTCCTTGATAACTTTTCTTCTTTCTTTAAACAACGACAAACCCCTACAGATGCTGGTCAAACCAAGTCACAGCCTGGAAAAAGGCCTGCTCTTTGGACCACTTCTCAATCTTGACGCTGGTATCGCAGCGGACAGCAAAGCCGTGCACAACGCCCGAGTATAGGTTAATCTGGAAAGGCTGGCCGGTCTTGATGAGAATCTCCTCCGACTTGTGGCGCTTCTCGGCAGGGAAGATGTGGTCTGTCTGGGCGGCGGCAATGGACAGGGGGCCAGTGATGGCGGCCAGCTCGTCCTCTTCAACCATGGTGGGATGGGCGACGTAGCCGACGTCAATGCCGTCCTTGTAGTGGCGAACCACGTACTACCAATCATGATGAGTTGATGTGCGTAATGGTGAGGTGAGGTGATGATAGTCGCTTACCTTTGCGCCGAAGCAGTAGCCAACGGCTCCGATTCTCTTGATACCCAGATCTTTGAGCGTCTTGATGGCATTGACGATGATGGGGTCGATGGCAGGGGGAGTGTGAGGGTTGTCACCAGTCGAGCCCTTGGTGATCCAGGCCGCAAAGTCAAAGTCGCCAGTTCGGTTCAGCTTGAGGGCATCGCCGTTGAAGATGTCTGGGAGCAGGACAGTGTAGCCCTGAGCGGCAAAGTTGTCGGCCAGCAGCTTGCTGTTCTGCCAGATGCCAATGACATCGGGAACGAAGAGGATGCCTTGGCCATCACGAGCCTTGCCCGCAGGGGGGGTGGCCAAGTAGGCGTCAATGTTGCCTTCGATCTTGATGTCCTTGCCGGTAGTCTCACCCCTAAGTGGCGGTTAATGAGTAGTCTGAGATTCTTTTCATGTTTTGTTTTATTTTGCAGAAGATTAACCCATGAGATTTTTTCAATTGTGAATGATGATTCAGCTCATGAGTCTTTGCCAACGTCTCTTTGTATTTTTCTCTCTTGCGCTCTCTATTTTGTATGCGGGGCAATGCAAGAAAAAAGAGGAGACGGGCTACGACCCGAGCTGCAAGATGAGATCTGAGATCAAATCTACAAGGAAACAAAAATGAAAACTCACTCGTGAAGGGTGCCGACAACACAGCATTTGTCAACATGCCCTGAAGCCATCTTGATAGTCTCGATCCTTGACAATTTTGACTGGAAATGAAGTTGTTGGACAAGACAAAATAGCGCGCTTTGTCAGATATTTGAAGTCTTTGGAGGTTCCTGAACCGCCCTGGTGGGGTAGCGGAGAACGGCTCAACTGATTGCTTGACCAACGCTCGCCGTGACGCAATTCTCGAGCTCCATCCTCGCGGGGTTCGGGTTTCGTCGAGTCGAAATTAGGAAATAATCTGTCAAACAGGAAAAAAGAGGAGCAAGCCTCTGTTCTCTGAGAAGCGCCGAGACTGGGCTATTTTGGGCAAGATACGCGAACCTGAGCGATTTCACTAGCGGGTGTTGCGCTCGGCACCGGAATTCTCACTTTAAAGATCTTAGGAACCGTCCGCTTTGCCGGAATGCTTACTTTAAACGCCTAGGAACTATCCGCTTTGCAATAGTTTCAACTCGTGTTTTTCCATAGCTTTGGGTCAACAGAAAAGACAACTTCCGATAAACCCCACCTAACTCCTAATTCCGAACCGGAACTGGGTATCGAGGGGGTATTCCGGATCGTTGAAGCGCTGTGGAGTTGAAACTCGCCTGGACTCTGGACTAAGAGATGTTGCGATTAATCAGCCGGCAATTCAATCCGCGCTTGCTAATGCGTGTTGGTTGCTATCTCAAGACGCAGCAACTGATAAGAGCGCCGTTGTATGGCTTGCAGCATTGACATGATTCAGATTCAGATCTGACACATGGCTAATCCCCGAGTTCCTTTACTTGCTTCGGATTCCCTTTGGTTTGCGCTTCTTGAAGACCACCGGCGTTATCCCACTCGACTCCTCTCCCTCCTCGGGCTTGATCACAGGTTCCCTTTTGATGGATGGCTCTGAAGTGTCGGGATCTGCTTTGATCGAAACGTTTTCCTCTTTGGGTATTCTTGCCTTGGATGATTCGTCATCTTCGGCAACTTCTTCCTTCTTCACTGCGCTCTTATTCTCGGCTGCTTCTGTCTTGGGTGGCATTGTTGTACTCAGCAGCGCATCTAGGTCTTCGTCTTCGTCGTCCGGCATGGTCTTTGAGTCGCGACCCCATCTCCTTGGCTTCTTGAAAAGTCCTCGCATAGCCTCCTCTTCTTCCTTCTGCTCTTCCGTCTCCTCGCGTTTTCTGACACCAGTTGCCTTGGCCTCAGTCTTTGTTTCGGCATCCGCCTCGCCTTTTTCTTCAATAACAGTCGTTTTGGTCACTGTCCATTCGCCGGGAATCGCCATCTCGGGTCGGAAATCGGTTGGGATTGCAACCCCCAAGGCCGCCAGCTGCTCTCGCTGGGATTTCAGCTGAGACTCTGATGGTCCTGAAGCCCTGGCTGAAGCTCCCGAAGGACCGGACGATGATGATCCGCCGACAACGCCATTGAGCCTGGCAATCTCTTGTTTTGCCCTTTCCTTTTCGCGCTCTTCTCTTTCGTGGTTGCGGTGTAGATCTCGTAATGATCGCTTCAAGGCGCCCTGATGCTTTGCAGTGGCTTCGTGATTTGCTTTCTCGATTTTGGTGTCGCGCACGTAGCACGAGCAGTGCTTGCACCAATATTTTGGCGTGGATTTCCAGTATTCTGACATTTTTCTCTTGTGGCTGTTGTTCTGCCGGAGATTGGCAAGCTGTCGCGTGTGTATGCAGAAATCAGATGCAAAGGCGCGGCAGCTCTGCACAAGGCAAGAACAATACGCATGATTACGTAATCTTTATTGCACAGTACAGAGTACAAGATTCTGTGCTTTGCTCGCTGGCCTCACAATCACAACTTACAACTTACGCTCATCTTACTATGATTATCATAACTGCATGCAATTTATGTGCTTCAGATGCCAACATTTGATTTATTTTTATTTTCAGACTCCCTGCTATTTTTATTTGCAAGAATACATAATATGCGCAATAATCCATATCATATTACTTCCTCGTGAGCTTCCATCATGTTCAATATTATCGATGTACCATACCAAACAAGATTCAACCATGTACCGCATTAACTTGAAATAATTGAAATCGAAAAAAAAAGAGATTCTTCTTTCAGGACTTGACTTATTGTCCTTTACAGCATCCACAGCGCCTACAAAGCAACGACACCAACCAAGGCGATGGCGAGGGCAATTGAGAGACCAGGGAGAACTCTGGCGCCGCCGCTGATGGGAGGTTGGGTAGTAGTAGCGGGGGGAGGAGGAGCAGCAGTACCAGTTCCGACGGGTGCCTGGGGCTGGCCATCGGAAATCTGAGTGACAGGAGGAGATTCTGGCTGCTTGGCAGATTGTGTTGGGGCCTGAGGCTGACCGTCGCTGATCTGAGTGACGGGAGGAGCCTGGGGTTGTCCGTCACTGATTTGAGTAACGGGAGGAGCTTGAGGCTGGCCGTCACTGATTTGAGTAACGGGAGGAGCTTGAGGCTGGCCATCGCTGATCTGGGTGACGGCAGGGGGTTGAGGCTGTTTGGCAGATTGAGTTGGGGCCTGAGGCTGACCATCGCTGATTTGAGTGACAGGAGGAGCCTGGGGTTGTCCATCACTGATCTGGGTGACAGCAGGAGGAGCTTGAGGCTGTCCATCACTGATCTGGGTAACTGGCTGTTTGGCAGATCCTGTTGGGGCTTGAGGTTGTCCATCGCTGATCTGAGTGACAGGAGGAGCTTGGGGCTGACCGTCGCTGACCTGGGTAACTGGAGGCACCTGAGGTTGTCCATCACTGATTTGAGTGACAGGGGATTTACCTCCGCCGCCGCCGCATGGAGTCGTGTGGCCTTGGACCTGTCCGTCACCGATCTGGCAGATGGGGATGGCAACAGTGGTAGTGTGGACTTGCGGCTGGCCATCAGAAATGGCTGTGACAATGGTGGTCTGGACAACCTTGGTGCCAACAGTGGTCTCTCCTCCACTGCCACCGCTGCCTCCATTGCCGTTGTTGTTGCTACCGCTGCCGCCGCTTCCACCGGAGCTACCGCCAGAGCTACCGCCACTGCAAGGGATTATAGTGATCTCGACGGCCTGGCAATGCGGTGCCCACTTGCGGTCGTACAAGTTGTAGAAGTTTCCAGATTGGCATTGATACCAGGTAGTCTTTCCTTGCAGGGCCAATGAACCATCCTGGCAGACAGCGAAGCCGCTGGCGACGATAGTCCCGGCCTGGGGCGGGTTATCGAACTGGAACTGGTAGTTGGATGCGATATAGCCGGTACGACCCTTGGCATCTTTGAGAATTCCACCCTCAAGTGTCAGTAGCAGGGCGTCAGCGTTATCACAGGATCGTTTCTATGTGAGAGATATCAGTACGGCTCAAGAACATGGATGGATGTCATCTAATACTAACCTGAATATCCCGCTTGTTGACCTTGGCAATTGTGACTTCGAACTGGCCATTATACGATGAAGCACAGCTATCATCGCGGGGAGAGATGAGAGGATTGGCGGAGGCCGACCCCAGAAGAGCGAGAGCTGCCAAAGTCCACTTCATGGTTGCTGTTTGAGTGATTGTCAGCTGTAAGTCCGTGCAAACATCCAACGAAGGATATATAATAAGCTTATATATATAGACTCATACCTTGTGAAGTTTGTTGACCACTGTAGATGCAGTATGATTTATAACGAGAGGCTTACTAAACGAAGGTCCTATTTCTCCCCTCAAACTGTGGGTAGAATGAAAGAACAAATAAAGAATGTCCGATGAATCAACCGCACCGAATTATCCCAGGAAGTCTTTTAGAACGAGCAAACTTGCCAGGGCGACGGGAGGCGGTTGGGTTCATATAATCGTTTACGGCCGGCCAGACATGTCATACGGTCGTTCTCAGTCACATTCTGGCCCGCGATCAACAGACGATCGTTCCATTTCGATGAGCTGTACAGTAGTGTATAGGCAAGCCACGAAGCTACATCGCATAGTGTGGATAGAATGGCGAACCCAAAGTGGGTGTTGGTCCACTTGGACACAGGCCACAGGAGCTTTTTGAGAGCTGAGACGAGAGGAGTGATGTCAGATTTCCAATATATGACATCGTAAGTTGCTATTTGCATCGGCCCTTGTCTTGAAACACCTAACTCGCTTTCATCGCCTTCGTCCTAATCACTCCATTTCAAAGTCTTCATCTCTGCAGCTAGTATAATACGATGTTACTCCAGCGCTATCAGAAACGCATCCCCCGCGCGAATGTGAATGTCCATGCCGATCAATTACTCCGGCCCAGGGAGAATGAAAGAAATCCTTCACATATGCGGCATGTATTTATTCAGGGGCATGGGAACGGACGGCGCCGATGTGCAAGATACAAGCATACAGCCATCGACACTAGTTGCTAGCCACCGCGCAACGCCCACATATACGACCCGGCTAGCCAACGAAAGTTTCCCCGGTTAAAGACGAAGCATGTTTTAGTAGCTTCATATGTGGACGGCACATGAAGCTCCCTACCAAGCATGGACGAAGCGTCATGTCTCACAGTTTATCACTTACCCCTCAAGGGAAGAGACGCTCCGGAACAAATACCTCGCCGTCCCTCCACCCCAGTTACGCCGAGGATGTTTTCATCAAATTGTTTTTTTCCCGAATAAGAGTTCGATGGTTTTACTACTGTTGGTTATTTTTATGATGATGCAAATGCTGTCATAGCAAACAAACAGACCAACAGCTTATGACGCTGTTTCTGTTTGAGAGCAAACTCTGCGAACCTTTGCACATGGTTCGTTGACTGTCGATCTCTCGATCCGCCGAGGCACTAGCGCCGCCCTTGTGCAGGTCCTTTTCCGGCTTGCCGACGAAGGCCTCGTCAATCAATCAATCTATGACTGAATGGGTGGTGCCTAGCGGGTAAAGAGGAGCTCGTATTGGAAAACTCAATTGGGGAATTTTGGCCAATCGGTCTTCGATGTTCACCTTGGCTTGCTAATAGCGTCGCTTCTATAAATTGTCTTCCGTTCTATGTATGCATGTTAGTTAGGTAACGGTATTGTAGTTTCGTCTCGTGTTCCGATAGCCGCGCAATGAAGCTCGACGCGAAGAGTCCGGCAGAGCAATCGGCGATGTTCTAGGTTCGATTCTATGAGATCATGGACGCTTCCGGAGCGGATACTCTCGGTGTGGGATATACGAGTACGGGGAACACCGTCACCAGGCCGGAAGCGGAAACCTCAGCTCGTTACAAACCAATCAGCTGGTCCTTTTAATAAGAAAATTTATTAGAGGTCTTGTCCATATCCGTCGATACCAGCGTGGCAACTCAAAAGACTTCGAGTTATTAGCCACCGACTAAGCTTCAATCCGTCTTACAACGTTTCCCATGACCTTGGTCTTCTTCCCCAGATTCGCCTTCAGCTGCTCCGCATGTGCCTGAGTCTTGCCAAATGCAGCACAAGCCATGCGATCAAGTACGGAAACGGCCGAAACTTGTTGTCTTTGACTCAGGGAAATGTTCACAGCTAGGTACATGTAATCAATGACGAATCTCTTTGCCCCTCGTGTAATAGAGTACCTATGTATGCAGAACCTATATTCTTTTCCGGCACTTTGCCTCTCAATTTACACTTGCAAATTAATGTTGAAAGAAACATGAGGGGTGCGAGGGCAAAAAAGACGACCGGAAAAAACAAGTCGTCGAGTATTCTGGCAACCTTCAGGTGCTGGGTAAATGGATCCAAGCCGCCCATTGTCGTCATGTATAGCCCAGACAGCATCGGCATTGTCTGATTGCCAACAGACAACCAAATGGCTCTGTTCCCCTAGAAAGTAACCACCATTCTGGAACTAGCCCCGAGGAAGAATAGAAACAACCCGCGAAGTAGGAACCGCTCCCTGTGTTCTGCCAGCTGACAATTTCCTGCTCAAATGCTCTCAGCACGTAATATCTTGACATCTGCCCGTGTATTCTCCTTCTTTACTTGCGGTCTATCGGCCTCAAGGGATGATCCGACACCAGCTCCGTGACCCATAGCCTGAGTAGCACCGTTAGCTTGGCTCGCGTTTGGGGGTTCGGTAATATCTATGTTATAGGAGTTAACATTCTAGCATTTCCAAAGATTAAAATCATCATTTCAGAGTAACTTACTTGGCAGAGGTGTTATTTCAACTTCCTTAGGATGAATGACTCTCAAGAGGTCTTTTGCGTACGCTGCGGCTGCTATAGCCGCATATTGCAGCCAGATTTTGTTTTTATGGCTATCCGTGTAATCATATATACCTTTAATAAGAAGGCAGGGGAACGTACCCATCAGACCTGCAAACTCCCGATCAGTACAAACCAAGCTCTTCCCGGGGCTTGGTGGCGGATCTCGATGTATAGGAGACACCATCACCGGACTTCCAGAAGCTATCAAGCCTAAATGAACGACTGAACGGGTAGTCTTCCTGGCACCTCTGTTTTCTATTTGAGTCACGTCGCAAGACGAGCAATCTTCCCCAGAAGAATGCTTATATTCGAACTTGAACAGCCGATCATGCTCCACTCCGGGATATCCAGCATCTTCTAATGCCGGCACGCCTAGATTCACAACTTGGTCTATGTCCGTCCACATTTTGCCCTTGCCGAAGCCGTGATCTAGCTGTAGGCGCCTTATCGCTTTGAGCAACACCGGGGGAGGCTTGTTGAGACCACCTGCAGGTTTAATCCTAAAGCTAGGTTCACCTGCCACTCTGACCGCAGCATATTGGAGAACACCGCCTGAACCATTCTCAGTTAGAACAATAAAGACGCATTTCATTCTAAAGCGGTAAAGGGTAGGTACCTGTAGCTTCACCATGTCCGTTCCCAGGGCTACCCACTACGACGTCTCCAAGTCTAATATCTTTTCGTGGATCGGAATTTGGTGGTCTTGGAACAGCCCTGCCAACTCCAACCATCAGTGCAAACCTAATATTAGGAAAAGCACGAGCTGCTTGAGTGGTAGCTCTTACGCCATATGATCCAGGGAAGACAATAACGACATTATGATTCGCCATTTTGCCGAGAAAATAGTTATTATCATCAATCTCCTTTGGAGGAAGCGGATCGTGCTCCTCATCCAGCAGTGCTCTTGCTGCGCAAAGTGCAGGGTCAAGCATGCATATCCATCCCACTGTGTAGGAGTCATACGTAAGTTCCCTGATTTGAGATTGTTAGTTGAGCATAGGCTGCCTCACAATGATGAGCAAGCGTGAGTAAAGTCATGGCTTACTCTGTCATCCCCTCTTGTAGTAATTAATTGTCGCTACAAGGCAGTGATTACAGGTAATAAGTGTTGAGGACCCAATACGCTGAAAGATGAGACCGTGTCGATGACAGACGCGTCTTGAAATGTAACATTACATGTAGTCTTTTCTCATGTAATAGGCGGGGAAGCATCCCACGTCGGGTACCAAATATATCAGGCTGTAAATCCTGTCCAATGAGCCGTGTATGCCTCACCCGTCCCTCGTCGCATCCAATCATCTAATATCTTCGTTATGGGGGGGCCATGGCAGCCTCTCATAGGTGGCCGCGACCAACAACAGCAACTCGCATAACGCTAGACTGAGGTGGTCGAAATGGGATGGATTACTACTCCATAAGGCTGGCGTGAGAACAACAGTTGATGCTTTTCCAGGCCTCGCTATAAATTATGAATCTTTCCCATTTTTCTTAATGATCTTCGGGGAAAGCTATAAGGGCACATTAAATGATATGTACCTTGTCAATTGCGTCTATTTGTGCTCCTTCATAATATCTCGTCTAAAGGCATCCGCCTCCGAGAGGCTCATCGGCTCATTATGGCCTGTCATTTCTTTCATCAGTCCTTGACCTTTCGGGGTGTTGCGTGTAAGGTTGTTCCACCAGTCCTGTTGTTGCGGAGGAACATTACGGTCGAATATGTTTGGTAACTTGGGTTAACTAGTCAAAGAGTCACATATCGCTGATGGCCAGGGACAGTAGGATCCAATAGCTCGAACGGCTCTCTTGGATGTTTCATCGGGTTAGGCATTGTGACGTTGCCGATCTCTCGAAAAGGTAAGATGTAATTAAAGTTATCCCTGAATAGCCCTTCCCATGTGAACCCGAAAATCTCCCTAACGGCTTCAAGTTCTATCGAAGACTTGTTGTATTGGTCTGCTGGGATATTCCACGTGTTGCGCTCTTTTCGGGGCCGATGAAGGTCTGGGCCGTACTGGTAAAACTCTGAGTCTATAGCCATTTACTGGCGGAATGCAATCCGATTTTCGCTCACATTATGGGCATCGCAAGTGTACACAGCCGAAGCTACGTGTACACAGCCGAAGCTACGTGTACACAGCCGAAGCTACAATTTGCTCGTTCAATCAACCTTCAAGTTCCCAAGTACTACCTTGATACTTTAGGTTCTCTGGGGTAAGCTCGACGCTACTAATCTTGATGACTACCTGGAGGCCTTTGTCGCAAAACGTTTCGTCTAGTCGAATAACGTATGGGTTGTGATAGGAACCTGTATTATTTTTGCTTGTACATTTACTTTATCGCGTAGCTCAGCTGTGCATCAAGCCCAAGCTTTTTTACTCATTAAGGGTGTTACTGAGAAAGCCTCTTCTCGCCAATCGTTGACGATGTCTTTGTCGAAGACGTTGATATGCCAATCCGTTTTACCAGTTATGGTATTCATCACAGCGATCATGGCAAACTCGCGCACGGTCACGGTATGTATTTCTCTCATTCTCCAATGCCATGAGCGAATCGTTCCTCACATCTGAATTCCTCTTGAATGGGTATATCTCCAAATCCAGGAACCCTCGGAGGGCCACGTCCAGTATTATCCATGACTAAATCTTTGTGTCGTTCTTTCCATAGTAACCCGGAGACCGCAGTTAAATGGTGAGGTTTTAAATATATAACCCCGTGGGCGTTACCAGACCGTTGCCGTGAGGCGGGGGCACAATATCTCATGATACTGCCCGTGACTTGATTCATAGTGGACATTACCATGTCGAATACGAAATTCTAACCTTCTAAAGCTAGAACGCAACCTGGGCAACGTTTTCACGATAGCCTAGAACCAACGGCTTTAACAGGGATACGCCGGATCATTAACCAGATACAGTGCAATGACAAAAGAGTGAGGCCAACTAACTATATAGGGTGTATTTCGAGAGGACAACTTCAGTATTTTAGGCGATTCGAGAAGGGAGAATAAGCCGAGCGAGCTCTGAATTGGCTTTCGTTAATGTTAAATTGCTAGAGGCCTCAACTGGGCACGATACGCGTATCATGCAACTAGAGAGCAACGATTCCGCGAGTCTTTTCAACTAGCTAGTGACTCAATAAGGATAAAGTAATAGAAGAAGGCACCTTTTATCTCTTTGCAATCATTCTTACCCATGAGCTTACCAGTGACCTGATCCTCTGAGGGCTCTTGTTTGGTGAACCCTTCAATGAAATGGAGTGGTAAGTGGGATGGGATACTTGACTTACCGTAAGTGAAGCGCTGATGGTCTCGAGAGAGTGTTTTGAAGAGAGAAAGGTAATAAAAAGGGGCTCCATAAAGAGGAGAGATAATACTAAAATCTCTCTAAGTTTCGATGTATAAGAGAGTCGAGGGCCAAGAGCATGCGTGATGACGCAATTAGTTTAAGAAACTTGTTGAGTCTAGGAACTAAGACAAATATCTATCTATACACACATCGCTGTGTTACAGAGTAGTGAGAATTGAGATATAGGCATATAGTTGCTCGAATATTTGCTGCTTCGCTGTTTGGTTAGCGATCAAACTCATAGACACTGTCTAAGGAGCAAGGTCGACAGATCCGGCTCCGAAGCAGGGCACAACAGCTGCCAGAAGAAGAGCGTGCCAAGGACTTTGCCGACGGGCCACGCGACTCTAATATCAGTGTCGCTGCATCCAAACAGACTGCTATACTCACAAGCAGAGATGAAGTTTTGGAGGCGGCGAAAGAGAAGAAGCAACGTAGAGGGGTCGTGTCATTCCTAAGATTGTCTCCATCGACTTGCCACTAGTTCAAGGGAAGTCCAATTAGACATAACTCGGCTTACCTCACATAAGAACTAGCACTCGGACTTCCGGAATTAGTGTAGACTATTGGATTCTGGTAGGTTTCCTGTATGTTTCAAGTTCGGAGTTAACTTTTCTGCGAAAGACTGGCTATCAGATATCGTATTTGAGATATAGTATATGAAGAAAGCGAAATTCCACCCAACTAGTATAAAATATCTGCCCAAGTCATCATTACATCACTTCTAATACATTACCAACAATCTCAATCCATGTTTCTCAACTTAAGGCCGCTGTTGAGGTAAAACCAGAATATTGAAAATGTCACTGCCACGCTCCAAGACCTTACCACCAACACCCTTTTTACCCGAACCCGTCGTGTCAGACTGCGCCAGCATCAACAATGTAAAAATATGGTATGCGCTCTATGGCGCACCACTGAATCTTCATCGGACCCCAACGGTATTCTTACACGGCGGTAAGATTAGCTCTCGTTGGTGGGCACATCAGATTCGACATGTTGCTGGTGCAGGACACTCAGTCATTGCAATGGATACCCGAGCACACGGCCGATCAACTGATGATCCCCAAGTCGCCCTTTCATATGATCTCTTCGCCGACGATGTTGTGGCCTTACTCGACCATCTTCAAGTGCCTTGTGCCAACTTCGTCGGGTGGTCGGATGGCGCCAATACCTGTCTTTCTTTGGCAATGAGACACAAGCATAAAGTAAAGCGCATATTTTCTTTCGGCCCGAACTACAGGCCAGACCAGGCGATACCTTATGCAGGCGAGACAGTGCCGTTTGTCTCTGATCTTATGAATCGGATGAAGGAAGAGTACGAAGCTATTTCACCTACTCCGGAGAAATTCGATAGCTTCAAGGCAAAGGTCGTAGCAATGCAGGAATGTTCACCAATGTGGACCGAAGAAGACTTTTCCAAAATTGACCTAAAGTCCACAGATGCTCATCAACGCCCTCTTGTGTGGATTGTTACTGGCGACTCGGAGGAATTAATCCAGGGCTGGGTCGCTCAAAAGATTGCAGACATGATTCAAGGATCGGTATACTTGGCGTTGCCTGATGTCAGCCACTTTGCGCCATTGCAAGATCCTGAGGGATTCAACAAAGCACTGGACCAGTGGCTATCTCAATAAAGGTGTGGTGGATGATGCGTGCTGACCTTGTTTTGAGACCCCCACAAAGCAGCTAGATACATCATCATCGCGAGATTCACACAGTCATTAGCCCTTGTAATATATTACAGTTGCTCTTGAGAGCCTTGGGTGTTTCTCATTTCATTCACTGACTTCACTCATCGCACTGCTCAATACATATTCCGTTGTTCTGCATCAGGTCGTACCTAGGCAATAACTTTTGTAATGTGTTCGTACACAAGATAGGGGACGTCTCATTCATGCATTGTTAGTCAGTGTATAATGCATTTAGAAAACTAATTACTACGGACTTGGTGGAGTTTCATTCTAGGTTGAGCTGGAGCAATAGAACCTATTGATACTGTTAACGCCGTTGACGATGTTAACGCTTTTAACGCTGTTGACGAGGATGTTGATACTCTTAACGCTCTTAACGCTTCTAAACGCTGTTAACAATGTTGACGATGCTGCCAATGTTGGAATACGTCTCACCAACGCTGTTAATTTAACCCGAGTGATTGAAAACAATAATTACATATACCTAACTTACTTTTTAAAAAAAAAATCTTAATTGAAGTAATTATCATCAGTGAAAAAGTATTGGAAACGTCGCTGTCGACTACATATATAGGTATATAGACTAGCTTTAGTCCGACAACCACGGACTTGTACTCTTGACTTTGTCCTCACCAATTGTTTGTTCTGCCATTCAACCCCTGTAATAACATCTACGGGTTTGTGGTTCTTTTACATGCCTCCTTTCATTGCTGCCTGCGGCGTCCTTGCCGCCCCTTCCCAAGACTCGGCGGAACCAGAGTTGCCATCATGATTTTACGTCTTGCTTCTTAGTACTTCACGCGGCGCAGAACTGACATTGATCGAGATTATTTGCATTAAAAGTTATGGAATCTACCACCCTACTAGTATTTCTTAGGGCAGACTCTTCCAGTCTTCAATATGGACTGGATTTCCTGGCTGTAAGTGCAGCCATTGGTCACCGCCTGATCACTCGAGCCAGCGTCCCAGAGCATAATGCCTCCGAAACCAGGATGATATCTGTATTCGTTGATGAGTTTTGCCGCCTCATCTGGGGTCACTGCAATCGTTGGGTCAGTAAGCTGCACTCGATGGAGAATGAAGGGTTAGACATACAAAAGTAGTTCTCATCATTGTCAGCCGCGTCGGGGCTAGCCGGCAAGCCAATGTACAGCTTTGCTCCCTTGCTCTGCGAGAAGGATACCGTGATGAATTCCTGGAAGGCATCGTAGGAGAAGTATTGCAGCGATCCATCCTTGGGGTTGTAACCACTGATGGCGCCACGGGCCGAGCATTGCGGAGTGTTGTAGAATTGGATGTAAAGTAAGTCGAATTTTCCGTTGAACATCATGTCTCCCATGTTGGCGTCAGGAACAATACACTGCGGCGCGCCCGTCATGTAGTACTTCTTGCTATGATCTGTCTCAAAGAGTTGGTTCATCTCCTGGACAAAGAAGGCGTACGAGAAGGCGCTGTCCGGGTTCTCAATGTCCATGTCGAACCCGTCTAGCACTGCGGTTCCAAAAGGTCGCGGACCGGTGTAGTTGGCCTGTACAGGTCCAAACATACCCCAGAGTTGGTTCGCCAAGTCTTGGATGGAGGTCATGTTGTCGAACTGGACCGATCCGCCTCCGCCTCCTATGGAGAGCATGATCTTCTTGCCCTGCGACTGGCAGTACTTGATGTCCTCCTCTACGGTTTTGCACTCGGAAGACTGCGTGGTGCTAGTGGTAAGGTTGCAGGAGTCGACATTGCCAAACCAGTCGGTGGATGGGTAGGAGGAGAAGAAGGCCAATGGGATGATATCAGGTCCGGCACCCGGTTTGCAGTAATCGGCGAGAGGTCGTTCCGATGGCGATTGGCCCTGCGCACAGAAATTGTGAGTTGACTGGTCAATGGAATTATGTGAAGCAATCATCATACCCAATACACAACCAACTCTGGTGCTAATTGTGCGACTGCAGATGCAGAAAAGCCGAGGAGGCTCAATGACACGAGAGAAAGGCGCGACAACATGATGGCACGATGCTGCTTGATGGAATTGACAGACGGAATGATACGGAAAGGTCTCTTCGGCCCATCGCTCGAACTATATGAGCAGGCCCATGGTATTTATCACAGCCAATTCACAACCTTGGTCGCGCAGCTCTTCACCTAGTCTCATCTCTCATCCCATCCCATCATACGTATCAGTTGTCGGTCAGATCGCATTAGCTCTTCGCGTCCCTGGATTAGCGCCCGCATACTCCACGTCAGCTTCGGCCCGGTACACTGTCAATTGAATCGATGTTGATAGCGAACCTTGACTGAAATGCAACCATAGCCAGGCACTGAGCGGGCGATGCAACCAGCCTAGAATGAAACAGTAAGGTAGCTAATAGCTAGTTCCGGGGAGCCTTTCGTTGAACCGTCTCCGCCCGGATATGAATTGCCGTCCAGTTACGGGGGGGTCAATAACTGGTAATATTACCGGCAAACGGTTCACTGGCTTATATATCTCCGTAAATATGCCATATCCTGGTCAAGGTATCTCTGATTTATCCGCCTGTTGTCTTCATCAGAAATGGTCCCCTCTTCACACCTTGAGGGTAAGAGTTGCGCTCTTATATATAAATCTTTGGGAGTGTCATGATGTCCTACTATTGTCTATGTCACACCTTTTCTAATTCTCCATCATCTTCACTCAAACCTCTCATTTCCATAACCCTTTCTGCTTGCCACCTCGATGTTGGTCGTTCTCAAAAAAACATATTGAATATTCTGACAAGGAAGACAAGCAATAAAACCAGATAGATGGGTTCAGAAATAATTTCAGATACTCGACCACGAAATGCAATGAATGACGGTTGCGGTATTCCGATGCTTTGCATATTAATTCCATGTATATTGACTGGAGACAGCAATAGTTTGATGCTTGGGGTCGTCTGACGAGCTGGGAACTTTATCTTTGTCTGTACAAATTCTTCTATTGTGGGGAGCTTCTGATACCCCTCTATCGCATCATCGAGAGGGAGGGGCGCCCAACCAACGTCATATTCGTAATTTCCGTTGTTCATTTTGGTTTCCAGGACGAGAATAAATGATGTTCCGTGTTCAAGAGACTGAAACACCAACCCTGCTTTGAAGTTTGGGTATGTCTTTATGACGAGGTCGCCATCGTCTTCTTTGACGTCGAATCGAAAAGAGCGCCAGGTTTTGTGTGAACCCCTAATCAGCATGTGGCAAAGCTGGGATCTATAGAACAGTCCGCTACTTTTGAGGAGGTTTCGTCTCAAACAAAAGGCATTTTGATAGCGTTTTTTGACCGATTCGGATCCTATTTGAGATTTCTCTTCCTCAAGGTACTCCTCGACCACTCTTGCGGTCGTAGTCCAAGGCTCTTCAAAATAGAGCCTAGTGATATCCGAGGTGCTCTTGATTCCGCATATAGAAGCTAGCGTAGTATTAGAGTCGGAGTGGACCTTAGCTAACTCGTTTCCTCGGACTCGAGCATATCGGCCCGAGCCGAGGCGTTTGAGATATATGCCTGCAGTAGTTGAGGGATTGTCAAAAGAACAGTTGAGTAACAATATCACAAGGTCTCCAGAAGCCCAAGGGTGTCCAATATCTTTGACGAGGGAAGTGATGTGGATCCCTTTGTTGGACATGGTGATCGGGTCTTGCGGTATGTTGGATCCCCAAACACGGACTAATCTGTCAAACCCAGAGTAAGTTTTATATCCCGGAAGTCCCTTGCGCCATGAATTAATTGTAAAGTTATGAAAATCTCTCGGAGATTGCGCAAACAGCCCATATGCCATATCTCGATCTGTCGAAGCAGTTGCGGCTCGCCAGGCAAAGATGGTGTGATCATCAGACTGTTGAAGAATATGCTCCTGTAGTCGAAGAAAAGCTTTCCCTCCTTCCCCGTAGATTAGGGGCATATTGACATCAAAGAGTCCAAATAGGCAGTATGCAAGATCTTCCTCGCGAGTTGTTTCTCTATTAGCAGCCCAACCTAGACGCCTTCCTACGCTGACCTGCTGCAGGGGGGCCGAGCCATCGAGAACATAGTCATTAACCCCTTGATCACTGCAAGTTCTTTGGCAATAGCTGTCCTTTCCGCAATATTCTCCCATGACCTATCATAGAATTCGAGTCGCTGGGGTGCAATAAGCTCTTGCAAAGTCCAACCTCGAGTAAACCACCGGCTATGGCCAAACCCAACAGATGTTGTATTGAGAGTAGGTTTCTCAGTTTTGGGAGATGGATAATCTTCTAAGAACGCATAAGCGATTGCCGAGTTTCTGTACCACTTAAACATGGAATTGATTGCTTCGCTAAGCTCTGCGCTGCTGGTCTTGTCGATGCAGCATGTATCAACCCAAGCGTAATCCAAGCCATGACTATACGCTTTCTTGCAAGTAGATCTAATTTTAGAGAATCCGGCTAACTTTTCTCGTAGATCCGGCGATTGGAAATCTTGAAAAGACACCTCCTCATGGCCCCAAGTATGGGACAAAATGGCATAAGGTGGCGGCTTGCCGTGGAACTGTTGGAGCTTCAAGGTCCTCGTATTGATTAGCCTCATGTTCATAAAGACCTACAAAAAGTCGTCTCGAGGTGAAGGAAACTCTTAGACTCCGGATTGTATCCTCTAAGCGAGAGATGAAGATGTTATCTGATGAAGATTCATCCTTTTGTGGTAGCCTAACCATCATGTGACATGACATGCAGGTGGCTCTCCATATATTCACATATAAACACGGCTGTGCATTCCTCAGATTCCATTTCATTCCTTATTCGATATAATCTATTGATCCCTGATTTAATATAAGCAGTGGTTGTAAGCGAGCTGAAATTGCAAAGAATAGCGTTGGTTGTCTACATGCAAAGTTGGTACCTATGCGTCTCTGCATGGTGCAGGTATGTATAAGTGCAGTATTGTTCTTCGATGTCAAATTCAACTGTTGCTGCCACTACATTTACAGTGAGTTTTTTTGTTTCTTTTTTCCATGTCATTTACACTCAGGCAGCAATGCAGTAGTTGGCGCGTTGTGAGGCCGCCGATAGGCTGCAGCCAGCCTTGATTGGACCGCGATGCAGAAAGGATGCAAGTTCGAGGGGCTTTAAAGAACCTAATTCTGAGAGTTCTGTAATTAATTCAGCTTGTAGGGATCTTTTCTTCAAATTGAGGTGGGATGGGTGGGAGCTAACCAGTAAAGTTGACTGTTAAATTGTCATCAATTCACTAATACAAGTGGTGCATGTTCTGCCTGAAACAATCTGTCGTCATCACCGAGACTCTTTTCGTCAGTCCTTCAGAAACAATAGCGGGACCGATGATGTCGAGCGTTTGTTAGAGTAGTAGAGAGCTCCACCAAAGAGGCCACATTCAGTTTCGCGATATGGCAGCCCTGGGCTCATAGCTTGCTCATTGTTATTTTCCATTGTGGCTTGCTGCGATCCCATTCGGAATGAGGTAGACTACATGTATATATGGTTAGTTGCTTCGTTATGTTCCGGAGGTACAAACTTGGCGCGAATCGTCATGGACCGGTTGTCTGAGGGCAATGGCTTCTTCACAGCTAATGGAAGGGCCATTGAGGCATTGGCTCCGAGTACTCAACATACGCATACATAAGAGTCAATGGGGGCTACTATCCACATTTAAAAGAGGCTTGTTTTTTATAGCTCAAGAGAACTGATCCCTCTACTGGGCGCTAAGCTATAGGCTTTACGGAATCTCTGCCCTAGTTACCATCGCCTCTTGAAAAGGCTCTCTCAGATACCTCTTTTAATCGTCATCCTCATAGATATTGATAGTGATTGGCACGTTGAAATCAATATCACCAATGCAGATTTGGAACTAAACACATTTGTGAGATTATGAACACAATGAAGATGATAACAACTTACGCCGTTGTTGTTGTTGCAGCAAATGATTGTCTCTTCACATGCCGTGGTGTTCTTGCATGCATGGCCTGTAGCATGTTAAATTCGTCCCAGATATAAAAGGGGAATCAAATTATCACTTACCACCCTTCCCATTGCTACTACAGCAGTAGGGATTACCTCCGGAGCAGGCATTTACCTGAGTATTTGTGTCACTGCTGCAGCCTTTGCCGTCATCATCTTTGCCACCATGATCTTTGCCATCATGATCCTTGCCATCATGGCCTTTACCGTCATGGCCTTTACCATCTTTACCATCTTTGCCACCTTTACCTCCTTTGCCTCCTGGTGTCAATTAGAATCCAACTTAAACTTAAGATGCTTAGATAGTTGTCAAAACCTACCATCATTATGATTGTAGTTGCGGGTTGGGAACCTCGGAAACGGGATATCGGCCATAGTAGGCACGCGACGCTCAATAGCTCGGGGTTCAACACCAGGCTCTTGAGCCGGTGATGCCATGGCACCACCAAGGGTGACGAGTGCGTAAAGGATAACAGAGGCGTACATGATGGAAGTGTAAAAAGTAGTGGTGGAGTTGGCACTATTGAGGAGAAGTAGCAGATTTTGCAAAGATGTAAGATAGCGAAAGAATATCCAGAACGGTTTGAGCTGTTGAGTAACTTGAGTGATAAGAGGGAGAAAACAGCTCTATTTAAACAAAAAGGTCCTTTGCTGTAGCCTACTATCTTTAGGTTTTACTACGTAGACAGAGAATAGACCTAACAATAACGACGGTTCCTGGATCTGCAGAGAGCTAGTCACCGTAGGATCAATAACACGACGAGTCACTAACCTCTACTAGGCTTATGCAGGTCCAAAGCATGAGTTGAAAGCCACAAACGGTGGCTCATAAATATTACGAAATTGTTGAAAACCTAATATTGGTTGATCAACGTTGAAAGACTGTTGAACATTTCGAGTGATGCATGTAAAAACGCATAATTACATGTACTAAACGCCCTCAACGTTCGCTTGTGGGAAGCGATATTGTTTAACGCCTCTACAGCTTCGGCTAATTTGAATTCTAAAATTATGCATCACCTGTAAACTTTTGAATCACCCTTACTACGGTACCGGTTAAATGTGCCAAGATTTCGGCATTTCTTTATGCCCATACAATACCATGCTATTCTACACATTCAAGCTTTTGTTTTGTTACCTCACTCACTCTTTTAAGCTTTTCACCTATCCTGTTCCTGAAAAATATAGACTTTACTGACTGATCTAGACTATGAGTCAATGAAACCTCTCAGCTTCCAACCTACCAGTCTGAGCCAATTACATGAATATCTTGCTACAGGATGCAAGAGGTAGCTGCATATAACTCTATATATCAAGGTTAATCTTAAAACTATAAAAATAAGTCTACATAAACGCCAACTTTAAAGAAATTACATTATTCCGCGTTATTACAGATCATAAAGCCTATAAAATAGCTTAGAAGGAATTGTTTGGGATGAAGGGCGACTAGAAAACTACCACATAATTGGTTGGTATCATCATGAATGGATCCAGAGACGCTAGATCTCAGACATACCGCCAGAAAATTATGTTCGTGCACGTAGAAACAGTCTGAATACGATCAAGAGCAGACGACTCTTTTATCATGCGACGTATCATACCATGTAGAGAAAAGAAAGCAAAATGAGACTCGTGAATCTTGGCGGCTCTACCGGGAAAATCAATAGAGACAGAGAGAAGCTGGCTCATAATCTAGATATCAAGGGTTTTGAATATGGTATTCAAGGCTCTACAGTCATGAAGCAAGCTACCTTGGCTCTCGCAGCACGTGGTTTTGCCATAATGCCGATACACCGAGCCCCACCGACTCAAGGCTTCCGTCAGTCTTAAACTACAAGTTTCTATGTAGCTGGCAGATCACCAATAACTGCAATACTCTACCTGGAATGTCGAAGTCGACAGGCCATGACTCAGATTTCGGGAGGTAATTCGGCGTCTCGCGGAGAAGAAAGGGCCATCTATGACGGAGCTCGTCCATGACGGATCTACGGGTTTAAACGGTTGTGTCTTCAACAACCTTGTAGAGAATTTGATCATTTGATTGAAGTACTTAGAATATGTGCTTAGGCTTCGACATCCTGACCTTTTGATTATGGTCGGATCATAGTCTCATTAGTCTACAGTGAGTCTTGTATCATGGGTGTCATTTTTCATGTCTCTTGCACTCAGGCGCCGATCCAATGGCAGGCAACCCGTGAGACCCCTGATAGGCTGCAGTCAGCCTTGATTGGGTCTCAATGCAGAGTTGCAGCTGCTGACTAGCGTATGTACGTTGTTGTTCTCATCAACATCTCACTCTACAGTGCTTCACATTGGATAATCACATACGATGGAGGGACTAACAAGCGCCATCGCGGTGGTCGAGCTTACGGCGAAGATTGTTTCTCTCTGCGCCGAGTACTCTTCTGCTGTCAAGAATGCTAGCCACGACATCCAGCGCCTTCGAGAGCGTATCAGCAGCCTGGGGACAACGCTGAAGGATGTATTGGAACTTCTCCAAGGCTCCCACGGGGCCCGACTTAGGACGTCGCAGAAACTACACGATGCTCTTAACAATTCCCGCTTGCTCCTAGACTCGATTGCTACAACGCTCGAGAGCAAGTTAAATGGGAGTCGTAAGCAGAAAAAAATGAGAGCTTTTGGGCTGCGGTCCCTCAAATGGCCCTTCGAAAGCAAGAAACTGGAGAACACTATCGCAGCCCTGGAACAGCACCAGAATACCATGGCAGTCGCCATGCAAATTGATCAAACGTACGTTGCAATTTCTCTATCTCATTTCTGTAGTGCTAACGTTATACTAGAGCCGAAGTCCTCACTATCAACCACAAAATTGACTTGTCCAAACTTCCAATCGCAAAAGGCGCCGCTTACAACTCTCAAGCCAACGAGTATGATCCTCGTTGCCATCCTAGAACTCGGCTCAATGTCCTCGCTGGAATCTATAACTGGTTCGAAGACCCGCGCGGAAAGTGCATATACTGGCTATGCGGTATGGCTGGCACTGGCAAGTCAACAATTTCTCGCACAGTAGCAGAATATCTTACAGAAAAGAAGATCCCTTGTGCAAGTTTCTTCTTCAAGAAGGGCGAAGGCGACCGTGGCGGAGCTGCCTTGTTTTTCACTACGATTGCAGCTCAGCTTGTTCAACAATTACCATGTATAATCCCTCACGTGAGGGCTGCAATCGAGGCGGACATGAATATCTCTGATAAGACCAAGAGTGAACAGTTTGAGAAACTTATCCTAGAGCCGCTTGACAAGTGTGAGGGCCAACAATCCACTGTAGTATCTATAGTGATTGATGCCCTTGATGAGTGCGATCTGGAAGAAGACGTCAGACTTATGGTCCTTTTGCTCGCTAGAGCTATGGAGGTGACATCCGTTCGCCTGCGTTTCTTCATTACCAGCCGACCCGAACTCCCAATACGTCTCGGCTTTAAAAGCATCGGCAACTCCTATAAGGAACTGGCACTTCACGAAATTCCTAAGCCTGATATTAAAAACGACATTGCCATATACTTAGAAGATGAGTTGAAGGCTATTGTGCAGCGCTATAACATGTCGGTTGAAACAAGACGGCAACTACCAAAGCAATGGCCCGGTAGCAAAAACACCGAGAGACTTGTTGACATGGCCATTCCTCTGTTTATCTATGCTGCGACTGCTTGTCGATTTATCAGCGATCGCAGGCTTGGTGGGCCAAAGGAGCAACTGGAAATATTTCTCAACTCCCATCGAAACCCAAAATCTAATCTTGATGCGACATATCTACCTGTCCTAGAGCAACTGATAAGAGATCTCAAAGGTGGCGAAAAGAGAGCTGTTATAACTAAATTTCAAGAGATTGTCGGTACTATCGTGCTTCTCGCTAGCCCACTCTCAATAACTTCTCTTGCGAATCTTTTGGCAGTTGATACCGAGAAGATCGATAATCAACTGGACATGCTTCACTCGGTTTTAAATATACCTTTGAGCCCGGATGAGCCGATACGACTCTTCCACCTCTCTTTCCGAGACTTTCTCATCGACAAGGAAAATTTCGATATAAATCCTTTCTCGGTGGATGAGCAGAAAACCCATAAAATGGTCATGGTTTGCTGTCTTAAGCTGCTATCTAGAGACAATCTTCGAAAAGATATTTGTGACCTACGGAGACCAGCAGCACTTCGGTTAGAAATTGAACAAGAGAAAGTCAATGCTCGCCTTCCACCGGAGATGCAATACGCGTGCCTCTATTGGGTCCACCATCTAAAGGAGAGCGGAGGAACAGTCCGTGATCATGATCAGGTCTATGACTTTTTGATCCGCCATTTATTACACTGGATCGAGGCCCTGAGTCTTATTGGTCGTATCTCAGAGAGCGTTGGTATGTTGGACAGCCTACTAGGCATGATTGATGTAAGTGGAAGCTGTACCGTTTCCTAATCAGCTAAATCAGAATGCTAATACTACGAATAGTCAGAAGACGGTGTTGAGATGTCAGCCATTATCCGCGATATTAAGCGAATTGTCCTTATCAATCGCTGGTCTATTGATGAGGCGCCTCTCCAAATCTACTCTTCAGCTATTTTATTCGCACCAGAGCAGAGTGTGATTCGGAACATGTTTAGAGATCAGATCCCTCCTTGGATTTCCCCGCTACCCCAAGTTGAAAGTAACTGGGATGCCTGCTTAGCAACACTTGAAGGCCACAGCGGCAGGACAAGAGCAGTCAGCTTCTCTCCAGACGGCCGGCAGCTGGCGTCAGCGTCAGACGATGATACAGTTAAGCTCTGGGATACAGCAACTGGTCGCTGCACGGCGACGCTTGTGAGTGACGGCATAACCGCAGTCTGCTTTTCACCAGATAGTCGGCGGCTAGCTTCAACGTCATCGAAACAAATTAAGCTCTGGAACTCAATCACAGGCAGTTGCATAATAACGCTTGATGGCCATGACCACATGGTAACAGACATCAGCTTTGCTCCAGATGGCCGACGGCTGGCTTCAGCATCCCATGATCTTACCGTTAAGCTCTGGGATACAGAAACAGGCGATTGTATAACAACATTCGACGGGCATTATAATAGCTTGTTAGAAGGAGTCAGCTTTGCGCCAGATAATCGGCGCTTAGCATCAGTGTCAAACGGGCAGCGCTTCGATGGTCCTTATGTGGTATCATACGACCACAAAATCAAGCTCTACGATACCGTTATGGGCAGTTGTATAATAACATTTACTGGCCATGATGACCGAGTTAATACAGTTCGCTTCACGCCAGACAGCCGATGGCTAGCTTCAGCATCGAATGATTCTACAATTAAGCTCTGGGATACAGCAATAGGCAGCTGTATAGCAACACTTGCTGGCCATGACGAGGGTATAAATGCAATCTGCTTTACGCCAGACAGCCGGTGGCTAGCTTCAGCATCGATGGATATGACAGTTAAGCTCTGGGATATAGAAACAAGTCTCTGCACCGCAACATTTAAAGGCCATAGCCAATCGGTTGCAGCAGTTAGCTTCGCGCCAGATAACTGGCAGTTGGCTTCAGCATCACATGATTCTACAATTAAGCTCTGGGATACTACAATAAGTCGCAGTCCGTCAACAACTGATATCCACAGTCAGAAAGTAACAGCCATTTGTTACACCCCAGATGGTCGGCAGCTAGCTTCAGCGTCAGACGATCATACAGTTAAGCTCTGGGATACAGCAACTGGCCGTTGCATAGCAACGTTTAAAGGCCATAGCCGACCAGTTACAGCAGTTACCTTCGCACCAGATGGCCATCAGCTAGCCTCAGCATCCGAATATGATAAGACAGTTAAGCTCTGGGATGTAACAACAGGCCAATGTGTGGCAACACTTAAAAATGATGCTTACATATTATCAATCACTTTTGCACCAAATAGCCAGCAGCTAGCATTAGTGTCGGGTGCTGTCTATACTCGGGAATTTCATGGGAGTATAACTAAGCTCTGGGATATAACAACAGGCCGCTGCACAGCAGAGCTTAAATGCAATGGTAAATATATATTATCAATTGCCTTTTCACCAAATAGCCAAGAGCTAGTATCAACATTATCAGACCATACAATCAAGCTTTGGGATTTCTCCACTGGCAACTGCACAGCAACACTTCCCAGTGAAGAGCTGGTATATGGAATAAGCGCGATCACCGTCTCACCAAATGGCCAATTGCTAGCTGCAGCATATGGGGATTACACAGTTAAAATCTGGGATATGACGACACATGATTGTATCATAAAACTCGAGGGCCATAGTTTTTGGGCAAGTGCAATGACCTTTGCACCAAATGGCCAGCTAGTATCAGCATCGGGTGACGATACAATTAAATTCTGGGATATAGCAACAGGCATCTGCACGGCAACGCTTGAGGGTTATGGCAGCTGGGTAGGCGCAATCAACTTCGCAAAGGACGGCAAGATGTCCTGCGATCTAATTGGCACAAGATCGAATATTAATAGATTCGGATATTGGGGTGAGAGTTATCCATCGCCACAGTCGCCAATGCGAAAGCCTCCTGCCCAGGGACTCTCTTCTGTATCACCAATCGTCCACCGTCAGGATATTGGAGTCTACAATTATACATGGGTTACTTGGGATTCACAGAGGATCTTATGGCTACCACCAGCTTATCGGCCGAGAATATCAGCTGTAAGAGCATCAACACTTGCCATTGGGTGCGACTCCGGACGCGTTGTCTTCATACGTTTCTCAGATATGGATAAACTATTTAAGGTTCAGAGATAAATACTGTCTTTAGCTGGATGGCAGTAATAAAAATATTATTCATTCGCCTCTTTGTCTTCATCGCTCTTCTATGTCCCAGAATCTCGAAATGCAGTGGGCTATCTGTCTATCTATGACTGTTTACACTCAGTAAAAGCTGCGTTACTTTTAATGATCTCTTTGCAATTATAAATTAATCAATAGCTCATACATTCTCACTTAGCGGCATGCGCTACTAGTTATCGATTTTGAACCGGTTTGCGAGTTATTGATTTCGCATTCGATCTACTGCTGGTTTCACACACAGCTGAACTAGCGACATTAGAGGCTTAGTATCGCCACACAGCAGCAGCTACCGACTCTGCGTCATTTTCCGTCTGCAACTCTGCTGCAGTAGAGTAGCCTCACTTTACCGGCATTTCAGCTCTTGGTAGTTCCGGCTGCGCATCCAATTCATGAATCATGTTTGTTTGCGCATCAAGCTCGGGCTTAGGTATACAATCGGAATGCAACTGAGCTGGATCAAAATTATCAGGCTTGGAGTGTCTATACCGCCGCCGCCACAAATAGAATGAAACGCCAAATACGATGGCGAGTCCGACGATGGAGCCGACAACAGGACCTGCTATCCAGGCGTGGCTTGGTGGTGTAGCTGCAAGATTATATATATCAGATATAAATGCGAAAACGCCAGAGGATTTCCACAAATAGTGTATACCTGAAACAGATGGGCTCGAAGCCGCATTCTGGGGAGCAAGAGATGTCGGAATTGCCAAAGTAGAAGTTCTACTAGGTGTTGTAGCTCTTGAAGTCTTCTTGCTTGTTGTAATTGTTCTTGATGATGATGAAGTGTTAGTTGCCGCATTGTTCGTCGGTAGAAGATACACAATTGTCGTTATTTGGCCATTGGTTGACGTATACATCAACGTTGAATACGAAAGTAGATGGCAGAACTCAAGGAATGGAAGCAAAGGTGAGATACTCAATATGCCACCCCTAGGATTGGGGCCCTGCGTCTTGATGCAAGCGCTACAAGAGTCAAGGGCCTCAATGAAGGCAGAATTAGGAGCGCATAGCTGACTCTTCAATCCTTGAGCTTGAGCAATTAACAAAGCATCGCCTAATGATAGTATATTAGCTCTGAAACCGGCGGAACCTCCAATTCAATCCATTAATAAATACTTCACGACGTACTGCACTTATCGAGGCACCCAGCGGGCACAGAGCCGCCATTATCTTGCCGCGCAAAGAGGTCTTTGGACCAAACCATTGATATTGTATAACAATAGTTCTTTTTTTACCTTCTTTCAGAGCGGTTATTTTCCAAAGACTTTGAAGAGAAGGAAAGAAGAAAGATTCTGGTTGGGTTATTGTGGCTTTGGAGCGTAGCCTTGTCGCATAGCCTTGGGGGCCAAGTCTAATACTACAATGTTACATGGCGTCAGTAAGAGACTATTGAAACCCCCGCTTCGAAGCGGGAGAGATCCTTCATGGCAAAGAGCACGTGGACCAGATGGCGTGACCAAAGCTGCATGCTTCACAAGAGGAATGTGTGTCTAGCGTTTGCTCGAGGAAACTGGGCACGAGGGAGGATTTGCATAATTAAACTTAGCTTTCCTTTACTATAGTGTTTGAATGAAGAATTGTCAACATATCTCAAAAGTGCATTGTTCCATGTATAAGGTCTACATGCATACAACAAGCAACGCATAAAACGAAATGTGCAGCTCTGAACTTCAGCCAGCCAGTAGAAGCCGCATGGCTTCCAGCCTTAATACACGATTGGGCATCAAGTAGATGTAGAGTAACTGCCTCTACATACTTGTCAGAATCAACACTCTTACTACCACACATCACATAGGGCATCGACAACAAAAGGGGACAACTAACTATCTCTCCTGAAGAGGCTGCAAATAGCCAGTTTACAAATAATCAATTTCACGATGAGACCAGGATACACCAGAGACACAACGATACCACACTCAATCTCCATCTGACCCACCGACCGGCCCGAGCCGCCATTCGTCTCATCCCATATCCACGCAACAAGGATCTCATCCATCGTCCTGATCTCGTGGATAAGCTCAATACACTGTTGCCATACCCATCAGCGATATCTCACAGTGCTGCGCTCTGGGGTCTGGGCGGCTCTGGGTAAGTACAAATTTTCACATTGCAAAAAAAGGTCAAGAGAAGAGCTAGCTAGCTTAGAAAAACATAAATCGCGCTCAACTATGTATAACGGCGGTGCATCGATGTCACTTACTCTATCTTATAGGTGCACGCTGATACCAAGGCAGTATTTTCACATGATTATAAAACAATAGCGCAAAAGCTTTAGATTGACAAAAACAGCCTAAGCGACAGGGCTTTTCTCGAGGCTGTGCGCGAGACATAAAGGACGCAATGTGCCTAATAACATATTTAGAACATAGTTTATTTCGATTACTTGTATTAGATAAAAGGCTGAAAACGTATGTAATATCATTTATATTATCGCATACGTTAGTAGCAAAAATATTGCAGAAGAAATAATAACATCCGCGCTCAAATACCTTAAAAACTGTCTAAGAGACGATATAAATGAACTAGAATCTGAGGCTTTCAAGATGATCACACGGTTGAAAGAGTTCTCTTTTATTGGTATATGTAAAGTAGATGGCGATGGAAGGAATTATGAAATGTATAAACTTGTACAAGAGGCTATACGACACAGCCTGAATATGGGGAAGTCAAGCACAATCGACGAAAAGAATATCATCCTCAAACATATCTCTAGGAAGTAGACCAAGATACAAGTAAGCCGACACACCCAGCCTATCGAATTAAGGGGCATAAGCAACGATGAGCACATGGACTGCGAAAAATATTTCTCGAGTATCGCTCCACAAGCTACAACAGACCTTTTCCCTGATTCACAACGAGATACCTGGAAACAATGCGGGAAATTCTTAGCACGTGTATTGCAAATCGGAGAGTGGGCAGATATGTGAACAAGATGCAGATCGAGACGGCGCGGCTACTTGAAAGCAGCTGAGTTTCTTCATCATCGTGGGCAGTGGAGAGCAAAAGAGTTTTTGGATTAAAGAATACTGGAACTCAGGAAAGGAAGGCTAGGAGATCATCATCCAGATACAATCTCAGCCATGGGGAGCCTTTTATAACATGGTTTAGACAAGGCTTCTATGGCGAGATAGAGCCTATTTTCATTCAGATTTATGAAGCCTATGAAGAGATGCTGAGGATCCAAATAAAATCCGAGCTAAGGAATGGCCTGTAGCATTATACCATGCACACGGCCGGAATAGCGAGGCAGAACCTCTTAACGTTCAAGTGCTGCCGATGAGAGATATTTGGAGATAATCACCCGAATATAATTCTGGCCATGCACAGCCTTGCTTGGAGTTGGAATTTGTTGAGCCGCAATGAGGATGGAGTTACGTTGGTGTAGCAGGCTATAGATTATAGCCGCTCTAGTTAGTACCAGACCATCCCCTAACCGTGAATACTACTGAGTATCTTCAACCCTTTGAATCTTGCCCGAGAGACTGGGAAGCGAACAATCACTAATGGCTTCGGCTATTCTCTTGTTGAGGGGGTAGAAGCGAGTTGAATGGGAACGGGTAAATTTGGGCTCAAAGCACTGCGTACCACAGCCACGAGTAATCTCAAGCTGTTCAGATTTTGTTCGAGAGATCCAGGAGAATTACTACACGTATTAAACTATTACTTGAAGAGCACGCCGGTGTCACAGCGAGATGACATCATTTCACTTTCAAGAGACACGTTTATGAGCTAATGAAGCATAAACTATCTACTTCCATCATGAAAAGAAGAACACAACGAGCTTTTACATGTCTTTTTCGCCTTGAAATATAACAATCATTTTCTATCCCTTGGCACGCGCCGGCCAAATTCTGCTGGAACAACAGTATATTCTCATTATTTTCTATAATTTTAAAACGTATCAGCTGTACTAGGGGCCTCGTATCAGGAAAGTTAAAAAAGGCAGTTGAATTTAAGTTATACTATATAACTTTAACAGAACTGGATTAAAAAAAGAAGATATCCATCTTTATCACACGAGATCAGAGATAAATGCTATCTTTATTATATACCTTAGTTAAATAATGGTAACTAAGATACTATTTGATTACCTTTTTCATCTTCCTTCTCTATGGGTTCTAGAATCTTAATAGATAATGCGTTGTTTCTTTATTTATGACTGTTTATACTGAGTGAAAGCTATATTGTTTTTGAGAATTTTATGTTGAATTGGATATTAGCCTGGCTTATGCAAAATTAATACGCGGAAAGAAATGATATAGGCCATAGAGACATTTGCATATTTGTTGAGAGTAGTATTACGCGCTGTTGCGGGACGCCTCTTCCACTGCCAAGATGATACGATATTATTTCGTCATCTGATGATCAAATTTAGTTATACGAAGACAAAATAATCAAACAATAATGCGTGCGGAGGAGGCAAATCACAATGCTTCAACCTCAGATAGCACAGATGCCTCGTACGACAGTCCATCCGTTTGCTACCCGGCACTACACATAGACAACGTGATGGACGGTTCACTTCCTCCAGATTGCTAATCATCTACAAATGAATTCCCCTATTCATCTATTTTAATATCTCGTATTCAATCGGAATCTCTCCTTTCTAGCCAATCGGCCCAATGTTGCTTTTTAAGCGGACATCCTATCTACCCGAAAACACGAGATACTCGACAACACCATCCGCATCTTCACGGGATCTTCGCCACAACTGCCGTGGGATTTTAATATAACCTTCGGATATTCTGCATGAGAATCCGTCTCATTCCTTAGATATCCGCGCCCAGCCACACGTTCCTGGCAGGGAAAGCCGTGTTTAGGCGCCATTATGCCAAGAGAATACGATGCTAAGGGGTTACATGCATCCTTCACCAAATGCAGAATGGAAAGTAAAAGCGATGGTCTAGATAGACTCGTAAATAAATGATTGATATGGATAATGGAACCGTCGCATTGAAAGAGCCTAGTCGGCCCAACTCATACGGCCGCAGCTACGTTATTGGATGTTCTCTCCCCTTGGCAGGCAGATGGTTCATATGGAGTGTTGCGTGCAACTGCTATCTATATTAGCATACTACGGCATCTTGCTTAAGCCATTATTCAAGATGTAGATTCATGTGTGGACTAAGTAAACTAGATAAGCGGTTGTGTAAACACTATGTGCGTAATACTATACTAGATAGTGTCCTAGGCAAACTTGTCCCTGAATACTATATCACATCCCCACCACCTTTCTTTATTGACTCAAAACCACAATTTAACCTACTTCGGAGCAAAACCTAAATCCCGGCATTCGTAATAGTAACTTTCCTCTCCTACAAGCTCGGTGAATGGCATCATTGCAGCCGATCGGAACGCAACCCCGGAATCCCGCCCCGATCTGGCAGGTCAATACACGGCTCCCACGATACGTAGCGTCGCTTTCTTGGCCCTCTGATAATGCGCGTTGTTTTAAGCGACCCATAGGAAATCCTGGCTCCGGAAAGGAGTGGAAAATTCATGCGCCGCTTTGTTAAGCTTAACACGTATAGTTACCGTCAAATGCTAAACTTGCCCCCCGCTGCTCAAAGGCAATTCGACAGAATATGCCCGATGTTTGAGGGGTCGCGAATCGTCTAAGCCCGAGAAAGAAGCTGCTTTAACAGATGCCGCAAACTAGAGCCGCCGATTAGTTTTTTGCTATGCTTTGCTCATCTGAGGAGCCTATAGAGTGACTAAAAGGATGTGATTCCAAGGTTATAGGCAGCTGACCAACTTCTTGTTGCCCAAATCCATTGCGTGGGATATAGTTACATCGCCCACAACTTGGTCAACGCCAGGAGTTTCTCAGTTCGTATAGGATCGTCGATAAGAGCATTTGGCCCTTTGGTACCACTCATTGGGCAATCTCTTGGGTGATATTTCGCCTTCGCTGCCCGCTGTTTATTTGCTCCCCGAACCAGCCGAACCTGGCCGTGGATCATGCTCGTTGCGTGCCATTGAACATGGACTTTTGTTCACCCTAAGGGCCTTGGCGATGTGGAATTCCCATAGTTGCAAAAGTTCTCAACAAAACTCTTGGTGTTGAACAGAATGGATTCACAACACCTTCCTTTTTTCCTCGTCGCCTTTGCGTGAATTAGTCGCCAAGGCTCACGATGCTGTAAATCTCGACTGAGAGACGTGATCACATTCTACTTCGAGTGTAACATCCGGATTTTGTATACTGATAAGGAATTCCGAAGGAAACATCTTGCGAGATGGTCGAGATGCTGTCGTCGAGAATCATGAGCATAAAAGGGTCATATGCCTCCTCATTATTCCAATAGATCAGCCAGCAGGTTGCTTCACAAGGTCGAGCATTCAGTCCTCGCTCTGGTGCCTCTCCAGCTTGTTTGACTCTCTGATTGCCTCTCTACTGTCACCATGAAGTCTGCTATCCTTCTTGGCCTCACTGGCCTTGCTGCCAACGTGCACGCTCATCCCGCTCCGAAGCTGGAGACCGCCTCTGGCCTGGCCAAGCGCGGCATTGATATCAGCAAGTACAGCCTGCCTAGCTTGTCTGACTACACTCCTTCGACACACGTCGAGGAGGAGGCGTCCATCCAGGCTGAGGGTTTCAAGCGTGACTACGTCGCCACTGCTACCCGAGCTGTCAAGCGAGCTGCCCCCAACGCGGAATTCCGTGTCGTTCCTGACCACTATGTCGACGTTGACGGCATTGGCCACGTCCACTTCAAGCAGACAGCTCACGGCATTGACATTGACAATGCTGACTTCAAGGTCAACGTAAGTGAGACGAAGAAGAATTCCCTCTCCTCATTCAGCTGAGTAAAAGCTTACTTATCAATGCCTTGCTTCAGATTGGCCGAAATGGCAGAGTCTTCTCTCACGGAAACAGCTTCTTCTCTGGCAAGATTCCCGCAGAGAGCCCCCTGACGAAGCGTGACTTCTCCGACCCCACGAATGCGCTCAAGGGTGCTGTCGACATCTTGGGTCTCCCCATCCAGGCCGAAGGCGCCACCGCCGAGGCCCAGGAGGGAACTGAGAAGTACACTCTCAAGGGCACTTCTGGTGCTGTCAGCGACCCCGAGGCCCGCCTGGTCTACATCGCCAAGGAGGACGGAACTCTGTCTCTGACCTGGCGAGTTGAGACCGATGTCGTGGACAACTGGCTGCTCACCTACATCGATGCTGCCACCAACAAGGAGGTCCACGGTGTCGTAGACTACGTTAGCGACTTTGCTACCGTCGAGGTGTTCCCCTGGGGCCTCAACGACCCCACGGAGGGTGACCGCAAGACCTTCACTGACCCGTGGAGAACCGATGCTTCTCCCTTCACCTGGTTCGGCGACGGAACCACCAACTACACCACCACGCGCGGCAACAACGCCATTGCCCAGGTCAACCCCAACGGAGGCAACGACTACCTCAACAACTACCGCCCAACCAGCGCTACCCGGGCCTTTGAGTACCCCTTCTCGCTGACCCAGACCAACCCCACGGACTACCGTGACGCCTCCATCACCCAGTTGTTCTACACTGCCAACAAGTACCACGACTTGCTGTACGTCCTCGGCTTCAACGAGGTTGCCGGTAACTTCCAGGCCAACAACAACGGCAAGGGTGGTCTGGGCAACGACTTTGTCATCCTCAACGCCCAGGACGGCTCTGGCACCAACAATGCCAACTTTGCCACTCCCGCTGACGGCAGCAATGGCCGCATGAGGATGTACATCTGGACTGTGTCCACCCCCCGACGTGACGGCTCTCTCGAGGAGGGCATCGTCATCCACGAATACACCCACGGATGTAAGTTGTGATAGTCTTTCTCTCTCTCCTCCCTCCCTCCCTCCCCTCCCTCCGTCTCCCCTTGCTAACTCAGACATCACCAGTGTCCACCCGTCTCACCGGTGGTCCTGCCAACTCCGGCTGCCTGTCCGGCGTCGAGGCCGGCGGCATGGGCGAAGGCTGGGGCGACTTCTACGCAACCGCCATCCGCCTCAAGGCCGGCGACACCCGCGCCACCGACTACCCCATGGGCGCCTGGGCCGACAACAACCCCAAGGGCATCCGCCAGTACCCCTACTCCACCAGCCTGACCACCAACCCGCTCACCTACAAGTCCGTCAACTCCCAGAACGAGGTCCACTCCTCCGGCACCACCTGGGCCTCCATCCTCTACGAGGTCCTCTGGAACCTCATCGACAAGCACGGCAAGAACGACGCCGAGTTCCCGACCTTTGACTCCCAGGGCGTGCCCACCGACGGGAAATTCCTCGCCCTCAAGCTCGTCCTCAACGGCCTCGCCCTCCAGCCCTGCACGCCCACTTTCGTCTCTGCCCGTGACGCCATCCTCGACGCCGACCGCTCTTTGACTGGTGGCGACAACTTGTGCGAGCTGTGGACTGCCTTTGCCAAGCGTGGTCTTGGTTCCGGAGCCAGGTACTCTGCTTCCGCCCGAACTGAGAGCTTCACCATCCCCTCTGGTGTCTGCTAAATATCCTTCTTGTGAGAAATCAACTTTTGGATGAGATGTTTTTGAAGCGTGGATGTGAGAAGTTAAGATCTGCCGAAGGAGGGAAACAATGGAGGCTGGTCTCTCGAATCATGTAAGCAGATCGGTAACCTGTTACCATACCAAATAAGTAAAATGAAGTGAAAAAAAAAAAAAAAGGTTTCCCTGTGCCGCTGTTTCGGTGATGTCAAAATATCCCAAGATGCAGTCTAAATGTTCTGTATTTATGTATGCAACTTCTAGCAACAAGAAATATGAAAAAAAAAATCACTTTGCCCCAGTTTTCCCTGTGGCAGGCGTTACACTTCCTCCTGCTGCCACTGCTGCCACCGCCGTCTTCTTCTTCTTTAGCTTCGCAACGAAGCCCAGTACTTTATCTTTGAGGGCTCCGGATGGAGCCTCATTCGCACCCACCATACGCCGGACGAGGATGTTGTACAAGCCTCCAAAGGCAAGCGCAATGGTTGTTGAGGTAAAGATGATGACATTGTATGGCATGCTGAAATCAGGAGTGGGGAGGTAGAGAAGCAAGCTCGTGGTGCGAATGTTCATGGCCTTGGGCTCCAGTGTGGTGATGACAGCCGCAGCGACATCGAAACCACGGTTTGCGTCCGGGGGATACTCAGTGTATCGCAAGATAGACTTTTCAAAGTCATACGTGAGGAAGACGGTGCAGTGAGGGGGGATGCTGACAAGGAGCTCGAGTTGTGTGCCGCGGGCGCGGTCGAGGGCCGGGCGGTAGTAGATCTGCTTGACGATTTCGGTGGTTGTGTTGGTGTTGGGTGACGATCCCGAGATGCGGGCAGAAAGGGTGTGTAGATAAACGCGCATGAACCAGGGGAGAGATTCCATGTAGACAAACTCCACCGTATCGTCGCCTGGATTCGTGAGAATGGCTTGCACACCACCATGTTCCTGTCCATGGCCGGTGAAACTTCGCTCGGCGTACAGCACAGGTGTTTCCGGCTTGACAATTCCAAGAGAGGCAGCTTCTCCGTCAGCAGGGACCTCGGGCTTAGTCAAGATGAGGGTGAATTCCTTCTCTTGTTCGATGTGGTAGCATCGTAGAGAGTCGTTGTTGGGGTACTTGATTTCATGGGCACCTTCTGAGGAGAAGATGTCGCGAGTCGACGGGATGTGAACACAGACCGGCGGGGTTTCGGAGTCTGTCAAGGGGCATGTGCCTTTCATTGTTCGCCCAAAGATTTGGGATAACGTCCACTCTTGGCCGCGAAGATGGTCCACGGGGAAGCAAGAATCGTCTGGCTTATGGTAGGGCTTTGAAGTATCGCAGATTAGATCACGGCCAGGGGGAGGTCTTGGGATGGGGTTGTCTGGATCGTGTTAGTTAGCCCCAAGCATCGTTATAACAGTAGAATCCGTACCATGAGGTCGCTTGGAGCGATCAACGTCCAAGACCATGTCGACCGTCTGTTCAAGCTGGAGAACGCATTCCCCCTCCGAGGGGCAGATGGGCCGCACATCAATGGCCATGCTCTGGAACGACGCATCAAACAGTTTGTGTCCATCCAGTAAGCTCGCAATTCCGGCCTTGCCCTTACATGGCAGCATCTTTAGAAACGGTGTTAAGTTCTCTGTGCAAACCACTTCATGGGGCAGCACTCCATGCAGCAGCCTCGTATTGTCCAGCGTCGTGTTGGGATGGTCGCCCTCAGGCTGAAACGACACAACCGGTCGAATGGTCCTGGTCCCGTCAATGAAGTTGAGACTGGCGCAGAACAATCCAGACAGCGCATTGGTCAGCGTCAACCACTTCTCGTCCGCCTCTTGATCCGTCTCAGCATCTAACCACGCCCACAATTCCACTCCAGTGCCGCCCTCTTTGGTTCCGTCCCAGGGCCGAGTTCCCCAGCTCTCCGCATCCCATCGCCCCAGCGTGAATCTCAGGTGAAGCTCTCGTGTGCCCGCATACTGCAGGATCTGGCCTAAAGACCGCGGAAAGAGTCGAAAGTTTTGTGCCTCAAAGTCGGCAATTGAGGTGTTGGCTCGAAAGTTGAAGCTCGCGAGGAGTGCCGACAGAGGCAGCGGCCGTAGATTCAGCTGCTCGTGGTACTCGGTCGCAGATACCAGGACGCTGGGGATGATTAATGGTAGGAATGACAAAAGGCTGCGCATCGTGAAAGGAGGAAAAAGAAAAGAGAGTGAGGAGAAAAGGAGGGGATACGCGAGTCGCAGGCGCGATTCGGGCGAGATTTACATCTCTTGAAGTTGGACTTGATATTGCCAGATTGGAGCTGGGCATTTCCCTTGCGACTCGGTACGTACTGTTTCGGATAGGTGCAGCCACACTGGCCAAGCACATGCGCCACAAGATGGTGGGAGAAGTCCAGGGCACCTTGGCAGTGAAATCCCCGATTCCTCCACTAGTTCAGCACCCATTCAGCGTCTCCACAGGCGGCAACATGCTGTGAGCTGCAAGTATCCCAGCTCCGAGCTAGTGGCTGAAGAAAACACCAGCCACAGTTCAATCCGTCATCTCGAATCTAAAAAAGTACACCATACAAACGCTCATCAACTCGAACTCTCACCAACAACCAGCAGTTCAGAACCCTTCAAGCGCACCACGCCATGGCAGCCGAACAGAGAAAGCTGCTCGAGCAGCTCATGGGCGCGTCATCGTCGTCGCGCGCCGCCCAGCTCTCGCTCAACGACCCCAAAGTCTGCCGATCCTACATCGTCGGCACGTGTCCGCACGATCTCTTCACAAACACCAAGCAGGATATCGGCCAGTGCCCCAAGGTGCATGCCGAGAGCCTCAAGACGGAGTATGAAGGGCTTTCAGACCGAGAAAAGCACAAGTACGGCTTCGAGTACGACTACATGCGCGACCTGCAAAAGTACATTGACGAGTGCAATCGCCGAATCGATGCGGCGCAGAGGCGTCTCGAGAAGACTCCAGACGAGATCCGGCAAACCAATGCTTTGGTAAGACATCTTGTTACCCAATTGGAATCCCCTATCAAAAGAACCATAGCTGACCTCTTTTCTCTGCAACCAGCTCAAAACCATCTCCGACCTCACAGCGTCCATCAATAGCGGCCTCCTCGAAGTCGAGATCCTCGGCTCCCTAGGCGAAGTCTCCCGCGCCCAGGACGAGCTCTTCCGCGTGCGCCAAGCCGGCCAGCAAAAAGCCGAGCGCGAAAAGGAACTCAAGGCCCTCTCCGACACGTCGGGCCCGTCCGGCCACCAGAAGCTGCAGGTCTGCGACGTCTGCGGCGCCTACCTCAGCAGGCTCGACAACGACCGCCGGTTGGCCGACCACTTTTACGGCAAGATGCATTTGGGGTATGCGCAGATGCGGAAGACGTACGACGCGTTCCCCAAGGAGATGAAGGGCAGGTCACGGCCCGCCATGGATGACGACGGCCCGGGAGGAGGACCCAGGGGGCCGAGAGGGCCCGGAGGGTATCGGAGGGGGGGAGGAAGAGGTTACCGCGGCGGGTGGTAACGTCTGCCAGCTACCGTGGCATCTTAATATCTTTGCATTGCAGCTCGGCGTCAGGGAACGTTATTGGAACTCTACGGAAGATAATCAGGGTATATTTGTGTTTAGGGGTGTTTTACTTTACTGGACGAGATAAAAAGACGTATATAGGATTCGGAATACGGAGTGATATACCCCTTTCAAATTCTGCAAGTCGCTCACCATAGTCGCAATCACACGGCGTTTTGGACATGATTCTCTTTAAATATATTACGCTTCGAGTAGCAGTAACTAGTAACCAATGTGACTGATAATAATATCCAAGGGACCCCGTGGTAGTCCTTCTCCTGGTACAGACGCTTTTTTTTCTGTAATTCCTTTCCTGTCATATCATCGTATTTCCAACTCAATTTCAATATCACAAGACTAGGCCCTACAACGCTTTCTGACAATTTTCCTGAATGAGCGTTGACACAACCCAAATCAAAACGACCGCCGTTTGCCGCCCATAAAGTTCTCACAATTCTTTGATATCTTGCGTTCATCCTATGACTGAGCTTGATTCAAAGCGTCGAGTTCCTCCATCTCATCGTCCCACTTGCCGCCGCCCAGGACGATAGGCAAAGGTGGGGGAGGGGCTGCCGCCGCCTGGGCCATGGTAGGCTTCGATGCTGCACTGTTGTTCTGTTCCGATTCTGCCTTGGCCTTGGTGTTGTCTGACGGCAGTGAAGGAAAGTCGTCTGCAGCAGGGACTTGTTGTTGCTTCGCAGGGCGAGAGTCGCCAACTGGCCCATCATATGAACCACGACCTCGGCCGCGACCTCTACCGTTGCCGTTGGCGCCTCTTCCACGGTCTCCTCGCCCTCGACCACCGCCACCGCGGTAGCGGTCATCCAAGAAGCGATCGACATCCGGTGCCTCATCATCTCTGGCAAATCGACTCCCACCAAGGCCGCGGGTCTTGGCTCCTCTGATGCCACCGTTTGCGCCGCGGAAGCCCTGTCTGGCTTCTTCGTCAGCCAAAGCCTGCTTGCCTTCGTCCCAGCTATTCTCCTTGATGTTCATGGCCTTGAGTTTCCTCTCTCGGTTCTTCGCCCGTTCGTCCTCCAGCTTGCGCCTCTCCTCCTCGCCACGTTTCCTCCTCTCCGCGTCCTCGGCTCTTCTCTTGCGAGCCTCCTCCATCCCTCGCGCATAAGCCGCTGCGTGCTGCTTCTCGTCTTGCTCTGCCATTTCAAACTTGCGTGCTTTTTCTGCCGACAGAAGCTTCATCTTCTCCATCTTTGCAGTGAGTTCGTCTTCGGTGAGCTTCTGGCGGGGGTTAGAACCAGATTTGGCACGAATCTCGGCGCTGACAGCAGTGTTTTGCGAGGGTGACGAGCGTTGAGGCTTCTCTTTGGAACCGGTGGCTGCATTGGGAGGAGGGGGAGACTGCTCGGGCGTCTCCTCGGGAGCTTGGATAGGTGCCTCTGTGGCGGTTGGTGCAGGAGCTGGTTTCGGGGCCTGTGTAGGAGCCTGAGACTTTGCCGGTGCTGGCGATGGCTTTGGAGCAGGCTTATCGGCAAAACGGGAGGATGAGAGGCCTTTGCCTGGAAGCGGTTTCTTGTTCTTCGCTGCAACCGGAGCGGGTGAGGGCTTTGAAGATGAGGGAGCTTGGTTCTGCCGCGGTGCTGACGCTGGCGGCGGAGCAACTTGTTGCGCAGGAGCAGGAGCTGGAGCAGGAGCAGGAGCTGGAGCTGCTTGAGGTGGAGAAGGGACTGAAGCCGGTATTGAAGCTGGCAGAGGTACGGGTTCGGGCTCAGGCTGATAATGATGCTCCTCCTGTATCAAAACAGCCTCAGACTCGACCGGCTCGAAGTCGTCGTAGAACAGATCGTCGTCTGTGCGGCCACCGAACTGGTCCTCCATGGCGATGATGATTAGTCGTAATAATTAGCTAAATGAAACTATTGAAAAGCTAGGAAAAGATGAGGAGGGAAAACTGTGCCGGTTAATGCAGTGGTTGAAGACGCGACGACAGAGACGAGATCAGGGCAACAACATTGGAAGTACATGAAGGCGAAAGAATGCGACAGAAAGCGCTGAAAGCAGCCCCGCCACAGTGTGGGGTGTGGGGCTCAGCTCCCGGCGCATCTGCAGCTCTTTTTTGGCTGCTTAAAAACGAGGAACCATGTGGCGCAAAACAACATGAAAAAGAGGCTGGTGCTGGTGGCTTGTTGTCGTGGTGAACGAGAGGACAAATATTGAAGCATAAAGGCTTGAGTAGAAGGTATAATGTTGCTTATTTACTGAAGGTGTGAGTCTATTGTTCACTGTATGTTGGTGTTTGTATGAGTGTACCACACTCATACCTAGTAGTCTGCCTGTTACAAGTATGTGGTGATAGAGAGACGGATGGTATCAAAGGCTCCCCTCTATCCTAAAGAGTTCATCACGGCCTATAATAATCTCCCCACGGTCTCGACGTGATGGAACATTGAACATGATATGCAAAGTTATTGTTAGGCCGCAAAATCCTGAATCTTAGCTAACTTTATACTTAAAACATCACACTTTAGGTTAGGTATGTTAGATGTGTATGTTCCATCAATGACTACTAGGTAGGTAGGTAGGACATGTCTACTTCGATGAACATGCGGTCGATGAAATTGAACAGATGCAGCTAATCCCAAGAATGAACCATGAGATAGAATTCTGTATCCGAATCATTGCCTTATCAACCAAGCCGTGCCGCAATGATTGTATTTAGCCTCTCCGTCACAGCATCCTTCAGATCTTGTTCAGAGCTCACAAACGTAGCTCCATATCGCCGGCAAACAGCCTCCACATTGCCTCTCTTAAGGTAATCTGGCATGGCGCATATAATGGCCTTTCCGAATCGAATGCACATGCCCAGCTCCAACATGCTGATGGGTGCCAGGCTGACTCCGTGGAAGAAGACAACGACGATGTCCGCCTTGTCTTGCATCTCGAGCTCCCAGTGTACCTGCTCCACCCAGCGGTTGTCGGAGATGTCCTCTCTCCAGGTGGCATCCCAGTCAGAGCGGTAAGGGTTGTATATTGTGATGGAAAGCCCAGATAGCGCCTCCGTCAGAGTTTGTCTCCAGTCGGCTTCGCCCGTGTCACTGGTGGTTCCGGCGAGAAAGACGCTGGGAAGGGAAACTAAGTGCGGCGCCGGACGGCCAGGCGCCATAACCACAGTCGCGCTCATCAGTCGACTCTTCGGATAAAGGTTAATTGAGCCGCTATCAGGTTTTTGAGACAGTAGAAGAATAGGTAGCTAGCTGATGGGAAAGTAAAAGATGCGGCTGTGCACACAACCTTCCGGCTTTTGACTCTTTTGAGAGGCGGGGTGGCCATATCACGCATGGGTACAATCGAAGCTCTTCCATCGGGCTTCGTATGTACATGTATCGTTTCTGTAGCTTTAACATAGTCATATAGAATTTATGGTGTATCACGAACTGATTTCTTGTATGATAAGGAGAGCGCGGTGTTTACGAGTATTTATTAGCACCAGGCACTGTGCGTGTGTTTCGGCTGTTCATTTTCAAAATCCCCATATCTCCACCACTCTGAACATGTTCAAGACAAATAGCAGGTTCGTCGAATTTCACGATTTTGTAATACTGTAGAATGGGTTTTTTCCCTTCTTTAGAAAAGGGGCAGGATTAGACTCTCTGATAATTACGGCCGATTTATCACAATAAACGATATCATACTTGCGCAGCTATTCAGGTGCATTCATACAAAAGTATAATACCGCCAGATGCCGCGCAAAAGATTATACATTTCTGATGAGATATGCCTTCCATATAATACGTATGCTTATTATTTTCTTCCTCTTCCCTTAATACACATAACAGGTCCTGTAGTCTTGGCACACTCCAATCCAACAAGGCAAACGCCAGCCGTAAGCGGTCCTTCAGAAGTGATTCACCAGCTGCTCACAACATACATAACTTTTCTCAATCATTTTCAACTTCTTTCTAATTCATCTTTCCTTTTCATTATCATCTCTCTACTTCCCCAAGAAAATCTTTCCCGCAACACGCTTCCGCTACCGAGCCCATCATGAATAGCCCAGTTTCTGAGAAAGAGGCGTTGCCTCTCCAGGACAAACCCGAGAATCTCACTGGCCAGGATGGAACCAGCAGTCCAATTTCAGAATCCACCGATTCAAATCTCCAAGATGAATCCGACGATTCGTCCGAACCTATCTGGGTGCGAAGGGCTTTGGCTGCTGGAAGGACTCCGTTGCCCAGTTCTAGGCCACCGATCAAAACACTCGAACTGCATATCGCCGATTCTGACAGAACAATACGCGAATCATCATATGATTCCCAAGAAACCGTTGTTGAACAACCTCCTGCGCAAGAACAGAAGCAGACTGCGAAAGGCAAAGTTCGTTCCCCTTCCAATAATGGTAGCCTAAATGCAAAGAAATCTAACGCCCGGTCAAAGAAACAGAATGCACGCGCGTTTGTGACAATGGAGCCCATTATCTGTCACAGGATTCAAAGAAAGAAGTGGAAACCGAGTGAGATTGAAAGTCTTATTAGAATGAGAGAGGACAAGATGAGCTGGGTGTTGATTGCGGTAAGATGACCCTACCTGTTCGCAAGGCGCCTTGGTATCAAACATCTAACGAGTCTCGGTTGTAGGAGGCATTTTCCAACAGAACCGTTGCAAGCGTCCGCCAGACCTTTTTCAAGTATAAACCCCAGTCTCATGGCATGGAATCGGGCGAGAATTGAAGATGAATGGACACAATCTTCCGTGGACGGCTATTGGAAATGGTGTCGCTCCATGACTGTTCTCTGTATCTTGGATTTACCAAATTGGCTGGACACCAATTTTACTGGGCATAAACAGTGTCTTGATGATCGTTGGAATAGTACCGGGATAAATGATACCACCTCGCAATAAAACATATTGCATGTAGGCAGCTTTGCCCTAAACCCAGCCCGCGGCCTTGTCAATCTCAGGAATCCTGAGAAGTGCATCAAATATCCGTATTGTGCCAGTAGCCACGAGGCTCTGAAACCAACCAAGTCCCTCTTGCACTAGACCGTTGTCTTCGCCTCGACCAGCCCAAAGCTGGCACAGTCGGCGAACTTGCTCTCCCTCTTCAAAACTCTTTGGGGGCGACTTCGGCGCCCAGCCAAAGCCTGCCTTTTCCGTCAGTTCTCGAAGAAGCCCAACGCATTTAGGACATGGGCCTGGAAGTTCCATATCTACAGCCAAGTATTTATATGACGAATATCGGCAAGAAATAAAAGCTGCTATTGTGATGGAAGCAATTGCGTAGGCGCCAGATCTCGCGTGTGAACACGCAAGGAGCAATGTAGCCTCCAGATATGCGTGAAATGGATCGGTAATCCCAAGCCCATACGCAACGAAGAAGCCATTTTCAGAGTTTCCAGCTGCGATGTCAGTTCTCCAGTCGAACAAATCGTGAATTGCAAGTATCACTTGAGGTGCAACAAGGCCGTCCTCGAGAGTATCATTCCCAAGTGTATGGGCATTGTATGCCGTAGCACCGCCACTTGCTGCCCTCCAAGCCATGGCAGACTGCAGAGACACCTCGTTGCTCGGCCCGACGGCTTGTAACGCAGTGCCATCAATAAGAACATTGATTGCTCTGTCACCAAAGTCGAAAGCAGCCCCGATTGACTGGGCGACCAATCGGACTCGAACTTCGGTTTCTGTACCGGTAAAGTTCCAATAGTCATCACATACTGATAAATGGCATATAGCTGCGTATTTCAATGCCTCCTCGAGAGAGAGCCAAGCCAATGCCACCAAAGAGCAGGAAAGAAAGGCACTTTCGTAGGTTCCGACCGCCAAGGGGCTGCTATTGGGATAGTATGCGAGGCTCGGCTTCAACTTGAGGAAGTGCTGGCGAAAGCTCGTCTCTTTATCAACGTGTGACACACTAAGCCTCTTACCAAGATAATGGTCAGATACTAGCTGGGCGCACCCCTGAGCAGCCATTGATTTCACTTCCTGGCCAAATCGCTTCATCAGTTCTCGATGAACAATCGAGCATGATCTGGCCCACGTGGCCTTTGAGCGTTGCACAGAGTCTTGAGGTTCTTGTATTACAGCACGAGCGTATGCCACAGCATCCGACCAACTCTGCTTGCGTGTGATTGGGCCATGTCCTAGGAGAGCTTCGAGGCCAATTCTCATTTGGTTAACGTAGGTTCGAACTACCGCATCACTGGGATGACAGTAGTGATCCGTCTCACTGAATGTGTGATTCCGGTTATCTGAGTCGAGCTGATTGAGAAGCTTGTACATCAGCGTTTGTAATTTGGCATCTAGCTGATTAGGTGGCGGCTGGGCAATGCCGTCCCAGTTATGTAGGATCGGTGAGGTCTCTTCATATGAGTTTTCGGTATTCTCATTATCATCCGGTATTGAGTCGTATGGAGTCATATTGTGGCGATCCTCTGGTATCTCTTGCCTCAGAAGTTGCGGTAGATGACATGAGTGCTTCTCAAGAAACAATTTCGATGATGGATCAACTTTATATAGTTAACATTGTAGTATGCGGAATGCAGGGCGGAATATGACGGGCTGGCTTCAAATTCCGTCAAGTAATCAAACTCAGCTGCCAAGATTCTTAAAATGTTTTGTGAAATTGCCAGGTAAGTGACAGCGCCTGATTCGTCTCACGCGTATCTCATGATGCCTAGCTGAGTGTGCATTGACAATGACAGCCCCATGTCTACCAGTGATGGGCGGCTATGTGCATATGGTGGCGGCGGATCCAAAACATCAAGGCCGCGTGTGCTTACCTTGTTAATAACTTGAAATCGCTGGACTCTGGAAATATGAGAAAGCTTTGGAGGTATCTGTAGCCTCTAAGCAACGACTTGTTGATTGCGTTCTTCGCGCATCAGTTCTCTTGATACGACGCCACATGTAATTAAATATAGGCCCACGGAAAGAATCTTAGCAATTTATTGATAGTAACTGAGCATACTAGAACACTACAGCTCCTATGACGGATGCCATCGCTCCCTGCATTAATATCGGGGCCGTGCTGGCACTTAGGCGCACAGATTTCGGATGTTATTGAGCACGACATCAATATTATCTCAACCAGCAATGGTTTTCAGGTATACTCCCAAGCCCCAAAGTCACTCCCAGCTGGTTGGATTCGGATACCATCAACAGCTAAACATCCCAGACCATTGAATCGTGCGGTTGCCGCCTTGAGCACTGCCTGGTAAGCAATAGGTGCTCCTGGGGAAACAGGGCACGCCCATAAACCAGCCGTACCATCATTCGATCGCCAGTTGAGAACATGTACGGATTCCCCGTTATCAACTGGGGCCAAGTATGGGTGAAAGCCGCCGACTTGGGCGCCTGGAGGACGTAATGATGAGTGAGCCGGGGGGTAGCTGATGGAGCCATCCGGAGCGACGTAGACGAATTGGCCACCAGGAGCCGCCGACTATGGACACGTAACATGGATCGTATTAGTATAATACTCTATGCTGATCTATACAACGTTGGGATTGCTCAAAGGGCTGTACGTGGTTGGACTTACGGCAAGAAACGACATATCGTCGTTGACGAGTGTACTATCACCTGCGGGACACTGGGCAAGATCTTTGAGGTCGCAGCGTGTGCTGGGACTTTGGGCACCAATGATGAAAGATCTGTCCCGAGCGTTGATGACTTTGCCGTTGAGGACTGCATATTGAGGCGCATGAAGGGTGATGGTAAAGTAGCTCTTTGCAGCTACGACGCTTGCAAGGCCCATGAACTGCGTGAGAAAGGCGTAAATGTGCATTTTGTCCACGTTGTTGTCTCTTTCGAATGTGAATTATAATTGTCTTGATCATTCCGTGCTTTTTGAAGCTGCGATACGCTTTTTATGCAGCGCAGATGTTGAGCCTCTCATCTCCTCCATGTCATATTCCCCCTTTTCCGATCTTGAAGTAGGCTCGGCCATGTTTCGACTTGCAACAATTCCCACCCACAGTTGCCTCCATGGCATGATTTCTCGACTATTCTTGCTCTAGTTGATTACTCGATGCTGCAACACAAGACATTGCTAAGGTTATGGGAAGCTGCTGTGAAACTTCTTTAGCAGGACCACTTGGTGGCGGAAAGTTGGAAGGGGAAATAGGACGCGAAAGGGGGGCATCTTACCCAAAGTCTAGATTCCATGTCTATAGAGGCCGTTCCTACACGTGTCTCCATGATGCAGGGTTCATTGTTGTATACAGTTTTGAAGCCAAAGCAGAGCCAAAATGGTAACCGCATACATGAGCATCGACTGATTTGTCCCATCACGAGCGTATGCGCTGGCCGAATTTTTCATACATTCCATCCATGGATTGTGGTGGTGGTCATGGCTCATTCTCTACATGGCTCATATGCCAGGAAAAGCTCTGTTCACGAGACCAACAACATGCCCATCGCAGTCATAAGGGAGGCCGTTGATCAGCTCTCAGCTCTCGAGATGGCCCCTTGCTCTCAACTAGTGTTTCGTCTTTCCCGTATCTGCCCGGGCAGAAAAGCATCCATGACTACGTGTATACGTGGCCAACAAAAGTTAAAAGAACATTCTAACGATCAAGGTTTCAACTGCGTGCATAAGCCTACGGAGATGCAGAGCCAACACGACGGTAAGCAGAAATAGTGTGCTTAGGAGGCGCTCAGATCAGCCGCGAGCAATGGCCATTAACGGACGGCGACGGACGGTCGTGGAGCTCTGTGGCCGTTTATTTATTTTACTGATTATTCTTGTGATCATTTTGATTATTCATTTGATTTTTATCGAAACATAGATATACTTGCTCACACCTCATTTCTCTCATCTGTTGTTGTGCATCGTATAGCAAAAAGTACCACCTCGTCCTATATGTTTTGACAGACGACACTTACCAGATGGCGAAACCACGGCCGGCTGCAGCATGTCTTAAATGCGACAACATGGCAGTCAAGGATCAATTTATGAAGCAGTGTGCCGATAGTCTGTTGCGAAGAATCATTGGTGAGTCGGATTGAAACTTGCACGACATTCCAATCTCCATATCATACACAAAACATCCACCCAATCCCATGATACACACACAGTGTTGCATCCAGCAGAAGCAGCAAGATCCAGACCAGGCACTGTGCAGATGCAGTGTCAGCACGGTAGCATTGCTACGGAGAGACCGAAGACGAGACAGAGCCTCAATCACGAAGAAGAGGAAGCGAGCTCGTCATTCACGATATCGAGGAAATGGGACGATCTGGATTCCAGCTGCTCAAGGAGGGATGCACTGCGTTACCCCTGACAAGGTCTGGATTACAGGGAGTTCAGTTGACTCCCACATGTTCCTTCCTCTGAAAGGCCGCTGAGATGGCGCCGATACCGCGCTAAGCACGTCATCGTCAGAGTCACGGCCTCACCTCAGCAACAATAGAGGCAAAGTCTTTTTTCCCCATTCAACACATCCAGCAACTGCCAATTCGCGATCCGCGCGCTTCTTCTAATATCTCACCTCAGAGCGCGTGTGACTCGACCTCGCTGCAAAATCCAATTCTCTCCTATTCCCGTCCTTCAGTCGCACTTCATGTTATGATTCGCTGCAGCCGCTCGCGTGCCCCGCCATCCTCAAATTCCAGTCCCGGCGTCAAACCTTCGAGACTGCAAGTTGCTTTGCGAGGAAATTCTAATCATTAAACTCCAGCCACGATGCCTTCCCTCATGGCCGATCCGGCCGCTATGGCAGTTCTGCCGACGCTTGAAGCCTCCGAATGCCCGGAATCACCGCCAGAACTGCTTCACAGCCTCAAGCACAACAGCAGCGTGCTTGCTCTCGCCGTCAGTCCCGAACACGACTCAATCTATGCTGGAACGCAAGATGGCGAGATTGTCGTCTGGTCGTTGTCTACCTTTCACCAGGTCCAGCAAATCCAGGCGCATAAGCGCAGTGTCATGTCGCTTTCTCTCTCCCCGGACGGCAACTATCTGTTCTCGAGTGCCTGCGATCCCATCATCAATGTGTGGTGCCCCAAATCCCTCCGTCGCCTCTACGAAATCTACGGCAACCACGATGTTGGTGACATCTTCTCGACGGCATACAGCCCGCAACACGACACACTATACATTGGTGCACAGAACATGACTATTCAATGGGTCAGCCTGAGCGATCCGACCACAAAGTCGACTCCTGACTCCCAGCGACATCCCGATCGAAGAAGCCATCGGTTCTTTGACTCCAAAGCCATTGGTGGAACAAGCACCCCGAGACGGAGCGAGGATAAATGGGGGCTGATTCCCCAAGCCAAATGTACCCTGGAAATCGACAGCGGTGCGGTTCGCAAGTTTGCCCACTACGGATATGTATACTGCATGCTCATTGCAAAGGGACCTACTGTGGAAGCTGGCCCCGAGGAAGAGGTGCTGATCTCGGGCGGTGGAGATGGCACAATCAAGCTTTGGTGCCTTGGTGAGCCCGGCAGAAGCGACGTGGACGATCCCCAGCGCAGCGGCATTCGAGAGATTATGTCCCTTGGTTCTGATGATGGCGAGTCGGTACTGTCTCTGGCACTGGATGGCTCCTTTTTATATGCTGGCAAGCTTGACGGCATTGTAGAGCTCTGGGATCTGGACACTGCCCAGAGACTGAGGGTGATAAAGGCGCAGAACCACGACATCATGTCACTGCAGATGGGCTGGGGATACCTTTGGACTACTTCTGCCGACGGTTGGGCCAATGTGAGTTCCTTTCTTGTTACATCAAACCCCTCCATTTGGTTCTCCCCTTCTCCAAACATCCACTGACAACATGCTCTACAGAAATTCAGCACAGCGCATTATGGAAATTACCAGCATGTCTCAAGGAATGTCACCGAAAAATACAAGTGCCTCCATCAGTGGAAAGCGCACAACGGCAAAGAAAAAAGCAAAATCTTAGCATCTGCTTGCTCAACCTACAAGAACGAACGCTACTACATCACGGGAGCCAACGACAATGATATCTGTGTATGGAATATCAAGGATGAAGCAGATGCCCAGTCAAGTTCCAAGAGCCAAGCCGAGGACGACGTCCTTCTCTCCGCCCTGACGGAGTTTGTCTCGTACAAGACCGTCTCGTCCCGGCCCGAATTTGCAGAAGACTGTCGTAAAGGCGCCACATATCTCGGCGCACTATTTAAGCGCATGGGCGGATATGTTGAAATGCTCAGCACGGGAGAGTCGCACAACCCCGTCGTATTGGCAAAGTTCTCCGGGAAGAAGGAGGCTGTTGACAAACGGAAGCGAATCCTGTTTTATGGACATTACGATGTGGTGTCAGCTGACAATGACAAGAGTAAATGGGCAACCGATCCCTTTACCGTCCACGGAACTAACGGATTTCTCTACGGACGCGGTATCAGTGACAACAAAGGCCCTATCCTCGCCGCACTCTTCGCAGTAACGGATCTGATGCAAGCGCAAAAGCTAGAAAACGACGTCATCTTCTTGATTGAAGGAGAAGAGGAATGTGGATCCAGGGGATTCGAAAAAGTCATCCAGATGAACAAGGAGCGGGTTGGACCCGTGGACTACATCTTGCTGGCGAATAGTTACTGGCTGGATGACGAGGTCCCATGTCTGACGTATGGGCTGCGCGGTGTCCTCCACGCGACCGTCTGCGTCGATTCATCGCGCCCTGATTCACACTCTGGTGTCGATGGTTCCCATATGAATGACGAACCCCTTTCAGACCTCACAACAGTCCTGTCAAGACTAAAGGGTCGCGGCAATCGAGTCTTGATCCCGGGCTTCTATGACGGCATTCCACCAGTGACAAAAGAGGAAGAGGCTAGATACGACGACATTGCCTCCATCCTGCTGCGCCGCAGCACAGAGGCTGTCTCTGAGGCAGATATCAAGAGGTCACTCTTGGCCAGATGGCGGGAACCAAACTTGACGATTCATCGGTACAACGTCTCCGGGCCGGACGGCAGTCTAGTCAGCAGCCATGCCAATGCGCATATCAGCATGCGACTGGTGCCAGGGCAAGAAGTGGATGTAGTAGCAACGGCTCTTACAAGCTTCCTACAGCGAGAGTTTGCAGGCCTCGAGTCAGAGAATCGGATGCGGATTTGCATCGACAACAAAGCCGAGCCGTGGCTAGGTGACCCGACCAACGATATTTTCCGCACCTTGTGTGATGCCATCGTAGAGGCCTGGCCTGAACGCTTTGAGCCACGCCAAGGAGTCGCTCAAAACTCGAGTCTAGGCGAAAATGGTGACAGCAAAGTACCTCGTCAGCAGTCGCCCGACCCCTCTACATGCACCTCCATGTGCAAGCCAAAGAAGCCGCTGTACATTCGCGAAGGCGGTTCCATCCCAGCCATCCGCTTCCTCGAAAAGGAGTTCGGAGCGCCGGCGGCCCACTTGCCATGCGGACGTGCCAGCGACTCGGCACATTTAGACAATGAGCGAATGAGTCTTATCAACCTAGTCAAGGCGAGGGAGATTTTTGGAAAGGTGTTTGTTCGACTCTAAGGTCACTCACTATCCCTATTGGTTTCCCTTGCCGGATGACATGAGACGATGTTTACGACTGTTGGAGAAGGCCGTTGTTTAAAAAGCAGGATTTGGTCCTCATTATCATTACCATTAGCATTAACATGCGCGGAGCATAGCAGTCTTTGATAGATACCCCCCAAAAATGGAGAATTTTGAATATTGCTAAGAACGAATCCCCTGTTTATACCACCTGAGACGCTAGCCGTCCGGAGGCTTCCGCGATGGATCGCTATTTGACCGGACACTTGAAGCCGTGCCGCCAGCCTCCACTTCACATGCCAGAATATTCCGGTTCCTAGATCAGACGGCTGATGACGTCGCCGGTGTGGGGAAGCATGGCCGTTACGGAGCTTAATCTTCTTATAAGGCCTCCGAATTCACCTTTGTTTCAGCTGTGGATGATTGATACTTTAGCAGAGTGATTTTCATTTAAGTATATTTCACTTTTCACTCTCTTTCATCTTCTAATTGTGTACTTGTCTCAGAAGCCATATTTACAACTCTCAACACCACCATGGCGGGCTTCAAGAAACTACTCCAGACCCTAACCGGGAAAAAGAGCGACGATGCCACTCAACCCGAAGAGCAACCCCAAACTCCTCAGGCCAAACCCTGGTCCGGCATCGACAACACCCAACCAGCAGGCTCCAACCCCATCCGCGGCTTCTCCACCGAATATCTCGGCGAGCAAAAGTCCAGCAACACGGCCGTCCGCCGAGATCTCGGCTTCGCGGGCCACATCGGCGGAAAATGGTACGGCGTGTACGGCGACACGCTGTGGTGTAGCCCCGGGGTGACGGACCCGGATTTGGACCCGGATCCGGAAGGATTCCACGGCATGGTGCGGAACTCGGTGGCAGTGTTGACGGATGATCCGCTGGTAGTTAGGTTTGTGCATCTGAATGACGACGAGCCGGTGGCGCATCCCTTGCAGTTTACGCCGTTTGAGGAGCGGTGGGGGGAGACGAATTTGTTTGGGTTTGGGGGGACGAGTCTTGTGGAGGTTGATGGCTATGGGGAGGGTGTTGGGGCGGTGTATTATTTGATTGTGAGTTGTTGAGCCATGTCTTGTTGAGTTGAAGAGTGAAGGTGGTTTTGGATGGATTCATTTGATATATGCTGATACGATTATACATCAAGAACGAGCACGAAAACTATCGCCACGCTGGCATCGCCCGCGTTGAAGTCATAAACGGCGTTCCCACTACCACCAAGCGCCTTGGAGAACATGGCTGGTGGTGGGATTGCTCTACGACAGCAAAGTACGGCGATATTGCTACCTACAGAGACGTAAACAGCGAGTACATCTATGCTTGGGGCCATCCACCCAAGACTATAACAGAGTGGCCGGCGACGGAGTATATATATCAGACTCGGGTCAAGGCGACAGAAGCGTTTGACATAGACAAGTATGAATACTGGTGGGGGAGAGCAAAGGGGTGGCGGAGTGAGATGTTGAACGAGCATAATCCCGAGACGGCGGTGATGTGGGGGGCTGGACAGGGGCAGGTCGTGTATAGCGAGTGGTTCAAGTGTTATATCTATGTTCATTTGAGTAAGTGGTATACAGACTTCCTTGGGACGAGCTGAGCTGACTGTTCATCCAGATGGCCCAAAGGTGGCATTGCGAACGGCGGCGAAACTAGAAGGGCCGTGGAGCGAAGACCGAGAAGTGTTTGAAGCAGAGCCGATTGATGGGGGGTTTGTGTATGCGGGCGTTGCGTATCCGTTTTTGGATGAGACGGGCAAGACGCTGACGATTGCGTATACGAATAACAATCATATTCAGGTGATTCGGGTGACGTTTGAGTGAGTAGGGTCTTGAGTTGTGGGAAATGGACGACGAGATATACAAGACTTTGTTAAGCTTATTGACGTCGTTTGATCTGTTGATAGCAAGTTTGTCAGGGCAATTCCGTGTTATTTTGAGTCTCAGATATCGAGGAATAGAGGGTATTCGCGGATCAACCAAATGGTGTCAGATGGTGTGTAGGCAATTGATTGTCGCCATCTCCATTCATCATTTAGCCAGAACCCTTCTAGGCAGATGGTTTAACATCTTCTGGCTATTGCATCAACAACCCGATCCCTCCCAATGTGACCCAAGGCCCTGTAGAAGTGTCGTATCTCCCGGATCTCATCTTGTGTAGTGCTTCAGATTCAATTATGATTCGTTTCTTTCAACTGTTCAATAAAGCTGATTGGAATGAGTAATCTTTTTCAACTTATCTGATCTGCTTATGATCGGGGATAGTTGACGGCTTCGGGGGGCGTTTACCCACCTTTCCGGCTGGGCGTTCCGGCTGGGCGTTGCTGAATGCCCGCAATATCCGCATTAGCCGCAAAAGCTTCACTTTTACAATGGCAAAAAAGAAGGGTTATGAAGTGATTATAAAAAGGAAATACTCATCCAACTCAAAATAAAAGTTTAGGCTTTCCGTTATTTTTTAAGTTTTCGCTCTACTCCGTGGTTGAATTGCAGTGGCTACCAACACAGAGTTTCCTCTACCAATGGCAAATGCTTCGATATTGCTTGCACTGGTGTTATGAGGAAAGCAAAAGTCTTATACCCACGGAAATAAAATCTTGACCATACTGGAGACTTTAGATTTACATCCGTTGTATCTTATGATATTGAATGCTATCATCTGGTGTGTCATTCTACATATGGAAGCCAGATCAACTAGAATTACAATTCGCTTCGCTACACCGGTCTTATAACAGGCCGCGGCAGACGAGCAGTTAAGAATCAAATATGAAAGTCGACCGAAAGTCTCTCAATTATAATGCTTTATGATCGCAATAAAGCAACAACCACTAAACTTGTCGATTCGTCTTGTAACATCTTCTAATACTCTCAACTATTCTTACTGCCAATAGCCAGCGGCTACTGCGGATATCTCGGAACCAAAACTGCCGTGCCCTACAAACCGTATGACGCTATAAAGGCTCTCAGTCACGGCTTTTGCCCCTGCGTCGGAAATCCATTCCGGCCGGTTGGGTAGTCCCGCAAAGAGACGCGGATGAAAAAAATATGAAGAGTTATCAATCTCTCTACCACAGCTTGGGGAAAAGATTCTTTCGTTTCATTCACTCTGGATAACTTCTAGACTCATGTTTCATCTGACACACACACCCTCGTCTTAGTGTATGAAAATCTTCGATTGATTGTAGCTAGCTCTTCTTAGATGCTGCTTGCCACACCTCTCGCTTTACTTCTAAAACTCTCTTTTAATCTTCTAGGCTACACAGTACATTGAACATCTGAGCTGGTTGCCTCTTATTTCTCATCCAACACGCGTCTTTTATTCAACAACACAGATCACTCATGACCACCTTGTTGCATGAAGAAAGCACTTCGCCAGCAGAAGATGAAGCAACAACCCCAACCCCGATTCTGGTCAAGTGGGATGAAAATGAGCCCGCCAATCCATTCAACTGGTCCACGCGGTACAGGGCCTTTATCACCCTGCAATTGGGAATGATTGCCATGGCAGCCAGTGTGGGATCTAGCATAATGGCTCCCACAGAACCGACACTCCAAAAGGTCTTTCACATCGGCCACGAGGTTTCTGTCCTCTGCATCTCGCTCTACATGTTAGTTAATCTCCTTCAACAAATCCCTTCAGAGAAACTGTATAATTCTAACCGCAATAATGAGTAGTCTGGGGTTCGCGTTTGGACCGCTTTGCTGGGCGCCAATCTCAGAGCTATGGGGTCGGCGAGTTTCTTTAATTTTCCCAATGATGGCAGTCGGGCTATTCTCGATAGGCGCGGCAACAAGCCAAAACATCCAGTCCGTTCTGATAACACGGTATTTCGCTGGATTGTTTGCTTCGTCGCCGGTGAGCAACGTGGGAGCAATCATGGGCGACATCTGGCCCCCGAAAGTTCGCGGCACTGCAGTGGTGTTTTATGCCCTTGCTGTTGTCGGGGGCCCTACTCTGGTATGATGCACCCCTGTAATGTGTGTAGCTGGTGAGACTCGTTTTAACAAGTTCTAGGGTCCTGTTATCGGCGCATCCTTGACGGTGAATCCTCACCTTGGTTGGCGTTGGACCGAGTATATCCAGGCCATCTGGACATTCACAGTTACTACCATAATTTTGATCTTCTTACCAGAGACTTATGCCCCTGTATTGTTGAAGAGAAAGGCAGAGCGCTTGCGTAAGGAGACTGGGAACCAGGCATACTACCACCGTCACGAAATGACCAAGCTCTCGCCCAAAATCATTGTCACCAAGCATCTCTCTCGGCCTCTTCGCATGCTATTCACGGAACCGATGGTGACGTGCATAGCATTATACGCGTCTTTTGTCTACGGCCTGCTGTACATGACGTTGGAGGTGTTCCCCATTGTCTTTGCCCAACACAGGGGATGGGGTTTGGTAACAAGCTCGTTGCCATTCCTGGCACTTTTGACCGGTGTGGGCTGTGCCATGCTTGTCAACTTGGCGAATCAGCCACGATACGCACGACTCGTCGACGCTGCGGGAGGGAAGCCTGTGCCAGAGGCCCGTTGCGCTCCAATGGCGGTCGGTGGCATCGTCTTTTCCATTGGCTTGTTCTGGTTTGGATGGACGGCCAATCCAAAGATTCACTGTGAGTTTGTGACGCAGTAAGATTCGATCATGATCATCCCGATATGCTAACATGAGTGCCAGGGGTCGTGCCCGTATTGGCAGCCGTCTTTATCGGAGCCGGCTTCAACATCATCTTCCAGCAATGCATCAACTTCCTCGTCGACACGTACCGCTTATACGCCGCAAGTGCGACATCCGCCAACACACTTCTAAGAAGCGCTTTGGCGGCTTCATTTCCCCTGGCAGCCACGCCCATGTTCAACAACCTGGGAGTCGGGCCGGCAATGTCTTTGTTGGGAGGAGTTGCGGTTATTGCCATTCCCGTGCCATTTTTGTTTATGAAGTATGGCGTGACGTTAAGAAAGATGTCCAAGTTTGCGCCAGTAGACGATGAGAGACCACAAGCAAACAAAGAGACTAGAGCATAAAATTCCACACCAGCGAGTTAGCATGACGCGCATGTATGTGTGAAATTAATACATTTTAGAATACCTATAATAAATCACTTGGAAATTGGAATTATGCCTACTTGTGATTTCGGAATGGACCCTTGTTCGGTGGATATTTGGGATTCCATTGGTAGGGGATTCCGGGTTAACTATCTCAATTATCCCCTAAGGCCTTGGGAGAGGTTAAGAATGTTGTGCATACCTTGCATATACAGGCCCCAGAGCAAAGAGTCCAGTGGACCTCAAGTTAAGCAAGATTGCTCATGGCAGATTATTATCTTTAAGTGTAAATAGGACTGAATTATCCTTGTATAATTGCGTTTGAAATGTGCAATTTCATTGGGTATTGATGGTGTATTCCCGGGTATTAATCATTTCGGCCTTTCTTTTTACCCCAAATTCACCAAGATTTCCCCGCAAAATCAAATGTTAGCACATGTCACATCGAATTTACCAGCAGAATCCACCGCAGCCGTTCGTTTCCCCTTCTGGAAACAAACTCCTAAGCCACTAAAGAAGCCACTCAGCATTCAATCTACATCAAATCAGGCATATTCCAGTTTCAGCTGGTTAGTAAACAAGCCAGTACCATTGCCAACGCTGGGGGTGGGGTTGCCTCGGTTCGGGAACGGACCGGCGATATGCACAGGGTGCGAGGGCATTCAAAAGCTGGAAATTCGTGATTAGTTTCATCTTTGTCGGTATCGGTGTCCTTTGGGTGATACATGGCTGCGACGGTTACACCCAAACACAACGGGACAATTCAGTGACGAAACCCGGAAGTGATTCTGCCGTCGGGTATTAATTGGCAACTTAGATTCGTCAACAACGTACGGCTCAAGTCGATAATAGATAGAAAGGGCGAAATGACTGCCGAGGCAAAGATTCCCGCCTCTTTGGAGGAAGAAACCGCCATTCGAAGGCTTGACGAAAGGACGTTTGCTGCCAATCTCTCGCCCAGTTTCTGCATAGGCGCTGGTAAGTTATACAATGCCCTCACATTCGTTAGCATCACATGAAAGCTAACAATCTCCATCACCTCAGTCCCCAATGGCGGCTACGTTGCCTCCGTCTTCCTGCGTGTAGCAAAAGAATATCTCGCACACAAGAACCTAACAGACACAATCACCGCCCACTGGGAATTTCTCAACCGCACCATCTCCGGCCCGGCTGTTCTCGTCGTCGAGGAAGTAAAGCCCGGCCGCTCCATCTCGGTGCTGCACATCACGCTCTACCAGGGCAATTTACTATCCCAAGCGCCATGGATCTCGACGGGCTCGCAATCCGGAACGCCAAAGTCGGAGAGAGTCGTCGCCGCGTATCTGACAAACAGGAGCATCGCCGCGGAGAACGGCATCAGCCTGCCCACGGGATGGTCGCTGCAGCCGAAGTTGCCGCCGCCGGCTGACTTTGACAAGATGCTCGCCAACAAGGATCCAGAATGGGGAGCTCTGGATCTCGTGATTCAGCGGAGAGTTACGGCCGTGCAGCAGCTTCGCTTCTTTTACAATCGCGCCGCTTTTGCGAAATCCGGGACCGACTCCTCGTTTGACTTGTGGATGTGTACCAGCAACGGCGAGCCATTGAAGGCTACATCCCTAGGATTCGTCGTCGACTGCACGGCGGCTTTCATCCCCGAGCTACACCGTCCTCGATCCAAAGACGATCCTCCTGTTGCGGGAGGCGAGTTCACGCGCAAGACTGCGTTGTGGTATCCTACGTTGGCTATGAACCTGGAGGTGAAGAAGGCGTTGCCGGCGGAGGGCGAGCGGTGGCTCTTTGTGCGGACGTCGGCTAAGCAGATTTACAACGGTCGGTTTGATGTTGAAGTTATTGTCTTTGATAGAGCAGGCGATTTGGTTGCTTTGAGTCATCATGTTGCCATGGTGGTCAACTCTGAGAAGAATACAGCCAAGAGGGCTCCGTTGGCTGGAATTACATACAAGATGTGAAGAGCGCGGGCATATTATGTTGGTAATTTTTTATTGTTTAATGACCTTTTTTGTACAGAAGACATGGTACATTCTATCTTAGAAGTGGAATTCAATACAGAACATGACATAGAATATTTAGGAATTTCCATCAGCTCAACAACATGAACCTAAGGCTCCCATATACTCTCTATAAACCACAGCTTGCCACTCGACTTCCACGCCCCCTGCCATCGAAATCGCTTATCCGCCTGCTCAAACAGGCTCCTCCAGTCATCCACCTCCCGCTCCCGGGAATTACAAACAGTCTTCATCAGCACGTCCATCGTCCGAATGCTCTTCTCTTCCAACTGCGAGAGCAAACCCGGAGCCGGCAAAACAATATCATTAATGATGACGCGAGCTCCTGGCCGCAGAGCAGGAACCAGCGCGCGGAGAATGTCAATGGCGTACTTGTCTGAGAACGCATGGAAGATGTGTCGAAACAAATATGCATCTGCGCTTTCCGTCTGAGGCTGGAAAAAGTCGTGCGTGGTCAGGGATACCCGATTGGTGAGGTTCTTGGGTATCTTGTCTATGGCTTCGGGCGTGCGCATGCCGGCCAAATCTTGCACGATGAACCGCAGCTGGGGAGATTGTTCCGCCACGGCAAATGACACAACCCCTTCGCTGCCACCCATCTAATTTCGTGGGTAAGCAAGTGGGTTTCTGGAGAAGTAGAAAGAGACAGCTAATACTTACATCAACAACAGTTGAGGAGCCAAGCCTCGCCCACGGATACCCTGAAACGGTATATGATATGTCGTATCCTTCTCGGCTACCATGAGACTGCAGCATTGTAGCATACCGCCTTGCTAGTGCCTCGTCCGCCTGTAAGTGGTCGAAGAAGCTGTCATTATGGTTAAACGTAATGTTGACTCCCTGTGGTACTAGTGGATTAGCATGTATTCACTATGCTCGTTGTCTTTCTCCTTACCGTCTCGTTAGCCTCTTGGGATCCGGGCCACTTCTTCATAGCCGCAACTGTGTTGGCCACAGGACCCATCATATCCATTGTGAAAAAGGCTGCCCAGTTGGCCAATGCTGTATCATCTAACAGAAGCAAAGATGTCCGGTTATGAGCCACCGAGCCAATCTTTGGCTCGTGAAACATGTTGTTGGTAATAGCAAGGCGCAGTATGCGCCGGAGATCTGACGGTATGATGGTAGTGCCACTTAAACGATGTACTTTAACCGCAAGCTCTTCATACGTAATTGACCCTGACAATGGGACCGCCTCTGCAATCCTGAACTCGCATATCGCATGCAAAGGAATGTAGCTGATGGCCTAAAAAAGCAGTTAATAAAGATTTTTAACTCATGTCCAAACATCTCTGGCTTCTTGTGAGTCGAAGCATTGAGAATCGCAACTTACGTCCCAGGCCATAGTCTTTAACCATTCGCGAGGACCCAAGACAAGATCATGAAGCTCTTTGGTCAGCGCTATAATCTCTTGCCTAACCTTGATGGCTTCATCATCTACTTCGTTGAGAGGGAAATCTGAAAGGCCATCTGCTTGGAAAGAAGGAGCTCCAAGGCCTTTTGCTCTCAATTTATTGGCCAAGATTTGCGTTTTCTCTTCAATTGCTTTCGACAGTATCGTCAACTGGTCAACGGATGACTCGGCAGTTGCCTTTGCTAGCGACCCCATGTTTCAAAGACTTGATTCTGAATGTACGAGTGTTCAGGTTAAGCACGAGCAGAAGGAGGAATCGAAGTTCTCTTGGAGCGGAGAGTCGCAACGAATGGGAAACAGATGAAAGGAGAGAGCCGAGGTTTCTTCTGTTATTAAAGATTATTGAATATTTATATGATGGAAAGTCTTCAATTTATCTGTCGGGACAAGGGTCAACATCCTCCACCACCTCATTTTCTTAGACTCGCTATTGTCTGCATCGGGCGACCAACACCGTTTCCAATATTGCTTATAATGAGCACATCTTCGAGATAGCCCGCGGAACCGCACGTCTGTATCACACTGCATGCTCCACTGTTCCTTGTCATGGAGAAATGAATTATTGGCCAGATGAATTTGTTGTTGGTCGCGTTCATATAACTAGCGGGAAGGGAAGGACGGGCTGCTCCACAGATATTAACACCGATGTCTTGGGATCTGAGGGCGGCTTTCCATTTTCCTGGACCTTTGAAGGGAGTGTGAAATGTATCATAGTAGAATCTGACAGCATCCTATTGCAATATGTAATCGTAGGTATTGAGGCTGTATCCTGTCCAAGCCTTCTTTTGATAGCCTCGCCTTGTTCGAGAGTCTATCTGCGGAAGCTAGCTGCTTGTGCCGTGATGTGGGTAGAGAGAGGCCCTGCATCGAATTGCCGCCCGGCGCACTCGGTTATCAGACCGCGCGAGTGCACAGCAACAAACCCCCCGGGATTGACATACGAGGTACGGGCAAACGGACATAAACGACACTCTCTCTTTGCTCCCCACTTCGCGGCACTTTTGTTTGACTTCTTCAAGTTGAACAAACCAACGCATTCATAATCTTGGACGCGGGCGTGCCGAATCGAGGGGCGAGGCCGAGGTCAAAAAAAAGCACAAACGCAAGCCGCCGTGATATGGAGCCTCCTCATAGACATACAAATGTGCTCTCGTACAGTAATATGTAGTGGCCCCATCGCAACGGCCAAGACGGTTTCTGAGACCTTCCAAGCCGTTGCTATACTTCTCACGGCAGGTTTTCCATCGTCATATTCTGTACGCAGCCGCGCTGAGAACGGTGATAAATAATCATTCTGGTTGAACCAGCTGGTAGAATGCCCATAGCGGGACAGTTCATAAACATGTCAATACTTGACTCAACTCTCTGTCTCCCCTGCTCCATGCATGTCACTAGGAGAACCGGGCTAAGGTATTATTTTGGACGACCCAGGGAAGGGTAGTTTTCTAATCCCAGCTGTCGCAGATGTCGCAGTGGGCGGCGATTGAAAGGAATCCACATATGTATCCAACCAGATTCGCGAGATTTGGCTGAAGACGAGCCAATAGACAATAAAGTTGATTCACTTGTAAAGCGTATCCCGGCAAAGCGGCTCTTGGAAACCAACAGAGGTAGGTATTGACCAGCTGTTCCAGGGTTACAAGCATAGCCTAATCGGCGATTGGCGCTGATAGACTGCATGATGCTGCCTGTGTTTCCCCACTCGCAGGCAGTCGTACCGGCAGGTCAAGTATTGAGGAAACAAGACAGCTCGAATACGATATATTCATGTTACCGTCCGTTTGGTGAAGGGTGATACAAATTGTTATGCCAGAGAAGCGGTGAGGCTGAACCCGAACTTGAGGCGTGACAGTGGCGTTTGTGTCTCGGTGATCTTTCTCTGCCTCTCACTGGACGGAAACCTCACAACCACGCCAGGATGAAACATTCTGTTGGTCCAAGTGCATTTGGAGATGTTAGAGAGCGCGGAAGAAGACCGAAACGACATTTTGGCTGGCAGAGACCTGTTGTGTTGAGACGTGGGCGAGTGGCTTGGCGGCGCTTGCAATGAGACGAGGCGAATCAAGGCTATTTGCTGTTGTTGGTTGAGTCGAGCTGAGTGAAGCCGGTTATGCACGTTGATGATAATTGCGACCAAGCGGCTACGAGCATTGTTGGGGATAAATCCGACACGTTGTATTTCTTCACTCTCATTTTTCTCGACGATTCGGTATGGCTGCCTGATTTCTTCCACAGCTGGTGTTGCATTTTGTTTCCTTGATGCGGTGATGTTGAAATTGAGTTGATGCCTCAGGGTAAGTGATGATAGGAATCCGGGTAGGTTCCATAGACGCAGGCAGATCTCCAATGGATCAAGTTACAGTGGAGGCTTATAGGGGACTTTGGCGCTAGAGCACTCCATTGTAGGGCGCTAGAGGGCTGTCCACGTTGAAGGATAGCGCCACAGCCCTCCTCCAGATTTCTTGGCATCAAACATCCATCAAATCATCAATGGATCCATTCCAAACTGCGTCATCCGCCCTGTTCAGTCCCTTTGCTCGTCTCATTGCGGAATCTGCCTTGTTTCTGATCTGTCTCTGTTTCAGGAGACTCTCGCCTCAATTCACTTCAGCTCTCTACGAACGCTGTTGATTGTTACTCTACACCACTAATCCGCTGCTATACGCACCCACGATGCGGGTCGCGGGGGACCCCTGGTCTAACCAACGCCTCTGGCCATTTGGTCAATCTCACTACTTTGCCAGACACTAATTGGCCCATGGCAGCAGTCAAAAGGCACAGGTGGCTTGGGGGCTGGGCCAATGGCGCCAGCCTGGTCGCGCCGCACCGTCCCGCGCGCCTCGTCTCTTGGGCTGACTCGACTCCTGGAAATCGATAGGAAAGGCGACCACTGGCAGAGCCTCGAGTCTTGGGCAACGGACTGCAGAAGAGGCAGAGGCAACAGGCAGATCATGGGCTGTCCTGCCAATCAATCTCTGCCACAACTCGACGTCGACTTTGCCTCCGCGGCCTAATTGATGCGGCCGATAAAAAAAACGCCTTGCCGATGCCATCTGCTACATGTGCTCTCCACGATCCAGCAAAACCCCAACGAATCCCTCGATCGAGCGAAGCAGCTGTTGCTCCCTAGCACGATCTCAACTTAGAGTTGAGTCAGCCTCGATCTACGATGAACAGCACCGCTAGCAACAACGGCAACAATGGCGGCAATGACAATTCCGATTTCATCACGGCCATCGTGGCTTTGGTGGTGTCTGTCGTGGCGCTGCTAGCCACGTTTATGCAAGTGTTGCAGCAGTACTATGCGTCTGCTCAAGGATATTCTCAATGCAACGAAAAAGTTATGGGCGGCTGGGCTCAGACCAAGACGAGACAGTTTCGATTGGACGAGCTGCGATTCGAGGTCCAATTCGACGTGCCCGTCATTTTCGTGTCGCCGCCCACGAACCCCAACGGACCAGTGGCAGATGCCCCCATCTACTATCTCGACGGCACTCAAAAGTCCCAGGACGATACACACTCAACCTCGACTTTGGATCTGCGCAAGGAATACAAAGAAAAATCCGCAAAGGAAAAGATTCACACTTCGGACAATGAAAAGGCTGCCTGGTATGTGCTGCTCTTCGCCGCCCAGCGCATGGAGTTGGAATCACGAGAATGGCAGGAGAAGCAATACAAGGATTTTGGGCCTCCCGCAAACTTGCACGGCATTCCATCAAAGCCCCCAACGTTGGTGGATCACCATACTCTGACTATTGCCGTGCAGCGGAAACGCAAGAGCTGGGATACTATGCCTCCATCTATCACCAAGCCCTACGCCACCACCACCATGTGCCACTTGATAGAAATGATGGCTGCGGTCGGTGTGTATTGGAAAGAATTCGACCGTAAGCGTGACCGTTATTGGGGAGAAGGCAATGGCTTCATGATTTTGGGCGAGAGAATCAGTGATCCCGGACTCATGTTCTCTTTTCAGGTCAACGGCCAGTGCACCTTTAAGCGCAATCGTGTCATCCCCGTTGACGAGATCAAGGAGCTGTGCTTTGGTTATGTGCCCACCATTTATCGTGAAAAGGACGATAAGCGGCGGTTGAAGGGCCCCGGCGAGCAGCAGCAAAACCTCAGTACCCTATTGATGGGTAACTTGCGCGAGATTTCGGAAACCTTGACTTCGATAGGCTGCAACAATGTTACGACTCGAATGTGCTTGGATAGTGGAACTCGAATGTCTCACCTCTTTCCCAGTATGTCTTCTCTCCCCCATTGTTACCAATACCTGTTACTGCCATTCCGAAACTGACACCTCTTGCTAGTATCGTTCGAGATTCTGGGCATGGTGAGCCGGATTTTTCATATCGAAAACAGCAGCTTCACATACCTCCCTAATCCCACGCCAGACAGCTGGGATAATTCATCAGTCTCCCTACCCAAAATACTTGATGCATTTTATTTAAAGGCTCAATTCGACCCCAATGGAATAAAGCAACACTCTATCGTGATTGCACGCTACAGGCAACATATTGACCAAATAAGGGAGCACCTGGATGACGATAAGAGCCTTGATAGATGGCTGCTTTTGAGGTCGCTCCATGCAGCATTAGATGACACAGATGATGTCCTCACTGCGAGGACAAAATTAGAAAGGCAAACCAGCCACGATGCTGAGGAGGCTTCAGACAAGCCGCAAGACGGTACTTCTAGCGCGGAAAGGCACATGCGTCGGCGGGAAATTGTTCAGGATGTACTGAGACACCACATCCAGGAGGTGATTAGGCTTCTTAACCAACAAGAAGACCAAAATTCGGACTCCCTCTCTCTCCACCCAGAAGTGCCAGCCCCTTCAGAGAAATCCCGCCCAAGGCCGCCGCTTCAGCGATTTGAAGATATGGACGCTGCCGGACCTGACGATCGACAGGACATTTTAATGGACGTGTACTTTGATGTTATTCGGCCTCATGTAGTGTCGACTGCCTTTCGCACAACTGATCGAAGAAACAGCCTTGTTGGAGCCCCTCCAAGTATCCGCTCGAACACCTCACTTCTCCCGCCTAAAAGTCCCACCAGTGAATCTATTGTCAAGGGCGGGGAGCATTCGACGAGGGAGATGGCTCTGCATCTTGAAGGCCAGCGAGAGATTTCCATCACAGTGAGAAACGCTGCGGAATCGGACGACAATCTCAGCGGTGTCTCGCTCGCTGATTTGGACGTTACCCACGATGACGTGTGGTGCACTCTTGTTTTCCGCATGGTCTGTTGGCTGATGCTGCATAACTTTAACAAAAAGGACGTCCAGTTGCCTAAGAGCGAGCTTCTGGGCAGCCGAATGCCGGTTTACATCTCATGAGAAGCGGAAACCTCTTTATTTATCATATGCATAAGCGAGATTCTTGGTTACGTCAATTCTACGGAAGCATGCATGGCATTAGTTTTTGGGCTTTTTGGATATATTTAGAGAAGGGTTATACAGAGCCAGGAAATGTTGGATTTTAGGAATGGCATTATATTTTAGAGTATTTGAGCGTGTCTTGAAGCAAGATGGCTCTGGATGATGAACACCTTGTCGGTATTTTACTTTACATAATGGAAGAGGAAAGGGTTTCTTCGGAATATCGGTCATATCAATGAAGTGGTAGCCTAAAAATAAATATTTGTAACGCGTCAGATATCATGTTTATCAGCCCAAGTGCTAAGACAGCAAGGCGTCAGATCTGACTCTACGTCATCAGTCACAATAACATAGCACCAGTAGCAACGGGAAAATAAGCACATCCAGGGCAGACATTAGCAAGCAAGACCAGAACCTGCTGCAGCTCTCGCCCTTCACCTGACTCGTGAAAGTTCCTGAACCTGAGAAGTGCGGATAGGCTTTCTGCGCTGGTGACTCGAGTATTATAATACTCATCTTTTATGTGCAGGCTGTGCAACGTGATAGCCTATCGGTATATCTGGCTGGAAAATACCCAGGGCTTAGTATCGGGCTATTTCATCATATTTCATCAGTCTCATTCCTTTCACCATGGCTTCTTCACACTGAGCATTTGTCGGCTCTTTCGAACCTCGCTTCAAGGCTTCCGAACCGGCAGTACGGAGGTCTCGGGACCCGTATCAGGTACCCGAAACTTGGCGCCGCTACCATTTGATCTTACTCGTGCACGCCAAATTTCTCCGTGCGCAAAAGTAACTGCTACTCCGCCCAGTAAGCAAGAACCAGTGACCGCTTTGGGATATCGGCCGAGGCTTTCGTGTTGGCACTGAATTTTTTTTTAGGGGGCGGCGTAGCGTATGTTATGCGTTGGCAGCCTGGTGTGGCGTTCGTTTCGTATTTTAGGTGAGGAAAGGAACAGACGAAAATGTGACGGCTTTGCGGAGACGAGACGGCTGAATGGGGGAAATGTTTGGATGGTCTGGGGTTTTGTTAGGCGGGTGGATGGAATTGGGGTTATTGCACGGGTGATGGGGGACGGTTTGTTGGGTGAGACGATTGATGACGAGACGACGGGGGATATCGTATGGTTGACTGGAAAATAACGTTTGTTTTTCTTCAAGGGTCATCTTAGTAGCAAGAGAGCAGTGAGATATGGTAGCACATGTTGCATGTGCTTGGTATTAGTCTGGATAAGTATGTGTTCCGCTCTGTATTCCGTCTTTGTACAGCCAACATACACCGGATGCCGTACTGCATTAGCATCAATCCAGCTTCCAATCCTCACAGCAGGGTCTTTTGATACTGGTCTCCCACAGAGAGGAGATGTCAATGGATCAAAAGGCCGCAGTTTTGTGGGGAGTGCACCGGGACAAGGACAAGCACGGGAACGAGGACGAAGCACAGGTAAAGCATCTTGCCGCCGAAGTGCGACGAACCGGGCTGCAGTCAGAATCAAAAGGACGCACGCCATCATTGGTGCTCATTACGGTGTTTGCTCTCTCTTTCTGCTAGCTGCATATGTGACCAATGTGCGGAACATCGATACCCTGTTCGAAAAGGAACAGGGCTATTTCTACCTTAACTCGGTACGGAGTAGATGTGGCTTGCAATTGAGTGCTCAGAGATACATTCGCTCAGCATATCTTGCTCACCGTGTGCTAAAATAGCTCAGCAGTAGGTATCAAGCAGATTTTTCTTCCTTTGGGGTTTGCATTAGCACTGCAGTTGGCACATGTACGAGTACAGGCATTCATTATTGATGCATCTGTTGCTACCCTCCACAGAGGAGCCCCTCGATAACGCTGGTCGTGCAGATGTCGCGCAGCAAGTCGAAAGAGGGGAAAGGCCACCTGATTACGCAGAGGAGGAAGCCAAAATGCAAGTATAGATTGCAATTACAGTCAATGACGACTTGGGCATCTTTCGTTGAAAAACTGTGCCTCTTCTCCTCTAGATGGAGAGAGGGGGCCCAAGATATTGCCGCTGGCTAGGTCTGGCGTGTTGGTGATGTGCTGATGTGATGAGGGATGCAACGTTATTGACCTCCATGCTTCGGCTGGGACCCTTGAAATTGAAGAGCGGGAAAAAGACAGAGGAACGGGGTAGAGGCGAGAGTGTCCACTGGAGTGGCTCTGCTTGTCTTACGATGGCGAGAAGCTGGAGATGTGATGTGTATCGTGCCTCGACATAAGGTCCATGTCCATTGTGATCTGGTGCAGTTCTAGACTCCCCCTGTTTTGTACGGGCTGGGTTATCGCAGTCCAATGCAGACGCTACCTGAGGTACATGCAAAGCCTCGGTCTGGCGTACAATTCCACCCTGACCTACTAGATAGATACATGCCTCACGGATCAATCATGTACCTAAACTACATGTATCGATTGATGGAATCGCAGGGCTGCAGTACACCAAGATAGAGCCCGCCCGCACGGCAGCTAAAAGATACGTCCGGCTGGCCGCCATGAAGGAACAACGACGGGCTGGGATGTATCTGAAGTCTGGTGCTTTGTCACCCAGAGAGGCTCTCACACTGCACAGCTGCCTAGCGGTCCATGTACTCAGGGCTGTTAGAAATTGATCAAATTTTGCGTCTGTCGGTGGCCGAGGTTCGAGTGGCTTTTCATGTATGTCATCCAAATCCATTCCGTCGACGGTCCGGGGTACTGCCGCTCTAGCAGGTTCATGTACCTGGAGGCGCTCCTCAGCGCACGGAGTACAAGTGCAGTGGCACACTGCCGTTCCCCATACTGGTAGTGGCTACCGTACGGGGCGCCTTTAGTGGCGATTCGTGTCCTGTCCAATTACCGGTGAAAGGCCTCTAGGGAGCCGCTCGATTGTACCCAACGACCCCATCTATGGCCGCTAAGCAGCCAACTGTACAGCGTGTACAGCGCCAGCCGCTAGCGAATTAGCGGTTCAACACAGCCGGCCTTGTTTTGTTACCACCATTGTTCCAGGTACCTCCGCCTGCCTTATCTAATATCATCCGCCACAAAAGGAGACAGCCGGATTCTCACGGCCGGACACGCCGTCTCTCGCCCTTTGATCCACCAGACAACAAAAAAAAAGAAGAAGAGGAAGAAGAAAACTCGAGCGTGTTCCTGCACTTACGCTTCACAGTCTGTTTGCTTTGTTGTGTTGTTTTCTCCAGATTTGTTCTTGGTTTGTCATCGTCGTCCCCTCACGCAAAAGTGCAGCAACAGCAAGCCACGCCTGGCGCACGCGCACCAGCCTCGTGTCCTGCAAAACCCTCCTTCGCCCGAGAGACTCGCACTCGCACCAGGCAAACTCTCGATCCCTCTGCCACCAGCCCAGCCAGAGCCGCTCCTCTCTCCCGCTGGAACATCACCATCGACGGGATTCCAGCAGCAGAGACTCCAGCGGCAACAGGACAGCAATCGTCGGAAGCCCCAGATCCAGCCGCCGGGGGTTTTCCCGACACCACACAATGACGCCCTCGCCATCCCAAGGCCTTGAGCCACGGCGGCCGAGAAGCGCCCACACGCAGACCGTCTCGGTCAACATCGCCGAGAGCACCCCCCCAAGCGGCCGCCGCTTCCAGCTGCACGTCAGCGAGTGTGTCGAGACTCGGACCGTCACTACCACGACTCGCCTGACGAGGAAGTTTCCCCAAGTCTTCATCCGCGACCCCGCCCCACTCGACACTCTCGACTCCAAGGAGTATCCCTTGGCCATGAAGCCGACGCCCCCCGAGCTGGTCGACTTTTCCTACAGTTTTGGCGCTGAAGAGGAGGATCCCGATGCCAAGAAGATCGAGGACGCTGATGACCATGTCGATGGCCAACTGGTAAGTGGGCTTTCGGTTCAATGGGCCGTGATGATTTTTTTCCGCCTTTGCCCTGCTAATACATCAACAACAGGTTAAGAGAAGCCAGAGCCTAGTCCCAGCCCTGATCAAACAGGAATCTATAGCCAGCGAAGTACAAACACCAGAGCCTTTGAGCCGCATACCTTCAGCCTCGCCATCCGAGCCCTACTCTCGCCGGAGTCATAGAATAGCCGCTGCAGAGTCCCCTACCGCTGCAGCCACCAGGTCTTCACAGCGACTTGCCCGCTCAAACCTTCATGCCGTTTCAAATAGACTGCGCCGCTCCGTCATACAAGGAAGCAGCGCCGCCGGCAGTAACAGCGACGGCAGCAGCAGCACTTTGCGTCTTGACACTGGCGATAGAGCCGCTAGAAATGCCTCCATTGGCATTCTCGCCACGCCCGACATTACCGAGACGGCCGATTCACTTCAGGGCCGGTCGTTGCAGCGACGGCCTTTGCACCTCGATTATTCACTTAATTCTCAAGACCTGCTTCGTGGTCGTTCAAAGTCTCCTCCGTACGAGGCGTCGAGTCCCGCCGGCAGCGATGCCCACACTTTTAGCAGCACCGTAGCAACGCCGCCAGTTACCGATGCCGACCCGGAGTCGTTCGCCGATGATACCGACGAGTCCCTTGAACCTTCGGTCCGCCCGCAGCATCGACCCGCAATCGATGTTATTGCCGCGCAGGATGCCAGTCTTCCTAGTCCGAGATTATCTCCCACCTTGGCCGCTGCCCAGCTGCACTCTGCCGAACCCGACGAGAACGCACAGTCCAGTTTCAAGACTGATCAGTCAGACACGTGGATGGCTGATTCCCAAGGTACCGACGGATATACTGACATGGTGTCCTATGAGCACCCGTCCCATGGCAAGCGAGGCCTGATGCGGCGATACGACCAGCCCGTCATTGTTGACCCCCAGACCCTACTGGAGGCGTTTGACTCGATGAAGACGGAGATGAAGACTTTCATGATGTACCAGTTCCTCCGTCGATGCCCTCGACCCACTCTCCGTATCGTTGCCGATGCAGTGAATCCCGCCCTCAAGTGTGACTTTTTGCAGCAACTGCCCCTCGAGCTGAGCTACCACATTCTCTCATATCTCGACTTCCGCGACCTCAGCCACTGTGCCCAGGTATCAAAACAATGGCGGAATATTGTTGACCGGAACGAGACTGGGTGGAAGGAGCTTTTTGACAGAGATGGCTTCACTCTCCCTCCGGGCGAGCTGAACAAGGCCATCATTCAGGGGTGGGGATGGCAGGATCCCGTTGGCGTCAATGGCTACGAGCAAGATTTGAGCATGCAGAACCGATTGACCTCTTCGGAAAAGGAGCTCACCCAGGCTGTGAAGCAAGAAGTCACGCCAAGGGTGAGAAGCTCGAAGCGCAAGCGTGGTCTCTACGCCTCCACGTCGGAGCGTTCGAAACGGCGGGCTAGCACCCAGGAAGTGGTTGCCAACCGTGACGACAGGGCTCAGGGCGAGGTCAAGCAGCACAAGTCGGCCGGCCCTCTCTCGGCGGCCCACGCGGCGATGCAGGCTGTGCCCGACCCCCAACTGGGCCTGCCAAGTTTGCGACAGCTTCATCTGTACAAGTCGCTCTACCGCCGTCACTACATGATACGCCACAGCTGGACCAACGGCGCGACCAAACCCAGCCACGTAGCGTTTGCCGCCCATCCTCGACATGTCATCACCTGCCTCCAGTTTGACGACGACAAGATCATCACCGGCAGCGACGACACTCTCATCCACATCTACGACACCAAGACGGGCAAGCTCCGCAAGAAGCTCGAGGGCCACGAGGGTGGCGTGTGGGCTCTTCAGTATGAGGGTAATATTCTGGTCTCGGGCTCGACAGATCGGTCGGTGCGAGTCTGGGATATTGAGCGCGGTCTTTGCCAACAGGTGTTTTACGGACACACCAGCACGGTTCGCTGCCTGCAGATTCTCATGCCGACGGAGACTGGTATGGCCACGGATGGCACTCCCATCATGCAGCCGGAGAAGCCGCTGATCATCACGGGTTCCAGAGACAGCCAACTGCGCGTCTGGCGTCTCCCCGAGGTTGGATCGCGACGCTACATCCAGACGGGTCCCCCGGCCCAGGAGTCCGACTGCCCCTATTTCATCCGCGTCCTCACCGGGCACACCCACTCGGTCCGCGCCATCTCGGCCCACGGCGACATCTTGGTCAGCGGATCCTACGACAGCACCGTCCGAGTTTGGCGGATCAGCACCGGCGACTCTTTGCACGTGCTCCATGGACACACACAGAAAGTTTACTCGGTGGTGCTCGACCACGAGCGTAACCGATGCATCTCGGGCTCCATGGACTCGCTGGTCAAGATCTGGGACCTCGCCACGGGCGCTTGTCTCTACACCCTGGAAGGCCACAGCCTTTTGGTTGGCCTGTTGGACCTCCGCGACGACCGCCTCGTGTCGGCTGCCGCAGACTCGACACTCCGGATTTGGGACCCGCAGACTGGCAAGTGCAAGAACACTCTGATGGCTCACACGGGTGCCATTACTTGCTTTCAGCACGATGGCCGAAAGGTTATCAGTGGCAGTGAGAAGACTGTCAAGATGTGGGACGTTAGGACGGGAGAGTGCGTGCAAGATCTCCTGACAGATTTGTCTGGGGTCTGGCAAGTCAAGTTTGACGGAAGGCGATGCGTTGCAGCTGTTCAGAGGGACAACTTGACTTACGTAGAGGTGAGATTTGATTCCCGTTGAAGTAACCCGTTCTCCCAACAAGAAATATGACTAACTTTGACTCGTTAGATTCTCGATTTCGGTGCCGTCCGAGACGGACATCCGCCCGAAGAACTAGGGCGCCGCATCCTGTTGAATGAACCAGAAGTTCGTGCCATGATTGAGGAAGAAGCCTAGGTGTTTCTTTTCAGTTGAAGTTTGGAAGGGGATTCCCTTCCCTCTCTCTTTTCTTGTGCTCTTTTACCCCCCAAAAAAAAAGAAAAGCGTTACCGAAGACGAAAAGCGAACGGAACAGAGAATGCATATATAATAAGCATTTGGTATGGATATGGAAACCCGCATCTGAAGGGCGATACGACTCTGCCCTCGGCGTTCTGTTGTTATAGTACATACGCTGTCAGAAAACCATTGTCAGCATTACGGATTCAGAAGGGGTTGTAAGGCAAGGCGTTTGGGCTCTATGTTTTCCTCCTTTTTGTTCTTCCTTTTTTTCTTTTCTTCTATTTCTACGTTGCTCTTTTTTCGGGTGTTTTGTTCAGCGACAAATGGGGTGGTTATGGGGGTGGCACACGGGACATGTTTCTTCTTTTCAAGGCTTTTATTTCGTCGACAACGTGGAAAGCGATGCTCGGATGGGAGGGCATATTGAGACCAACTCAGAGTGTGAGGACGCTGGGGTGGAAATGGGCACATGCACGGATGTGTTTATGTTGACTTTGTATAAAGAGAATACTACTGTTATACATGTCGTATGAGATATTGCCCCCACGAATTGACCTTTTTGCGCCCCTAGAAAGACTGTGGTGTTGTGACTCGTGTAAATGGAAATGACCATCTCGTATGTCAAGATGGACGCTGGCTGCTTGATGCTTGATGCTTGATGCTTGATGCTGACTCAGCGGCGAGCAAGCACTTCGCCTCATGTTTTTCCACGGCATTTCCCCTTTCGTCGTTCCCATCTTCTGAAACACGACCCTGTCGGTTCAGACTCGCCTTGGGTCCTCGAATGATGCAATGCACTCCATTCAGTCGTCCCGGGTTTACGGATATACTACTCCGTAACTGCTACAGATGATTTTAAAAAAACAAAAAAGTACAAATACGGGGCATCGTCATCAATGGCCTGCAGGAAGGGGGGCGCGGGCGCTAGACGAGCGTTGCAAACGAAACAAAAAAACGACGGGATCCAATTGGATGCGTCCAACGAAACAAAAACCTAGGCTAGGTAGTGATTTGATGCAGTCCATGGATCCAATTTGATGCAGTCCGTACGGAGCTTTACACGCTGGCAAGCGCCCCATAAAAAGTGATAGGACAGCACATCTACCACTTGTCACGCCAACTGGGGCATTTCGAGTCGAGTCGAGACACCCCCGGCCCAACGAGAAGACGGGCCAAGAGCGGTGCTACTGGTGGCTGCGAGAGGAGAGGCGTGCGCTGTCTGGGGGGCTGCTAGTACGGTTTGTGCTGTACAGTACGAGGGCGTGATAGGGATGAATATGATATGATATGAAGGATAAAAGGGAATGGGAAGAGGATTTACTGCCAATGCAATGCAATGCCAGTGGGTTCAATGCCAAGGGTGGCCCGTCATGCAAATGCAAATGCAAAGGCGCCTGACTGCGGGAGCAAATCGGGGGACGCTGGGCGGAGCCTCCGGGCGGCAGACGGAGTGCTGCTTTGTGCGGCCAGGAGAAGAGAGACGAACAGCTTTAGGCCTTTTGCTCTTTTTTGGCGCCCAGGGTTTGCGGCGCTGCAGACAAGGGACAGTTATGCGAGTTTGGGGAGGAAGAGGAGGCAAGGGAGAGAGAGAGAGAGAGGCTCGCTGGCTGGATTGGATGAAAGCCGCATTTTCGTGGGGTGTGACTCAATCACACCAGCAGCCAGCGGTTCCGGGTCTCATGTTTGCCGGGACTGCATTGCCTTGTCATCATTCACTGCGCGAGGGATGCGTGGGGACAGGACAGCAGAAGCCAGGCCAGAGGCGCAATCGGAGGCGCTGGTGTCTGAGCCGTCCCATGTACGGCGATGCTGTTTGCTCGCGATAGGTCCGTCGCGGCGTCTTGGGCATCGTTGTGTGGTTGATCGTTGTTCGTTGTCGTTGCTGGCGTTTTGTTTGGTTTGGCTCTTTAAACGCCAGCCACCCCATTTAATACTCTTACATAGTTCTCGCTTACACTTGTGTTTAAGACGAACGAGAGCCTTTGGAATCAGCAAACGGGGAAAAGATACAAAAAAAGAAGCCAAGGAAGAATCAAGACAACAAAAGACGAAGACATCCACCATCTCTTCATCATCACCATCACAAAGCTGAACCAATTTTGTTTTCTTCTTCTCCTTCACGGCCGTTCTCCTGAGCTGCGCGCGTCCGACTAACAACTAGACTGGCGGGGCGGCCGTTCAGGGATCCTAGAAGAAAAAGGCCAGCCGGGAGATCTTCACCGACATTGAGAAGCATTGATAGCTTAGTGGGGGTTTTGAGCCAGGTCGTGACATTCCATTCCGCCTCTGGAATATTAACTAGAGCCTACCGCTGCTTCTTCGATCCTTCTTTTTCTTCTTCTCTCAGACATTGAAACGAGACATTGGAGATTGTTTGTTACGCAAAGTCGCGGGCTCGAGCTCAAAGACAAGAAACACTACAACTTCAAAGAAGAAGGAAGATAAAAGAAACGAAGCCAGGATGAGCAATTCCGGCCTACCGCTGGATGCGACCATTACCATTGTCAACAACTCTGGCAAGCTCATCAGCACCGTATGTTTGGGTCCCTCCTCTCCCTACACACACACACAAGCACATACGCATACACACACACCTCCCTCCCTCTCCATTCTCAGCATCCAATCAGTTGCTTCCGTAGCACCGTGGGGTTGCACTGCATGCTAACTTGACATGTGCCGGCTCTATAGGGCAAGCAGCTGCTCTCGATATGGAAGACGGCTCAGACTTCTTACCAACAGAAGAGGGACGAGCTCAGCCAGGAGCGAGCTCAAGAGCGAGCAAAGCCGCCTCCCGTTCCCATCAAGCGCGCCCAGACATTCGATACGAGCCGCAGCATCCCTCACAGGCAATATGACGAGTTAAGCGTGGCTAGCTCTCACCGGACGTTCAAGAGCTCCATCGCCAAGAAGCAGCTGCCTCCGGTTCCCAATCAGCTGGCTCTGACGGAGGGGAACCTCGAGAAGCTGTCCGAGGTGTCGAGCGTTGCGCCATCGAAGCCTCCTTCATCATATCAGGGCTCGTATGGCGACGCGATGCTCGTCAAGAGCGGCTTCTCGCGCGTTGATCCGCCCATGGCGCTGCAGACGGTGCAGCCAAGGCCGCTGGTTCGTACGCGGACCGACACGGAAGCTGAGGCGATGAAGAGAATGAGCATGGGGAGCGATTTGCATTTGGCGTACGGCGACATTCCCCCGGATCTGGCTGACAGAGTGGACTTGGATGTGCACACCGCGCCGCCGCATGTAGATTTGCACGATGTGCATGTCGAGGACGAGCGCGAGCAGGCCGAGCAGCTGATTCACAAGATTGAGAATCTGCTAGATGAGGCGAGCTGCGCTCAGCATTCGGCCACGGCCATCATCACACATCTCCAGGAGCGCCCTGATGCGGCTGCTGCTGTTGCTTTGACACTGGCCGAGCTCTCGGGCATCATCACCAAGCTGTCGCCTGGCTTCGCGGCCATCCTCAAGGGCACTTCGCCCGCCATCTTTGCGCTGCTCGCCTCGCCGCAGTTCCTCATTGGTACGGGCATCGCCGTCGGCGTCACGGTCGTCATGTTTGGCGGCTGGAAGATTATCCAGAGAGCTACGCAGAATTCGTTTGCCAAGAAGCCCCTGGCCTACGAGGCAGCAGCAGCAGCGCCGGTACCCAATCTGCCAGCACTGCCGGAGAGCGGTATCGACGAGGCCATCGTTTTGGAGTCGGTCGAGGTGGACATTAGCAGCATCGACACGTGGAGGCGCGGCATCGTGGACCTTGGGTACGAGAGCGCTGACCAGGAGCTGATGACGCCTGCGGCTGAGCGCGTGAGGCGGAGTTCCAAGGCCGGTTCGGAGGACTACTTCTCTCGAAAGGGGTCCAAGTCGCATAGATCTTCTTCGTCAAAGACGCACTCGTCGTCGCAGTCGACTTCTTCTTCTTCGCACAAGTCTCACAAGTCGAGGCATGAGAAGGATTCTTCGGATAAGAAGAGCAGTAGCAGCAGCGGCAGCAGCAAGAAGAGCGACGATAGCAGCAGTGTTGGCTCTATGGCGCTGATCAAGAAGTCGATTGCTAGCAGGAAGAAGCAGATTGATCAGACTGGTATCAAGAGCGAGGAGTTGCCGCTGAGGACTAAGAAGCAGACGAATATGCTCAAGGCTTTGTTTAAGAGCAAGGAGCACAGACAGACTGTTGCTACCTAGACGACGACAACAAAGATGCATTCACGGAGATGAGTAAATGATTGAAGCTTTTCTTTTCTATACGGGGTTGTACATGGGGAATGAAGCAAGCGAGTGATGCATTACTTTTTCTTTTCGATCGGCAAAGGGCTTTCCCCCCGTTTATTTTTGGGTACGCAAGAGATGGAAATTGCAGATATAAGGACATATATAAGGACAACAGTTGAAGGGGGAAAGTTTCAGTTTCTTGTTATTGGTTTTGGGTTCTTGGGGGCGTTCAATTTTTTATCTTCACTTACTATAGAAAAAATATGGCCGGTAACAGTGAAAGGCCAGTTTGGATATGCAGCCTTGGGAGGGAGCATCTACACATATACATCATATACGCGCATTATGTATATACATATGTCTGTGGTGGTTGGTTTAGCATAGCAAGCAACTCGTCATGCAAATGACAACTTTTTTTATATACCATTTTGTTGAGATTCTCTATGCCTTCTATCTCTATCTCTATGTCAACACCAACATTACAGCTCTAACCTCTCTGATATCTCGTTCAAAGCTTTAACAACAACAACCTCCGCATTCTCCATCCCCTTCCCTCGATAAGAATACGTAAACTCCCACCCACTCGCCGCAGCAGCATGCTCCCCCCTATTATCCATCACAACAATCCCCGTCCTAGCCCCCGGATACCGAGCGATGATCCTCCGGACGGCGTCGTCAGCGGCTTCCTGGGCCGACAGCCCGCGGCGGAGACTCTCGACGGCCTGGTAGCACGGCAGCAGGCGCATCATCAGGTCGCCGTCGCCGGTGGCGCCGCAGGCGCCGGCGGTGGAGTCGACGTAGGAGCCGCTGCCCGGGATGGGGCCGTCGCCGACGCGGCCGGGGATTTTGTGGGATGCGCCGTTTGTGGTGGTGCATGCTGCCATGGAGCCGGAGGGGGAGAGGGCGAGGAGGGAGAGGGTGTCGTGGGAATGGTCGGAGGAGGAGGGGTTGGGGATGTTGTTTTGTGTGAGGGAGGTGCTGGAGGGGGAGTATGGGCCGCAGGAGGATAAGGGGTTGGGGAGGACGTTGGAGCGGTAGTTTGGCTGGCAGTTGTTTGAGCGCCATTCGTGACATGCTCGGAGTGAATTTTCTGTTGATAGACTCTCTTCCTCGAAGCCGTTTTGCAGGGCGAATTGCGTTGCTTGATCACCTGCTAGCAATGTGTGTTGCGTATAGTCGAGCACATGTCTCGCCACGCCCACGGCATCTTTGACGCGCCGCAGGTTCGCTACGGCGCCGGCATTGAGCGTCTGGCCGTCCATGATGAGTGCGTCGAGGGTGGTTTCGCAAGATTCGTCGGGGGAGCCGCCGAAGCCGACGGTGTTGTCGCATTGGTTTGTTTGGCATGCTTGGCAGCCTGCTTGGACGGCGTCGAGGGAGGTGGAGGAGGAGTTTGAGAGGGTGAGATAAGCGGCGTTTGTTGCGGCTGTGAAGGGCCCGGACCAGGTGTTTATGATGAGGGGAGGAGAGGAGAAGATTGCAGTTGTTGGGAGTGTGAGAGTGAGGATGAGAAGGGCGGTGGTGGTGATGCCTGATGAGGGGGGTTTGTGAGGAGCCATTGGTGTTGACGCGAATTATAGGCAGTTTGTAGCTAAGATGTGTAAGATGGAATGAGATAAGATAAGATGGGGATTGGAATTACAATAGAATGATTTACATGCACAGTGATGCAATGCTGTATCAATCAATGGCTGATAGTTCTCGTAAACACTCACTCACTCACTCCTTCTTTACACACATGAGGCCATCTCACATGCTACTTGCATCCCGCCGCGGAGCAGCTTCATCCCCCTCCAGCCAATAATACCTCGTTGTCCAATATTATGCATCAAAACAACCTCATCTCCGGAGCTAATGCACTTACACAGCCCGAATCCTATGCTAGAAGCGGGGATGCGATCCTACTAATTCCCCTCAAGTCCGTTCCCCCAGCTCCTCTTTCGTCCCCTTTTCTTCTTCACTTCCGTAAACTTGCTTTACTTCCAACGAGTGAATAAAAAAGCATCGTAGACACTTAGATAGAACAATTCCATAGACGCTGCGACCATTACATGCTATAAAATGGCAGCAGTGTCCTCCTTACCCGTGCTTGATCCGGACTCGGCGTCTGCTGTCCGCGGCTTCTTGCAGCGTGCCATTGCGCTTTACCATGATGTGCTCGCTTTGCATGGTGATGCTGATGGTGATGATTCCATTCTGGATGAGAGTGCCTCTTCGCCAAATCAACGCCTGGGTGCCCATGCTGCCCGGATTGGAGACTCCCTGAGCGCGCTCAAGTCCGTCTGTCATGTCGTCGCTGGTGTTGATGCGCCTCATCCATTGAGTACTCTGCCTGGCGCGTGTTACAAAATTGGACAAGATTTGATGCTGCATTTTGATAAAAGTGCCACCGCCCAGGACCATGATTCGCAGATCAAGCTTGATGATGTCTGGTCCATTCGCGACATTGCGACGCTTGGTGCTCGACTTCAGGAGCTGAGCCAGCGGTTTCATGATGATGTTGATTCTACTGTTGTGTAAGTCGCCCATACATATATACACATGTGTTGCTGTCGACATAGCATCTGATTCATTGAATTGTGCTGACAATTTTATCTAGAACTCGTCGACTGCCGGTACCCGATCTCACTCCGTTGGATCAAAAGAAAGACGAGGCCGAAGACGATAGAGATGCACCACCAAAGGAAGACGAAGAAGAATCTGACAAAGGAAAGCAAAAGATGAGGCGCATCAACATTGTGCCCGGCGACAATGTCTACATTGAAGTCCCTGTCAGACACCGACCAACGCCAGACTCCATTGTGCACGACTATATCCTCGATGTTCTCTCTTACAAAAGCATGTACTTTCGAGAGCAGGAGGTTACAAAGGCTCACAGCAAAACGTTTGAATGGGTGTTTCTACCATCATTGCCTGCTGATACTCAAGATTCGGAAAAGAAAGGCGCAGAGCATCCCTTTTCGACATGGCTTCGGGGTGATGAGCTCGGTCCTATTTATTGGATCACTGGAAAGCCTGGATCGGGAAAATCGACATTTATACGATTCCTCTTTGACCACGAAGCTACTATGGAGCGCTTGAATGCCTGGGCTGTCGACAAGCCGGTCTTGACGGCCGGATTCTTCTTCTGGACCAGCGGCTCTCGTGAGCAGCGCTCGCAGACGGGATTGCTTCGCTCTCTGCTCCATCAAATTCTTTCAGCGCACCCGGAACTCACTACGGCAGCATTTCCGCAACTGTGGAAGAAACTCAAAAAGTTATCGACAAAAGAACGAGTTGCGCTGCATTTGGATTGGTCCGTTGCGGACTTGTTGGAGGCGTTTCAGGGGGTCATGGATGAGGCTGTGCAGAGGATGAATGTTTGCTTGTTCATTGATGGCCTGGATGAGTTTGAAGGCGATCACACGGCCATTATCGACTTTTTCAAGAATTTGTGTTTGGGGGATAAGGGGAGGTCGATCAAGATTTGCCTGTCGTCGCGGCCGTGGGCGGTTTTCCAGGATGCCTTTGAGTATGCGGTGCCGAATCTGAGGCTGCAGGATCTCACGTTTGGAGACATGCATCGCTATACAAAGGACAGGTTGCGGGAGAATGTCTATATTCGGCGTCTTCTGAAGCATGAAGCCTCTGCTGGGGAGGAACTGATTCAGAACGCGGTGCAGAAAGCGGATGGAGTGTTTCTTTGGGTGAGACTTGCGCTCAACGAAATGATTCGCAAGTTTGATCAGAGCACGGGACTGGTGGGCTTGTCGGGAGTTTTGCAGGCCTTGCCGACGGAGCTCAATGAGTTGTTTCATTTGTTCTTTTTTGAAAACCAGGATGAGGATCAACTGGCTGAAGCAGCTATTGTATTCAGTCTGATGAACGCACGCGAGTTTGTGGCCGATTTCATCAATAGCGATTCTGCAAATGCACTTACAGTATGGGAGCTTGCATTCGCCCTCAGGGGCAGCGAGGACGATGAGGCTGCTATATCGGAAGATGCGAAACAGGCTTCTACAGAAATGGCCTATGATCGCTGCGGAACTACCATTCAACTTATCATGAGTCGATTTTCCGGCCTTCTCGGCGTCCATGCTAGTCGCGAACAGGGCAGTGGTCGTGGTCTGCGATTCGCTGGCAAGGGTGGCGATATGAGCGAAGCCATTGACGCAGCGGCAAGACGAGTCACTTATATCCATCGCACCGTTCGTGACTGGTTCATGGAGGAACCTGGTGTCATGACCCGTCTTGTGGAAAAGACGCCGCTCGACTTTGATCCTCACCTGCGGCTGCTGCGATCATATGTGCTTCAGATGAAGAATGCGCTCGAGGAGATTGAACATCATCGTCAGCTGGACGAATGGTGGCCTGGTATTGCACTCGCCCTGACGCATGCGAGATACGTGCGGAACGACTCACAGCATCTGCAACGGGCAATGGTGAATGAAGTGGACAGGACGATTTCCTGGTACTGGCTGAGCAAGCCCGAGGATCCATATGATCACTGGGCGAGATACGGGCTGGGACCATATCGAATCTTCAAGGTTGCTGCACCGCTATGGCAGCCGTTTCTGTGTCTAGCCACGAGATTCGGTCTCACAAGCTACGTTTGTGAGGAAGTCCTCGCTCGAAATGCCGCAGAAGACGAGATTTCGGATGAAAAGAAGGAACTCCAGACGGCAGAATCGACGCCTCTACTTGCTTATGCCACTGAGTTTCCTTGCTCCCGCAACAAGACCATCTTCCCACTGTCAGATCCTCGCCTGGTGGAATTTCTGCTCCGCAACCAGTGCCGCATCAACCCGGGCCCGAACCATGGATACACTGACTTTTGGACCAACGCGCCGCGGACGCCGTGGATCACGCTGCTGCGGCATCTGCGGGATGCGCGCCGGAGGGGATGGATCGAGTACTACGATGTTGATCCGCAGGGCACGGCGAGGTGGGCGGAGATTGTGAGGTTGTTTGTGGAGGTGGGCGGAGCGGATCGGGAGGCGGTTGTTGTTAAGGATAGCTTCGATCCTGAGATTACGGCGTTGGGAGTGTTGGAGTTGTTGGAGGGGACGTATCGGGCTGTTGAGATGAAGGAGTTGGTGGAGATGATGATGAGGTTGAGGGGGAATGATGAGTAAACGGATAGCTTGGAGAGATGACTTGTAGAGTATGTCTGGAGGAGACAGACTTGCATATTTAAAAGTTTTTGTTTGTTGGTATTTGCTGCTTTATCTTCGACATCATGTTCTAGTCATTCTCGAAACTTGTCCCTAATTCCCATGCTATGAAGGGATGATGGACACTTAAAGCTATAAAGTAGAATATATGCAATCGTCGTATAGTTAACACACTACCCCATATCTACCCCTTATTCTACAGCATAAAGTAAAGAGCTCGGAATCTCCGATCATCGCCTTACTTGCATATATCCTCCCTTATGAGGTCCATTATGGGCCGTCCAATAATAGCTCCTGATACAAGATTGCGGAGATTCAAATTCCGCGGACAAACCAGAATGGATTCAAGAACAGTAAACGAATCCCATCTGTTAGTACTCAAACGTAAATCTGCGTCTCAATTTGATATCGTAACGTCGCCTCCTGAAGAGAGTCGTGTGATTCTGCGGAGGTTTATTGGCTGTTGATCGCAAAGTTACGCCACAACTTGACGGTGCCTCCCACACTTTCACACAGCGCGCAAAAAGTTGCTCTCCATCTGAGAACTAGCATAACCAGATTGACACTAATGCCGAATCGGGGAATCTGGCACCTTTGAACGGGGGGATAATTGGATCCTTCAACGTGGGCGAAAGGAGCTAAAGAGTTGATTAATGTCAAACGCCAGGACTCGTGTACGAGTACAGCGCCAATCGTCAGTGACATGAGTGGTATTTGCTATGCAAGCAAGTGAATCAAATGATAGCATTTGTAATATGATAGCTTATTGATCATTGTGGATTCTCTCCGTGTAACCCAATCGTTTCTTTGCCCTTTGAAGTGATAGTTTTGCGAGGTCTGCTGGGGTATATGGAGAGACTCAAGCATATAAACCTTTTAAAATGCAATAGAAATTTGGCTTTTCCCTCTTCATCACCATTCACTCAATATTAACTAAATATCAGTTCAACCCCTCTATTAAGAATGTCAAAGCCATCCGTCATCATCATCGGTGCCTCTGGAAGCGTAGGACGCCCGTTGGTCGATGGGTTCCTCAGCAAGGCCGATCAGTTTTCCAAAATCGGCGTCTTGTCCTCTCCCTCATCGGCTCACAAGTTTGAAAATGAAAAGGCCCGTGGTGTTGACGTCGTTGTTGGCTCCTTTGTCGATCCCGCTTGCTACCGCGGATACGACATTGCCATTAGTCTTGCCGGAAACACCATCATGCGCCTCCAGCCGGCCATGATCGATGCTGCTGTGGCCGGTGGAGTGACTCACTTCTATCCGTCAGAGTTTGGCTCCAACACAGCCTTAGACGCGTTGAAGGACTTTCGTTACTTCCAGGACAAGCGGATGACGAGATACCACTGTGCGGCAACGGCCAAGCTGCACCCTCAGTTCAAGTATACATATATGCTGACTGCACCCTTTACTGAGTGGACCATCCTGCCATTCCATGGCGATAGAACTGCCAAAAAGGTTCTCGCCTACGGCACCAAGGATATGCCGATGGATGTAACCAGCCTGAAAGAGTATGTGCACCCCCCTTTATGGCATCTGAAGCTATGCAAGTCTGATAGGATTACCGCAGTACCGTCCGTTATACCGTGGCCTCAACCCTGCTTCCCTTCGCAGAGGGCCAGCAAAAGCGAGAGATTCGAGTCGTCGGCGAAAGAACAACTTTCCAGCGCATTATCGATACGCTCGCGGAGATCGAGGGCTGCGAAGCGAATATGAGACTGTCTACGTGCCAGTCGAAGGCGCTCTGGAGAAAATGGATGCAGCTCGAAAGGCTGAAGATGAAGAATCAGAGCTGGAATGGAGCGCAAGGGGGTGGTTGAACAGTGGCAATGCCATTGTAGATGGGCCGTATGATAACGAGAGATTGGACCCTGCTCCGGCTGAGACTGTGAAGCAGACCTTTGAGAGAATCCTTCGTAGCTAGACATGCATTGAGTGCTGCCAAAACCGTACCCGACACTCGGATGCGAGCATGCCAGAATACAAGTCATAAGAAAGATCATCATTCCTCCTCTTAGGTGTTTTTGGAAAACGAGGTTCCATCCAGATTTCTCTCTTTTTGTGCGTTGTGAATACGGCATGATGTTCAACAGCACTTAGGCCACGAGTTCGGTCGTGACATCTGGCAAGCCTTGCTTAGATTACCTGTTTGTAACAACACAAATGTCTGTCATGCTTTCAATCTTACTTCCACATCGTCTACGTGTTTTAAATAATAGTTGACATAAACATTTCCGCACCTCAAGCTTGCGGTCCAACATGCCATGTCTAAGATTAAACACCGGTAGTCTGACAAGACACCAGCAGAATACAGTGGCAGTAGACACTAGAGGAATTTCTCTATAGGATACGCACTGGCATCATATAGGCCAGGAATCAGCCAGAAAATGATACCTTGGTAGGTACCATGATAAGGATGATACAAGGTCAAGGGGGCAGTAATACTAACACCAGCGAGAAATATCAAACTGCTGACATTGTATCTTCAGCAGGATTTTAATACTCGAGCATGGGCGAGTGCCATACCATGGGTAATTCAGACTGCGCTTAATGTAGGCACTCTACTAACGACCAAGTTAATGGGATGTTTCAAGTGGTCACCAACCTAGCAAGCAATAGGTATGAGACTCGGTTCTAATTGATGCTCAAAGGGTCCCTAGAGGCTGCAGGAACGTGAGAGGAAATATCTTGAGAGAAATCTCTATGCAGAGATACCTTACTAATTTATTCTTGGCCAATTTCGTGATCTAATGTGTCATTAATAAGGCAGGAAACAACTGATATTGCCTATTTAGACTTTACTTAGGATAGGCAGTTCCTGTTGAAGTAGCGTAGCTCAAGTGACCCTTGGAATAAGAGAATATCGACACTGGGGTAGGAAGTAACCCCTTTAATTCCATCGCTCACCGTCGTTATCTTCAGAAGCTGAAAGGCCGAGAATACTATGATGTTAACAATCAAGCAGCGTGCTTTGATATCTATCCCACATGAACTACTCAAGGAGCGGGTGGGATATTTCTCCCATGCACTCGGAAATAAGTAATGCTTTGTAACAGTGAATGTGAGGTTCGACCAATCACGTTGTAATCCGTGAGTTATCATACTAATCATTTTTTCATTACTGAACATAGGAATATACCAACAAGCTAGCTGGCCTCAAACTCCGCTTCACCTCTGATGTGTCTATTCAGCGGAGATTCGCGGACTTCGGAAGTTCCGACTCAATAACGTGAACAGACTCCTCGTTAACGTTAGCTAACCAAATAATGGAATATCTCTACGCCGTCTTGACTAATAGTTGTCACAAGTATAAAATAATTAATTTGTCTTGCTTTGACAAATAATCATCGCCCACCAGACAACATAGTATTGAAGCTATAACATCAAGTATCACGGCTCTTCGAGACGGCAAGAAATCTACCTATCTACTCATTGAATTTTAAAATAATACATTGTGTTGTTTCATCATGGCACCTATCCGCGTCGGATTGATTGGACTTACGGTTGGAGATGGCAAATCGCTAGGAAACGGGGCTTGGGGCATCGCAGCTCATCTGCCGACTTACATCAACTCCCCAAACTACGAAATAGTTGCTCTTTGCAATTCTTCTGTCGATGCGGCAAAACAGTCAATCGCGTACCACAAGCTACCTGCTACTACTAAAGCCTATGGCAGCCCTGAGGACATCGCCAACGACCCAGACGTTGACCTCGTCGTCGTCTCCGTCCATGTCTCTAGGCACCATTTGCTTGCATTGCCTGCTCTGAAAGCAAAGAAACAAGCCTTTTGCGAATGGCCTCTTGGCGCTACTACAGCAGAGGCAGAGGAAATGGCCCAACTAGCCAAAGGCTTAAATGTCGTGACGGGGTTGCAATTTCGTGCAGATCCCCTAATTACGAAGGCCAAACAGTTAGTTGACAGTGGTGCAATTGGCCAGATTACGAGTACCACAGCTACGGGATGCTTCAATAACTATCCGGCCGATACCTGGAACGCAAAGGCAGATTATTTCCTCAACTTTGAAGGAGGTGCCAATGAGTATACCATTTCATTCGCTCATTGTAAGCTACTATCTGTGAATCAAAACAAAGTAGACTGTAACAACTTGCTAACGATGAAACAGTCTTGGACTCGTTTAGGTATATTGTCGGTGACTTTGCCAGCTTGCAGTCGGTTTTGGATATCCAGTATCCTACCGTCAAGCTCATTGATTTCGCAACTGGTGAAGTCACTGACCCTGCTCGTAAAAAGACGAGTCCGGATCACATATTCGTCAATGGCAAGCTGGAAAGCGGCGCGGTTGCCAGCCTTTCTTTCCGCAAGGTGACCAAGACGGTTGATGGCAAAGGCTTACGATGGTTCATCTCGGGCACCAAGGGAGAGCTGGAGATTACGATTGACGGACCCAACTTCCAGATGGATATAGCTAAGAAGCAGCTGCGCCTGGTTGACAATTCGGTTGGAGTGACACAAAACATTGACTTTATTGATGCCCAGGAGCTGGAATATGTTAAGAGCGTCCCTGCTATGGGCCAAAACACATCTAGACTCTGCGAGAAATTCGTGGCGGCTCCAACCGAAGTCGCCAATTTTGACGACGCCTTGAAACTTCACCAGCTGCTGGATAAGATTGCAGCGGCGGCTAATTACCCCTACAAGGCTTAACGAGACTCATCGTCTCTCATGGTTTCTACATGGTGTGCAGTGCGTTATGAGAGGGACTACGAGATAATATGGTATCTATACCCTTCTATTAAATGCGATAAAATATCATCTGAATTGAACTTACCGTCATTCAAAAAATCCATGTTATTTGCACCTTTTGCTTTGAGAACGTTGGCGCCCTCTTGCACATGAAACTCAGCTGAAGAGCTGAAAACATGGGCCGAGGTGAGGCGGAGGCGCAGGCAACTAGCACGAAGCTGCCTCACGATCTGCCTCATTTAGGCCGTTGTTGACTTATAGATCCCATCATGTTGTTATTTTTGTTGGGAAAGTATTCTCATATAAATTTATCAAAGAATTCTACTTTCACATGCTCATTTTTAAGATACCCACTCCCAACCTCAACGTCATCTGTAATCATAAACATGATATCACTCACCACGACTTATTGATCCAAACACACTTTTAACGAAATAAATCTCGTATAAGGATTAACATTATGGCATCCGATACTACAGACAAACCCATAATCTCCAGCGACAATAAGCTAGTCGTGAATAGCGACGTATCAGTCGAAAATAGCGACCAACCAGCTGAAAGTAGCAACGCCATAGCCGAGAGAAGCGACACAACCAATCAAGAGATCGTTGCAAATTTCTTCCATTATATCGCCCAAAAACAAGTCGATGTGGTATCGAACATCATTGCCAGTGGATTTGTCTCTCCGGATACACCAAATGATCGAGGCGAAACACCCCTCATAAAAGCTGTCAGCAATAATGACGCCGCTATGGTACGCCTTTTGGTGTCGGTTGGAGCAACAATCGATGGATACGGCTCCTATTCTCAGGATGAAGAGGGCCATCAGACAAAAGTTCAGCGTACTCCTCTCCAAGTTGCAGCTGCTGAAGGCAAGCTTGGCATTGTCAAGATACTGCGCGAGCTCGGTGCCGACGACTCACTCATCGCTCCAGATGGTGCAATGGCCCTTCGATTAGCTGCTGAAAACGGCCATCGAGAAGTGGTTGATCATCTCCCAACTCGACGTGGTGGTGCTTGGAAGAGATGGAAGGTGACGCATGAGAAACAGATGCGGCGTATTCGCCGGATCTTGGAGAAGATTGGATCGGTCTTTAAGTTTCTCTTCTGGACTGTCCCCAAATTTCTTCTCTGGACAGTTCCGAAGCATATTGTTACGACTGCTCCCAAGGCTATTTTTGTGACTATGCCAAAGGAAATTTGGCAGCGTCGACACAAGATTGGGCCTTTTGTCAAGCGGCAAATCACCAAGTTTCCTAGCCGCGTGAAGAAAGCGGCCAAACTTGCCGGCGAGGGGATGAAAGGCGCAGGGAAAGCCATCCAAAAGGTGCCGGGAAAGATATGGCAGATCCTGAAGCGGCTCCCTGGCGCTTTGTGGACAATAATATCATGGATTGGCGAAGGGCTTGGCAAGGTTGGCACCGCAGCTTTTAATATCCTGAAGCGAGTAGCCTCATTGATTCATACGACGATTCAAGCCGTGGTGGGATTCTTTCGGGCCATCACCCTGCATGATATTGCCAACGCTTTCCGGGCCATTCTCCGAGCGATATTCATCGATTTTCCAAAAGCTGCTGCATACTTTGCCACGACTTTTGGAAAGACGAGTCTTAAAGTGCTGGGGTTTGTGCTGGGCTCCTTTGGAAAGGGGATTTTCTATGCTTTTGCTCTGGTATTCTTGCTTCTTCGTTGGCTTCCTACGAAGATTTGGCAGATGCTCGTGGCCTGTGGCGTTTCGATCTGGAAGGGGGTAGAGGAGTTGTTGGTATGGATTAATCCAAAGAGGATGTAATATCAAGAGGAGAGGTGGAATTTTCCCTTCTGGTGGGATGTATGAGATTATTTGTTTATTGGCAAGGGGTTGTGGCGTTTAATATTTCTTTCTACATGCATGTACGTTAGAACAGAGGATACAGATTAGCTCAGTATTATGGCCATTTCACCGCCATAATGCTTACTGTATTATTAAAATTTGAACAATTCGAGATCGACAAATACGAGAGGAAATTTACAGGCTTCTGATAAGTGGAATGAATGTTACTTGATGGCGACATTGAAACTGGGCAACGTCTCCAACTTCAGCTCGCTCAGCAACGGCTTTGCACGGCTACGAGCGGGATTCTCGTTGCAACCCAGGTCAATTATTCCAGCAATGATTGTCCAAATAATCTGTCAGATCGTTACAAATCCATTTTAAACTGCTTGGTTGGTAATATTAGTGTCCTGGGGGATGGGATGCACCCTCCGATCTCGTTCGTTTGGGATATCTGGCGGACAAGGCCTTCTAAGCTGGTCCACTGCAGACGAGTCGTATTTTCAACATCCACACAAGAAATATCTATGAGCAGATATCATTATGATGATCAAAACCGCTTTTAAATCAAATATTAAATGGTATTATATTCGAATTCATTCATAATCCACGTAGGCGATGCGGAACTGAAGAAGTGAAATTGAAGCTGCTGATGGAAGCAACATGCATATCCGGATCCCAATCGGAGATCAATACACCGAATCATTGGTTGGCCTGCTCCATAGATTAAGATCCCTCCCCTTAGTGTCCTGATTTTCGGACTTTGACCGGGAATGCCTGTTTATTTCCTATTCGCCGACTGCTGATGGTCTCCTCCTTTGTTGGACAGAGTATATATCCCAGACGGTGGCTGATGGAATACATTAATACAATTCTTCTTCCCCTCTTTTGCATTTTTGCTGAAAAATCTGGAATTGTGACCGGTATTTGAGTCGTCTTCCTTTATCATCTCTGAGCGGGAATAAACATTGTGACCCAGATAGTCGCAAATTACGCCGAGTAACAGTCGGGAATTGGCCGACAAGATTTAAACACCAAGCGCCATGGTCGGCGATTCCTCGTCAGGTTCTTTGACCGCTTCAGAGCCACAGCAATGGCAAGATTCATCCAAAAAAGAAACTCTAGAAACCGAAGTTTTCGAAAAGGCAAATGAAAATGAAGCGGCAAGTGAAAAGATACCAGAGCATTCCAACTTCTCTCCCGTTACTAACAGACGCCCGTCAACTAGAATGATGTCGATGTCGAAGAAGCAGATAACAGCTCAACGCGATCTGGCCTGTTCAGGAGGTTATCATCAGCGCGCAAGAGGAAGCTGGAAACAGATTCTCCGCCGGTAGTAATCCCTGTCACAGACCTTGAAAAGGGCATTGTCGGATGGGACAGTCAGCACGATCCCGACATGCCACTCAACTTTTCCCGTAGCCGCAAGTGGTTCATCACAATCCTGTTATCAGCCATTACGTTTATGACGCCTTTTGCTTCGTCCATCCTTGCACCTTCGCTGGCGGCTTTGGAGAAAGATTACGGCGTGGACGATGTTACCTTGGGATCGATGCCCGTCAGCATATTTCTGCTGGGATATGCAATTGGACCTCTGTTTCTGTCGCCTTTATCCGAGATTTACGGTCGAAATGTGATACTTATAGCCGCATGCGCCTGGTTCTGCATCTGGCTCGTGGGCTGTGCGCTTGCTCCAACACTCAATACACTCATATTCTTCCGGTTCATGTCAGGTGTTGGCGGCTCAGGGTGTCAAACCATTGGCGGTGGTATTATCGGCGACATGTTTCCTGTAACTGAACGTGGAAAGGCAATGACTATCTGGATGCTGGGTCCCGTTGTAGGCCCTACCGTTGCGCCCGTCATTGGTGGCTTTGTGTCTGAGACGATCGGCTGGCGTTGGGTCAACTGGTTGTCTTTTATACCTGCTGCTATCGTGGTGGTAGCCATGATCTTCTTGAACCGTGAGACAAATCATCGAGTGTTGATTGAACGCAAAACAAAGAGGCTTCAAAAAGAGCTCAGCCAGCCCGAGCTCCGAAGTTGCTACATCGACCCGGATGCCCCCGTCCTAAGCAAGAGACAGATCTTGACGCTTGGACTGATTCGGCCACTGAAGATGCTTTTTCGCTCGCCAAACATCTTTGGGTTATCGCTGTATATTGCCTTTGCGTATGGATGCCTCTATCTCCTTTACAACACCATTCCAACCACGTTCGAGGGCAGCTATGGCTGGACTCTGGGTATCACAGGCTTGGTGTATCTTACGCTGCTTGTCGGGTATGGCATCGGCCTGCTGTCGTTTGCTCTTCTCTCTGATAGCACAGTTATTCGAATGACCGCCGCTAATGACGGCGTTTACGAGCCCGAAATGCGCCTCCCGGATTGCATTTGGTTTGCCCTCATTCTGCCCACCACCTTTTTCTGGTACGGCTGGAGCGCTGACAAGGCCGTTCACTGGATTGTGCCCATCATCGGCATTGCGCCATTTGGAATTGGCATTGTAGGAGTTTTGTTGCCCATCCAGACATATATCGTCGATGCGTACCCGCAATATGCAGCGAGTGGCCTTGCTGGATTTGCCGTCTTGAGAAATACTATAGCTGCTTTCTTGCCCTTGGCAGGGCCTCAGCTGTATAAGAGCTTGGGGGTGGGTTGGGGAAACTCTTTGCTTGGGTTTATTGCGATATTGTTGATTCCCATTCCGGTGCTGATATACAAGTACGGCAAATGGATGAGGCAACGGTTCCCCATTGAGCTGTGAGTAAATGCTGGTTTAATTGTGCGATTTGAGCGCCATTGGAGTTTTAGTTATTAGCATTTGGAAAGTTTAATTCGGATCTATCAGGTATTTCGTATAATAAACGAGATGAAGAGGTCATAGAATAGAATCATGTAAGTGGTCTCAAAAACGCGCTGGTGTAATGAGATGCGTTGAGATGTTACACCATTATCAAGCCTAGGAGCCAAATAACTCTTCCTCATGGCAGGCATTTATTGTGATAGAAGGATAAATAATGTAGAGAAATGAAAAGGAACAATAGAAAAGAGTAAAGATAAATGAAAGAGATAAAAAAGGACAAAAAAGACATAGAATTGAGAGTTGTGGTGCCAATACTTGCCTGAGTGCTACCCTGTAGCTTCATAGCAAAATTAAACGCGCCTGCGCGTCCAGTCAGCTGCTTTACGCGCTTCATACCTCGACGACCTTAAAAGTCCCGATTTGGTACAGGTACCTGCGCTACAAGCTTCGCTGATAGGCAGACCAGTATCTGTACTAGCCTGGCACGCTTAGCCACCAGCCCACCAAAGGTATCCAGGCATCTGCCACTAACAGCTCCCATTGGCACGAAACCAAGCATCGCCAAAACACCATCCAAATCCAAACATCATCGCCCCCAGCATCACCATCGCCAAAACACCAACATTCATCACCGCCTCCCGAATGCCCGCGCCTCCCCCGACATGCGCATCATCAAGCCCTCGTGGCTGAGCCACAGCGGCGAGCAGAAGGATTTCGAGGTCTACAGCTGCCACGTCTCGCCCGACGGCAAGCGAATCGCGACGGCGGGCGGCGACGGCCATGTGCGCATCTGGTCCACCGACGCCGTCTATCACGCCAACGATGGCGACTACAAGAAGCCTCGCCAGCTGTGCCACATGAGCCACCATCTGGGCACCATTCATTCCGTGCGCTTCTCGCCCAATGGCCGGTATCTGGCCAGCGGCGCCGACGACAAGCTCATCTGCGTGTATCATCTGGACAAGGGGCCGCCAGCACCGACATTTGGCACCAACGAGCCGCCGCCGGTCGAGAACTGGAAGACATATAAGCGATTGATTGGACACGAAAACGATGTGCAGGACTTGGCTTGGTCCTACGACTCCTCGCTGCTCGTGTCTGTCGGGCTCGACTCCAAGGTCGTGGTCTGGTCGGGCCACACGTTTGAGAAGCTCAAGTCGATTCCCGCGCACCAGAGCCACGTCAAGGGCATCACCTTTGACCCGGCCAACAAATTCTTCGCCACTGCCAGCGACGACCGAACCATCAAGATCTTCCGCTTCACCCCGCCCGCGCCGAATGCGACCCAGCATGACATGATTAACAATTTTGTCCTCGACGCCACCATCAGCTCCCCGTTCAAGAGCTCCCCCTTGACTACATATTTCCGACGGTGTTCTTGGTCTCCGGATGGGAATCACATTGCTGCCGCCAATGCAGTCAATGGCCCCGTTAGCTCCGTCGCTATCATCGAACGCACGAGGTGGGATAGCGAGATCAACCTGATCGGACACGAGGCGCCAACCGAGGTTTGCATGTTCTCGCCTCGACTCTTTCATACTGTGAAGCCTGGTCAGAACGGCGCGGCCAACGGCCACGGTGGCCAGCTTGTCACCGTTATTGCGTCGGCCGGTCAGGACAAGACATTGAGTATCTGGAATACCAACACTTCCCGCCCTGTTGTAATATTGCAGGACATTGCGGGCAAGTCTATTTCTGATCTGGCGTGGACACCAGATGGCCAGACCTTGTTTGCGTCTAGTTTGGACGGCAGCGTGGTTGTCGCCAAGTTTGATGAGGGCGAGCTAGGGTGGGTGGCTCAGCAGGAGGAGAATGCCAAGGCATTGCAGAAATATGGTGGCTCAAGGAAGGGCATGGGCATCGCCGAGGATGTGGATGGGTTGATGCTGGAAGAGCATGCCAAGGCCGGAGAGTCAAGGGCCGTGCAGTCTAGAATGGGTGCTCTCATGGGCGATTTCCAACCCGAGTCTGCAAAGGAGTCTACTCCAGCAAGCAAGGCCGAATCCTCTGCGTCGGTCCCGGAAAAGTCGACTGCTAATGGAGGTGCAGATTCGGACAAGGAAAAGGAGAAAGACAAAGACAAAGAGACCAGTGAAAAGCCAGAAGAGGCTGCAGACAAGACGGCCGAACGGGTTCGTGAATTAAAGTCTCGGGTTACTGTCGGAAAGGATGGGAGGAAGCGCGTGGCTCCGCTCTTGGTCTCGTCATCCGGCACAGGGCAGTCATCTCTACCCCAGAGCCAGCTTGTCGGATCAACGACGACGAAAAACACACAAAATGAGGCCCCGCAGACGATACTGGATCTTTCAAAACCCTTTGATGGACTGCCAAAGGGGGGCATTGTCGCCATGCTACTTGGAAATAAGCGCCGTGCTGCCACTACCGATCTCGACGAGGATGAGGAGCCTGCAGCTAAGCGGGTGACTGGTGGTCCAACGGCTGTTGTGACCAACGGGGCCGATGGCGTTGAGCATGCCGCGCTTGTTCCTGTCGAGCACGGCGTTATTCCCACTCCCGAATTTTTACGGCCGGCGGTGCTGAATCCGTCCATTTCCTATGCCCAGGTCCGCCTGGCTGTTCCCAAGATACGATCACATATCTTGCGGCCGCTTGAGCGAGGCGTGCTACAACCCGACGCCGCCTCGCTGGAAGACGCATCCAAGCTTCCAGAGAACATCATCCTCGAGGCCAAAAACGATATCAACCCCCGTGATCCAGCCCATGTTCTTGTTACGCAGAGAGGAGTCTTAATATGGCAGGAATTCTTGCCACGAGCTGTCATCTTGGTGACTGCCAGCAAGTACTTCTGGGCTGTGGCCTGTGAAGATGGCTCGCTACACGTTTGGACTCGTGCCGGCAGACGCCTTCTGAACCCCATCATCCTGGAATCACAGCCTGTCATCCTCGAATGCAGAGATTATTGGCTGATGACCATTACAGCCGTCGGATTGGTCCATGTCTGGGATCTCAAAACACAATCTTCTCCCCACCCTCCTGTGTCCGTGGGCCCCATACTGGATATTGCGACAGCATCACTAAATCAGCATTCTGCTACCCCTGGGCCGGGTATCACGTCCGCCCATCTGAATTCTACTGGCCATATTATCGTGACCTTGACAAATGGCGACGGCTACTTTTATGCGCGAGACATGTACACGTGGCAACGGCTGAGCGAGGCATGGTGGGCAGTGGGTTCTCAGTATTGGAACTCGAACGATTCATCCATCTCAGCCCTACAATCTACTGCTGTTGGACCCAACTCGAAGGATGACAAGGACAAAAGCAGCCAAGCTGTCACCGTATCATCAGGCATCATTCCGTTCCTTGAGCGACACACAACCAACGAGTTTCTTCTTAAGGGGAGGGCTTACGCACTGCAGCGAATCATTAAGATGGTCATGCAAAAGTCCGAGGCCGAAGGCCTGGAGAGCAGCGTCAGCATTGCCCATTTGGAGAACCGCATCGCTGGTGCCTTGCAGCTAGGGGCAAGCGACGAATTCAGATTATACCTGTTCATGTACGCCAAGCGATTGGGTGCCGAGGGTGCCAGGGGCAAGGTCGAAGAGCTTCTCAACAGCTTGCTGGGCGGTGTGCTTGAAGAGAAAGACTCGGAGAAGGCCGATGGCCGCGGCTGGTATAGTCGGGATGAGCAGCTCTGTGGATGGGATCGGAAAGAACTCTTAAAGGGAGTGGTTCTTATTCTTGGTATGTCAATCCTGGCTATCCTTTCCTTTTGGATACGAGCTAACATAACAACAGGCAAATATCGCGAGCTACAGCGCCTCACGGCCCAGTACGCGAGATTGATAGACTTGAACTTGGATGATGGCTCGGCAGATGTTGATACCATGGATGTTGAGGCGTAGACTACTTAGTTACACAGAAACAATATGTGTACACCTGCCTGTATATTAAGACGGAACCTGCTGTGTAATTGTAATAATGAATATTTTCATTAAAAGTGTCGATTCGATTAGCTCATGGATAGAGTAGCTGCAAGTTGAGTCTTTTGTCGGCTAGTGTCTATTGCTTTTACAATTGATCTCCAGCTGTGAGTGATTACCAGTTTCGTGCACAAAATGAATGCTAAATAGAGGCTTATAAGTAAACTTAATCTATCGCCCGCATGAATACGTGTAGAGCACTGAGATGGAGGGCATTAGATCGATCCGTGTAAGGGGAGAGAGTCGCAACATGCTTAACCTGAGCCTGCGACTCAAGGACATGAGAGCTGTTTATTAATTTGTCCCCCTCTAAACTCCGACCCTAGAGCATAATTCCACTTACTCCTTCAGCTATAATAACAAATAACAAAGCGTCTCAGGACATACATGCTGCAGTAGTCCAAACAGTTACAACAACAGACTGCATTCGGTGAGAACCTTATCCGCCGCCTTTGCGTACAAAAGGATGAATATGTTATCACCGCGAATGAACCAGGGTAAAAGCCGATCTATATAAAATAAAACTCGTATCTTGCTACCGAGGTTGAACGAGAACGACAAGTGTATCCCGCATCCCGCGGGAATGCGCGGCTAGATTATGCTTAAATGGAGTTTTTTTACAAGCAGCAGCGGTCTTGGAAGGAAATGATTAAGCTGACAACGGGGGGGTTAGTGAGACGACGTTGAAAATGGAGGGGATTCGGAGTCTCCGCATCAAGTGCCAGTTTGAGTAGTTTGCGCGACGTCGGAAATTAGACGGTTGTTGCTGCTGCTGCTTGCTTTCTTGAAGTAGACATAAGATGATGCCTGTTGAATATCAACATCGCTGATGATCATGATAGTCATGACATGCAATTTCTATTCGCAAGTCCACAAATCCACTACTATTTCCCGAAATTATGCCTACGAGTTTGCTGTGGAACTTGAGAGGTTTTCGGGATACAAGCCAGTGTCAGCTTCGAAAATATCCCTAGCTGGCGTGTTGTGCTCCTGACCTATTCACTAATCAGGTAATCTAGTGAGGCTTGGTTGGCTGAATCACGACCCCCTTTGTCTCCGTGTTTGCATTTCTTTATTAGTAACCCGCGAGGCTGACTGCGTAGGTAGGTATTAATAGATTGCTCGGGATAATTACCTGTACACATGTGATGATCATCTAGTTGTCACCGCTATTATCGCTATTACTTTGTCTTGACGTAAAGTCCAATCGCTGTTGTTGTCTCAAAACTGAGTAGCAGTCTAGTACAGACAGACAACATGAAATCGCGCCACATGCAGTACTATCTTGCCGCGCCCGATAGCAGGATTTCCGATAGACAACTAATTCCTATAAACCTAGGAAAAAATTTGTCTGAGAATATGCAATCGGCCTTGGTGGGATGCTGACTTTGACAGGGGTTGTGACGGCTAGTCGTTGCGAATGCACGGATATGCTAACAGGAAAAAGGCTTATCATTGGACAATCAACAGGATCTGCTCCGTTGGGAGACTTTCAAAGCGGATAGGCGGAAAACCCGGTCGTTTTCTAGTAATATATTAATAGAACTCGTCCAGGCGAATATACTAAGCTGATGGTCAGAGAAACTGGCACATTGTTCGTCCGCTAGACTGTATGGAGATGTAGTTCGACTTTGGCCCCATGCATAAATTGGGTTCCGATGCTGCCAAGAGGACCTGTTGAGGCTCTGAGGCCTAAACAAGGAGTCTCCCATGTGGCAGCTGGAGTCCTAATAATGGATCTCCTTCTCTCACAGGCCTGTTTTTGTTTCCCCCCTCTTCTTTTTGGAATAGTGATAGATATAAGCTGAAAGCCCGACCCCTGATACAGGCCTCTTTCACTTGCGTGTATACATAGGTTGACATGCCGCGAGGCTCGCTCTTCCATCATGGCTGACACGTACTACACATATTCGAGGAGGGATCCCACAATGTCGATCGACGGAATTCAATGGCAGCCAGGCGTGTGGAAGAGAATCCCATGGAGGACCGTCGGCTCCGTCATAGGATTCATGGTGACGTGCGGCATGATGGCCCTCGTCCTCGCCCTGTCTGAAGACCAAGAAACAAACCAGTGGCCGACACATAACAAATACTTCACCGTTCCCGTTTTACTCTCTCTTATGGGCGCCATTGCTGTTCTGTTCCTGTCGGTGGCAAACTCGGAAGGATTCGCCATCTCGTGGTGGCTCAAGGCTCTTCGGGGGACGAAGATCAAGGAGCTTCACTATGACCTCGAGGTCAAAGGTAACCTGCTGGTCGGCATCTTCAGACCTACCCTGTTCAACATGATCACCATTTCATCCCTCGTCGCTCTCATAGTGAGCATCGCCGTCGGTGCTGTGCTGCAAAAGGCTTCGGATACGACGAGCAAGACGATTGGGCCGTACCGGGATCAGGTCGATATACCCGTACTCAACACAACGCTGCCGTCCAACTTTAGCGGCTGGGCAGGTGGTGGAACCCAAACCGCGTTGCTGATGCCGGCATTTGCAAAGGTGTTCAAGGAGTATTCGAACCATAGCATTATCACGATGCCATCTAGCTGTATCAACAAGACTTGCGAGTTCCATATTGCTGCGCCGGGTTTCGATGTTGACTGCAAAGACAGCACATTCGACTACGACTTTAGCACCTTTGCGTCAGCCAGAGGTGACAAGCTCACGACGTTTCGAACGAGTGTCGATTGGAATCCATCGCAGGATGTCAATGCCCTCAATCATATGAACCTCTCCGTCTTGTATAAGCCCGAACCCACGTGCAAAGGAAAGTTGACGCAACATAATTGCACTCTACGAGCCGCCGCCGTCGATTACACAGTTACTATTACAAACGGAAGTGTCACGCTTCAGCCTTGGAGTATCGATCAGAACACAACGATTAGCATCACCAAATTTACCGACTGGCAACAACTGGGTTCGGGCAGCGTCGGGGCGGGAGGATTCTTAACCATGTTTGGAGGCATCGCTTCTGTTTTGCAAGCGCAGTACAACTCGAACACGACGCTCGCGATCGGAGGCATGAGCGCTATACCGTACTTGGTGACTGCGTTTGGACAGGCAGCAAGCACATTTCTTTCATCTGAGATTGAAGACTACGGCAACTGTACCATGTCATGGTCGGATCCTAGGGAAGACATGATCAACAACGTCCGCGAACTCATGTTCCGCAGCGCCCTTGCCGCGATACACTTGCCCAATGCGGGACCACTCCCGATCAAGCCAACAGATGCCCTCGTGTCGAGAGTCGGAATAGTTTATAGAGCACACTGGAACTTCTTTGGCATTGCGGTTGGATGCATGTTCTTCCAGCTCTTGATTATCCTCTACCTCCTCTGGGGCTGGCATAAGTTGGGCCGAGAGGTTTCGCTGGATCCGTTCGAGATTGCAAAGGCCATGGGTGCGCCGCTGCTGAATCACGGGTCTTCGAATAGTTCGGCAGACCAGATTCTGGATCTTCTCGGTAGTAGGAAGGTGAAATATGGTGAGCTGGTTGATGGAGAGCCAAAGGTTTCGGGAGAGACTGTGGTGCCCAAGAACGGATATACCAGAGTGGATAGCAGCGACCCGGACATCGCCATAGGCCCTCTTCAAGCTCAGAACACTGAGTTGAGCTTGAACACGAGGAAAACATTGGGTCTTGCCGTCGTGGACCAGGTGCAGCCTGTGAGACTTGGAGTGCATTACTAAAGGTGTTTTGAAAGGGCGGAGACGAGGTCTATCTTTTGTTCATATATATCAACAGAGCGTTTTGTTTATTTATTTTCTTTTCATAGCTTAGAATTGTGTATCACCTCTTATTCTTGTTTCCTTTTCGATAGCTCATGAGGTGAACCTGCAAGGTTGAACAAGGCATGCCGTGCCAACTTCAATGTTATTTACGTAGGGTATTCTTCTATTGACCCCTCTCACCGCTTCCGCAACCTAGTCTGGTGTCTAATTACCTGTCTCAATATTTCTACCTTTGAAATTGAATGAAAACTCTATAGCTATGGGAATGGCGTCAAGTGGACGGCAATCGCCTACTAGTTAGAGTTGTAAACAAGGTGAGCCCATGCTTTTCAAGGTCCCTTCACCGCACTCGACGCAAGATCATCATATCCATCTGCTCAAGTAGCGCTAATTGGGATATTTAGACATAATGAAGAGAATGGAAGCAAAGCAGGGGTTATATGTGAACTAAAGTGAGTAGGCCCGAAGAGGATGCCGAGTTGCCGAATATTAAGAACGCCCAAATATGGGGTCCCCAGATTTTACACGATTTAATAGAGCCAAGTCCTCTTTGATGGGAAAATCTGGGGATATAGAGATCTTGTCATGCGATTGAATGGCGCTGGATAACTAATTGACCAATGGAGCCATACCAAGTAACGTATCGTCGTCGTGCCGATGGCCTCACCGTTTCCACTCTCGTGCATTTGCCCTGTTCGTACACGAATCCGCAAAGAACATAAAAGTCCAAGTCACCCTCTGTCGTAATGGAGTTTCTTAGTGAAATGTTAGCAGCAAAGGACTTTTCCGCCTAGTTCAATATCCAGTGCACAACACCATGAAGCCTGTTTCACTGAGCTTCGCCTCTCTCGCAGCGCTCCTATCCGGAGTAAGCGGCCTTGCTCGTGTATCTCAGCGCTCAGCGCCTAATCCAAACTGTTTTCCATTCGGCAGCCAGGCGAAACTCAATGCAGACCTACAGCCTCCCCACGTTTCGAGAGAAGAATGGTGGTGTCCACAATCTGATTTTTATGGATTCCTTGGCTTTTCATTCCCCTTTCAGTTTACCAATGAAGACTTTGAGGTTGCAAGTATTAGCTCTCACATGCAGCAGATGAAGCGCCAATTTGGCGCCACAATGATTCGCATGTATATTCCTGAAAGCTACACCACGCAGCTGTGGGAGAATGTGCTGGAGGCTGCTATTTTGAACAACATGGGAGTTGTGGTTCAAGTGGCATTTCCAATCAGCGGCAATGACGCAAGTCTCTTCAATAAGAATGAGTTTTCTGCGTCTCTTCAAGTTCCGGCTAACCACGGCCACAGCTTTCTTGGGAAAAAGTACTGGAAACGACACTCTTCGAAACTCTATCAAATAGCAAATATTCAAAAATTGCACCATACGTCATCTATGCCGCCGAATATCTCAATGAGCCAGTTGGGGATTGCGACATGTGTGCGGCTGGTAGCACCGGTAATGCATCTGCGCCGGCCAGCCTGACGAATTTGACTATGGGCATGTCCAACTTTCGCAAAGAGATGAACAAGCATGGTATTCCAGCGGGAATCAGTGAAGATTGGGATAGACCAAATTTGATGAGCGGTGCACCTGGCTCTGATGGACTTGGTGTTGGATTGGGCGTAGTGGGAAAGGCGCTTGAGCCAGTGTTGGACTTTATTCACGCCCATGTTATGGCTTATTACCACAACATCCAAGTCGATGATGCTTGGACTTATACCGCCAATCAGGTCTTGTGGTATAAGAAATACCTCCCCCAGTTTCCACTCATCATCTCAGAGGTAATTACAGGCATTGCTGTGACGAAGGTATTGCAGAACGCTAATTGTATTTCGCTTTTACAGATGATGTGGGCTACAGGCTACAATGTTTTGCACGCTGGCGGCTACATCACCGGTTTTGCCGTTGCAGAAGTAAGCGTTGCTGATTATACCAAGTTCTGGAAGACGGTGGACGCAAACTGCGCATTTCTGAAGGAGCACAATACGGCATACTTTATTCATGCTTGGAGGCAGCAAGGCACCCTGAATATGCTTCAGAATGATGGAAGTGTTGTTATCCCGAATTGGAAGCCTAAGAAATGGTGTTAGATGCGAGTGAGCTGGATAAAGGGCGAAACAGGGTTACCTTAACTCAGCCTAATACAATAAGACTACATATACCTTGATAGAGAAATGAGGTTCCTAAGAGGGAATTTATTGCATTCAAGTAATATGAGAAGACAAAAGATCGTAGTATGTTGAATACCCGCGGAATAAAATAGAGTACAGACCATAGTTTAGGCTGCCCAATCCTCCCTTCAACCCGACACCTACTAATTACTCTAGAATAGAATTGAGCCACTTTAATATCCTGAAATTTACCTAATCTTAACACAGCCCCATACTTTGTGCGAGAAACTTGATTCCATCATTATCAATCTCCGTTAGGGGGATACTCTCCTCCAGTCTCCCCAAGATACCCTTGCCTGTCAAGTGAAGTTTCATCCCAAGCTTGCAATTTGAGCGATCAATTCGCGTCTGCAGGTCAACGAAGAGTGACGCGATAACAGGAATATTGACTTCCCAACGATGGGCATTCGTCCAGTCGTTTTTGAAGTAAATGTTGACTCCATACGTCTCATCCAGATGAATGGGGCTAGCATTTGCCTTGACGTGAGCGGGAAGCTCCAGGTGATCGGCCTTGTCTTTGGGTCTGAGATTGGCTCCTGGTATCTCGACTCGGACATCGACTATGCCAAAGTCGTGGAAATAACAAAAGTCGAGTGGGATGTCAAAGTGCTCAGTTGACGGCGTTATCTTGCAGTCGTCGGCCATCACCAGAGCAAAGGCTGGCAGTAAAGCCATTACCCCAATGGAAGTGAAGAAGTTGTTAAAGTGCATGATTTCTATGAGATTGAGATGCTTTGAGAAGACGTGTTAATAATGTGGAAGTTGTTAGGTTCTGTTACTGGATGAAGGATGTTTGGTCTGGTATATATATACATTCATATCTGCAGAGGTTCGCTATTACGGCAGAATTGAAACTATTACCAAGGACGGAAAAGCAAGACATCACTTACTGCTGTAAGTCTATTTGACGTCAAAAATGTCACATACGCAACTCGAGGTCTTTTGTCTCAGCTAATGTCCTATATCCCTACCTGTCGGAGCGGCCGAAGGCGAACGCTGATTGGCCCACATAGCCTGCAATAGGAGATGCTTTGGCGATCAAATGTAACGGCGGCAGATATCTTGAAGCTGAATGGTTACACTTAGGTCATTGTCTCAGGGTCAGTTAAGCTACGGCTGTTAACGACCCTCTGGGAAACATTGAGTGGCTAGCTGAGCAATACAATGGCTGGCTGAACTAGAACCTATGCCCCTTCAATGCGTGCCCTCACATGAGCGGGTTGAAGGCCGGATGCGGGCCGCAGTTCCATGATTCAATGGCGAGGCCAGCAACATTTCCGTAATCCGCACCCTCTGAGTCTATATTTTTCTTGAATTTGTCGTAGCTTTAAGTATATAAAAGCTGAAAGAAACGCAATGGTGTTGCGAAGATTCCAAAGACACAAAAACTCTCTCAAAGACATCAGCTGTCCCGCATGTTGCCCTGGGTTCTAATAGCACTTGCTATAGTCTCTTCATCGCCGTGAGTCATTTCTGTCTCTCTTCTGTAGCCCAATGGGGGTCATATTCGTTTGTACTCAGCAGTAGCTTTGACTTGTGCATGGCTTTGTGTTACTTCAAAACTTAGGCAAGTATATCCCACTCATCCGTCCTATGGAGTGGAGGAACCTGGTTAGATTATCAAATTGGGCTTATATCTCGACGGAGATTTATATTGCTCAGCGACCTGAGAGGGAGAAACTGCCATATGGTCGTTAAATGAGTCGTAAAACCTTTCTGTTCTCAATCTCTTCAACATGGAGATTCGCCTATTGAGCTTCGGGTAGATACATGTAGAGAGGTTCAGGAAATGGCAAAAGGCTCTTCGTGGTCCTCGACTCATGTCTGGCTTCAAATATCTGGGTATGAAGGGTGGGTTTTACAAGTCGCTTGTCGCAGCCGCGGGCATAGGCTCAGCCTTGAGTACCGCCGACGATAGGGTGTACGCAACAGGGACCGAAACCACGCTGTATCGCCGCTTGGCGAGGACCAAGAAGGGCTATTTGGCTGTTGTTCCCAGCCAGAGCAGTGTGGGGGATCAGATCAGCTTATATGAAGGCGGCAAGTTCCCTTTTGTCGTGCGGCCTAGAACAGGGCAGGGCACAAAGCAGTTGGTAGGGCCGTGCTATGTCCGTGGAATCATGTATGGGGAGGCATGGGATCAGTCGTTGTGTCAAGCCGTTGAAATTATTTAGACATGCTTTTAGATGTCATTAAGCGCCTTTGTGCATACAGTCAACGAGTCTGTATGCAAGAGCGCCGAGGAATTAATATTTCACAAGATGATGGTGCATTTGGAAAGAGAAATTCCAAGCAACACGGAGCAGGACGTTGGTCAGCCATAGTCATTGTACTGCGACGTATCGATTATCAGCCAGCTGACTCAGTTCATTACCGCTTGTAAAAAAAAAGCTTCAATTGGTGCTCTAGTCTAGCAATAGGTCAGAATGATAAAAGAAGCTTGGATCTGATATCTTTCATGCATATATTTTATATCGGGTCGTGTCCATAAGCCCATCATTTCTTGTCTATTGGGTGGCGTAGCCGTTCCGCTCTTGGCTGTGAACCCAGCCAAGAACTCTTATTCAGTAGATGGGCAAGAATCGAATATCGGTTTCCAAGTTTTTGTAATCTTGTCGTTGCTTAAATTAATATGGAACCGGGAAAAGTCCTTGAGCTCTTCAGTTGGAGGTCTCGTTCGGTTGTGAGGGATCTTGGGCGTTGCAGGGGCGTTAATGTGGATGGTGGTGTGAAGTGACAAGTATTCTGCCCTACGAGGGAGCGGCTAAGAATATTTATAGGTACGTATCGTCATCGAACAAGGTGCATTTGTCATGGCATAGATTGACGATTGTCTTAGAAAAATTTAAAATATGAGGAGCACGGACATACCAGCGTAATACAACACCGCAACGTGCGGGTTGAAGCATATAGTTCAAGTAGCAACTAGAATTCGAAAACTTAGCTCAAAAGAATACTACCTTGATAATGAATCTCTTCTAGGTCGAAGTTTCGCTGTCAGTACTTACATCAATGATACGACTATCAGTGCTTTAACGGAGACTTTGATGCTTTTTGATACGTGGAGCTAGTTAAAGCTCTCTAGATAGGGTAGTACGTAGAGAGGACATTTACCCTCCTGTTTGTGAAATAAACTCTTTACACAGTCTATTGTCGGATAATAGATACTTGGACCATCTATCTCTTATTACAATTCTCATTCATTCGTCCACATCACAGCAATCGTCTGTCTTCACGAACTTTACGCATTCACGTAATAGTTCACGTATAGCGGCTGCCCATATGGTGACTCTTTCAGAGGTCACGTTTACCCCAGTTGCTGTTGTGTGAGTCACCCCTCGGTTTTCAGAGTTATGCCGTATACAAGTTTCCTTCCTTTGCACTAATAAGTCCACTAATTCTCGTTGTGAGTTCGTCCAGTGTCTAACTAAGTGTGTTATTCTTATCATTGATGCTATTGGGCCCAACCCTGTTGTAGACTTGTCTAGTATGTGATAGTGAGGCATGATTAGACCAACTGTTTCAAAAGACTGTGGATTTTTTAAGAGCTCTTCAACAATGCTATACAATTCCTTACCAAGAGTCTCTCCAATAGCATTGATAGTTATGGCCAATTTGGTGCTCTGTTCCTCGGGTAACATCTGAATTCGCAAAAGCTTGTTAGCAAGAATATCCTTGTCTCTCAAATCCTCATTCTGGATTTTAAGTACTATGAACCCTAATAGGAGACTCACGTCCAAAAGACTAGCAAAATCGACATATATCAGTAGAACATGTCGGTATCTGCTGATATCGTCTTCGAACGCAGCTGACTCCACATGCCTTATGCCGCGCGGTGGCGGTCTTTTGGGGCGACCGAGAACAAGTAGCGCGTTCTTGAACTCACGGATTGCTTGTGAAAAGAGAGACAATAATATTGCTTTTTCAATATATAGATGCGCTTGAAAACACCAGTAATTCAAACCACAAACATGGCTGTAAACACTTAGCCACAAGCTTTAACATTGACGTTAAGGAAATCAGATGGATCTGTTTTACACATATCTTAGATTTGGGTTCGCACATTGATAACACATACCACGAGATTTTGCTTGCTAGCGGTCTGATACTCCTGCAATAACACGCTGGACACTCTGTAAGACTCTTCTTTTGTCTGTAAAATATCATCCGCATTTTTAGCACCGAGTATGGCTATCTAGACTTATTAGCCAGTTGAACTGTTGTATATGATGTATATATCGAATCTAACATGCCTTTATGACTGAGAGCCAAGGTTCAGACAAGTTCAACCTGGCTTTGCTATTTTGATCTTCCAAGGTCCATTCACCCGTGTCAATTTTTCTGGTTTCAATATCCTTGAATCTATTCTTTAACATTTGAATGAATAACTAGTCAAGGAGTGAGCTTGATATATAGTTTAATAACGAACAAGGGGGGTGCAGACCTCCTTGGAAGAAATAGTCTCCAGATGGAATGGCAGATGGCGTCCTCGGGCATCGATAACTAAGACCGGACTAAATGATACCTGCTCTATCAATTGTGGCTGTTGCCCAAATGAAAAGCGAAGGAGAACTAATGCTCTCTCTCGAGCAACAGGGTGAAGGGCTTGGAGGAAGGTTCCGAGCGCTTCGTATTCTATTGATAGTTATTCATTAGTTAATATCTGGGATAGTACAATGTCCATTAAATGGATTAACAGCAAGCAAACTAACCAAAGTTAGCTTTTCTCTTCTCTGAATAGGCCTGGAGAAGAGCATTTGTAGTAGCTGCCGCTGTAGCCGCTGCGAAATTTTGCCATTCGTTGTGTTTGTGGCTATCAGCGTAGTCGCTTACACCCTTGATGATGAGACATGGGATTTCGTCCCAAATTCCCGCTGCCTCCATTTCAAACGCAATAATACCTTCTTTCTGTGATATCTTATCCCTATCCAACCCAGACTTCAGGACTGTGTCGCCTGAGGCAACGGATCCCACATGTATCGCAACCTCCATTCCACCCAGCAGATTCGTGTCCTGTTTCCGGTCGTAACTGTCTCTCGGCGCTAGAAACTTGCTGCTACATCCAAGCTCGCTGCAAGAAGCAGTAAGAGCTTCATCACAAACTGGAGACGTCATGTCATGGCACTCTTTGCACGCGCAGTTAGGCGACTCGTGATGTTTATGTCGGTAGTTTGACTCAAAAAGTTTATCTCTTGCCAACCCAGGATAAACATATTTTGTTCCGCAACCACTTCCATTGGCATTGTCTTGCAGTCGGTTTAGTAACTTGGATGCTGCTTGACTGAGTTTGTTCCGGCCTCGCATTGTCTCGGCCATGACCGCAAAGCCCCGAAAATCATTGCTCTGCGCCTCCGTGGTTGTTTGTTTTCGGATAAATCGGTCAGGATATCTCTTGCCAAAATCGTACTGGACAATTGTCCTACTTATGATCACGTCTCCTAACATGATGTCGGATCCGTTCTGAGTTTTAGGAACACCGCCACATATACCCACGAGAAGCGCTTGGCGCAGTCCTGTATAACTCAGTTTCATACTGGCCACCGCAGATGCTGCACTGGTCTTCCCCATCCGTTGGAGGAGAACCAATACAACATTCTGGTCCCCGATTCGACCAGTTGTGTACGTGTTGGCATCGCCGGGCGCGGTTCCATACGGATCTCCATCTTCGTCCCAGAATTCGTCAAATGCTAAACACATCGCATCGTATTCTAGTGGCAGTGCGCAGATGATGGCAATCTTGAATTCCTCGCGGTTGATTGGTCTATAACGCTCCTGTAGCTCTGTATGAACTTGATGACTCGTGCTGAGAGTCAACCCTGAGTCATCTGAGCCGCAATTGGGCGATGGTCGTGGCGAAGTGCTTTGCATCGCGTAATTTTCGAAACGTAGAGATGGATACGCGACCGACGCGTCCGTTTTCACGTTAACACGAGAGTTTCGATATCTAATGGTGTAAAAATGCAAGATAGAGCGCGTTGTCGAACTTGTTGTTTTGAGAACTTTTGGCAAACACAAAATCGTATATCACGCGCTACAGATTTGAGTAGTGGGTATGTGAATAACGTTCAAAATTATTTTGCCGACAATCAAGAAATTTTCAGTAAAGGCTGCTCCCCCACGCAAAGCCGCAAGTATTGCATGTTATTGGCTGACGACATGCAGGAGATGCATTGGTGTTGGTGCGTGATCTCAAGCCTTGCTTGATAAGCCTCAAGAGTCTCCCAAAAGGCTCCAATTAGCCAATTTATGCTGCTGTAGTTTTCCTTACGGCATTTTCATGCCACCAATACACAATTATGCGCGTTTAATGTGCTAGATGGGATACTCGCGGCTCTTGGTGTTCTTGTTGTCCAAATTTGAGGCAAACTACATGTACATGGTATCCAGAGAGAGTCGCTGAACTAGCATCCGTTTTTGATGTTTGCAGCGGCGAAAGGTTACAGGTAAAGACGCATACCAAAAACAAATTTGATATGTTCCCGATATAGCCGAGCACAGATTCAACAAGACCGACGTATCTGCTGGCTCAAAAACTTAAGACTGCATAAGATGAATGGTCTGATAAAGACTTTAGTATATCTTGCCCCCCTCTCCCTGCCGCCTGATTCATAATTCGGTTCCTTACTATTCTTTTCTTTTCTTTGCTAGATACATGTTGGTCATGCTGGTCTGATGATCGAGGCGTGCGCTGAAATTGGGTAGTTTTGAAAAGAATTGTTGAACACGTCAATGGAGGTATAGTTGTCACGCTACACGGACGTTTTCTCCAAAATATGTATAACTTTGAGGAAACGTAGATTAAATCTACATCTAAATGTTTCGAACGGTGCGAGATAGTGGTACACCTAGTAAAGGGAACAGTGTTCTCAAAGTATGATTTGTTTGTGTGCCATGGTAGAGTTTATCAATATGGTGGCTTGTCTCTCAAGCAACCGTTCGGGAATTTCCTCAGCATTCAAAGAGGGTACACCATCGAAAGTATCAACCAAGCCTTGGCCATATATGTTGTTTACCTGGTTTCGAAGTCAATCATGCAAAAGTATAAGTTTCTATTATACAGTATAAGGCTTTCATTATATCTACTAGGTATATAAATCCACGGGAGTACCGTTCTTCGAAACTCCCAGATGCCCATCTTTCAACTTCTCCCAAACCAGCCATCTTTGAACAGCTACCCACTGTTTATTTACATCTACTCTACACATTGTTGTCATTTTACTCTCTATTTCAGTACAGGTACGTACTAGAATGAAGCATTCTACCTATGAGAACAATGAAAAAGTACTAATAATCTTCTTAGACAGGTCCTAAATCCCATTGTACTGCACCGCAACGTTTGCAATCTATACTTGTCTATTCTATTCTCGATATCCAGTGAGTGCTTCTCATGTGATTGTTTAATTACTAGTGTTTCTCTCCCGTCATAAACTTGTTTCGTACTAATGACGCCTATAGAATACATCTGACAATGTCTAACGATACTTCCATCTCGACCAAAGATGGTACCGAGGGTCATCTTGATACCTCTTTTCCATTCATTCGACTCCCTCCCGAACTCAGAATCAAGATTCAAGAAGCCACCATTCGAAATTTCCAGAGAGGTGCCCACTTCTTTTCAATTTCCAAGGGCCCTAGAAGAAATGGCCGCATTATCGGTCACTCTACTCTCGATATCGAGGATGTCTATGGGTTCGATCTTACGGCGCCGAAATCCCAAACCAGCCCGAGCTCCGCTCAAGATTGGTTTGCGGGTAACCCATCGGCGTATGTCAAAGATGTCGGTCTCTGGACAATGTGCTGGGAATCTCGCGACGTCATAACTAAACGATATAAACGACTTGACGAACGTATGAATACAAATTCGGGACCAATCAAAAGAAGTCAATTTGTTTCTTGTCATTTCACACGGGATATGGAAGAATGTCAGTTTAAGGTCTCACCAGCGCAAGATCTCTTTTGCATACAGCTAGACCGGGCTCGGGATCCATGTACATGGTACATAATACCCTTTTATAGGCTCCCAGGGAGTTTGAGTGTAACAAAACTCACGAATACGGCGATAGAATACGATACAAATTGGTTGATTCCATGGGAAACTGGTAGTGTCGTGCCATACTTGGAGAACAGCCCCCGGGGGTGTTTCATCCGGACTCTCTGGGCAATGGCAGAGGGGAAGATGCCCCCTGGTTGCCAATTTTGGATCATCGACCGTAACATTCAGAGGAGAGACAAGCCATGGGCCACGTTCATGCATTCCGAGGACGACACTACCGACGAACAAGAGAAGCCAAAGCCATTGGTATTCCAGGGCCTTAACAAGCGATACGTCGAGGTGCGAGGCATGGAAGAGTGCGATTGGGACGCCTTGAGACAAAACACAGTGTTCCATTTCCTCCACTGGCTCCAGATTAAGGCAGGTTTTAATGCTAACTGGATGATGAGGCATCGCGGCCGGTTTGAGCGGAACAGACCGCCGCTTCAACACCGTGATTTGGATGAGATGGTCAAGGTTCTGTGCGAGGAGGAGTTATAGTGGCTTCTCAAGTATATGGGCTTCACACTTCTTCCTGGTTATTCGTGTTTCTTGATTTGCATTTCTTTTCCGTTGAGATCGGCATCTTGGCTTTCTTTATCGTGGTCAAGGAATATGTGTTGGGGTTGAACTGGCATATCTGGGGTCAAATTCCGTTGTTCTTTTACTATTTTTGTATACTAGATTAATGAATCAATGATAAGAGGAATAGAAGATGCATATTTGTTATCAAGCATTGAGCATGCAGTTGTGTATAGACGAAACCATAGGTTAATCCTCGTCTCTTTTATAGATACAGCGACAGAAGTGGATTGTCTACTACGATTTGTTAGTTGAACTATGAGCCATTAACATGACATTAATTTAACCTTGAAGAATTTGGTTACTTTGGAACCGCCAGTATTTGTTCTTGGCCATGCCGTTGGGTGTCAGGCGTGGTGGAGTGTAATTTAAGGTATGCATCATCAAGGATCATTTTGTATGGCCATTATGTGTCACAGTCCATACGAAGCGAAGTGCACCAGCGCAATCGAATCGACAACCTTATTTGCACCCACGCCGGTAGATCTCACCTCCTGTGGCCAATAACGTGTCGCATATGCTATCACATCACCATATCTAAGCGCCGCCCAGAGCTGCCAAAGCTGCATATAGGATTCAGCCCCTATAGTGCTTCGTTGTCACCTCGGTGTTATATGGATGATTTCTACATAAAGTCTCCGTAAACTGTTCATCTTTACCTGCGTTGTTTTCGCTGTCACTTTGTGTGGTCTTGGCCTTACTCTTGGCTCTCTTTGTGTGCGGTAAGACTACAGCAAGTATATCTGGGTCTTCTCTTTTTCTTTTCCCAATTGGATCCTTGTACATTTTCCCCTAACTCTTCAGTGCACCCGCAAACGTCGGAGATAAATCATGCTATTAGTCAATTAGCATCATCCACAATTATCGTCCCAACACTTCCCCCCAAGCCCCCCAAAGGCCAATCAGTGGAGTCTATTTACATAACGGGTGCGGATCATGGTGCAATGGCTCTGCGGAGGCTTCGGCATTCATTTTCATTGATGCACAGAGTTCCAGTTCTTGGCTCACTGGTAACTCCCGTGAATGTACTAACAAACAAAAGGCACGATTTCGTCGGCTAGCCGGGCGAGCTAGCCGGCCGGCTTTCTTCACAATTCATGATGCCCGGTTGCACCACTATGAGCTGATGTTTAATTCCGACGCCCGCAAACATGATCAGATGGAATCAACCGAGTCAATTGATGTCAAAGTTGGAGTTTCTATCAACGTACAAACACACAAGATGTTTGACTCGGAAGAGGCGAATGTAAGATGCATAACTTGGCGACGGTTTGCACAGATGACACCATAACGGATACCACGACAAATACCATTGTTCCTTTTCTATACCGCTAGTCAAGTTATACCTTCCAGCCCCCTTGTCCTCGGCACCTCACTGGGTCTTGATACTCGAATGGGAATCGTGCACGTTCCATTCTGGCGCAACTAGGATGTGATACACAGGTTAGCTTTCTTTCGGTTAAGCAACACCAAAGCTAAAAATAGGCGTCTCAATGCCGGCTGAGAAGAGGCCCTCTCTAACCCAATGCCACGAAAATTCGCGGTGCTGCGTGATCGAATGTAATCCGCGGGCTCTTATTGGGCCTGCGGCAGCTTGGTTCACCCGCCGGCGCGGGCAAACTTTCCGCGTGCTGGCATATAAGAGCGATGACTGGCACCGTAACATCGAGCCAAATATGCAGGGCTTGGATACCTGATCCTGGCTTGGGACCAGAAACAGTTGACAGGGTAGGTCAGAAAAAAAGAGGCGGCAAGGCAGCCAGTTTGGCCTCGCACAGCCAAAACCAGATGGGACAGGTGCGAGTATGTACGGAGCCGTGTAACTCTAGTCCGTAGACAAGATAGTCTTGGTGCAAGGTAAGCAAAGATAATCAGGGTAGCGGAGGAAAAGCCATGCCCACTTGCCCCGTAGGGACACATCTCCGCCCTTAGTCTTTGTGAAAAGTCATCGTCCACGGCCGAAAAATCTGGCAGATTCCGGCACTTAGCGGAGGTGGCGGAGTGACGGAGAACCGCTTTCCGTAGAGCCACGGAAACGGCGTGTTAGTTTGTAGCTGTGACGGTGCCAAAGGAACGGTTTAGGAAGGAGAATTCGGGTGAGATCGAGGGGGGATCTCTGCACGAGTTTGTCAATCTTCTAGCACCACGCAGGGTGGCCTGGCGTGTAATCTTACAGCCCAGGGTCGTGGGTGATGGTGTCACATCGAGCTGCATGATGCCAGGCACGGACGCCTTAAGCCCGCATGAGTCCAATGGGCCAGCAATCATGCCCTTGTCATGCGTTTGTATGGATACCTCGGCGAGGACACGGCGAGGGCAGAGACGGACGAGGGCATGGAAAGCAAGCAGAACAAGTGGGCAGGCAAGGAGAAGAGAAAAAAATATATATGGACATGATCGGCACGACTAAACACAACTCACTCAACCAGACCAACAATCTTGGCTGCTCTGCTTCTCCTCCATCTAGACAATGCCTCTCAAGAACATCTTGGCCATTGTCGGCGCACTGCCGCTGGCCTCTGCCGCCGGCTGCCCTCACATCAACGGCAACAGCAACGTCCACGTTGCCCGCAGTGGCTTTCAACACCCCGAGTCCATCTTGGAGACGAGATTCAGCCCCGATGGCCCTGATTTCGGAACCTGCCCCCGCAAGAGCACTGTTGCTGGTGGCGGCACTCGAAGCAGGCAGTGGTGGCCTTGCGAGCTGAACTTGGCTGTTCTTCGCCAGTTCTCTGAGAAGTCCAACCCCTTTGGCTCTGACTTCGACTATGCTAGCGCCTTCTCCAAGATCGATGGTGAGTTTATTGCTCCTTTCAATGCTTAACCTTGCTAGTTAGTGCTCATGCTGATATACGAAACAGTCACCCAGCTGAAGAAGGACATCACCGCCGTCCAGACCACCTCTCAGGACTGGTGGCCTGCCGACTTTGGCAACTATGGTCCCTTCTTCATCCGTCTTGCTTGGCACAACGCTGGTACCTACCGCGCCGTTGATGGACGCGGAGGTGCCGGTCAGGGCCAGCAGCGTTTTGCTCCCCTCAACAGCTGGCCTGACAATGCCAACCTTGACAAGGCTCGCCGCCTGCTTTGTAAGTTGATCCCCAACGCTAAAGCCAGAAACGGCACGCAATGATCGAATTGAGCAATGGTACTAACCAGGTACAGGGCCCATCAAGCAAAAGTATGGTGCTGCTCTCTCCTGGGCTGATCTGTTTGTCTTCGCCGGTAACACTGCCATGGAGAACATGGGCTTCCCCACGTATGGCTTCGGCTTTGGACGTGTGGATACCTGGCAGTCCGACGAGGGCATCTACTGGGGTGGCGAGCAGGAGATGTTCCCTGAGGCTCTCAACAACGTGGTCCGTTACAACGGAAGCACTGACTTCACGACTCGTGCGGATGAACTCGAGAGCCCGCTTGGAGCCGTCAGCATGGGTCTCATCTACGTTGACCCCCGCGGACCCAATGGTACCCCTGACACCAAGGCCTCTGCCCTTGATATCCGTGAGACCTTCGGCCGCATGGGTATGGATGATGAAGAGACCGTTGCTCTGATTGCTGGCGGTCACGCCTTTGGCAAGACCCACGGTGCCGTTGCTGGATCCAACGTCGGTCCCGAGCCCAACGCTGCTGGCATTGAGCTCCAGGGTCTTGGCTGGAAGAACAGCTTTGGCACTGGCAACGCTGATGATGCCTACACCAGTGGTCTCGAGGTCATTTGGTCTCGTACTCCCACTAAGTGGGCCAACGGTGAGTATTTTGCAGCATCCCTTCTGGTGATCGACAACTAGGACACACGCTAATGCTTCTAACAGAGTTCCTCTTCTCCCTGCTCAACAACAACTTCACCCTCACCAAGTCCCCCGATGGTGCTCCTCAGTGGGAGGCTCTCGATGCCAACGCCTCCTACCCCGACCCCTTCATCCCTGGCAAGTTCCGTCGCCCTACGATGCTTACCAGTGATCTTGGTCTCCGTGATGACCCCATCTACAACAACATCTCCAAGACCTTCCTCAACGACTTTGACTACTTCACCGAGAAGTTCGGTCTTGCCTGGTGTAAGTGCCTAACCTCCCTGGTGACATATCTGGGGAAATGACAGGAGGCCTAACTGAGTTCGATATAGACAAGCTTCTCCACCGTGACATGGGCCCCATCTCCCGCTACCTTGGCCCTGAGATCCCCAAGCAGGCTCCTCTCATCTGGCAGGATCCTCTTCCCGCTCCCGCTTACACCACTCTGGCCGCGTCTGATGTCTCATCCCTGAAGTCGCAGATTCTCGCTGCTCCCGGCCTCAACATCTCCAACCTGGTCACCACCGCTTGGGGATCTGCTTCCACCTTCCGTATCTCTGACAAGCGTGGTGGTGCCAACGGAGCTCGCATTGCTCTCCAGCCCCAGGCCTCTTTCGCCGCCAACAACCCCACTCGTCTGGCTGCTGTCATCAAGGCTGTAAGTGAAGATACTATTTCTATCGATGCTGAACAAGCAATTTGCTAATACAATTTCACCTACAGCTCAAGGGAGTCCAGACCAAGTTCCAGTCCAGCGGCAAGAAGGTTTCTCTGGCTGATCTCATCGTTCTCGGTGGTGCTGCTGCCATTGAGAAGGCTGCCAAGGCTGCCGGGGTCACTGTCACCGTGCCTTTCACCCCTGGTCGTGTTGATGCCACCCAAGATCAGACCGATGTCTCCACTTTCGCTTTCCGTAAGTCTATCCTCTTACGGTAATCATAACGTTGCCTGCATGATTGGATGCTGACCGTTTTTGTGCTATAGTCCAACCCCAGGCTGATGGTTTCCGTAACTTTGGCCACGGCACTGCTTCATCCCTCACTGAGGAGCTTCTGGTTGACAAGGCCGCTCTCCTGACCCTGAGCCCTCCTGAGCTGACTGTCCTCATTGGTGGTTTCCGTGCCCTCTCTGCCAACTTCGACGGCTCCTCCACTGGTATCCTCACCTCCCGCCCTGGCACTCTCACCAACGACTTCTTCGTCAACCTGTTGGGCTCATACGCCACCTGGTCCGTTGTCAACGGCACCAACGAGGAGCTCTTCCAGAGCACCAACTCTGCCGGCAAGGTTCAGTGGACTGCTTCCCGTGCTGATCTCATCTTCGGCTCTCACCCCGAGCTCCGTGCCATCTCTGAGGTCTACGGTTCTTCCGATGGACAGAGCAAGTTTGTCACCGACTTCATCGCTGCTTGGTCCAAGGTCATGGACCTCGACCGTTATGATGTTAAGGGACACTCTGGTCCTTACTAGTTAATATTCCTAACGCCTTCTCAATAATGTATATATAAGACAAATAGGGCATAGCTGCCGCTAAGATACATGATTTAAATTCAAATTCTTCATCAATTACTTGTATGCTTCTTCCAACTTGCTGATTGTTGCTGTAATCCTCGGACAGCATCTGTCTACCACTTCTGCCTCAGACTGGAAGCAATCTCAGCTTTTCACCACTGCTCCATATGACATGTAACGTCCCCGGCACATAGTAAGCCTCACTCATTGCCGGCCTGAAAGACAAGACTCGGCTCTTCACAGGTTAATTTGTCACTTGGTGGTATTTCTCCACTGGATCAACGCCCAGCGTTGTGGAATCACACACTGATTTTGGAGCCTAACGTTCTACGCACGTGCATTACACAGAAAAGGAGTAATTCTCCGTACTAATGCAACCCAATTCTCCTTTGTTTGTCCTCTCATTGGTCCATTATGACGACTTGTACGTAGTATAACCTACGGAGAGTTTTTCTCCTACATGAGACAGTGGGCCACACTATCTTGTATAGGCGATTTCCTGTCCCACGTTATGTAACCAACAACATGGGGTAGCACCAAAACCCTCCGCGCGGCAACACTTTGCGATGGAACTTTTATTCTTCCATGGACATGAAACTCCGCCTCGGGATTTACACAGGCTCAAAATAGTGTCATGCGGTCATACAGTACCGTGGTGTATCCATCGGCGGTTATACGTTTTTCCATTGGAAATTGGCACCAGAGGCAAATTTATGCCGCTTTCCGTGTTGTAACAGAACAACTGTCTTGCATACGATTGATCTCATATATTAGTTAAGCTGACTATGGGACTTTTTGTATGTGTTGTCTTACTGTACATGCTTTGTCCTTACCACCTATCTCCATTGTCCGAGACACCGATGACTACTGTTATGCTGTGGAGCTTCCATAAGCCTCAAATTGCTGCTCGGGGTTATTACCTGTTATTGAGACAAGGTTGATTCATCGGGCTATTTCGACCAATGGAGCTTTGGATATTGAAAAATCACCGCAGTCATTCGAGATTCACCTTACTGAAATATCAGACCAAATTATGCCTAGTTCTATACCATTCAATAGGCTAATAATAGATCTTCAAGCACAACAAGATGCAGTCCCACCGAGGTGTGATTCGGACCGTTCCCGAAAAACGTTAAACAAGGATGATCGTGGAGAAGAGTCGATATTGAACATTCTTACATCTCACCAAAATGTATGTAAGTACTCGCACATTGTGACCTAATTTACGCAGTTGCAAATCATCTTGCACTTCCACCTTGCAGCGTTTGGGGGCGGTCGGCCAGATGATGCTCCGCGAGCTCCAAAAGAAGCCTATGGCGCATGCGACAGACAGGGACTAATTTCTGACAAGAACCACGGCCCTCCCCGTGATATTTCTAGCACATGGGGCCCCTTCCCGAATATCTCTCCTAGGCGTTATACCGGCGGAATTAATAAACAACTAGCTCAACTAAGTAGGTATAACATTCCAAATAACGGTAGTTGCCTAAGCGTTTTGGTGACGGATAGTTGTATTTGCCCGCTATGCATAACATCACTATATTCTTGACTGTCATTTTGATTGATGAATAAAATTAATAAAATTTACATGAAAAGAATAATAATCAAGACTGTTGCAGTTGGTATACTCTGCTGGCTTAGTAGCAAATGAACCATATACGCATTGCTGTTTCTCGCAAAAAACAACGTTAGCCAACAACTCTAGCAACTCAGTGGATGGATATTACAGGCCATATGAAGCAATGAACCTCATTTTACAATCGCTGAATGTGTGGAGAAAAGCTAGGTACGGTCCGCTACCCCAGGGTCCATGCCCCGGGATATCATGACTATTGATTATTTTACAAGGGTCAAAATAAAGGAGTATCTATAATTCTACATGGTTATCGCTGAGCTTTTTGAAGAAGTATAGTCCCCTTGCGAGTAAGCATAAGTGTAAGCAGTCCTGTAGCAAATCCGTGAAGATTTGCCGCGTTTCCGTATGCAGAATGTTTCGCCAATCGTAGCCGTTCCATACTTAGCCGTTCCATACTTAGCCGTTCCATACCTAGCCGTTCCATGCGTAGCCGTTCCATACCTAGCCGTCGAGGTTGAAATCATGTATCGATATGTTCAAATGTTTGCATAAGAGAACATAAAAGCGGTACAATATAATTGTCTCAAAATATCATTAGTCCTGTAAAAAAAAATTGGGAATACAACTTCAAGTTGTGGAACTTACCAAATCTCCAGATTCCTTCTCATAGCTCACAGAGTAGCAGTATGTAGATACTTTTATAGTCATAACTTAATTCAGGGTATCTGTAGTCATCTGCTAGACTTGTAATCCATTAACCGATTATGGATGTCAATACCTTTCTTCATTCGATGTCCTCGTCAAACTCCAGTAGGCGTCGCTTAACCTATCAGCTATGTTAACGATGACTTGTAACAACAATAGATATTCTCATAGATTGGCCAGCTTTCCACTGAGTTGCTAGCGCAAAAAATCCGGTTCAAGCTGAACTGAGTTTACTCTATTGCAGCCGAATGTTTTGAACGCTATGTAGAGTTGTGAGTTCTTAGCCTACTTAACCTGTAGTTCCCATTCATCCTACTCAAATTGTATAAAACGAATTCAATCAAGAATTTAACTACTACGATTATCCAGTGTAGATCAACAATGTTACATGTTGGGTATATCTCTTTCGTTTCGTGGCTTGTATTTTCGAGCTTGATGCTCATGTACAAGGGAGGACAATGTCCTCTCTGAGGAGGCGGTTTGGGGTTGAGATTTTGCGAATCCTCATAATTTTGTCTTTTTAGCTCGATTGTTGTTATTGTTACTCACCAGTGCGCAAATTTCTTTCTCACGTTTCTAAAGACAATACAAGTATCTCCTCCGATATCGTGCACTCGCTGATTACAAAAGACTCTCAATTACAACATATCCATCGTTATCACTTTCGAATACAATTTTTTGGCCATCGCGGTACCGATGAAAGAGTGAACCAGGAGTTACTTATGCGAAAAATCGACCAATTGAAGAAGCAGAATTGATGAATGCTCGATGAATGGAGAATAATGGGGATCTGTATCATGTAAATCATTTCTTCGGCCGATTAGAACTGCTAAATGCACTTACAAAGACAAGTTTATCCCCAAATAATTGATAGTGCGACAGTTTCATCGAATAGAAGATGAACTCTTTCACCAGGTCACTCGCTATTGATCCAACTCACCCAGTTAAGTAACGTGTGATGAACGTGTTCCAAATAGGTAGATATATGCTATATAATCTTCACTAATGTTTCGTCACTTAATCGCCCTTTGAACACGTCGAACCAGTAATCCTTGGCTTCTTTGAGGACGGTGGGTGGTCTCGACAGTTGGACCAGCCCTAGACGTTGCCATACCGCGCAACATCGTGTTTCATCATACTCAGCTTCTTTCAGTATAAGAAGAATCAGTGATCCTGAGTCAAGCCTAGTGGAAAGTATGAAGCATTTCACAATTGTTCCAAGAGCAATGTAGGAATCTCCTGGCGTTGAAGAGTCGCAGTCTGCCCACACATTGCCCACCTGTCCTTGCATAATGTCGAGTTCGAATAACTCAAAAGGCTTCCTTTCACTTGGCTTTACAGATGCTTTATACTGAATCGATGTTGGTATGAGATAGCCACGTAGTAATAGATGGCCATCCTTAAGCTCACCCGTTGGATCCGACTGGTAAGTAGAGCATTTCACCTCTTCAACTTCACATAAAGCACTCGTACCGGTTCCTATATCGAGGAACTCAACGTGGCCTCGTACTGCTCCCCATGACCACGTCGGAGCTCGCCATGCCTTGGGACGTTGATGCCATTCGATTTGCTTTGTGGAGTCGCCGGCCGTGTTTTCTTTATGCCACGCAAGGTCGTCAATCAGCGATTTTGTCCACATTCCAGCAACGTACTCGGACCCTAACGAAGATTGGAATCTTTTAGCGATACCAGATATCGCTGGGAAAAGGTCGCTCTCAAATGTTAGGTGAAGCCTTGTATAGTCTTCCACTATCATATGCCAGGCCTTCACTTGCTGGGTCCCGTATAATTTCTGCCAATAATTCTGATTGAAAACAGTTTTCGGGTTGAGCATTCGAAGTGCAGCCATTGTATGTACCATATCAACAGGGTCAACGGTGGCCGAGGAAGCATAATGTCCAGTGCATTGACAGCCAGATTCCTGTAGGCATTCCCATGAGAGCTCTTGTGGTCCAAAATGAAGTATCCTAGAAGACAAAAGGCGCTCCTGGAATATCCATCCGCGGTTGAGGGTTGGGAGCAGAGACGGTTTAGCCAACTTTTGATCCATATATCCAGGCATATGAGTGAATGATTTGCGAAAGCACACAGCAGATCCTTGACCTAGAGATGGGACAGGAATGATGCTTGGTTTCAGTTGTTCGTCAACCTCGCCGAACAAGCTGTCTCCGGAGCCGGGGGATTTAGATGCGGAGATTACTAGATAGGCATTTTGGTAGATTGAGGCCATCCTAGCGGCCTCCTTCCTCCAGTCTTCTTTATCATCCTGGATAATGCAAAGGCTGTCAATCCACAACAGAGAGATGCCTAATCTCCGCACGTATTTTATCGTATCTTGAAACAAGGGAGGCAGTGTACTCCAGGGGATTTCTTGTTCGTGTGAGCTAAGATTGGCTGTCGTGGTACTCGAAGGTTTTGACGCGCCCCAGCAGTGGCTTAGACAAGCATATTTGGGTATCTCGACATCATTAGTGTCAAATGCTTTCAGTCGGACGTGATCGTTATCCGTGAAGCCAATATCGAGAATGCGCTGTGGTCGTGCCCCTGTTGAATCAGAGTTCTTCTGGTGGCACTCGTGGCTGTTGTCACAGTGTCTGAGCTTCTCTAACACCCATTCGAGGCTAGCTTCAGAGTCTGTCCTGCTGGGGAGGTTTAAAACGCCGACAGGAATAGTTGGAAATAAGCATTCAATTTCAGGGGTTTCTGGCGGAACAAAGTGTGTTAGCACTGATATACTGTATAGCATGCCATGCAATTTTCCAAGAGCATTGCCAGAACCCTAGATCTGTTCTATATGCAGCCCCTAACCCCTATATAATTGCATCAGCCCTTTGCAGGGAATTAAATCTCACTAAATTGTGGTGGGGCAAAAACAGATATCTCCAGCTCGCGTTTAAAGAGGGTTAAGTAGAGACTCTTGCCCTCGGCCCCCATGCCCATGTCCATGCGGAGCCACCCGACAGAGTCCTGAGATTGAGTTTCTGGAGATACATCATCGCCAATGATGCTTTTGATACCAGCACTTAGTACTGAGCAAGAAAGACAGCCAGATTCAGCGCCTTTAAGCAGACTGTCAAGGCTCGAAAGGGCCGCAGTCGGTCTGCCGCGACTTGGTGGATGATGGCACGATGAGCATGGCCGGGATTCGGGTGCGGACTTGGGACCAGAGAGCGACATTTTATGGTTTACACTCGATAAACAGAGTGTCGTCGCAACTTGAGTCGTATGAATTCCCACCACAGAGCTGCGGATATCGTCATTGTGCAGGATCGGGGTCTCGGGCGATTCAAACTTAGGAGGGGTCAAGATCCCGGACCCGATGCTTCGCCGCAATTCAGCCCCCGCCTGGTAGGGCTAAGCCGGCGAGTCCGCTAGCATTAGAGGCGCCACACGGATCTGGTTTGTGTTGCTAAGATTCAATGCAAATGCCGGTTGAATCAAGAGTTGTCATGTGTGCTGTGAAGAGTTGTGAGCTTGTAGAAAGTTGCAAATGTCAATGCAGTCGTACTGAACTGCTCATATGTTCATGTAAATCTTCTGCATTTGATTGCAGTGCGAGACGCGAATGGCTTCTAAACCCCACCGGTTCGTGGCTTTGCAACTATGTATTCTCACAATGAGGGTGGACTTTCGCTCGTAAACAGAAACGCCATACCGAGACGCCATTTTCGCCACAATGGTACTGAGGCACAGGAGTAGTACCGCGGCCCAGAGATCTGATGCGCCTTCGGTACTTGGACAATCTACTCCATTGTTCGGCCGAGATGCCGACTGCTGAGACCGTTTGCATGTGCAATGCCAAGCACGAGCTGGGATCTGGATCAGTTCATTCCAAGATGGCCCGCGCGGCAAAGGGCACTCGTCAAGGCACTCGTACAAACACAATTACAGAGTTGGAATGGAGACCGGCGGCTAACAGGGGTCCACACAGCCGGAAGCATCGACAGCGCGATGAGGCCCAAACTCAATCTCAAGGGACCAATCCAAGGGTCTGGGCTGGGAGCTGAACATCAAACAGAGTCAGCGCCGTTCATCACTATCCGGAAGCCACACGGGCTTCATCTCTGGAAATCGCCTAGCTAGAGATTCTCCCCAGTGTATCTTACGAGGAGAAAAATTGAGAAATTCAGCTGAGGCTTACTGTAGTTTAACTGATTGCACGAGAATCATGTGAAGCCCGCCGTCAGCACGCGTCTGTCATCGGGAGACACTAGCCAAGCATTGGCTTTGAGACTCCGCCATCCTGTAAAATCCACAATGACGATGGTCGTAGATTTTTTTTTCCGCATGTACGGCGCACAGAACTCCGTACGCTCAGATCAGCTTTCCAAAGCTGCGGATGAGGCAAACGGAGTGCCATGTCACCCCTGCTCCGGTCCCACGGAGGGCATGACGGAATAAACACTGGTGAAGCTCCGTCTTGCCCGGGAATTCGCCGGGCTTGCCATGGCGGGCTCTGTAAAACCCGCCAACCCGACAATCAATGACAATCTGCTGTCAATCGTTTGTTTAACGTGCATTACCATTGGCAATGGGTTTTCCATCTGTTTCCAAATGCGCACGGTATGAAAGCACCGCCTTGAGACAGCCAAGCTCTGGTCTCCGTACAAGGTTTTAGCTAGCTGCCGGCCCTAGGCATGGCCTGCGACTCCGCGAACCCGGGTCCGGACTACGCCAAAGATGGCACCGGTTTAAGGTATAGATGGTATGTCATCGACCGACTATGACTACTTATACAAACTCTCGTCTCCTTAAGTTTGGCGTTTTCTCCCTTGGTAGCTTCATGGTCCATGGTTAGTCATTCTTCAAGCGACAATGGCTCATCACGAAGATGGAAAGGAAGTTGTCGAGGACGGTTTCGACGTCTCGACACATCGCCCGTTTTCTACCGTCATGGAAGACGATGAAGGGAGTAAATCACCAATAGACAGAGACCCACGCGAAACACACTCGAGAGATTCCGACAATGACGCCAGCACTTTCCCCTCGGCTCTAAGTCGCTCCAACACATACGACGAAGAATCGATGGAGCAAGAGGACAAGACCGAGCTCAAACGAATTGCCACTGCGCTTTCTCGTCGACAATCTCAAGTTGCAGCACCTGCTCGCCGTCAATCAACGGGCCTTGGCACTGTTGACGAGTACGATGCCACTCTCGACCCTGACCGTCACGAATTCGATCTCTCGAAATGGTTGCTTCGATTCATCCGCGAACTCAACGAAAAGGGCCTCGCAGACCGTCAAATAGGCGTATCGTTTCGAAATCTCGACGTTTTTGGTTCCGGTAGTGCAATTCAGCTTCAAAATACAGTAGGCTCTGTTCTCACCGCACCACTGAGACTTGGAGAGTTCTTCAGCTTTGGCAAAAAGGAGCCAAAGCATATTCTTCACAATTTCAATGGGCTCGTCAAGAGCGGAGAGCTATTGGTTGTTCTAGGACGCCCAGGTTCTGGTTGCAGCACGCTCCTGAAATCGATTTGCGGCGAGTTACATGGCCTGAACATTGGAGAGAAGTCGGCCATCAGCTACAACGGCATCCCGCAAAAGCAGATGAAGAAGGAATTCAGAGGTGAAGCGATTTACAATCAAGAGGTACGTCTCTCGTCCAGCATCAAATCTGCTTTTACTCCTCGAATCTACTTATAACTCGTTGCTAATTTATCCCCCAGGTCGACAGACACTTTCCTCACCTTACTGTCGGGCAGACCCTCGAATTCGCCGCCTCAGTTCGAACACCATCCCATCGAGCCCACAACATGCCTCGCGCTGAATACTGCCGTTATATCGCCAAAGTAGTCATGGCAGCATTTGGCCTCTCACACACCTACAATACCAAAGTCGGCGATGATTTCATTCGTGGCGTATCTGGAGGTGAACGAAAGCGCGTCAGTATTGCGGAGATGGTTTTAGCCGGCTCGCCGTTTTCTGCTTGGGATAACAGGTTTGTCCAATATCACTTGTCTATTCATCGCCTTATCTAATTGGGTTTACAGCACTCGAGGTCTCGACTCAGCAACAGCGTTCAAATTCGTCAAAGCACTCCGGAATGCTGCCGATCTGGGCAATCTCGCAAACGCCGTTGCCATTTACCAGGCCAGCCAGGCCATCTACGATCTTTTCGACAAAGCGACAGTATTATACGATGGCCGTCAGATCTACTTTGGACCAGCGAGTAAAGCAAAGGCCTATTTCGAGAGACAAGGCTGGTACTGCCCCCCACGCCAAACAACTGGCGACTTCTTGACCTCTGTTACCAATCCGGTGGAGCGTCAGGCTCGTCAGGGAATGGAGATGAAAGTACCTCGAACTCCAGAAGACTTTGAGAGGCTTTGGCTAGAATCGCCTGAGTTCCGCGCTCTGCAGAAAGATCTTGATCGGTATGAAGAGCAATTTGGCGGCGAGCGCCAAGGCGAGAGTCTTGCGCATTTCCGCCAACAGAAGAACTTGAGGCAGGCTAAGAGAATGCGACCCAAGTCGCCGTACATCATCAGCATCCCAATGCAAGTAAAGTTCAATACCAAACGAGCCTATCAGCGCATATGGAATGATATCTACGCAACAATGGCATCCACCGTGGTTCAAATTGTCATGGCTCTCATCATCGGCTCCATATTCTTCGACACGCCTAATAATACAGACGGGTTCTACGCCAAAGGTTCGGTTTTGTTCGTGGCCATCTTACTCAATGCATTGACAGCGATATCGGAAATCAATAGTTTGTATGCACAGCGACCAATTGTTGAAAAACATGCCTCGTATGCATTCTATCATCCGGCCACCGAAGCAGCCGCGGGTATCGCTGCCGATATCCCCATCAAGTTCATTACTGCCTCGGTCTTCAACATCATCCTCTACTTCATGTCTGGCTTGAGGAGAACGCCATCGCAGTTCTTCATCTATTATCTTATTGGTTATGTCTCTATATTCGTCATGAGTGCCATTTTCAGAACGATGGCCGCCATTACCAGGACGGTTTCGCAGGCCATGTCGCTTGCTGGAATTTTGGTCCTCGCGCTTGTCATTTATACGGGATTTACCATTACAGTACCGACAATGCATCCTTGGTTCAGCTGGATTAGATGGATTAACCCGATTTACTACGCCTTCGAAATCCTAGTCGCAAACGAATTCCATGGTCAAGACTTCCCTTGTGGTAGTAGTTTTGTGCCACCGTATAACCCGACTGTCGGCGATTCTTTCATCTGCCCCGTTGCAGGCGCTGTTGCGGGTAGCACTACCGTCAGTGGCGACGCTTTTATTGCGACCAACTACGAGTATTATTATTCTCACGTGTGGCGTAACTTTGGTATTCTGATGGGATTTCTCTTCTTCTTCATGGCAGTGTATTTTATTGCTACGGAATTGAACTCGTCAACCTCAAGTACCGCCGAGGCCCTTGTTTTCCGGAGAGGCCACGTCCCTGCACACATTATGAAGGGTGAAAGTGGTCCTACTAGAACCGATGATGGGGTCGATGAGAAAGGTCTTCATGTCGTCAATACTAACGCCAATATTAACGGACTGGAACCTCAGACAGACCTTTTCACGTGGAGAAATGTTGTTTACGATATCAAGATTAAGAGCGAGGACCGCAGACTTTTGGATCATGTCTCGGGTTGGGTTAAGCCAGGCACATTGACCGCACTCATGGGTGTTAGTGGTGCAGGAAAGACGACCCTCCTCGATGTGCTCGCTCAGCGAACTACCATGGGCGTCATTACGGGCGATATGCTTGTCAATGGCAGGCCACGAGATCTTAGCTTCCAGAGGAAAACGGGCTATGTCCAACAACAGGGTAAGTCTAGAAGAGAAGAAACCTTTTTTTATTCGTTCATCGCGTACTGACGAAAATTAGATCTGCATCTGGAAACTGCTACAGTTCGCGAGAGTTTGCGATTCAGCGCCATGCTGCGTCAGCCGAAATCTGTCCCCAAGGCGGAGAAATACGCGTTTGTTGAAGAAGTCATCAAGATGCTCAACATGGAGGAGTTTGCCAATGCTGTTGTCGGTGTTCCGGGCGAAGGTCTCAACGTTGAGCAGCGAAAGCTCCTCACTATCGGAGTAGAACTCGCAGCCAAGCCGAAGTTACTGCTCTTCCTCGACGAACCTACCAGTGGTCTTGACTCTCAGAGTTCGTGGGCCATTTGCTCGTTCCTTCGCAAGCTTGCCGATTCTGGTCAAGCGATTCTCTGTACCGTCCATCAGCCCAGCGCCATCCTCTTCCAGACTTTTGATCGCTTGCTTTTCCTGGCCAAAGGCGGAAAGACGGTGTACTTTGGTAACATTGGTGACAACTCCCATACGCTTTTGAACTACTTTGAGCAACACGGAGCTCGCAAATGCGGCAACGAGGAGAACCCAGCCGAGTACATGCTCGAAATTGTAAACAACGGAGTCAATGACAAGGGCGAAGAATGGCCCTCTGTATGGAAGTCTAGTTCTGAGTTCGAGGCGGTCCAATCGGAACTTGATCGCCTCCATGAAGAGAAACTAGCCGAAGGCTCGACTGTAGAAGATGCGTCCTCTCAATCCGAGTTCGCCACGCCTTTCGCAACTCAGCTTTGGGAAGTTACATACCGAATCTTTCAACAGTATTGGCGCCTACCCAGCTACATCTTCGCCAAGTTTTTACTCGGCATTGCTGCAGGTCTGTTCATTGGGTTTTCGTTTTTCAATGCCAATTCCTCGTTGGCAGGAATGCAGAATGTGATTTTTTCCGTCTTCATGGTTACGACCATATTTTCTACCATTGTGCAACAGGTAAGATGGCTTTTGTCTAGTGTGCGAGTTCAAGTGTAAGCTAATGATACCTTCAGATTCAACCACTCTTTGTCACCCAAAGATCGCTGTACGAGGTCCGAGAGCGCCCAAGCAAAGCCTACTCATGGAAGGCTTTCATCCTTGCAAACGTTTTTGTCGAGATTCCCTATCAGATCATCATGGGCATCCTGGTCTTCGCCTGCTTCTACTACCCCGTTGTCGGCATACAGAGTTCCATCCGGCAGATTCTAGTCCTCTTGTTCATCATGCAGCTCTTCATCTTCGCAAGCTCGTTTGCTCACATGATCATTGTGGCTATGCCGGATGCGCAGACGGCTTCCGCCATTGTAACCTTCCTGGTCTTGATGAGCACGCTCTTCAACGGAGTGTTGCAGGTGCCTAGTGCGCTCCCGGGGTTCTGGCTATTTATGTGGCGCGTCTCAGTCTTTACGTACTGGGTTGCGGGTATAGTTGCAACGGAGCTCCACGGACGACAAATTATTTGTTCCCAGAGCGAGTTGTCCATCTTCAACCCGCCCTCCGGCCAGACTTGCGGCGAGTACCTGGCACCGTTCCTCCAGCAGGCACCGGGACAGCTGCAGAATCCTTCGTCCACGACGAATTGTGCATACTGCCAGCTTAGCAATGCAGACCAATATCTTGCAGGCTCAGAGATCTTTTGGAGTGACAGATGGCGCAACTACGGCATTGTTTGGGCGTATATTGTCTTCAACATCTTCACGGCCATTACCCTGTACTATCTCTTCCGGGTCAAGAAATGGAACAACCTCCACTTCCGACTTCCGTGGAAGAAGGCCTCAAAACAATGAATATGAGAGAAGCGTCAGAATAGGCTTGGATAGCCGTATTCTTGATTCCCGTTGGCTATTTTCTTGTTTATCGTTGTGTGTTTAGTGGCCAAAGTTGGGCATCTTTGAATTTCTTTCGTACAGATGCTGCATCTCGGTTACACGGTAGTACTAATCCGGGGAGCGTCGGTTCCATTTTCTTACAAGTAGATTTTTCATAGTCCTTTTTAGAATAATTCGAGTCGTTAGTGCTCCGCATTTATCGTATCTACCACGATGCTCGTATCGGCTCTGCTGCTCCCGCCAAGCGGCTATTGATGAACTACACGTTTTCCATCTAGCGTAACAGCATGTGAAATTAACAATAATTAGGCCTTATGCGGAATAGGTAATGCAACATTCCGCGGAGCTGCTAATGTGAAGGGAAGAGATTCCCCGAGAGATGTTGAGAAGTATGTATGAAGAGAGATAAGTTGCTACCCTACTCGGCATCGTGGGATCCGGATGGGCGTCTGTCACTCAGGATTTAGAGGTGGGTGGGATGTTTGGATTATTATCATAAACGCTGGGGTTTCAGAATAAGCTTCGTCACAAACAGAGATGCAAATTAAATGCCAAAGCAAATGCCGGGGAGCGAGGGCCGCGGCATGGCAGCTTCCGGCGGGCTTCGCAGAGCAGGGTGCTACCTGGGATGTGGTTGACATCTGCAGAGGGACGTCCATGGGAGACCTTTCTACAGAGTAAGCGTTTAGCAATCAAATTGGACAAATAATATGTGCACCCAACATGCGTCGGACTTTTACTACGAGCTGCATGTCCCAAAAAAGGGGGTTCACGCACAACCTGCAGCTGGTGCTGCGGCTAAATGCTTAGCAAGCGGCAAAGGAGCATAACAATAATTTGTCGCAGAAATTTGGTGAAGCAAGCCACGCGGAAGAGCGTTGCACTAGGGAAACTTATGGCCTAGCATATTGATGCAGCTTCTCTTGGCATACCTGTTATGGGTGTTGGCCTGCAAGTTTGCTTCCTTGTAAAGTTACTGGATATGGTAAACGCCAACCACCTTGTCGCCAACAGTCGCTTCTGTCGGAGATTTGACCCCAGCGCCGAGAAGCGACGTTGGAATTATATCCAGTGATCGGGATGGATTATCCGAAGGATTGAAAGGAATGCTTGGGCATCGGAGAGCGTCTCCGAGGTGGTGGAGATGAAAGCGGCTGATATTTAGTTGGTTAGAAATATTGTACTAATAGATGGATAGTGCAGTTTCCACGGAATTGATGCCGGTAGGCACAGCTTGGGGGCGGCTGATGGACTTGGCACGCAATCGATAAACATTGAATATTGAACGGTCTGTTTTGGTGTTTTGGATACCGTATCAGCGTGTGGCTCTGCTGGCGTGAAGTTACCCCTTCTTGACCTAGGAGAAGTGCTAAGAAGACGCCGGATGGTCAGTTAGTGCCTGGCTACGCAGTTCAATATCCTTTTTGCACAAGGGCGTCGGCTAGCTTGTCAGACGGAGAGAGGCGGATGGCGATGCTAGACACGACGTTCGATTTTCGGCTAATTTGACATTCCAAGGCACCTAGTGTTTGGTTGACTGTAACATCGCCACAGTGTTATTCAGAAGGGCATCGTACTGTGGATTTCATGCAAGTGGTAAGGGGAAGATAGAGATGATGCTCGTCTTTTGAATCATGGATCAGGTTTTGGGGCCTTTATCAGCTGTCGAGATGAATGTGTGGAGAGAATGGGTTTCATATGCAGGACTGTTATTTCTCCACGAACTTGCACGTGGTGCTCGTAAGAGCGTCTAAGTCCAGGGCCCCGGCCAGCTGTTTATTTGGCAGCGCAACAGACAGGGGTCACCGAACGCTGCTCTGGCATGGCATGAAGCTGATCCGAGCGCCAGAAACACCGGCCCTGGGCATTTGGCACGAAGGATCTGGTTCAGTTGCTGATTCATACGAGCGTGTCCACAGTGGCATCAAACTCTTATCGCCAGTTCCAGTTCTGGGCCTTCGCTTCGGTTGCCGGGGCTGGATATTGCAATGCAATGAAACGTGGCTGCATGAAGCTTGGAGGGATATGAGATGGATGGGAGGAAGGTGATACTGTACGGAGTACGGAGTATGGGGAGAGAAGCATCGAAATCTTGGTGTCTTGGGCGATGCTGGCTGAGACGGGGATGTAGTACAACGCCCAGGTACCGCCGAAAGAAGCGTCTAAGCCGAATCAGGTTACGCCCACCTGAGTGCTTTGCATCGGCCTAAAAGTGTCAGCGACGGAATCGTTCCTGCCAATCTACAGTACCATCGGTCGGTTGCGCTTTCCGCCAGTGTTCTGTTTCAACGGATGACTAAGTCGTTCTGGTACCGACGGTGCTTCTGTGGCTGAATACAAGCGAGAGACGAGATTCGCAACTTTCCCAACTCTTCTCAAGCGTCGCCGCCACGCCAAATGCAAAATGGCCCCAAAACCCACTGCCAAGTGCAAAGTGGACGCGCGAGTCGCAAGAGGCGCTACTAGGCAGGATCGGGGCTACTCTAGGCATCCTGATTTTCGCGTTTACGGGCTGATCATGCCGATGGACGGTCCGTCTGTCAGTGGCCCGGCCCTGCGCAAGTTGAGTGCAAAACTGACTCGTGTTCAGCTAGGTAGTTTGGAGGATTCGATGGCCATCGGCAGGGAAATGGGATACCGAGAGGCCTGACGAGCGTTTGTGTGCTCGTATTGCGCTGAACGCAAGCTACGGGCGTACTCACGACTCGACGGTTGGTTCGTGCGTGCTTGGCCTGGCCTTGGCCCTGGACCTGCAGTTCTTGGAAACGGCACTTGGGCGATGGGGTTGCATTTGCAGTAGCACTGCTACTCTGCCAGTCCAGCCGGAGAATAGTCCAGGGGCAGGCTGTCACCCACCATCTGGAGATTCTGATGCCACCTCCCGTGCATGGCTGTGCCATCGGCAAACAACGCTGGCTGTCGATATAGTACAGTAAGCGGCCTCAGGGGATCAAATCAATAGTGCTTCTGTCAACGATTCAGCTTTGCCAGGGGGGTTGAGCTCGCCACTTATGAAGCTGTCATCATTTTCCAACAACCAGGGCCTGCCTCTCTGCCTTGGAATAATAGCGCTTGAAGCTTCTGCACTTCCCCTGGTCGGATCATAGACGCGGCCGCGGATTTTGCTAGGTGCGAAAGGGGAGGCAATCAAGCAGCTCGCAGTACATGTGGCAAGTACTCGCTCAGGTGCAAAGGGCGAGGTGTGGCGTGCGCTGGGCTGGGCCTTTCTGAAATCCGATGGGTCCCAGGCTAACGGCTGCATGAACGGTAGTTTTCTCTCTCATCAGTGGTTTTGTGACCTATCGCTGCGTAGCAAGGGTGGCCCTTTATCGTGCAGGTGGCATGATGAAATTTGACAGCATCCAGGCCGGCCAAGGGCATCAAGCATTCCGCCGCATTGATCAAGCATGAATTGAGGCATCAGATTCAAGCGAGAAGCGAGTGATTCAAGCGCAGAACACAAGACGACGTGTCACGAAAAAAAGGCTCAAGCTAATCGAGCCGCCGTTGATGATGCTCAGGGCCCACGAAGCAAAAGTGACGGCGCTATCGACGGCTCGACAACCCGCGTCAAGTTCTAAACTGGCCTCCTTTCCGCGTCAATCAGCCATCCACAATGCCATATTGGGCTACGTGCTTGTCAAGCAAAAACATGCAGTCCCTTGCAGCCCCTCAATCATCGATCCTTACTTGACGTGACGGGGACAAGATGGCCTAGAACGCTTGCCCGGCAACCTCGTGCTTCAGACGAACGTACGAGTACAGTACAGTATGCTTCGTATTGGCACTGATATTATCCCACCGGGCACACGCGGCTGTTTCGGGGCCTTCCGCGCTGCATGCCTCGCGTCCAAATATTGATTGGCCGCGAGGCGAGCTATGGATAGGCACTGTTCTTGTTACTGTCGAGAGCTCGCTTAGGTTGGCCCTCAAGGTCAAACTTCTTCGACATGACAAACCGATTCTCCGCATTAAAAAAACTTGAGAAATCTTCAACAAAATTGCCCACAAAAGTGGTCGATACGGGCCTGCTGAAGCGTCCGAAGCAACGCCTGTGATTAAGTGGCGCCGCTGGCTGACTTTGATTCGTTTTGAGACTTGAGAGGGGCCCTCGTTAGCCTATCGGCTCTCTTCGTGGCGTGTCCCAGCCAGCCGGTTTTGGTAATTCTTGTACCCCCTGTGCGTGTTGGACACACTGTCTGCAACAACCTCCCCACTGCTGGCGGGTTTACAGAACTAAGGTTGAGATGTGCCGGAACGAGTAAAGGCACACACACCACAGTGCTTGACCAGCCAGACAGCTAGCATGAGCAAATAGGAGATTTCATTGTGGTGGGCACCAGAGTTTCCCCCAATCCCTCACAGTACGTGTTCTCATGTGCGAGTAGCAAGCTGAGCTCGTCCGCCGGGTTTGGGCCGATGTGAGCGATGTCTATGGCCGTCCCATGTCGCAGCCACACCACCCCCCCATCGGTCTTCTGGAACCAAGCCCTTCCTTGGCCGAGCTTCTTTTCCCAGCATGATCCCGGCTCTAGCGGCGGCGCAGATGCTTTGACGCAGAGAATTTTGTGGGCAGCAAGGACGGACGGAGCCTCCCGGCACAAGCCATTGATTGAGTGCTCACATATTCGTACAGTACTTGTATATGCAAGGCCCTCGCCACCCGCTGGATCGATCTCTTAAATATCAACAGTTTCTTTTCTTTTTCGGCAGTGCCGCTCCGTTGTGGATGACTGTTTATATGTAGGAGCTGTGCCTGTTGTATCACGCACAAGCCATACGGGAGGCCCGGGCGACGTTTCCTACGTCCAACAGCACAGCCCCCGTCCTCACTATCGACCAACAGCAGAAGTAGTCGTCTCTGCTCATATTTGGGACGATGGTCGACCCCCGTATTCAGCAGGCAATCGCCAACGGCACAGTCCCGGATGGTATTACCGCTGAATACCTGAGCGAAT